TAATAATCTCGCGTTTATAGCGTAGTAGGACCTATTTTACTATAGCTTTATATTAGGTCGGTCCCTTAGTCTTAGCTACGACCGCGGCCTAGGTTCGCTTAGGGCCCCCTAGGCCTAAAGCGATACTTAAGCGGAGTTCTTCCTTAACTACCTCTTTAATTATATCTTAGATTATCGTATTAAAGCTCTCGTCCGCGTAGAGCACCGCCGATAACGCGCTACCGGCGCGGCTCTTCGCCCTAAAGAGCTATTCGACTATTACCTATACCCTACTAAACTATACGCTTAGGATAAAGCCCGCGAGTTCGTCGTATACTACTTTTTTTATAGGGTCGCTCGGCGCCTAAGCCGGTATTATATCGCTACTTTAGGTTTATTAACTCGCCCTATTAAGGTATATAAATTTAGGTAGCGTCTCTTTACGCTACGCGCTTTAATCGAGCCCGGTATATCGAGGGCCGCTACTATATCTACCTACCCCTTAGCCTCGGCGTAGTATTATTACTAAGGGTAATTAATACTACTAAATTAATTCCTAGTATTAGTTAGTATTTTAGTCGCGATATATACCTACTATAGGCGTATATTAGTTTCGCGAGAAGTTTTTTTTTCCTTACTTATAGCTAATATTTTTATAAAGGAATTAAGCCCTAGATTACTCTATAAATTTAAAGACAGTCTATCCTTAGTATAAGTTCCTAAGCAATTAAAAAGGGTTTTTAGATATTTCTTATACTTTTTATATCTTTCCCCTACTAGGCTTTTCCTTTTTAGGTTTCCTAGAGAAATATTTACTAGGTTTTTATCTATTAAGATTTTCCTAGTAATAATAGGTTTTACCTTATATAAGGTTATCCTATAAATAATTATTATAACTATAGATTTTTCTTACTATAGGTTTTTCTATTAGTATATACCTAAGGATTTCTTTTCCTAAGAAAGAATAGGTTTTTATATATCCTATTAAGGCATAAAAATAGTTTTCCTAAAATTAGGTTTTTACCCTATATATATACTACTATAAATAAATTAGTAAAGAGTATATAAATCTACTTTTTAAGGGAGGCTATAAGGAACGGTGTTCCTACTATAAATAAAGCAGCTATAATATACTCTCCCGATTATATAAGCTAATAAGTAGTATATTAATTATAGATAAAATCCTATCTTATAAAGTAAGAATCGCTTATTATTTTATATATTATTATATATTAAACGGGTTGCCGGTTATCGTATAATCGGGAATCGAAGGAGTAGAGCTAGCTTAGAATACTAGCTAAGACCTCTTAAGAACACCGGTATAACTAACCTCCTTTAAACATAAATATTAATAGAACTAAGATACTTCTAGATTTACTTAAGGTATTACGGAATTCCTTAGTCTTAGGGCTATATAGAAGCCTAAATCTAGTCCTAAAAGGTTTTTCCGTTTAGCTATAATTATCTATATAAGATAGTATGTCCGCTAGTAGATAAAGAGATAATTATTAACTTTAATACCTCTTCTATATACTAATATATTACTAATAAATTCTATTAAAAATCCTACCTTATACTCCTTCTTCCCCTCTATTATATAGTCTTACGTAATTCCTTAATTTCCTAAAATTCCGCTTTTGCTTATATACCTTAAGAATACTTATAGAGACTATCCTTAGATTATAGTCCTAGCTATAATCCCCTTTATAGCTTACTATAGCTTACTTATAAGCTATATTCCTAAGTAGTAATCTATTTATATAAGGCTTACTTAGCTTATATACGCTCTAGGTAAGCTAAGCTTAAGTAACTTCTTATCCTAACTATTATTCCGAGCCGCCTTATTACGTAAACATAGCCGGCTCTCTTACGGCCCGCTAACTATAGTTATAACACGGCGCCCTTTACTCGCATTAAGGCGATCTTTTCTACTAGTACTTATATCTCTTATATAAGCGCCTTATTAACTACGGTATAGTACTAGTAGCCCTTATTTATAAGGGTAGCGATAAGTAAAGAGTTATTAATTATAACTTATATTAAAGTAGGCTCCTCTTTTATATAAGCGGATAATTCCTCCTTTTCTTTTATTAGTACTAGTAATTAAGGCTTCGGAGCCTATCTTTACTCTAGAGCTACTCTTTTTCTTTTAGGCCTAAGGGGGCGGAGTCCTCCTTATTATCTAAGGTAAGGAGCGGTTCTATCTTCGCTACTTAAACCGCTATAGGCCGCTTAGCTAAAAAGAAAGGGCATTTTAGTATAAAGTATATAAACGCGCTATAATATAGGTAGCGGCCGTTAGCTTTCTTCTTTTTTAATTTCCTCGCTTATTACTTACTTTGCCCGCTACTTAGAGTATAGGGCGGTATAGGGGGTAGTCGACGGCGCCTTCTTACTATATTTAGCCTAGTCTATATAAGTAGCCGATATTAAGGTATCCCTATCTATATTAACGGCCGGTTATTTATCTTATAAAAGGGTAGTAATCCTATCGCCGCTATATAGCGTACGCTTATAAAGCTTTTAAAAACGCGGTATTTACTTATAGCCTTATACTACCTTTATTAACTAGCTTATATACTCGCTATAGTTAATAGGTATAATTATAGGGATAAGTAGCTCTTATAAGGCTAGTATAATTAAATTCTATAGCTATATAAGCTTCGCGCTATCTTCTTATATTATAGTCCCTATTACTTATAAGAGCGTCTCTTTAAAATTAAAGAGGAATTTACTAAAGGTTTATTTATCTCTTTACTTAAAGGTCTATAGCCTATCTTACGCCTTCTCCTACTCTTATACGTTGCCGAACGTATATATAAGGTATTAAAAGAAGTCTTATAGGTCGCGTTTACCTCTAGGGCCGCCCTTATCCTAGAATCTAGAGATCCGCTATATTTAGGGCTCTAGTAGCGTATAGAGGAGCGAATACTATACTATATCGCGATAGCTATTTAAGCCTTATTTCTTATTAGTTATAAACTTTGTCTAGAGCCGGCTAAGAAAGAAGTAAAAGGACTCTAGCCTACCGTCTTAAGTCGGCTAAGGGAGCGGCTTCTACGTTAGTAGTATCGCCGCTATAACCGGCGGTATAGAGGTCGTAGGGGTTAAAGCTAGTCCTATAGATAGCTCCCTTAGTATAGCGAGAACCTTATCCTTCTTACTAGCCGTTATGCTTTTAATCGCTTCTAAGATAGCTATGATACTTCCTATCCGTTTAAGGAGGGGTAGAGTGCTTCCTCGAGGCGGTAGCACCCTCTTTAAAGAGATATCTATTAGATCTATTAGTTAATAGCTTATACTATTATAGAGTAAGCAAAGGCGTATACGTAGGTGCCGTCTATAGGATAATATTAATAAGCTATATAGAGCTCTCCTATACGCGGCTAGCCTATATATATATATACGGGATCCGGCCCTCCGTATATAACTATACGGCTTAGGCTATAGCCTAAGCCTATAACCTATAATAGTTAAAGACTCTTATACTTAGAGCTGGTTTTTAATATATTTAGAAAGATAAGGTATTACTAATTTAAATAATATTTATTTTATAATTATTAAATAAGAGATATACGAGAAAACGCGGTTATAATATAGTAGGTAGTTAACGCGATGGTGATATAGGGAGGTGCCGGAAGTAGGGGGTGCCGGAAGTAGGGGATGCCGGAAGCTAGGTGTGCTGACTTATGCCGCCTACTCATCCAGCAACATTGGATGAAGAACAGCCCCAGCCGAGACGGAAGGTCGAGACAGCGGGGTCTTTGTCTCCGGTACGCAGCCATGGCCGAGTGGTACCTTGCCCGCCGAGCACATGTCTGGGCTAGCAGGTCCCCACCGGAGCTAGCAGTGGTGCAGTAAGCAGCCCGCCCATGGTCAAGATGCTGGCACTGGATACCCACAGTAATCGATGCAACGGAAGCTGGCCCGGGCGACACCCGGACAGGCACCATGTAATTTACTGTAGGTACTACTGTCACTAGCAGAGAGCCGAGGCGCAATTTTACGACAGCTCCCGCCACTGTACGGATACAGTACTGAACAGGCATGCCAGTCCGCCCTGTCTCGATTTTCCTTGCCACGCCTTCACGTAAGCGGTAACCTCTCACTCATGCGGACCTGTGCCCGCGGCGAAAAAGCAAACACAGAGCACGTCAGAAAAGCCGACACCCTTCCCCCCGGCAAAGCAAAGCTGGCCTTTTGTTACAGTACTTGCATGCTATTAGCAAACCACACCAGTTGCAAGACACCTGCCCACCCCCGCCCCCCAGCCTGGCGAGGAGCTAGCCCGGATAGAGGCATACTTTTGCCGGCATACAGGGCTCGTCGTCGATGGCTACTGCGGCGATAATCCCGAACACCGACCGCGGCGGATGCAGCCTAAGACAACAGACCGTCACTAAGTTATGCCCGTGGTGAAGCAAGCCTGAGGCGCGCTCACCTCAGCTACCTAGAGCCTTGTGGAGAGTAACAAAGTAGCCGCGGGTACCTACCAGACTGCGAGGATCCGGCTGCCCATGGGCCCTTGTACCGCACTCTCCCGGCCAGGTACCCTCGACCTCCCCTCGGGCTGCTGCCACAGCACAGCTCTTCCCCTTCAGCCCCCCATACCCCCCTCCCCCTCCTTCTCCTCCTCCAGCTTCCCTCCATGCCCTTCCCCACTCCCGCAGACTCGGCACCGTCGGGCGACAGCCGGCCACCACACAGCCAGTGAGATTCCACGGCAGCCTCGCCCTCTCTCTTCTCTCGCTCTTTTTTGTCGCGCTTTTTGTCGCCCGCTGCCGACCACACACAACCCCCCCCCTCTCCTCTGCCTGTCCTTTGTCCCTTTCGTCCTCTTCTTCTCCATTCTTGCCGTCCACTCTTCTGCCGCGCCGATCCCCGTTCGGAACCTCGCTTCGGCATCCAAGATTCGCCCGACTCGTCGCGTCCCCGCCCGCCCCAGGGCTCGCCTGCTCTCTTCCCCATGCCTCTCCTCGCCTCTGCCCTCGCCGCTGCCCTCGCCTCTGCCCTGCCCATACATGGAGTCGCCGGCTGTCCACGACGCTGACGGGCCCGCGGCTCTTGCGGCCAATTCTCCCGATGCCGCCGCTCCGTCCCCCCCTCCCACAAAACGGCGCCGCACTGCCCCCGTCCTGGCCGACTGTTGCCGTACCTGCCGATTGCGCAAGGTGAGTCGCGTCTCTACGCCACTGAGCTTCCTCCTCCACTGCGCCATCCTCTTCGCCCCCCTCTTTTTTCTCCTCCGAGAGGTACCTTGCTATGAGCTGCTAACCCCGTATTCGACGCTCAAACCCAGGTCAAATGCTCGGGCAACCCCGGCAATGGTCCGTGTTCCAATTGTGCCAGGCTCGAGCTCGGTTGCAACTTTGCCAGCGTCAACCATGTTGAAGAAACCACAGGTGAGACCCCCCCGCTCCCGTGGCCGCCAGGTTGCGCAAGCTGACCCTTGTGCCCCAAAAAGTATCGCGCACGACGCCCTCGCACAGCCACACCGAGGCCGGCACCCTGAGGAAGAGGGCCCAGAGAGCATGCAGCCAGTGCCATTCTCACAAGACCAAGTGCTCCGGCGACTTGCCCCGATGCAAGAGATGCGAGGCCGCCAATCTCCCCTGCGAGTACACGCCCGCCAAGCGCAGGTTCACCAATGTCCGTTTCCAGGGCTCCAACAAGTCCGTCGACACTCAGCCTCCCGCCCCGGGGTCTGCTGCCCAGTCAGACGGCATCATCAGCCCGACCCTCAGCAGCAGCAGCGGCGGCGGCGGCCCCGGCTCCGTCACCCTCTTTACCGAGGCATCCAATCTCAATGCCGAGTACGTCTGTTCTCCTCCAAGACAGCCGCCATCAGCTTGACTGACTTGGCCAGGGACATTCTGGCTCGCAAGCATCTCATCTTGCGGCACATGGATGCCTATATGGACAACGTGTATTGGCTGCCATCTCAAGGCTTCGTTCATCCCGACTCCACCTACCGGGAAATTCATGTCGGACACCCTCGTCTTCTTTTGCTCTGCTCAGTGATTGACTCGTGACGCAGGAAGGGACTCTCGATCCCGTTCACGCTGCCGGCATCTGCGCCGTCGCCAGCTCGTTCGTCAATCCAACCGAGACGGGGCGCGAGTTTGCTCAAAGATGCAGTACTCAGATCGAGCTATACCTCTTCCAGAACGTCTACAAGTTCTCCGACGACCTTCTCATCCTCTTTGCCTTGAACATCACCTTCAACGTCCTCCAAGGCTCCTTTGCCAAAGTCTGGCAATGCTTTGGTATCGCCTCGAGGCTGATGCTAGGCCTTCGCATCAACTGGCACGTCCTCCCCCGCGGCCGCTCTTTCATCCAACAAGAATCCCTCCGCCGCATTGGCTGGCACTTCTTCCACATGGACCGTATGCTGGCCGGGGGCTACGACGAGTACATTTGCTGTCGAGCGGAAAACATGAGGATACCCCTGCCCTGCGACGAGGCCGCCTATCGCGAGAACCGGCCCGTGGTGGCGGAAAGACTGTACGATAAGCCGGGCAAGCCGCCCAGCTCCATCAACTTGCACGCCTTTCAAATACGCCTTATCGATATCAGGCATCGTATTCAAGTGTGAGTCCGGCCCACTAGCCTTTGCTCAGCAAGTCCTCGCGCAGACTGACAGGGAAAGCAGCATCACAAAGCGACTGTGCTCGGCTTCGGGCACAAACCTGCAACACGTGGATGCGTCCAAAATCATGGCCGATATCAACGGGCTGCAGAACGAGCTCACTCGGTTCCACTCGTCCCTCCCGTCCGAAGTTCGCCTTTGCGACCAGAGCATCTCGCGCTTCATGGCATCGCCCGAACGCCCCGGTTACGTCTTCCTCCACTGTCACCTCGCCGGCTGCCACATCGACTTGTACCGGTTTTTCCTGCCGGGCCAGAAAGAGAAGATCCCCCTCGAAATCCTCCGGAAACTGCCTCGCGAGTTTCTGGCCCGGTCGCAGAAGCAAGCAGTGGCCCACTCCATGTCGTTTGCGCGCTTTTGCGACGCCATCCAGAACGAGGTGGCCCAGATGAGGGACACGGGCAAGCAGGAGCTGGCGGCGGATTACTCGACCATTCAGGTGGGCACGGCCTGCGTTCGGGTTCTGTTGGTCGCCATCCAGCACCAGCTCTTCCGTGACATCAGCCAGGAGACGACGGCGCCGCTGTGGCGGCTGGGCAAAATTGACGAGGCCCATTTGCGTTTCCTCATCAAGTCGGTACAGCGCGTCACCGAGCCCTGGTGCGGTTTGCTGAACATGGCGCAACAAGCGGTAAGCTCTTGACATGTTTCTGCCGTCTTACTGAAGCTGGGCTTTAGCTAACTCATACGTTTTAGTACGATCATAATAAAACCTTGGTGGAGGAGTTTGACAAGAGTAAGAGGGTCGCAGACCAGAGATGCGCGGATAGAGCGTTCCGACCGAGGACGGATGGCGACAACCGCCTCCCCGGAACCGACTCGCTGTTGGAGAGTATTGCAACGGGCACTATGGAGGACCCAATGAGGAACCTCACCATCGACAGCTCGGGCGCGGATCGATGGTTTCACACGCCGCAGATGCCGACCGGCCCGGCGCTCCAGTATCCGACCTCGCCAGCCAGCAGCTTTGGTATCGAGCCGGGGACCCCTGGAATCCCCCTCCTGCTTGCGCAAGCCAGAACGGCCTCCATGGACCCCTCGGAAATGGCAGCTATGTACGACTCGGACAATACGATAATGGGCCTGACCGACTTGACTGGCGCGCTGCCAGATGGCAACCCGCTGATGACGCCCAACGACGTGCCGTTGATGCAGATAAACGGCAGCATAGATCCCGCCATGTATCAGCAGGCACCGCCGGGACCGAGCCCGGGCTTCGCGCTGGCTCAGCAAGGCATATTCATGGACGGGTACACAGGCCAATTCGCCAACGGGCATCGCGAGCCAAACAGCTTCGGCCAGCAAACGGGCTATGGGTGAAGCAAGAGGCTGGATGCTTACTCCTGTGCATATCAACGAGGCCAGTCGGGGTCCTCTTGCACCGTTGGGCCCCCCGCCCGTTTGCCAAGTCCAAGGAGGCGGGTGACAACCTTGCGGAGAGAGCAGGGCCGGCATCTCTTGAAGCCAGCCAGCTGCCGCCGGCGAGATTCGCGTTGGCTCCATATGGGATGGGTTGCGGGAGCCGGTGCACCGCGGTGGAGACCAGTCGCCATCCAGTGCCCAGGCGAGAGACGTCGAATACTGGAGGGTGGCCCGATATGGGTCGGCGGCCTGATTTTGCACCCGTGCCGATAAGCCCGGGACGCCGTCCGAGACAGCATTACGACGGCGTTTGGCACTGAACATCCACGAGGACCGACGACGATGACATTTCGGGGGGTATTCCCTTCGAGGGAAAATACACGGGCGTTGAGAGATAGAGCATGGCATCAACGAAGCCGGTTATGGGCGTGGGCGGGACTGCATGCGATTGCACGTACGCTTTTGCATTTCCACCGCATGGAGCACGGGAGAAGAGAAAGGCTTCCTTGATAAGCACGCACGCCTGGGCTGTATGTACTGTATAATGTGACTTGTGTAATGACGAGGGTTGTGCCTCGCGTATATATTTCGATGCCCTTGTTCTTGGGGCCGTGCCAGCGTGTGTGTGAATGTGCGTTCATGATTGTATACAAGCCGGACGGTGAGAAACAAGTCCCGGTCGCCCTGAACAACCACCGACTACAGAAAGAGAGCCATTGGGGCTGCAGCACGTTCCTTCACTAGCCAGCCTGGGCCAGCCAGCGTCTCCCCTCGCCCGCGCACGCCCCAAAACCCTCCTTCCACCGGCAGACGCGCGCAGGGCCAAGCAAGGCTCGAGTAGCTTCTCGCCTCGCCAAAGCATGGCAAGGGAAACGGGTGACGCGCGTGGTATGCGGCTGCTCTGCCACGAGACGACAGGGATGCAGCAGGCCAGTGGGCACAATTAATAGATGAATGAATGTACTGTACAACAAAAGAGGTTGGTCGCAGGCGGCGGACACTGGAATGTAGGCGCCAGCCCCCCTGGCAACGTCGTACGACCCCGACTGTGCTGTGGCGCCGAAAGAGGACACAACAAGCCACGGCGGAGACATGAGGGATAGACCGAGGGGTCGAGCAATGGTATCCTTGATATTATTATACAGTATGGAATATACAACTATTGCCACAAGGCTCCCCGGGGGGCCGCCTCCTCTGGTGGTATCGGGTCGAGAGAGCGACATCGAGGTTCCCCATTTTTTGCAACCGCGGGGCTGCTATGTACTTGAGCGAGCCTGACTGGTGCCTCTGATTCTTTCACCTCGGCGGGGACGAGTCATTTCGCTTGGGTGGCTCCGAAGCGAGAACGAGTTGCGTTACGTCATGTCGGTGCCACACATCAAGGGCTGAGAGAAAATCACATGGCCGTGGCAGCGCGGGTGGCGCGACAATGGCATATCGGGTACACATGTGATGTGTGTTGTCGAGTTGTTCGTCAAGGTCAAAGAGACATAGAGAAATAAAAAGGCTCGAGGAGCCCAAATCCCACTCGAGAAATGCGAGGACTTTCCAGTTGAGAAGCGAGGTGAGAATCGTTAGCCGGTTAACCGTCCTGGACAGTGGCATATCTCTGAGGAGATCGGTGTTACACAAAGGTGCCGCTGTCGGTGGCGTATCGGCAGGCCTGCGTGGTAAGTCGAGGCTCGAGAAAATGGTAAGGAGTGTCTGAAGGCCAAAAGGCATCGGTTATTGGAATACTGTGCGGTCCTTTTCTTTCAAGCCCCCAATCTGGTCCATGTCGATGGACTGAAACTCGCCCTTGGCCTCCTTTTCGTACGCCGGCAACTGCTCTTCATCACGCATGGGCTCCAGTCCGACGGTGGCATTGTCTCCGACGCGGACGACGAGGACGCGGCCATTCTGAGCACGGCCATGGCCGTCGTGCTCGTCGGGGAAGGTTATGTGGATCTCGGGCACGTTGTCCGGCGAGTGGGGCGGCGAGTTGGGGTTCTGTAACATGGGCTGGCCGTCGCGGCCGATGATGAGGATGCTGGACCGGCCGTCGTGAGCAGTCTCGATGGTAAGGCCGCGGGGGTTAGTCTGCTTGACCTCGTTGTAAGTCGGCAGACCTTGGTTTTGCTGGCGCCTCAGGCGACGACGGCGAAAGAGAACGAGGAGGGAGACGAGGATCAGGGCGAGGAAGACGAGGCCGAGGACGGTGAGCATGAGGTTGATCATGTGTTCGGAGCCATCGTTGCTGTCGGCAGGCTTGTCGGCTTGACGGCGCCTCAGATCTGCAAAGGAAGGGGCGGCGAAACGGGAGAGGACTGTGGGCCTCCGGGGCTCGTCCGTAGGACCCAAGGCGGGCATCTCGGCGGTGCGAGAGAAGAGGAGGTGGTTATTGGTCAAGGGGCTCCAAGCCGCGACGCCGTTTGAAATCGGTTGGAGGGCACGCTCGGTTGCAGGACGATCACAGGGCGGCGCGAGTAATAAATGAAGGGAAGGTCTGCGAACGGTAGTCGAGGCGTTAGCATGAGGCGCAATAAGCTGGGTCTTGCAGTGGATAGCATTTCATTCTTGGAGTGGAATATGGCAAAGTCCATTCCGCGAGGGGGCGGGTGCAGTGGGCGAGTGGGTGTCAAAGTTGAGAGGGTCCAGCCTCGGTAGACGGAAATCCAATAGCGAGGACACCATGCCAATGTAGTGACGTGACAAGAAGAGCACAAGGTGAGGTGATTGACATACGCCAGAAATAGAGCCGGAGCAGAGGAGCTTGAGGTGGCGATGAGGATGGATTGCGTGGCAGGCTAGCCGGCAATAGCCAGGCAAGAAGGATTGGACGGTTCGGCGGCTGAAAGAATGAAGCCGAGGAGAAAGAACCAAAAAGGTGTTTGCGGGGAGAGAATGGAAAGGCCAAAATAGGGAGAGAAAAGAAGGAAGAAGGAAGGAGCGTGAAGAAGCCGTCACGGTTGGCCTCGAGGGTGCCGGGTTGGCGAGGATGCAGTGGAGGAGCAAGAGGAAAAACGAGGGTTGAGGAGACAGAGGGGGGAAAGCAAAAACAAAGCGCTCAGGGGCCCGTTGCTATTGTGCCTGTGCCAGAGGCTATGCCTGTGCCAGAGGCTAGCTAGCGCCCAGCCCAGCACGAGGAAGCGCCTACGGATAAAAGGGGATGCTGCCCCTGGGGATCCTCCTGCTACTGCCTACCTGCCTGGAGCGATGCAGCCGAGGTACTGTATGCGCCCACTTGCCGCGGGAAGGTACTTATTGCGGGTGTACCTGCGGGAAATGAGTCGGACCGGGGGGCAGCGTACCGTGATTGGCCGCCGGGCGGTGATCCCGATGGACGACGGCCAATCAGCGGCCGCCGCCCCGAGGCGCCGTACGGATAGCGGGCGACCTAACCTGTCAGGGCGGCCTTCTCAAGCGAGGCTACGAGGTATTATTTGAGGTAGGTACTGTGTCCGTAGGTACTTAGTAATCGTAGCCCCGCGATGTTCGTCGATCGCACGACCCCTTGTTGCAAAGTTAAACATCGGCTGAACTCCGTCGCAACGTTGACCGTCGGCGTGGGCATGCAATTGTGCGCATTGGATCCTTTGCCCCTTGCGTTGTGCGGACCGTTAGGTGCTAGGCAGAGCAGCTAGTACTCCGTATAGTAAGTACAGTATGTAGGTCCGTTAGCGCCAGGTGGGCTCGTGCGCATGGCATAATGTACAACATGCAGCTACTGTACGGCGTACCCCGTACCTGCGGCGAGGAAATTGTCGAAAGCTTTCCTTGCAGCAGGCCGGGCTCGTATCCTACCGTCTCGTGTATTGCGCGTGGCCGAATCGGTGTATGCGTCAATGCACGTGTGCCGCCATTTGTCCGCGAACAATAAAGATGTGTGCATCAAGTGATGAATCGCGCGGCGCAATGGGGTACTTTGTTCACGGTCAAAGGCACCTGAGACCCCGACCGAAGCCCCTTGGCGCGCGCTTCCACAATGTCTCTGCGCCACGGGCCACCGTTTCGGCATGCCAAACCCCTGCCAAGGCTCGCCAGCACTGCACCTGACGCCGGCTATCGCTCCGTTGGATAAATATGTACATGTACGCGTGTGTGAGGCAGAACAATGCGCCATCTCATGTTTCTGTACTTTGTCCCTATCGAGCGGGAACCAGCGTCATCCGCCTCTCCACCTCTTTCTCTCCTCTTCCCGCTCCTCCTCCTCCGCTCCTCGTCATCCTCATCTGACCCCGCGCGTCCGTCTTAGCCCGGCCGCGAACATGCGATGGACGGCATCGTTGCTCAGCGGCTCACGGCACGGGGCCACCAACCACTCCGTGGCAAATCTTTGCCGCGCCTCGCGCCCCCTATCGATTGCTGTCGGTCGACAAACTGACATTCGGCCAACGTCTCCTTTCTTCACCAACTAATCATCGCGTCCGGCCATTGCTCGGTGACCGCTGCATCCATGCCAGCAGCATCCGAGGGCTAAACAGCCATCACCGTGCGCACGTACATTTGGAATACCGCGGCACCCCCTTCTCCCCACCGGCTCAGGGCAACTCGTCTGCTTCTGTTGGCCGTGCAGCCTGTGGCATCTAACCCAGCTTTACCAACCACTGCCGGGTCTGGAATCTTTTGTCCACCGAGCCCAGGCCACCTGCGCGCCAATACTTCCCAGGCTCGTATTGCCTCAGAGCCTAGACGGTAACCCATGATCGCCTTCCCTTACCCAAGTCCACGGGGCCCTCCTCTTCTCGACACAATGCCGTCTCGATGCTGCGCGCTTCCGCTTCGTCCGCTTCTGTCTCACTTCTCGTCCTCAAGCGTTTCGACGCCTGTCCAGACGACATGACTACTCCGCCCATGCCCGTCATCAGCCGGCAACCTCCCACACACAGGTCGGCAGTCTGAACCGGAACCTATTCCGTTGACCCGCACTACGGCCTCAGCACGCCATCATCGCCCCGTCCCTTTGTCTGCTCCTCGTCGTCGTGATGCCCCAGGGCGTCCGTGGATTGGTTGGTCGGCGGCGGCGCTTCGGCCCGCCACCCAGCCATGGCCGCCCGCTCGCAGCCATGGCTAGTCACGAGCCACATGACGGCGACTTCAGAAGCCCTGCCACTTGACACAAGCAAGTACCACTGCATCCATCGATGCTTCAGAGGGTGGGACACGGGCTAGTCCTTTGTCCCTAGTCCCTGGGATCTCGTAGCCATGGACGTGACCTGCCATTTACGCTCAGCTCAACAGGCCGAGGGGCATTAGCCTGTTCCATTTGGGAGCATCAAGTCCCGTACAACGCCAGATGGACGGGAGATGGGTAATCTGTCTGCGAGCCTGGCACTGGAATCCAACCGCCGCAGGATCACCGTCGGTTCTAAAGGGCCTCCCTTGTCCCCAGCCAAGACGTACCGCTCTCGATGTCGAGATGGAACGTTAGCACTGCGACGAGCCGTACTCCAAAAAGGACATGAGGTTTATTTAGCACGCTCGTTCAACGCGGAGAGATCAGCCGCTCCACGCACTAGCCCGATGGATTGGCAAACGCGGAGAGGCTCGGCCGCACGACACGACAAATCAAGGGTGTAAACGGATACGCATATGCATGTGTCGGATGACGGTCATGTAAGCTGATGGCACGTCACAGAGTGGACCATCAAGGCGGTGTCGCCCACGATGAGTTGTTCCCCTTCCATGAAACATGAGGAGGCAAAGTCGAGACGGTTGAGCATTCCGGTGGGGATCGGAGGCCAGACTTCTTGACTAATTGGCTGGCCTTGCGTTCCACGACGCGGTGTGGCACAGGACGCTCGGTCGAGGCGTAGGACGCAGAGGCACGGGAGGTTGCCGTCGGCAGGACGTCATGCCGCCGGGTCCCTTGCCCGCGGGCCTGTCGGGTGTCGGGGACGCAAGCAGACAAAGCGTGTCGCCTGATGACACTTGGACCGGGCCGTGCTGCGATGCTAACAGACGGGAAGTAGCACAAGCAACGACAGGCGGCACTCACAAAGGCAGGGCTGCATTTGCCTCTGGCCGCCTTTCGGCGCAGCAATGCCCTTGGGTCACGGTGAGCTCTGCCGAGCCGGCGTGCCAGGGTTCACGACGAAGATCAAGCGGCCGATGAATCAGCGACCAGGAGCAGGGCGGGAACCAAGGTGAATGAATTATCGATCACGCAGCCGCCATGGGCGGGGGGTTTATTTGCGAGGGCGAAGGCGCGGCTAATAAATAGATGGAGCAGGACGCAGGCGGGCTAGCTGTCGAGGGCGCGATGGTGCAGTTTGTGTCTCCCTTTCGCCTGTTTCTGACTGCGTAACATGAGGGAAGGGGAACTACTGGTGGAGGTTTTCTGCCGCCGCAAGAGTGGACATTGGGCGTGCGAGACTTTTCCGGCGCGTGGGGTAGAAAAGGGTAGAGGCGGAAATCACGGGAGGCAGGGAGCGGAAGATGATAAATGGCAAACGGGCGAGCATGGGCGGGATGGAAGGAGGTGTTTGCATCTTGTGTGTGTCTGCCAAGATGCAGACTTGGCTGTTTCGTCGGGTGGCACTGAGGCGGAGGAAAGATCCGGGGTTGCGGGTACGCCGCCATGATGGAGCGTGCACAGGACGCGCCTTGCCGCAGAGCACGAAGCTAGATAGATGGACGGAGACTGAATTGAAGGGTTGGTTTTTTTGGTGAATTTTTTTTTTGGATGGTGGTGGAGGGAACGTGTTGCATCAGAGCGCCTTCGACAGAGCGCCTTCGACAGAGCGCCTTCGACAGAGCGCCATGGACACACAATGCCGCAGCTGTCATCTGCAGGCATGCATCGTCTCTGCCCACCGCCTGGGGGCCAGTGCCGAAGGGGGAGGTGTCATGTTACCTTGCCCACCCTGTGCTGCCATGGAGGGAACGTCGATTGGCATGTCCCGTCCCTTGGGATCGGGCGTGGCCCTGTGACTGGAGAGAGCCGGAGGGGAAACGAGGGCAGCTGGATCCACCGAGAGAGGTTGTTGGACTACCTAGGTGGGTACCTACCTTAGGTACCTGTGATGCAGTAGTACGTACCTCTTTTGCAGTACTTTTTGCTGGTGGTGATGCTTCAAGACACCTGACCTTGAAACCTGCAATATTAAGTATAGGGGAGACATTTTCGATATAGAGGGGCTTTCCCGTCAATAAACTTTTGGCGCCTTGCGCGTGCATGGCCTGGGCTCTTGTTCCGCATGACGGGACGGACGGGTACGCAGCCCGATGCATGCTGTGTGTTTTACCGTGTATTGCCTACTTAGGTAGTACCTTAGGTTCGTAGTAGGTAATTAGGTAGGTACCTAGGTAGCCCTGTATGTCGCAGCAGCCTGGTGCGTGCCGGCTCTGAAGACTGTGGTATGCGAGATGCGTATGCCGGTCTCAGCGATGCTTCTTCTACTGTACTAGTCGTGCATCCATTTACGCTCTATCCGTAATTACAACAAGATGCAGAGTACTCCGTAACTTATTGCTTTTGGACGACGACGACCGGTGGCACGTGGGTGCTTCGAAGCATCCGTCTCTCGCGCCACTAGGAGAAGTTGTTCCTCCAGCCATGGCTTGGTGACTGTGACGGGATGCCGCTCCGTTGGCTTGAGCTTTGCTCGCGTGCTGGCGGCGCCCGTCCTCCTCGATGGCTTTCCCTGGTACCCGGACAGGACGCCTCGAAGCTCGAGGGGGGGTGTCGACAAACGCCGGCCGCCTTCTCTCTCTCTCTCTCGCGCGCGCCGCTGCTCCCCCAAGGCCTCCCAAGGGGTGGCTGGCGGCGACAGCCTAATCCACAATCTTCAACACCATCGTCATTCTCTCCCGTCGCCGCCCATCCCTCGCGCCCTCCGACTCCCTCCTCGCCGCCGTCCATGGCCTCGTGGCACTCTTGCTGTGTTGGTTTGTGCAACGACGAGACCGCTTACACGAGCTCCCTTTCTGCCTCTCTCGAGCGCTCTCCTTTGCCGAGCCCCCCTCCTCTCCTCTTTTCTTCCCTCCTCCCTCTCGTTAAGCTTGCAGCGCGCATCGTCTCCTCCGCTTTTCTTGCCTTTCTTGCCTTCCCCCTTGGCCGCCCCATATCTCGTCCTCGAGTTGCTCCCTCCCTTGGTTCGGCAGCCTGTCTCGCCCGTCATTCCACACGCATATTACCCCTGGACCTCGAGGAGTCGACAGCGCTCTGCGCGCGCATTCCTCAAAGTCTAGTTGCTGGTTGCCCTGGCCCCGCCCATGTGCCGACCTACATCTATCTGACCTCGTCGCCCCCATCTGCATCTGCTGTCCCGCCCATCTCCCATCCTCTGTCCATTTTCTCCCACAAAACCCGTCCGGCAACCTGTCACATAATTCAGACTGTACATGCCGTCTTATACCTAATCGAGCCGGCTCCAGCATCTACTCGTTGATCCTCTTCCCAGCACATAATCTCCATCAAACCGGACAAGAGCCTCCGCCGCCGCAGGCCAGCAACGCTATTCCGCCTGTTTTCCAATCGGTGAGTCTGCCAAGACGCCCTCTCCTCCCATCCACCGCCGCACACCGACAATCCCTGCCGTGGCCGTCAGCCTTACAGGCCATCAGCCAAAGAAGGCGCCGCCCCGGTTTTTCCCTCGTCCGCAACCCAGTTGGCTTTTTTGCTGGTCCCGGCTGGCTGCCCGCCCGCGGCGCCACTCAGCCCGTGAATTTGCCTTTTTTTCTTCTCCGGCCTTTAAAGACTGACGACTTTCCTCCGCCAGCTCCTTGCGCTTCTTGGACTCGACCACGGATTCCTTTTCCCGCCCCGAGACAAGCAGAAGACATCTACGTCGTGCTGCGCCCGCCAATACGCCCTCGCGACTCGCGATACCGGAACGCTACCCTGGCTCCCGCGCGGCAGTCATCTGGCTTTGCACCAAACGCACGACAGACCGACCCCCGTCCGATCCTACCCTGTCCGACGGGATATTTTTTTGTTCTTGGCTCCTTCGCAGCGACATTTGCCTGCTGCCAGGCGGTTACTGCGAGCCCTCTATTCCACCCGCGAACCTTGCTCTCCGCAAGGTTTGAGGCATCCGCAGCCTCAAACTAGGCGCAGCCACTCGTCTGGAAAAAAGTGCTATTCGACGTCTGACTTTTGCCCCGTCCAATGGCGACCACTGTAGGTGCTCTTCCATTTCTTCTGGCCACCTTGTGCTCTTTTCCACCCACCGGGGCCCGAGTTCCCCCAAATGCCTACCCGAGCGTCTTAGCGCCGCCAGTGGCCTCGACCGCTAGAGGGGCTCGAGTGTGTCTCAAGGTTGCACCAAATTAGGTAGTGCAGCGGCAGGAGGCTTAGTTTGATCTGGGGTCGCTCTCGGAACCCCGACTCCCCCACACGCAGCACGCCCAGTCTTGGGCGAACCGCCTTGTTCCATTTCTTCTTAAATCCTTCTCTCGCTGACTCTTCTTCCTTTTTGCCTCGACGACAGACGCGATCAAGGGGCTTCCCGAACCTGACCATGCCCACCGGGTCCAACGACAAGTCCCAGCAGCCCATGGGCTCGGGCTTCCCGGGCTCCAACCTCTATCCCAACAAGAACATCTGGACCTCGTCCCTGTCCAGCGCCCGGGAGAGGTCCATCGGCTCCAAAGGTTCGTGCCAGCGACTGCTCCTTGGCCACGCCTTGCTCACGCGACCCGCAGAGTCTGACGACAGCCCCTCGGGCTCCAGTGCCCTCAACGCAAACTCCGAGGCCGACGTCTGGTCCTCGAACCCTTGGAACACGGAACACCCCGGCCGCTCCGTTAGTACCTCGCCCAGCCGAACTCGAGATGGCGCCCTGTCCAACGCCTCCGGCTACTTCGATCCCCAGTCCTCGGCCATCGGCATGAAGAAGGCCAACTATGGCGGCAAGCCCTTTGGCGACGAGTCCAGCGCCTATGGCTCCGCCTTTGCGTCCCAGAAGCGCGGCGCGCAGGATACCGCGGCGTACATGGAGTCCATGGCAGGCTACTCGCACCACCGCGACGGCAGCCTTCCGCCGTCCCGCCACTCGCAGAGCTCGCCAGCCTATCAGGACCTCTACCGCGCCGGCCACACCCCGAGCAACTCGATCCAGTCCCAGCGCCAGATGGCCAACCACGCCTCGTCGTACTCGACCCAGAGCGCCAACCAGCGCGCCTTCAACCTGAACAAGCAAATCGACGAGGACATCTCCCTCCAATTCGGTCGGCGCATGGCCCTTGACAGCCCCTCTAGTGCCACGTCCTACAATCCGCCATCGCAACCCTTTCAGTTCAACCCCGGGTCTCAGCCCTGGGTGGGGGAAGGCAACGGCATGAGGTACGGAGTCGGTATGGATTCGCCGGTTGACCCCTTGGCTGCGCAGTATGCCGTCTTGAAGCGATCGCCTGTCGAGAGGCTTTCTCCAGGATCCAGCTATCGTCTGGAGTCTGGCAACAGCCCTCAAGGCTACACTCCGACTAGCAACACGTGGCCGTCCCGATCGGCTTCTCGCGATCCCAGGCCATCAGACTACGAACGGCGGGCTCCCGCCCAAGGGTATGCTCCCAACTACACCCCATCCTTCTTCCCCAACCAGTTCCCGTACGCGAACCTTCCACCCCAGTACGCCGCCAGCTTTCTCGACCCTTACAACCAGAACTTCCGCCACCATCCCATGATGGCCGGTTATGGCCTGCACACCATGCAAGCCGGATACCCCATGGGCGCCAACTTGCCCCCAGCCAGGCCTTCTCGGGACCAGGATTCCGGCAAGGGCATGAGGAGCGCCCTCCTCGACGAGTTTCGCCTCAGCAACAAGTCAAGCAAGCGCTACGAGCTCAAGGACATTTACAGCTACATGGTCGAGTTCAGCGGGGACCAGCACGGGTCTCGCTTCATCCAGCAGAAGCTCGAGACTGCCAACAGCGACGAGAAGGAGCAAGTCTTTCGCGAAATCGAGCCCAACGCGATCCAGTTGATGAAGGACGTGTTTGGCAACTACGTTGTTCAAAAGTTCTTTGAGCACGGTAACCAGGTCCAGAAGAAGGTGCTGGCTGAGAAGATGAAGGGCAAGGTGGTCGACCTCTCGGTGCAGGTCTATGCCTGCCGCGTGGTCCAAAAGGCACTCGAGCACGTCCTGGTCGAGCAGCAGGCCGAGCTGACCAAGGAGCTGGAGCCCGAGATCCTAAGGGTGACCAGGGACCAAAACGGGAACCACGTGGTCCAGAAGATCATTGAGCTCGTGCCGCGCAGGTACATTGACTTCATCATGAACGCCCTCCGCGGCCAGGTGACGGGGCTCGCCTCTCACACATACGGCTGCCGTGTCATTCAGCGCATGCTGGAGCACGGGACGGACGCCGACAAGGTGGACATTATGACGGAGCTGCACGGCTCGGCGCAGATTTTGATTACGGATCAGTACGGCAACTACGTGGCGCAGCACGTCATCCAGAATGGAAATCAGCAAGACCGCCAACGGATGATTGAGTTGGTCATGTCGCAGCTTCTCACCCTGTCGAAGCACAAGTTTGCCTCCAACGTGGTTGAGAAGTGCATCGAGTACGGCACGGCAGAGCAGCGGACCGCCATCCGGACCCATCTCACCACGGTAGGAAGCGACGGAACCAACCCGCTCCAGCAGATGATGCGGGACCAGTACGGAAACTACGTCATTCGTAAGTAGCTTGTGAAGCGGCTGTTTCCTTGTCATGGCGCATGGTGCTAACTGGGGTCCAGAAAAACTGCTCGGTCAGCTCGACGGCGCCGAAAAGGAGGCATTGGTCGAAGACATCAAGCCCCAGTTCTTTGCGCTCAAGAAGAATGGAGCCAGCAGACAGCTCCAGGCGCTGGAGAAGTTTTTTGAGCCCCAAGCTGGCGCCGTGTCCATCAAGACGGAGACATTGTCGCACGCCGACGCCGGCTCGGCCGCGGGCACTCCTCTCTTGACGAATGACCCCAACAGCCCCGAGAGCAGCAGCCCTCCCAGCACTCACCTCAGCGCCGACAGCTTCCCCGTCAACGATGCGGACAAGCACTCGTCGCGCCAAGCGCCCAAGGTCCAGGGAGATGTGGCACGGAACTGAATCGACGACGAGGCCTGGCTTGCCTTGATCGTCTCGCACGCCCGTCTCTTCTCGCAACCTTATTGTGACAGCACTTGACCCGATCCGCCAAGAGCCCGATGCGGCAGCAGCATGCATCGACGCTGGCGGGAACCACCATAGATAATGTCCTACTGCAAAAATATTCTCAGCAAACATATACGGCATACCTATATACCATTCTAATACATGACACGAACGGGGAGGCAGATTGGACGAGTTCTGGCTCCCTCACTGCTGCGCGGTACATGAGCAGCCGAAACGGGGCATCCTTAGCGCGGGCATGTCGAGGCCCCTGGTTGATGATTTTTGCTGCATTCGAGACCTCGGCATCCATCTTATGGAGAAATGAAGCCAAAGAAAAAATGGGGGCTTTGGGAACCTTGGCTCTCGACGGTGTGATCTTTTTTCTAATTTAACAGTGGTTTCTTTCTCTCTTCTCTGCATGAGCCTTTGTGCTCTCTTCGGATTCTCTGCGCTCTTGGGTCATTGGGCGCTCTCGGTGGAAGGTGGACGCGATGGGGACAAGGGTTGTGTTGTATTCTACCGGCCAGGCAGGCGACGGGACAGTTTGGGGACGGGAGGGCCGATAGAGACGGTAGATAATCAAAACGCGTTAAATTCATTGTCATGCTTGCTCAACCGAATGCGCGTGTGCAGCTGAATCGGTGATGATGCTGTCATTATGTGTCTGGCAGTTCATGAGATGGCTCCGTGATGTCAGTACGTACAAAATAGCTTGTACAAAGTAGCTTCTAGCCCTGCTGATTACCTAACAAGAGGCACAATGAAGCCCCGGTTCTCGGCACTCGGCCCGACGACGACGACACGCCGCAGAACGGCAGGTGTCGAGAGGGCCCCACCTGCCGCCCAAGGCACGCCTCAAGCTTCCTCTTGTCGGGAAGACAAATGCTGGCTGGTATCCCACTCTCTTCGCCCCGAACAAACAACGACAAACGAACGGCTCGACTCCCAGCTCTTCGTGACACTTTCCCCACCACACGCCCATGAAGCTGCCGAGCCGGTAGCACTGACTCTTGTCCCCAGACGATGCCGACGGGGAGACCGGCGTTCCCCTATGCGCAGCTGGTGCGGGCCGCTCGGTCGCGAGCCGGCATTGCCGCGGGCGGCGCGGCCACGAAGAGGGCCAGGGGATCGTTTGCTCCGAGGCATGGCAAGGCGGTGGAGCCTGAAGTCTGGGAGCCGCAACGGCAGCAACAAAAGGGGGAGCAGCAGCAGCGGCACACGCGGCAGAGCAAGTCAATGCAACCATCGCTACCGTCGGCAGACGCGCAGCCCGTGCCGGCAAAGGGCACTGTAGCAAGCGCGGTGAGCGCGAGCGTCGAGCAGCCGGCCAAAAAAGGCGAGGCAGAGAAGCAGCATCATCAGCCCGAGCCTGAGCAACTGGTATCCCGACCCGAGCTGAAGCCATCCCCAGCGCCCGATTCGAAACCTAGCAGCAGCAGCGCTATCTCGCCCGAAGAAGCGACCGAGACGAACAAACCCCCCCTCAGCAGCAAAGACGGCGACGATGACTCCCGACAGACCACCAAGAGCGTATCAACAACAAAGGACAGCCGGCCCCTCGAGGCGGTACTCCTCATGGACCCCCCCGAGCGCGTCTCGCAGCAGCACCCGCACATGGCACCGCCGCCGTACGTGCACCACTTCGACAGCTACTCGCTCGTCAAGCAGCTCCAGGAGGGCGGGTACACGCAGGAGCAGGCGACGACAGCCATGAAGGGCATCCGAACCCTGCTGGCGCAGAACCTGGACGTGGCGCAGCAGAGCCTTGTGAGCAAGAGTGACGTGGAAAATGTAGGGCGCACCCGCGCAAGCATCCCCCAGTGACACCATCCCATCCCATGGTGCTGGCAGTCGGGGCGCGCGCTGACAAGGATTCGGGCTTTTCGCAGGAGACGTATCTCTTCACGGCCGCGTGCTCAGAGCTGAGCACCGAACTCAAGAATAACCGCAGGCTACAGGATGAGCAGATGAGACAGCAGAGGACGCTGCTGCAGCACGAGGTGGACATCTTGACGCAGTCACTCAACCAGGAGCTGTTGACGCTCAACGATAATGTCCGCGGCATGTTCAACGACCGCAAGATGGCGGTCCGCGAGGAGCACAAGGCCGTCGAGAGCGCGGTGAGCTTTCTCCGTCCTTTCCCACCCCCCTTGGCGGCAAGAGTTTTGCGTCGGGCAACAGTTGACTGACTGACTGGGTAACACGGCAGATTCAAAAAATCACGTACAAGATGAGCATCCTGCTCAGCAGCGACTCCAAGTCGGAGATTGAGGGGGTGCGGTGGATCCTGATCCGGCGGTCGGTGCTGGGCATCATCTTCATGGCCATGCTGACGCTAGGCATGCTGCGGTACGCCACGTACGTCGGGCAGCAGCGCAAGCTCGAGGCGGAGCGGAGGATGCGCGAGCAAGAAGAGCTGCGCAAGGACGGCGGCAAGACGGACCACAGCTCGGCGGCGGATGCGGCCGCCATCCTGGCCGCCACCTGAGGAGGAGCCCTGCAGATGGCGTCGCCCGGCAAGGGAGGAAAGAGCATGGGATGAGATACCCCCCATACTTACTATAGAGTTGAAAACGGGAAGAAGATTTGTGCTGCGGCTGGGGGAGCAGGAGGGGCAGTGATGATGTAGAAAAGACTACTGCGGTGGCTACATGGCCCGGAGCACATCCGCTGCGGCCGGGGGGACACGCTCGGCCGTGAAATAGAGCGTTCTTTTCTGTCCCATATGTGCTCGCCAGGGCCTTGTGTCGTCTGCATATTCAGGGCGCTATGTGGGTTGTTTGGCCTGCATGTCCGGACAAGGTGATGGAGATACTTGCCTAGCAAGATTCAATGCGAGACGCGCCATGGGACGGGCAAAGATCCACCAAAGCTGGTAGGCAAGCAAGTAGGGGTAGTGGGGCCCCTCATCCCCCCCGCCCCCACCCACGTCCGCGTCTCAGGCGGATAAGCTAGCCGCGTTTATCAACCACCACCGCGTCTCTCGGCTCCTTGCACGTCACCTACAACAAAAGCCTCACTCTCCAAGCGCCGCCGCCGTCTCTGCTGCCCGTCCCCCGCCGATCCGCGCGCAGCATCGTCCCTCGCGCTTCCTCATCTCCCGCCACAACGACAGGCCGAGGGAGAAAGTGAGCTTTCTTTTCGCGGGCAGTGGACCCCCCCCCAGCGCGACGGCGCATAGGAAAGCAATAAGCCTGCCGTTTCTTGGGGAGCGAGACGGAGAGGGGGGAGAGAGAGATGGCCGACTCCTCTGGGCGCGCGTCTTCGCCCTCTGTCGTTGCCGGGGACGGTGCGCCTGTCCAGCGCGGTGAGGCGCGATCTCGTGGTGACGCGGCTCACGAGGGCGTAGCGGGCGGCGCGTCCGAGTCGCAAGAGCAGCAGCAGCAAGACCCGGCCCTAGAACCGCCACAGCCTCGTCCAGAGCAACAACAACAGCAAGAGGAAGCGGAAGACGGCGCCGGCGCCGGCGCAAGCTCACCCCAACGACAACAAGCGCAGCAGCAGCCACCGGCCGCAGGACAACCACCGCCGCCGCCGCCGCCGGCCTCCCCCCCGCTGCCGGCGCGGCACACGGCCGCGGCGCCGGGCCCGCGGGCGGCGCGGCTGCGCGAGACGTACGCGCACGCGCTGCGGCGCACCCTGGCCAAGCTCGCGTCGTGGGAGCACTTTGCCGGCTGCTACCCGACGGTGGCGGCGCGTGCCGAGGGCGTGCTGCGCCAGGTGCAGGCCCAGATGGTGGACAAGCTGGGCGACAAGTGTGAGGTGAGTCTGGGGAGCGCGAGGGGGTGGGAGGGGATGTTTTATCTTCAGGGGCGGGGGAGGGGGTTGTTGCCGTTGCTGACTGCGGTGTGGGTGGCTGCGCGGGTTGCAGAAGGAATTCGATAATATCCTCGACGCGAGGGGCGTCGTGCCCAAGCTCAACGAGCTCGAAGCCCTCATCGCCGACGCAGCGGAGCGGCGCGACGCAACATCCTCCTCGTCCACCGACGCCGCCGAACCAACCCCGTACGTCACCCCCGCAGCCCCCTTCCCTACAAGAACCTAACAAAAGCCTCTACCCGGGGCCCCAACAAGCAGGCCACACCTCCTCGCGCCGTCACAGATCCTCGCCGCACACCTGGCCGCGCACCTGGCGCCGCACCAGTCGCTGCTCAACGCGAAGCTGCAGACGACGCAGGCCCAAAACGCCCTGCTGGCCGCCGCCGTCGCCCGCCAGCGCGCCGAGCTCGACGCCCTGCTGGCCCGCCTCGACGACGCCGTCGCCGACGTCCGCGGCGCAAACGACGCCCTCGGCGCCGTCGCCGCTGACCTCGCCGACGAGGCTAGGGCTGCTGCCGTCGATGCCGGGACGTGAAGGGTGGCTCCCACGGGGCCGGGGGTGTTATGTGTCTCTGGGGGTGGTCCTGCCATGAGATCGGGAGGAAGAATCGGCATTGCGCGCAGGGAACTCGGCATGCCATGTGGCGGCCATGTGGGCTTGAGCTGTATGCTTCACGATACAACAGTGAGCGACAGGGAACAAGACACGACAAAGAACCAGGATGCGCCAGTCCAACAGGCCCTTTCCGGGCACCAAATGATACCCCTTGAGAAACTACTACCACGAAATTGATTCTGGTTTCTCGTCCAAAACATGTCCCCTTTTCCGCTCGTGACCATGCGTCCATTCATCCCCACCACAGCGATCCTTGGCTGTCGCACACTTTGCTCCCTTGCAGAACACTGCGCAAAGGTAAAGACAAACACAGACCGATAAAGATGCCACGAACGTATCCACGTATCCAAGAGGATACAAATTGCAAGCCAAGACTCCGTCCATGAAGGCTGTCCCAGGCCCAGTGTACATGGGCAGGGGAAGTCTCTGCACAATGCGCTGCACCGTGTGCTCCCAGGCACATGCTTCTATCCCCTCTGCTGTGCCTCTTGCCCCTTGTGGTCCACTCCTCTTCCTTCCCCTTGCCGGCCAGCTTGGGGGCGCGAGAGTCTCGATCCTCGTCCGATCGTTTTCAGTCCCACGTGTCACGGGCTGTGCCCGGCTGGTGGACCCGGTTGTACCGGGTCCGGTGGGTCGTGCTCCGGTGGCAACACCGGCCCCGCTCCGCGGACCCAGAAGCTGCGAGAACATTCCGAGAAGGGCAATATAAGCTCGCACTCGAGGCTACGCCTCGAGTTCAGCTTCTTTTCCTCCTTAGCTCTAGATAGACAACACCTAGGCACCTGCTTGTTGAATAAACTCCGGGCCAGCCTTTCACATATCTAGAGCTCCTTCTAAATACCGCAAGCTGCAGACTGCTCGTCAGGATGGACCAGCAGAGTGAGAGCCCAAGTCTCCAGCAGCAATGGATTGACCAACGCATTCAAGAAGCGGTCAATGCGACTCTCAGCCCTCTACAGGACCAACTTTCCTTGCTGATGGAGCAACTCGGGCGAGCGCAGCCGCAGAGCGCCGACTTGCAATCGCCGCCAGTGGCACGAGGATTGGGCGAGCACGCCTGGCTTGGGCACGCCCTCCCAAAACCTGCGGTACTGGAATGCGGAAACCGTTGCCCAACCCACCCAAGTATGACGGCTCACGGAAGAGCTACTCCGCCTGGGCCAGGCAGATGCGAGACAAGCTGGACCTTGATGCACACTACTACAGTGGAAATCGCGAACTTTGGTACCTCATCAACTCATGTTTGGACGAGCGACCACAGCAAGTGGTCGCTACCTTTACGCCGCGGAGGCCCTGGGGTAGCTACGACCCCAAGAGTTCATGCGATACCTCGACCGAACCTACCAGGACAGCAACATCCAATCCCGCGCTGCTGCCACGCTGAGAACTATGCGGCAGCGCGAAGACCAACCTCTCGCGTCCTTCCTTCCCCGATTCGAACAGGCATTAGCTGAAGCCGGGGGAGCAGACTGGCCGGACAGTGCAAAGATCGTATTTCTAGAGAACGCAATAAATGCACGCCTCCAAGAGAGTTTGGTCACAGCCGTCCTACCCGACGACTACCAGGGATGGCTTGCGAGAGTTCAGGAAATTGCGGGCAGATTGGAGACTGAAACCCGGTAGGCAGCCGACGTCGACTGAGCGGACGCCTCAACAGCTACCAAGGCAACGACCCAAGGAGGAACCGGAGGACCCCGACGGAGATGTTAAGATGACGGACATCAACCGTATTGGCCACGAGTCGAAGGGTCGTCGACATGTCGATAAGAAGCCGAAGGATGAGCGCCGCTGCTATCGCTGTGGTCGGACGGATCATCTTATCGTGGACTGCCCAGCCCAGGTGGTCTTTCCTGGCGAAGGAAGCAACAGCGACCTAAAGCTGCGCGCATGAAGAAGCCCGATGCCGCAGATGATTCGGAATCAACCGCAGCATCCAGTGAGGACGAGTCGGCGGGAAAAGACTAGACCCGGGCGAAAGCGGGCGCCGGGGCCTGCAAAGGCAGACATCCGGGACTGGGAAGCGTTCAAGCCACGAATGAATAGTCGGACTGTATTAGTCAACGCGCGGGTAAACCGAGGCTATCGAATACGCGCCCTTGTCGACTGTGGATGTGACTGCTATGCCGTGATCGACGAAGCCCTTGTTCGGAAGCTGCGGATACCCTTCGTCGACTCGAAACCACGAGAAATTGGGGATTCTCAGAGTCAGCGAAGAGTGTCATATCCCCAGGGTCGTGGCTGTTGTGGTCGAGACAGCTGGATTTGACGAACGTGTCTTTGCATACGTGATCCCAAGCCTGGGCCAGGACATGTTCCTCGGCCGGCCTTGGATGGAGAGAAATCACGTCGTGTACGATGCTGCCAAGCAGCGAATGTACCATGGGAGGGCAGGTGTGACGATACGCCTCATTGGGCAGGAAGAGCCCGCCAAGATACGCGCGATTCGAAGCGCAAGACTCGTGTCGGCAGCCGTATTCACGGCGGAGTGTCGACGCGCAAAGAGACGCAAGAAGTGCAACGCGATCTCGATTCATGCAATCAGTTTGTCGGATATAGAGAGGGCGCTTCAGCCGAAGCCGCCAGTCGATCCGAGCGAGAAGGTCCCGGCAGAAGTGCTGAAAGAATTCCGCGACCTATTCTCACCAGGAGAGGCAATGAAGCTGCCGCCACATCGACCGGGTGTGGATCATGAAGTCAACCTGCAGCCTGACAAGAACGGCAACGAGCCACCCTTCCGTGGGGCCCACTCTACAACATGTCACGAGAAGAGCTGTTGGTCTTGCGAAAGACCCTGAAAGACCTGCTGGACAGAGGATTCATCCGAGCGAGTAGCTCAGCGGCTGCCGCGCCGGTGCTGTTCGTGCGGAAGCCGAATGGAGGGCTGCGATTTTGTTGCGACTACCGAGCGCTGAATGCAATCACCAAGCGCGACCGATACCCACTGCCCCTCATCGCGGAGACCCTGCAGAATCTGGCCAAGGCTAAGTGGTTCACCAAGTTGGACGTGGTGGCCGCTTTCCATAAGATCCGCATGGCTCCGGGACATGAGGAAAGACTGCATTTCGCACGAGGTTTGGGCTCTACGAGTGGCTCGTGTGCCCTTTCGGCCTGAGCGGCGCCCGGCATCATTCCAACGATACATGAACAGTGTATTGCGCGAATGGCTGGACGACTTTGTCACAGCGTACCTGGATGATGTACTGATCTACTCGAGCGGTTCGAAGGCGGATCATGAGGCTAAGGTGCGACGAGTTCTCCAAGCACTCGCCGACGCTGGGCTGCACCTAGACCCAGCGAAGTGCGAGTTTTCGGTACAAGAGGTCAAATACCTTGGGTTCATCGTCAACGCAGGAAAGGAATCGCCTGCGACCCCGAAAGCAGCGCGCCATCCGCGAATGGGAGGCCCCGACCACGGTGAAGGGTGTCAGAAGCTTTCTGGGCTTCGCCAACTATTACCGGATCTTCATCCCCGACTATGCCAAGATCACGCAGTCTCTGGATGCCCTGCTTAAGAAAGGAACTGCCTTTCATTGGGGACGAGCGGAGAACGAGGCGTTTCAGGAGCTGAAGCGACGATTTTGCGAGTCACCGGTGCTCAAGCAGTGGGACCCGAGCCTCCCGACCTTTTTGGAGACGGATTGCTCAGGCTACGCATTGGGAGGCGTCCTGTCGCAGGAAGGCCCAGATGGACGTCGACACGCATGCGCCTTCTTCTCGAAGCGACTTTCGCCAGCGGAGTACAACTATCCCATTCACGACAAGGAGATGCTTGCCATCATGAGATGTCTCGACAACTGGAACGCCGAACTTAGGAGCTGCGGCCCATTTACAATCCTTACCGATCACCGCAACCTGGAGTATTTCATGACACGCCAGAAGCTCACGGAACGGCAGAGCCGTTGGGCAGCCAATTGTCCCAGTTCGACTTCAAGCTCGAGTATCGACCGGGAAGCGAGGCTGTCGTGCCTGATGCGTTGTCCGCCGTGAACAAGACAAGCCACAGGGCATTGACGACGAGCGGGAACAAGGAAGAATGATACAGTTGATACCGGATAGTGCCATTCCATCATCGACAAGAGCATGTATCAACGCGATGAGTTCTGACTGTTCAGAGGCATCCACCCTGCCGAAGATGAAGGTCTTCGAGGTAGCGGACCTGCAGCAACTCTGGGACGAAACGGTGGCGAAGGACTCGATATTCCGGGCAGCCTATAAGGCAGTCCGCGATCGCGAGCGTGCCTTCCCGCCCTCGCTGGGCCTGAAGATCCAGATTTCAGAATGTGCGATCGACGCAGGCAAAGGCTGACATTCAGAGACCGTATTTGGGTGCCGGGTGGATCCGGAGAGGAGGGTAACCAGGAGGAAGCTGAGAAAGACCAGTTGAGAACCCGCATTGTGCAGCAGTCGCATGACTCTGTTGCGACCGGTCATCCCGGCAGGAAGGTACGCTGGCTATTGTGGCTCGGCGATTCTACTGGCCTGGGCAGTCCCAGCTGGTTCGCCGGTACGTAGCCAATTGCGACACCTGCGGCAGAGCACACATCTGGCGCCAGTCGAAAGGGATTTCTCAAGCCTCTGCCGATTCCAGATCGACCCCGAAGCCATTTGTCCATGGACTTCATCACAGATCTGCCGCCTACTGGACCGAGCAAGGCAAGGTACCTGTGGGTGATTGTGGACAGACTGACAAAGGCTGTGACCCTCGAGGTGATGGACAACATGGAAGCTGAGCCGTGTGCAAACCGTTTTCTCCAGTGTCATTACCGATTTCACGGAATGCCACGGTCCATCGTCAGCGACCGCGGGAGCAACTGGCTAAGTAGGTTCTGGAAGAGGTTCTGCCGTCTTGCAGGTGTCACGCAGAAATTGAGCACGGCCTATCATCCTCAGACGGACGGAGGGCCAGAGAGAATGAACCAGGAGATCGAGGCCTACCTGAGAGCCTACGTGTCGTACGTGCAGGACGACTGGGAGAACTGCTCCCTGCCGCGCAGCTGGCACTCAACAATCGTGAATCCGCAGCGACCAAGATCAGCCCCTTTTCGCTGAGCATGGTTACCACGTCGATCCCATCAGCGTCGAGGAATCGGAAGAGCCACCGAGGCATAGAGAGGAAAGCAGAGCTGATAGCCTACTCAGTCGCCTGCAGGAGGTCAATGAGTACATGCAAGCAGTGATGGCCTCCTCACAGCAACAACAAGAAGAGGCTGCCAACGCAAAGCGACAGCCTGCGGAGCGATTTGAAGTTGGTGACAAGGTGTGGCTCTCGATGGCAAACTACAGATCGCCACGACCGTGCAAGAAGCTCGACTGGCTGCATCACAAGTACACAGTCACGAAGGTAATTAGTTCGCACGTTGTTGAGCTCGATGTTCGTGGCTCAATTTACCCGCGATTTCATGTTGACCTTTGCGGCGGGCGCATCAAGATCCGGCTCCTGGCCAAAGGTAGATGACGCACAGCCACCACCGGTACAAGATGAGTCCGGCACGGATCTGTGGGATGTCGACGAGATCCTCTGCGCGAGATGGAAGAAGCGCGGACGAGGGAATTCAGGCAAGCACTAGTGCGATGGACGGGCTACGCAGAGCCGACTTGGGAGCCAGTTGAGTGGTTGCAAGGAACAATTGCGATGAAGGCATTCGAGGACAAGTACGGGCCAATCAAGACCAATGATGGCCCTAGGGAGAGGTACGAGACGCTGGCAGGAACGCAAGAACCCCGCAGACGCCGACCTGGTCGGAGGGGACAAGGGGGGTAATGTCACGGGCTGTGCCCGGCTGGTGGACCCGGTTGTACCGGGTCCGGTGGGTCGTGCTCCGGTGGCAACACCGGCCCCGCTCCGCGGACCCAGAAGCTGCGAGAACATTCCGAGAAGGGCAATATAAGCTCGCACTCGAGGCTACGCCTCGAGTTCAGCTTCTTTTCCTCCTTAGCTCTAGATAGACAACACCTAGGCACCTGCTTGTTGAATAAACTCCGGGCCAGCCTTTCACACCACGCGACGGTACGGTAAGAAACATCATTGCAGCGTCCGAGGCCCATCAGTCTGGTCTACCTTCGCTGATGAAAAGCAAGCCCCCCGGACTCGTCCAGAGGTGGGGGCAACAACTCCATGATTCTCAAATATTCTGTTAAAAAAGGGGTATACGTATATGCAATCGTGAAATCATGCGGCAACCTTGTGTTGCCAAAATGCGAAGATGCAACGCTTCTCCTTCTCTTCTCTCTCGATCACGGCGTGGCTTCGTTTGATTTTTCTTCTTCTCGACACTTGGGCTTCGGTCCAGCCTGCTCTATATTCTGAAGTTCTCCGTGTGGATGACTTGCCAGGGTCCGAAATAGTCGACTTCGCCGTAGGTGGGTGGGAGAACTCGGACCATCCTGCCAGTTCCCCAGTCGACAAACCACTGCTTGCCCTTGCTGATGATGTAGTTGGACTTGCGGGGACTCCGGAAAAGCAGGTTGCTGTAGCAGAGCTTGGCGTACAGCAGATCGTGAGCGCTTGACCACTTATGCTCGGGGAACCATTTGCCCGTGTGGGGATCGACAGAGAGGTTGGGGTATGTGGTCATGCTGAACCGACGCGGCGGCCCAAATCGCGGCGGCCCGCCTGATGCGTCCCTTGACTGAGCCTGCTGTTCGGGCTGAGCGTGCCCCGGTGCAAGGGGCCGAGGTTGTGATGGTGAAGGCCCCTGTCCTTCCACCGCCAGGCCAGATTCGGGCGGTTGGGGAATCGACTGTGACTGTGACTGTGCAGGCGTGCTCGGGACCGGGTCTTGAGCAGGAGACTGCTGGCTGTCGGGCTCCTGGGTCGTCGGGGCAGCCGCGAAACCAGGAAGGGCGGGCGATTGGCCCTGAAACCAGCGGATACGCTGGACTCGAGGAATAGACATGTCACGAGGGAAATCGCGATCGTCTATGGGAGCGGCAACGTCAATGGCCGCAAAAAGACTCTCGAGCCATTTGACAAAGGTGCTGAGCTCGACGCAGGAAAGGAGAAACTGGTCAGTCTCTGCCCGCACCCGAATAACGTAGCGGCGCCTACAGCCACAGTATCAGCAGTGAGCCCTCGGTCAAATGGCCTCGCCGAATCCTCAAGTCCCTGGTGGCAAGCCCTCTCGGTCAAGAGACATGAGGTAGGTGACGCCAGGGGGCACTGTGCAACTCACTTGTTGTAGTCGGCAGCAATACCGGCGTCGGCATGCAGCAGGCTATAGCTCTTCTCCAGCTTCCCCTTCCTCACCCACGGCGGATTGTCCGGGGATATCGTGGGCCCGTCTCGGGTCTTACCCCATCCCCAGTCCTTCTTGACGCCGTATACGTTGAGCGCGGTTCCCTGGAGGGCGACGAAGACGGGGTGCCAGTGACGATCCTCGGCCCTTTTGGTCGTGTTCTCAATCTCGTGCTTCTTGGAGAAGACGCCCTCAATGTTGAGTGTGCTTTGGTAGCTGGGCAACATTTCGCTTTCCATGGGGCCGTCGGCTTGCAACCGGGGCACAGAGAGGGTGGCCTGCTTGTCCTTGGGATCTCTCGGGGAACGACTGCCAGTACGGGGGCGGCGGTCGTGGTCCGGGGAGCCGGCTCGGTAGGGAGGCGGTTGCGAGGGGCGCCGTTGGGGTGCAGTCATGATGTGGTTGTAGAACATGTCCTCCTCCATGGAGTAACGCCGCCGGAGGGGCGGCGCGGGGGCGGGAGCGGGAGCGGAAGGTCCATGATGACGGGCCGAAGACAGGTCGCGAGAGTCCATGGGGCGTTATATGTGCCCTCGGGTCGGGGGCTATCATGAGCGGCCGGTGAGCCGAGGCGGACAAGGTAGGTTATGCGGCGGCGTCGAGGCGGTTCTCGCGGCCGTCGATCCTCTTCCAACACGAGACGACACGACAGGTGATAAATGCCCAAGCATATCGTCCGACCCGCTTCACAGCATCATGGAAGTGGATGTGTGGGAGTGAGCGAGAGAAAAGGCGGGAGACGAGGATCTTCTGGAGAGATCCGCGGTCGAGGGAGCTGTGGTTGCAGCAGCGGCGGCTCTTTTGCTAGTGTCGATGGGAACCCACCGAGAACTGGGCCCTTGGGTGGGAACGGCGATGGGGACAGGGAGCCGAGAATAGCGGGCGCGGGACGATTGCCGAGTCTCGTAGGTGCCGTTGTCGAGTGCCAGATAGAGTGGCGTGAGGGAGAGGAGGAGGGAGAGGTTTGTAAGCAGGCAACAACGAGCAAAGAGCCGGCGGTTGCGATTGAGCCAAGGAGCGAATGAATTGGGCGAATGGCAGCACGGCAGATGGACAGGAAAAAGCACTGATCGGCAACTTAGGGGAACCTTAGGGGCACCTGGGGCACTTTCGGCAAGGCGCGCGCCCACCGAGCACTGCCAGTGTACAGTATGGCACACTGTGGGTTGGCATGTACGGATACTCTGTAGTCTGTACAGCCTCTGTACAGCACCCGGTTGGCTCGATCCAGCGTCATGGGCGCGCGTGGAGCTTGGTGCAGCTCATCGGCTCCGGGGGAGCCTCATAGGGAAACAAGACGCAAAAGGGCCCCGGCGTCAGAGTCGGTTGGCCAAGATCCTGGTAGGGGCGTACCGGTACAAGCAGACACACGTGCCGGGGGGCAAGTAAGTGCCGGTGCGGATCAACGGGTGCGGCGAGGCAGGGTTCAAGCGGGCAAAGGACCTCGGGCCCGCCGCGTCTGCATGTAGAGGGTACATGCATGCGCTGTGCAGGGCTTGCAGCAAAGTTCCGCTAGGCCCTGGCTGGTAGGTGCCACGCGACGCACCACGGGAAGAACGAACCCGAGGACAGGAAGAAAGATGCTGTGTGATACCTACCTAGGTAGAAAACAGAAAGCTGGGTGGATAGGTCACTCTGTACGGTAGGTAGAGAGGGGGAATCATTCGGTGGGTAGGTAGGCACCTACCTACCTACCTACCAGATAGTTAAGTTACTTGGTACTGCATCAGCACCGAGGGCGAGGGGCATGCTGTACTGTATCCGCGACACACTGTATTATTACTCCTTCCTACACAGGCAGCGCACGGAATTCGGCAAAAATGGCAGCGAGGGCCCGACGCTAGCGCTGCTGATGTGCCACGATTGGTAGGTGCACTCCAAGGTGCTATATCCGTAAAGGGTGCCTATTACCATCCTACCTACAGTACCTACTTATTAGTTATGTACGAATAGGCTGCGACGCGAAGAGGCGCTGTAGACCCGAGTGCCATCGGTCCCGCTTGCGCCGGACAGGCCGGGGATGAAGAGTGAGATGGGTCAAGCTTGTACTGTACTGTATGTACAGCATACAGAGCAAAGCTCCCTGCCTGCCGGCCAGTTCCATCCAACCAAGCTTTTTCCTCTCGGCTGGCGCCCGACGATGATGGCATGCATATTGACAATACAGTCAGTACGGTCAGTACGGTCAGTACGGTCAGTACTAAAATACTTGCACAGGTACCGCGAGGCCGACAAAAAGGCCCCAGGAACTTTTTCACCTGACTGCTGCAAGTCGGGCCTACACACACACACACACACACACACACAGGCGCGAGTCAGCATGGCAGACTCGGACAGAAGACGAAGCGAAGGATGCCTCTGCGAGGAAAATGAAGAAGAAAATGGCACTGCAAAAGACCGTCCGGATTGGTGCAGCCAGGGGAACTTTTGATGTCTTCCTACGACGTATTCCAGCCCCACCGCCTTTGCTTGGCTTATTGGACTGGGCACCTTTGAAAACGTGCCATCGGGCCTCGGTCCTTTCTTTCCTCTCTGGGAGCAGGTGAAGGCGGTCGATACGCTGCATGCGCACTGTGTTCATGACTCAGCAACCCAGCTGCAACCTCCTCTTCCTCTTCCTCCTCCTCCTCCTCCTCCTCCGCCATCTGCTGCCCATCACGGATTGTCCCTCCTGTTGTAGATGCCATTTTTAACAGCACTCACGTCCGGCCTTGCGGTGACATTGCTTCTTCTCTGGCCCCGTCATGCCCAATCCAACGCCCGGCCTTTGCTGCCTGCCAAACACAGCAGGTCGGTCCGTCCTATCGGCGTGTCGACCGTCGTCGTCGATGGTCCTGTCGCACTCGCCGCTACCCCAGCCTGCCCATCTTAGTTTTCCCTCCTGGCCCCCATTCGCTCCCGCTGGCGGTAAAGGCCATGTCTGTGCCTGTCTCTCCCTTGTTTCTCTCTCCTTCGCCACCCTCTTAGGGCCAAGGAGCCTCCACCTCGAGACGATGTCATCGATCCTCCTCCGGTAAGACGGGATCCCGCCAACCTACAAGGTTGGCCGGCGAATGCTTTGGTCAAGCAGCCTCTGCTGTGCAAGGATACACGGCCAACTGTCCCGTTGCGTGCAGGAACTACGATAACACGTGAGCTTTGTTCCACCGACAGCCAAAGAGAGGCGACGCCGTGTCATGGCATATCCATCGTCTACGTGATGAAACAAAAACACCTACACCATGTACAAGTCACTACCAGTTCAAGGTCGTCTATCCTTTTATCCTTTAACCGGTCCTGCAAAGTGTAGCTTTCCATGCCCCCTCAACCTGCATCCATGACGATATCCCGGAGTGGCTGGTTTCAAAAAACCCGGCTGTAACACGTCGACATGGATCGGACGTTTTTATATTGCCACCACCACCACTTAGTCCTACGTACGTATTGCATTCGTCCTCTGTACGGCACGGAATATGCCTTGCTGCATGAAATGTACACGCGCGCGCGCACGGCAAATGCGCCCTCGACGAGTCTCGGCTCGGCGCGGACAGCCCGCACCATCATCACCCATGTCCATCGTCCGCGCCCCATCCACATGCGATCCTGCAGTTGTCGATGCATACATGATCCCGTCCTCAGCAACAGGTTGTTCCCACGTCACATCTACCGCCACTGCGACCTTGCTCTCGATATTGTATGTACTGTATATATGTGTTTTTCAACCGGCATCGTGGGGGCATTCGCCGCCATCATTCGCCGCCATCATTCGCCGCCCGTCTTGCGGCGGCATCATCTGCAGCAGGCATCTGGGCATCGCTAACCGGTACGAATACAGCACCGACAATGACTTCTATGAAACTCTCGTCGGCTCGACGCACAGCTTCCGCCCCGCCTCGACTGTTATGCCCCAGACTGGCCGCCGACCTTCCTCCTCTACTCCCTTCACCAACCCGATCATCTCGGCTAGACAGGGCACAACGGCCCCGGCAGCACCTCGCAACCTAATTCGAATCCTTGCCCGACGCGTCTTGCTCTCGCCGAATCACCGTCAACCGCTGCGTCGCACAATCTCATCTCATCGCCATCCTCCGGGACGGGCAACAACAGGTGGCGTCATACAAAGACCTAGCCAGCAGGGCCGAAGCATCCAATGTGCATGTGGACCTTTCGAGTCGGTATCCCGAGCCCATCCCAGCCTGTCCTCGCCGCTCGGCATGGATCCAGGGCCCCCTTAGACCTTGCTTTCGGGCGCCTGGCACAAGCACTTGTGCGTGACAAGAGAAAACTTGCCTGCTTGGTTGCCTTGCCATGTATTCGCTGCGCCAGGACGGCATGCCTCCTCCTTGATCATCAACGTCGAGCCAAGTGTTATACATACAAACGACACCGAATCCCGGGCATATATACGAGACGGGGGAAAGCCTCGCGATGCCGGCATGGCCCAGGCGAATAACAGCCCATTCTCCACCTTGCTTCAAAAGAGCCCTTTCGTACATCCATATTCAACCTCCCAATCCGCTCCCCGAGGTCCAGCGAGGTCGCCATTCGCCCTCCCGGCAGCCAGCACGACATGACCTGTCGGCCGCCCTCACACGCGCCCTGGCCTCTGGCCCGGTTACCTTACATAGAGTGTGTGACCCCCAGCACCATCTTCTCTAGGTGAGTGCTGCTCTGCATGCCGTGGACAAAAGATCCCGCCCCTTCTCGCCTCGGCCACTCATCTATCCCCATGCCGGGACTCTCATCTTCCGTCTCACGGCCTCCCCCTGTCCTTGCGTGGCGCACCGATTGCAACGCCACGTCGACAGCTCCAGGTGACAAGAAGATAGTAAGTTACATGCTCGGGGCACCTGGCTAAGCCTGCATTTTGCCAACGGCCGTCTGCACTTCCAGTGCTTTGCCTACTATACATGCTTCCCTTCACCCTTGAACTCGTCAATCTGATGATACAGCCTGCTTGCTTCACTGATCCCGTTGCAGCCTTCAGGTACAGGCAGGCTAGACCGCGGGCCTCCAGACCTTGTCCTCTCTCCCTCCTCCGCCTTCAGTCGACGTGCCAATGTTTCCATCATCGTACCTCATGCCCAGCGTCAAATGTACACTTGTGCTTTTCTATCTCCATCCACCTCCGACTCGTCATCATCAGCTCTGGCGGGGTCGGCCTCTCGACTGCTCCCCCAGAACTCGCCAGCCCGGCTAGATTGAAGCAGCGCAATGCAGTGACAAAACAGCAGCGACAAGAAAAACCCGATGCAATCCCGACCTTGGCGCCGGCACCGGCTCCAAACAGGGCTCCGGCTCCAACTCAGAACTCCAGTTACCTGTCACTCAGTCTTTCGTTTTCCTGTGCTTCTCTTTTCTCGCCTTCCGCCTCCAACCCCCCACGCCGCCATCCGCGTCCGGTCATGTCCAGAGTGTCCGTTCACGTTGTTGTTGCGTGGGCGCCCAACTCGGGCCAATGTCCAACCAGCTCACAAGGACCGTGGGCCTTGCATGTTCCTCCTAGGCATTGTTGGCCTGCGGGCCCCCGCGGCCACGGGGCATACCTCCACGTCCCCGATTCTGGCCAGAGAAGTTGCCACGTGAGTTGCCCGGTCCTCCGCCGCGAGCACCGTCGAATCCACCGCGCCCACGTCCGGACGCATTGCCCCGACCAGATCCGTAGTTGCTACCTCCGTAGGCCGTGGCCTTGGGGCGTCGAGGCTCCACGACAATGTTCTCGCCATTCACGACGTGAGGATTAGACGCGACGGCGGCCTGGTATCCCTCGACAGTCTTGTACTCAACAAAGGCGCAGTTCTAGTACGTCCAAGTCAGTAGGCGGTAGTCCAACGCGAGCAGATGTGCCACGGTGCATACCTTCTGGCGGTTGATGTCAAAATAAGTCAACTCGCCATGCGCCGTCAGGGCACTTCGGAGGTCGGCGTCCTGGACCTTATCCGTCACGTACTTGACGTATCCCATTGTGCCCTCCTTCTCGGCAAAGGTGCCCGAGATGGACAGAGGTCGGTTCTGGCGCTTGGAATCAGCGCCCGCCGTCTGCCACCCGGATGACTCCCTAGGGGGGGCATCGGCGACAGGAGCGGATGCACTTGCCTGCTGAGGTGCCACGGTGGCGGGAGCCGGGAGCGCGGCCGGAGCGGTGGCCGAAGCGGCGACCGGAGTGGCGGCCGGAGTGGCAGCCGGAGTGGCAGCCGGAGCGGGAGCAGGCACTCGGTTCTGGTTCTGTGCGGGAGGGGTGGCAGTCTTGGGGAGAGGAACAACAGGCCGAGGTCCGGCGGCGGCGGCTGCGCGGTTGGCCCAGGTCATGGGCTTGGGGGGCGCCGGGGATTGCTCCGGAACAGGTTCAGTCTGAGGAGCGGCAGGCTTAACGACGGGGGTTGGGGTGGGGTCCTGGGGTTTCTCGGGCTCCTTGGCGTCCTCCTCGGCCAGCTCGAGCGCCGTGACTTCCGGGTCGGCAGTCGGTGCGGCCTCGGGCTTGACTTCGGAAGGCTTGCCGGCATCGGCATCGGCATCGGTATCGGCATCGGCGTCGGCGTCGGCGTCGCCTCCGTTTACTGTGCTCTCGACCTTGGTCGTTTCGTGGAGCTTCTGTTCCACGACGCCGGCATCCAGGTTGCTGGTCTCATCCTTGGGAGCCTCGTCCTGCACAGGCTCTTCGTCAGCCGCAGACGCGGGGGCGGCAGAAGCAGCAGCCGGAGCTGCGGGAGCAGGTTCGTCAATGACGGGGACCTCGGCAACGGGCCCGGTGGGCTCCTCGTCTCCCTCTTCCTTGATGTACCTCAGGATGTCATTGAGGACAAAGTAGCCCGAGGGTTGCTGTGCCAAGACGAAGGTCTGGACGAATTTCTTGGGCTCGGCGGCCTTGTTGGAGGTCTCGCCAATGACTTGGATCACGATGTTATCGAAGGACGCCTGCGAGTCGACGTTTGAGATTCGGACCTTGCAGTCCTGAAAGTCGAGCTGCTTAATGCGCTCTTGGATGACCTTTTGGGTGTCAAAGTCAGCGCAGGGAAGCGGGCAAGGCGTTGAAAGCATGCACAAACCTGGCGGCCGACAGAGACGTTGGCGACTTCGGCCTCGAGGCCCTGGACGAACTGAGAGCGCTTGCCATAGAAAAGCTGGTTGGGGAATGGCAGGTCAACAGAGGCCATGGGCGCGACCAGGGTGCAGGGGCACATACGTGAAGCTTCTCGGGGGACTTGCTCAGGGTGGTATAGTACTGCTCAACGAAGTACCAGCCAACCTCATCCTTGGAAAGATTGCTTTTGCCCGTAGTAGAGCTGGCGATCTCGGTGGAGGCCGGAGCGGCAGGGTACTGGTCGGCGGAGCCCTTGTACTGCTCCTGGTGGGCGAAGTTACCGTTCGTCGCCATGGCTTCCCTCTCCGCAGAGTCTGGGGACGTAAACAAGCTTCCAGGTGGCGCGCTAAGAGGGGGATGGGAGAGGGAGAAATGGCACGAAGGCGTGGGATGTCGATGATGCGTGGACAAGCTCGTGGACGTTGAGGAGTCAATAGAGGGCCCGTTGTGCAAGGGTTATGTCACCGTGTCTCTCCAGGCTGCCTTGGAGAGGATGATTTGGAAGGAGGCGGACTGAGTAGACGAGGTCAGCGGCGGGCACCTGGCGAGGATGGAGCGTTTGCGTGAGGCGTCGGCGCGAAACGAGAGGTCCAAGGACTCGGGGTATCGCGGCGGCCGTAGAGAATGAGGGAGGGAGAGAGGCTTTGCTGCTGATTATGATTATTTTTCGGTGGCGGCTGCGGCTGAGCGGAGGGGAGAGAAGGATGGTCTGAGGTGGGAAAAGGCACGCCGTTGACCTTTATCTTTGCCGTTGCGTGACAGCAGGAGGGAAAAAATAAAAAAAACCGACGAGAATTGGGTGGTCATCGCCAGAGCTGGTCCAGCTGCTGGTCCGTGCACCCTCGCGCCGCTGCGATGCTCGGAACGGAATATCGCCCCTGCCTTGTACTGTACCAGGCAAGTACTGGCATCAGGGCAAGTACAAGTTCTGTCACCGGCGGCGGCCTATTTTTGCTCTCTGATTGCTGTCTTGCACGGCTCTCGACTGTGGGTGTGTCCGAGGGCACATCAACTCCTCTTCACCTCAACAAAGGCAGAGATAAAGAGACGCAATTTTGCACTGTCAGTGACTCTCTCGATGAGTGAGCAACGTACAGAGTACATAATGCGTAACATGGGTACGAAGAAAAGGAAGGCCTCGCAACCCGACAGGCACTGCCAATTCCCCCATGCGCGACACAAGACACTGAAAGCTGAACAAAGACAAGCATCTACAGCCACCATGTCGTGGAATCGAGTCCCTCCCTTGTCTTGTACGGAGCAGGGTAAAGACAATGCCGCCTCCAAGTACCTTCAATGGCTGTGCCTAGACTCAGTAAGACCCCTTGTCGATACCGCGCCAGCATTGCGGGGTCTCCCGCCGCTCCACCGCCGGGCAAAAAAAAAGCTGCAGAGTTGGGCCTATCACCAGTAAATTTTCGCAATATCTTATCGGACATCGCAGCCACACTCTCTCTCTCTCGTCGACCCACGCTTTGCGACCTTGGATCATCGCCCTCCCAGACCGTCGAATCCCCTGAATTCTACCGCATCAGGTGCCGCTGAACCACTCTTTGTCTTCACAAAAACAATACCTCCACCCCGCCGCCGCCCACCATGCCCAAGTCGAAGCGGGCCAAGGTCGTCCACCTCACCCAGGTGGCCAAGAAGACGCGCGAGCACAAGGACAAGCTCTTCCAGTGCATCCGCGACGCCGTCCCCAACTACCAGCACTGCTTCGTCTTCAGCGTCGACAACATGCGCAACAGTTACCTCAAGGACGTCCGCCGCGAGCTCTCCGACTGCCGCCTCTTCTTCGGCAAGACCAAGCTCATGGCAAAGGCCCTTGGCCAGAGCCCCTCCGAGGCCATCGCCCCGGGCATCGACGACCTCACCCAGTACATTGCCGGCAACGTCGGCCTGCTGCTCACAAATCGCCCCGCCTCGGACGTGACCGACTATTTTGCCCGCCTCGCAAAGGTCGACTTTGCCCGCGCCGGCGTCACCGCCTCGCGCTCCTTCACCATCCCCTCCGGCATCGTCTACGCCACCGCTGGCGAGGTCCCTGCCGAGCACGACGTCCCCCTCGAGCACTCCATCGAGCCTGAGCTGAGGAGGCTAGGCGTCCCGACTCGCATGGTCAAGGGCAAGGTCGTCTTGGGCGACGAGTCTGGCGAGGGCGAGGGCTACCTTGTTTGCAAAGAGGGCGAGCTGCTGGACTCGAGGCAGACGAGGCTTCTCAAAATGTTTAGCGTCTGCCTAAGCGAGTTCAGAGTCAAGGTCCTGGCGTAAGTCTCTCAACCACCCCCCCGGATCCCATCCGTACACTGACACGGCCACAGTCACTGGAGTGCTGCAAGCGGGGAGGTTACTGAAGTCGTCCAGCCAACTATGGAGGGAATAGAGGAAAGTTGACGCCTCGTAACCAAGCAAGGAACAAAAGGATCAATAACGGAAAAAGGGAGAAAGGTAGTCCCATTGGGGGGTTAGGAACGGCTGCAGCTGCGAGGGGTACCTGTTGTTGCCCCCCTCTTCTTGGAATCTCACTTCAGGTGTGACTACAACTGTCATCAAAGGGATCTCGGCGTTCAATGGTCATGGGACGTGTGGCGGGCACGCATCATGTTTTCTACTCATAAACTTGTCGGATGTCATTTCAACCAACAATCCACGATACAGCACGCACACCGCTCCCTCTACCGTGTCAACACGCGTCGAATACCTACTCGTGAACAAGCCATCTGCCCGAGGGTCCTACTCACCGTTGCGTTGACATGCTCATCCAGAGATTACGGCCGAAGGCGTCTTTATCGCCGTGGTCAGTAGGACAACGCTGCCTTACCTCTGACCTTACCTCGAAATTCCGTCGTGTTTCGTAGCGTATCCGCCGCTATCAGTTTGCATCTCTACCTACCCTGCATAGTACAGACAATTTTAAAGTGCGAAAAAGGTTAACGTCCTGTGCAATTCCCTTCGATGATTCCCCGTGGATCCGCTGCAGCCGAGCGGCAAAGGCCGTCCGGACAAGGGATCCTCCCCATGCATTAGCATGGCATGTCGCTTCGTTCTAGGTGCATATGCAGGCACCCAGCCAGAGATGATTAGAAATGCCGGGCTTCATGCCGTGTGCCAAGCCTCGCGAGTTTCAACGCTCCAGACCAGACAATGTCGCCTTTCCGTGCCAACAAAATGCCGAGCGAGCTCTCGCTACCAATGTGGTATGGAGGTTGCTGTTCAGCAAGTGTTTGCGTACGGATTAGTAACGTGGCATCTTCCGGGAATCGTCATGCCCTCCTCCCTCGTAGGCTCGCTTCCTGTTGTCATCATCTCGCGGCCGGTCATAGTCACGACGATCCCGACCTCTGTCCCTTTCCCTGTCCCGATCACGGTCGCGGTCTCGGTCGCGGTCTCGGTCTCGGTCACGATACCCACCGTCACGACGGCCAATCGGTTCCATGTTGCTGCCTGTGCGACGGCCACTGTCGCGGTCGCCAAACCGGCCACCGTCGCCGCGATCGCCGCGATAGCCGCCATGTCTGTCGTCAAAGCGTCCAGGTCCTCGCGAATCGAGATTGGGTCCCGAAAAGCTGCGGTCGCCGTTGCGTCGATCAAATCCTGGGCCGGATGGTGCGCCGGTTGGTGGTCCAAAGCTATTTCTGTCGCGTGGGCCGCCAAAGTCGCCTCTGAAGCCTCCGCCACGACCTCCGCGACCGCCACCACGAGGCCGGCCGCCGTCAAATCCTCGGAATCCACCTCGGAATCCATCTCCGAAGCCACGGGGACCAACAGGGCGCGAGGGCATGATTTTGGTGTAGCCTCGGCCGCCGAGCCCGCCGCCGAGTCTTCGAGGCTTCCAACCGTGGACGGTTCGGCCTCGCTCGACGTCTGTCTTGATGGCTCTGCCTCTGATACGATCTCCATCGCAGGATTTGACTGCGGCTGCTCGTTGAAGCGCGGAGAGGCGTGTTAGCGGCGTTTGGCATGATGCAAGTCAACAACGACGGGATAGTATCTGAAGCACTCAGGCAGAGTGTCGCGTTTGCGTCCTACGACGCACTCCTGACATGGAATGTTCCGCGCGACATCCCTCGCAATAGCTGGCACGGACTAAATCCTGCGGAAGGGGAGTAGTTTACCTTGCATGTCAGGCTCGCGCTCAAACACGATGAAGGCGTAACCTCGGTGAGGCTTCTTCTTCTTGTTGGGTTTCTCGTGGGCCCGAGTATCGGATATGACGCGAATCTGATGCACAGGTCAGTTGGTTCTGGGCACTAGTGTCAAACGTCACTCGAGGAAACGAACGCGCTCGATCGAGCCGAATCGGCCAAAGTGTCGTTCCAGGTCCCGTTCATCCGCGTCGTAGCTCAGGCGGGAGACGATCATGGTCGAGAGCGCATTGCCTCGAATGTTTGGGTCATCCGAGGGGTTGACTATTCATCGGCAGTCAGCGCACAGTTGGTGACAGGATCAAGTTTTGGCCTCGCACATTTCTTGGGGCCCTGCTCGAGAAGCTGCTTGATGGCAGTTTTCTTCTCTTCCTTTTTTCGATCGCGTGCCTCGAGCCAGCTCTCGGTGGGAGTGTACTGGTCCGTCTCCTTATATTTCTGTAGCTCGCCGAGGCACTCGGCAACTCCAGTCACAGCCCTGGTGAAGCGCTTCTCGGGCGGGTGGTCGGTCGGCTCGACCCAGCGCAGGGGAGGTCGCGGCGCGAAGAGCGCGAGCAGGTTCGGGGGGAGCTTATCCGTCATCGTGCCCAGCCAGACGCCCACTCAGGGGCGCTTTGTGCAGATGGCTGGCGGGCGGATGACTGAGGACCGATGAGCTGCGTTGTGGGGAGCGAGGATGTTTGGAGGAGGATGCAGCTCTGGGTGCCTGGCATTTCCGTCGCGGTGCCCCGAAATTATTGTCCTGAGGCTACGGAGCTACGGTTTTGCCGGAGAAACGCCGAGATACACTAAGCCTATCTGGGACATGCCGCAATTCAAGCCATACCTTAGTTTTCTGACATTGGCGACTTGCCTACGGCCAGGAGTGACGGACGTGTTGGGCTCATTGCCGAATCATGAGGATATCTCCTGACAGAAGCAGGTCAAGATGACGGTCAAAGCGCTAAGAGCAGTTGCCAAAGGCCATGTACTTTCTTTCCTAACCCCCCCTTGAAGCAGCGGGTAGGCTGACGATTCTAGAATGGCCTGGGCGCCTTCGTCCTCCAGTGCAAGAAGATGGACTTTCACTATTGTGACTGGGCCGGCAGCTCCAGGGGCATGAAGTAGGTCAATAGTTGTCGTGGACTGTACGGCCAAAAGCTTACACATCGCAGCCACTTCATCAAATCTGTCCTGCCCAAATTTGCCGCCGCCAATCCCCAGGTCGAATTCGCCGTCTCTCCCCGACCTGGAAAGCACCCCGTCGTCATCGGACACTACATCAACGGCCGGACAAAGCCCGTCTGCGTGCGAAACCTCGAGCCGGACAAAATTCTTGCAAAAGTAGAGCTTCTACGCGACGCGAGTGGGGAGAAGCTCAAGCGCACAAACAAGGCGGTCACGAGCACGAGTCCCAGCGTCAGAGGCATTTGGTCTCCGTACCACGGGACGGGGATGGTTGTATAGGACCATGGTGGAGATTGCCGCGCGTATGAGCAAAATGTTGCGATGATCCGTCTTTGCAGCACAGGGCGGCGGGAACAAGTAGGAGTCGGGACATGGACGAGACGGCCAAGGAATCGAAATAGGATGGCACACTTTACCATTCACATCACTGGCACGGCATGGCTAAGAAAGTCTGCCAAGTCAATAGCCTTGTTCCGCATGAGGTATATCGGTGTATTTTCCAATCTCAAAACCCTTTGGCCCTGCGCTTCCTCCTTTCTCGGTCTTCTCTCCGGGCTCGATGGTCTTGGGCGACACTGCATGGGCGTTACTCTTTTCGGCAATTGATGATGTCGACGACTGTGAAAAATATTAGAGTCAGCCTCGTAGCCCCGGGACGACGTTGGAAAGTACTTACACGCAGGCTTGAGAGAAGCGCCGCCAACGAGGAAGCCGTCAATGTCGGGCTGCTTGCTTAGCTCGCCGCAGTTCTTCTCGTTGACGCTGCCGCCGTACAAGATGCGCGTCTCGTCGGCGACCTTGTCGCTGACCCCCCTCAGCCAGTCGCGGATGGCCTTGTGCACATCCTGGGCCTGCTGAGTGGTAGCAACCTTGCCAGTGCCAATGGCCCAGATGGGCTCGTAGGCAATGACAATCCTGGACCAGTCGGAGACCTGGGCCTTGAGGGCCTCGAGCTGCTTGCTGACGACGGCAATGGTCTTGCCGGCCTCGCGCTCCTCGAGGCTCTCGCCGCAGCACCAGATGACGCCGAGGCCGTTCTCTGTCGCGTATTTGCTCTTGGAGGCGACAACCTCGTCCGTCTCGTTGAGGATGGTGCGGCGCTCTGAGTGGCCGAGGATGGTCCAGGTGATGTTGCTGTCCTTGAGCTGCGAGACGGAAATCTCGCCGGTAAAGGCGCCGTTGGGCTTGTCGTAGACGTTCTGCGCCGCCACCTCGATCCCGGAGCGGAGGTGCTCGCGAACAAGGAGGAGGTAGAGAGCGGGAGGGGCGACGACAATCTCTGATGCGCGACGGACGGGTCAGTCGTCGTCGATCCGGAGGAGACTACGCGAGCATGGGGAACGCACCGACTTCAGCATCGAGCACCGCCTTGTTGAGGTTGTTGACAATCTCCTTGATGGACGAGATGGACCCGTTCCTGGACGCCAATGGGTCAGCCGCGCAAACCGGCATCGCAAGCTGCGGTGTTTTGAGGCGCGGGGCAATCGACGGCGGCAGCGGGGAGGGGCTCACATCTTGAAGTTGCCGCCGACAAAGAACTTGCGAGCCATGCTGGGCGAACGTGCTGAGCAGTGTAGAAGCTGTGGAGCTGGCTGTGCGATCCGAAATACTGGTCTCTAGGGAAATGGTTGTTTGATAAATCGTCGGACATCGAATAGGAGGGTTGGAGGGGTAGACAGGCAAAATATATGGAGACACCTTCTAGGCGGGGTTGAGCACAGATACAGTCACCACCGATACCAGACGAGACGCTCGTGATATCACACAAAACCCGTCAGCGTTGAAGCATGTGCTTGTATCGAGCTCTACTTGGGTTTACCAGTCATCCCAACCATGCTTCAATCCTGTCCTCGACATCGTCCAAACCCCCTCGATTGCGGCTGCTGCTTACCCTATACCACGATGGTACTCGTGCAATGCTCAAGCTCGTCATTTGCTCACGTCTCTCCATGTCGACAGTGCTGGCTGGCCTCTAGCCCGGCATATTCGCATCGTCATATGATCCTACAACGGCAGACGAACACTCACTCTTCAAGCATTCGCACTTTCATTCATCGTGGGCCTACATAGAGTGCTGTTCAGAAAAAGTACCATGCTTTTCCACCTCCACTCCATCGATTTGTCTATGGCTTCTCCGACCGTCCGTTCCTCACGTCACGATCCTCAGCGGCTCTAGCGAACCATGGCGAAACGCTCCACATGGACCTGCGAGCCCATCGGTAGCAGCCGGTTGCTAGCTCTTCTCCATTCTCACGGCTCGAATAGACCCATCCAGTGGTCCGGCTGGTAGTTCTCCTCGGGAATATCTTTCGCGGCGGCTTTCAGTCGTCGCAGTGGACCATGAAATTGCCTCCATTGCCTCCAGCTGGCTCGACCCGGTCATTGACTCCGCGGCGGGGCCTTGGGCATGGTCCTTGCCATGCCAGTGCACTTGCACGGCCCAGCGGGTCGGTCTGAGGTGATACTGTAGCTTCATCTCCCGACTGCGGCTGTCAGCATCATGGGCTTGACCTGGTCGTGTTGGTGGACGGCACTCACCTCACTGTGTCTCTCAACCAGAGACGTAGCTCTTACGGCCTGGGGGGGGGAACACCTCCGATCTTGGCATAGCAGTGAGCTCCGTCGTCATCTTGGCCATGACGGACAGGTGCTTTTGGACCTCGGTGATTTGCTGGAGATTCCTCGAGTCTTCAGGCTTACCCAGCCCTCGAACCATGTCCTCGACTGCTCGGCGGTGGTCCATCCACTGCTCGAGGAGCGGCCTGGAGGATTGCACTGGCTCTGCCACTGGCATGCTCTTCACCGTAGCCTTGCGGCTTGCGGCAGTTTGTGGTTCGGGAACATCCGTCTTCCTCTTGCGACCCTTAGCGGACTGTGCCCCGGCTGCAGATGGCGGCGAGCCGGCGGCAGTCCTATGGTCATTGTGTACGCGCTTCATGTGGTCCCTCAGGTTCCATTGGCGGGGAAATCCATTGCCGGGAACGGCGCGCTCGCAGCCTTCGTACACGCAAAGATACGGCTTGTCGCCATGCCCATGCAAGCCATGGGCCTCGCGCTCGTGGCGAAGAAGACAAGCCGTGGATGAGAAGCGAGCCCCCTCACAGCTGTCGGCCTTGCAGCGGTATGGCTTGAGATGCGAGTCCACGAATTTGCTAGCGCGGTCAGTTTTCAGGAACCATCTCCGGTTCATCACGCTTCCGAACTTACTCGTAGTTGCACTTGAGCTTCTCGGGCTTGTGGTTGCAGTTCTGCTGGCCCTCCCACGGGCAATGGAAGAGGCCATCGTCACGGATCGTGGCATTTTTGTACAGCGCATGATCCCTGGCTGACTCACCATCACTGCTCTGTCGTCGGGAAGCAAGTGTCTGAGAGAGGCCGGATTCATCCAGTTGGGCGAGGGCCTGTCCATTTCGATCCTCTGGCATCATGGGCAGCTTCCGCTCAGGGCTTTTCAGACTCACGTGTCAGAAGATCACTATCAAGAAATTCGCTGTTTGACATACCTTGGTGACTGGCATTTCATGTCGGGAGACGAATGCGGGCTCATGGGCGCAGAAAGCCAGGTGTCATCGATGGTGGCGGGAGAAGAAGTTCGCGAGATGGAGCTGGAAAAGCAATCCCACGAGCTAGGTGAGGAATTGTCCGGCAAACCAGCCTCAGTGCCAAGGTGCATCTGGGCAGGAACTACATGAAGAGGGCCGGCCTCGGTGAGGGCGAACACTCCATTGGTCTCGGCATTCAAATTCATGTCAAGATGGTAGTCAGACCAGTAGATGTGTGGCACGGCCGCGACATCAGGGTCCAGCAGCAGGCAGGAGTCCATCCCGGTAATGGAGCCAGCGGGCTGTGGTCCGTTCCGCAAGGTGGCAGCGTTACCTGTGTTGTCCATGCTGGACAGGTGTGATGATTGAGACATGCAAGAGGCAGTAGATCTGCTCGAGTGTATTCTCGACATGGCGTGCGACATCCTCGGCGCGGATGACACGGTCCTGGCAGCAGTCCACATGGCATCCGAAGTCTGGGGCTGGTCCGTCCTTGATCCTCTGGGAGTAGACTGGCCTGAAGTGAAGAGATATTCCTCTGCATCGCCAGAATGGGATGATCCATTGTCCGCAAAGTCTTGAAAGTTCTGTGGTCCTTCAGGCTGAGCGCCCCATGACGACCCATTTACTAGGTCCGTCGATGGTTCTGTTTGAGAAAATGAAAACATGCTAGAAGCGTTCGGAGCCATTGTAGGCTGGGGGTAGCTATAATCTCTTCGTCTGGTCAGTGTACAATTCTCCACGTCTGCTCCGATACATCAAGATGACATCATAAAGTACGAGACAGCATGGAGTCAACTTTGATCCTGTAAAAGGTTAGCCGGCGTCGATCTGTCACGGCAAGGGCACGTTCTACAAACCCAGCTTGATTTTGAAATGGCACGATTTGGCGACAGTTCCTGGAGAGCCTCACTAGACACATTCCTTGGCTCCGAGGATGCGAATGGCACTCGCGTCGAAAGTCCGGCAATCAATCTGTAACAAAAAAAAAGAACAAGCTCCTTGATTTGTTGGGATGTTCCGGGTGCCATGCTTGCCGGTTGAATTGTCGTCCATGGTGCGGCGTTCATGTTCACTCAAAGAGCAAGCAGGGTGATCACCTCGAAATGATAAGAGGCGAAAAGGAGCTCCCCGAGTTTCAAGAAAAAGCGCAAAAGGAACATGCAGAGCATCCACGGGTTTGAGTTGTATGTCCAGTATTGAACTCAGTGCAAAAAGTGTTGAATGTCCATGTTCGCGGCTGCGAACGCAATCAAAATTGGATTGCGGGAACATAAAGTTCCAGGCATCTCAGCGCAAACCTCGTACAGAGGAATGCGTAGAGAGCACAGAGATCCTCGGCCATGAAAGTCCCGGTAGTGGACGCACGAGACGTCAGGCTCCTCTGGTTGTGGTGTTTGGGTCCCCGGCACAGCTCCACGGGCCATGTAGTCCATAAATAAATCCACGCCCTCCAGGGCTGTCGCTGCTGAAAGTTGACGGGCGTCACTCACCACTAGGCCTCAAGTGGATCATATGGTTAACCTTGTCCGGCTAGGACAAGTCCTGTTTTCTTGGTAGTCCCGACATCGGTGCGCAAGTCCAGCAAAGGTTCCCTGGTCCGGTGAAATTTCCCCTGGCAATCCCTGTGGCCGGTGCGAGTTGACGAGATTTAAGAAAGAAGCAAGAAAATTACATGATGCGAGCAGACGACAGGAAAAACACGACGTGCCGCAATGTGAAAAAGAAGAAACAGTACCTAGAAAGTGACTGAACCTCGTCGAGTTCAACTGCGGTATTGTATCCCGGCATATTGCCCGGACGTGACACAAGAAGGGCAACTGTCATTGTATCCTGGGCTGGAGCACGGAACGAGACCAGGAGATCCGGTAGGGCCAATTGTCCTGCGACAAGAGAGGCGGAGTGGTTTGAATGCCTCGGCGCAGAGTCGTAATGATGCGCGCAAACAGGAGAAGTAGAAGCCCTAGGCTTTTCTCGGGGAGGATCCTCTTAGACTGTTTCGCTGTTTCAGACGCTCTAGCAGGAAACAAAAAAAGAGGTGAATCAGCAGTGGGAAACAAGAGTGGATAGGTAAGTTGTCGAGTGGGCGTTGGGCACGAATGTTGGGCAGGGAAAAGGGAGGAGGCGATCAGCCGGCATTGGGCCTCGAGGGGGTGCGCGGGTTTTATCGTTGCAGTCGAGGCCCGACAGCACAAAGCTGGCCCGGCTGGAAGAGGGGCGCGCAAGACAGCGTGTCGGATGACGCCAATAAACAGGGTCTGCTCACAGGTCGCATGAATGCGCTGGCGCTTGGATTGCGTTGATACAGGGATTCCGTCGTGACCGGCTTCCCTCCTTGAAGCCGGGAGGGGGGGCCGGGTGGAGCAGGCAGGGCAGCAAACACGCCGTCACTGGCCAAGGCGGCGCCAACCGTGCAAGCCAACACAGCACTGCATGGCCGGGGAGGGGGCCACGAGCTGGATGGATTTGCTGGCCGCTTGGCGCTCAGCTGCGAAATGAGACGAGACGAGAGGTGACATGGCAGTCACCAAGAGCCGTTTCGACAAGGCGCCCGAGACGGGCCGTCCGTTGTCCAAGTTTCCCGTCTCGCCCGAAAGGTGTTTGTTGCAAGTGCCCACCATGGTGCCCGTCGGCCGGTTGAGGGGGGAACGCAGACGGTTGTCATGCGTGGTGCGTCATTTGCTGAGTGGTGCTGTGCATGCTAGCTGCATGAGCTGTGCTGTGCTCTGGAGCTTACTGGCAACAGTCGCGGCGCGGATGACAACGGCGGGGGGGGTAAGCAGCAGGGCTGTTCGCTCCCTGGTCCGGGAAAGAAGAGTTTTTACATATTCCAGCTGTGACGAGGCGGGGGGGGCGCGGCTGCGACGAATGGAAGCGAGCCGTCTGAGGTTATGCAAAATGGCGGTCAACATGGGCAAAAGAAGAGGCCGAACCAATCATGGCCGCGGCCGAGGTGTTTTGTGTGACGAGGCTTGCATGCGCAAAGGGCCAGCACGAGACGAATGTGCAGAAACTCAGTCGGGTTCCCGTACGAGGCAGGTACTGACTGTCGAAACAGCTCATCGGTGGTGTTGAGCAGGCCGCCGGCAGTTTACGCTTACCTCAGCATCATCTCCCCTGGCGCTAGAAGCCGGCGCCGATGTCCTGCGCGGCAACAGCGGGTCGGGTCGGCGCGGGGCACGTGGACCGAAGCGCCTGTGGCTTGCCACCTGCCGGAAATGCCAACGTTTGTCACGTGATCTTGGGAGCGAGTCACTCACTATTAATAATCAGGGGTTTTAATGCGTTTACCGCCATATCGACTTATTAGCCCCGAGCGCGCCATCGTCTCTCTCGGGACCACATTCTAATAACATGCATCACGATCGAGCTATTTGTCCGTGTGTGTTTTCCATCTCATGTCAGATCTCCACGGCCGACACCCATGCTCACGTACCGGATTCGTCGACGAGAGCAAACCCCCCACCCCGCTTGACACGAGTTTGCACAGACCAACTCTCCTTTCCCGCAATTCTTTACGAGCGAGCTAAAACATCGACAGCTACTGTGCGCTAGCAAACCTCGAGCCGTAGCATGAAGACGTCAGACGTCACATCCTTTATGCTTGCCTCAAAGGCTCATGCGTCAACCGCCGGAGGATTGGAGCTGCCGGCCTTGCATTTCCAACTGTACGTACAATGGTGTCCGTCTGACGTCTACACTGTCCTGCTTCGGTGGAACTCTCCATATTAGTTGCGTGTTCCGTGTTGTCAGGCACACGAGTTGTCAGAAGCGACGAGTGCGTCCGTCAAGATACGAGTCACGTTTTGCAACCGAGCATGGTGTTGTTGGCCATGTTTGGTGGTGCTGCATATCCTCAAGTCTCCGCACACGGCCGGCGAGGGGAATCAACTCCCTACGGCATTGGCAACATCACATTGATGCGTCCATGCTGATGGGATACAGCCCACGTACATCATTGTGGGGTGCACTTTTCGACCACGCTCCAAGCTGAGACGATGGGAACGGCTTCTGAAGCGGCGGAAGCCTCGGACGTTACTCTTCTCAAGACGCCCAGAAACCGAGTCAAATACGAGGCCGCTACATGGGCACTCACTGGACGAATCACGCTGGCCTTCTTCGCCCCGTGTCCCTCGGTGCCAAGCAAGAGTATGTGACTACAAGATGCGGTGATGAGCATGTTCCGCATTCTGGGGACATCACGTACACATGGTGTGGGCTTTGATGGCTGCGCAAAGCGTGCGGTGTCGTCCAGTATGGATGCAGTCGTCATCGACGTCACGTTGCCGGCGTTGTTGATGTCAGCTCTCGAACCGTCACTGGATGGACGTCCGTACATAAGGAGCGGTCAAAGGACTGACTACTGTACGTGCAGTACAGAGACCAATGAACTGCGGTGATTGGAGAATGACTGCTGCCGTCACCATCCGGCTCGCTGAGCTGGCGCAGGCGCAGCGGCACGATTCGGGTTGATGCTGCAGGGCGGCGGTTACTGGCTGCATCTTGACGAACCAGGCGAGGCGAGATGAGATGGGACAGCACTGTTTCGGGGCCTGAGACTTGGTCGACGCAGGTGCTAAGTCGCAAGCTCAGCCAGTCGTGTGCGAGGACCGCCGCGGAGCCGGCCAACGCGGCCTGATGAGGCTCTTCCCTTGGATGTCCATGTGGCATCTATGGGACGATGCAAAACAGTGCAGATGGGCAGCAATCGACAGCGGAACAGATGGTTGGTGCCCGCGTCGGCACGTTTTCTTGGTGCCTGAGCCACCACGACGTCTTGAGAGGGAGGGAGAGAGAGAAAGAGAGAGAGACAGACAGACAGAGAGAGAGAGAGGCACCCCCTGTATTCGACGCTGAAAGATGGCCGTATCGCATCCGAGGTTACGGAGTACTCCTGCCGTGATTTGTTTTTGTTATTTCCATCATTGTCAAGACTGGCTCCCGGGGATCAATCGGGGCTGGCTCAAATGGTTCCGCTGCTCCGCCTTCTTTCTTCGCCGCATGTCGGGGGATGCATGTTGATAACCGGGCACCGGGCTGTAGCGCTGGGATGTTCCCGGGCGAGAGGACCCATCACCCCCTCCCGGCCTCCCCACAGACAATATTTACAAATAAAAACAAATGCATCCGGTGCAAGGCGAAATGGAGTAGGTTCGTGTGAGTGGCGATAGATGGCCAGCGCAACAAACGCAGACCCCCAAGAGAGTTGCCACGCTCCGGAGGAGAAGGAGGAGGAGGAGGAGGAGGAGGAGGAGGAGGAGGAAGAGGAGACGTTGACCCTGCAGCACAGTGCGCCGTGACCTACAAGCCTTTTTGAGACTGTACAACAGTACAAGAAGCGAGGCAGGCAAGTAGGGTGTTGTGTGTTGTGTGGCAGTAGACAGGTTGTTGACGTCTACACCGTGCAGATTTAGAATTTGAACACATTGATACCCATCAGCCTCAATCAATGGCCTAATGGCCTCCGGCAAGTCGATCGATGCCATGCCGGAACGTCGACCCACCCGCATGTGCCTGACGGACGGAGTTGTCCTCCGCCTCGATGACAGCTGCCTGCCATTCGCCTCCAGGCTTGTCGACAAGCAGGTACATTCACCCACTGTCTTGCCTTGCTGCCGCAACTTGATGCTCAGGGCCTTGATTTCAATCGCCCGCCTGCCTTGCCCTGCCTTGCCTTGCCTTTACATACATGATCATGCTGCTGCTGCTGCAAGGCTGCCGCTTCCAACCAACCCTGCCCCGACAAAAGGGTCCTCCTCCTGGCCTGGTCCATGCAATTGCCGTCCAAGGAGGCATTATATCGACCGGGATCCGACAGCCCGCCCCAGCTTGCATTACCTTTTGACGCGCAGGCCCCTCCGCAGCCGTTCATGATCCAAACATAAAATGCCTTCATTCCGATGCTCTTGAAACAGTCTTCCCTCCCGCCCCCCCTTCCCCCTCTCCGTCTCCCAGCCTCCGTTATCGTCCTGACCGTTGGAGCGCTATCCGTACGCCCATTTGCTTTGGGTCCTTTCCGGCTGGCAGATCGTCATAGGCTGCACGTCACTGCTCTCCCAGAACCCCCGTTTTCCCGCCCTCCGAGACTTTACAGCCCAGTGGACGTTCTAGCCTCTGCCATCTGTCCGCTCCACCAGCCGGCGCGCGCTCTTTCTCTTTCTCTCTCTATTTCTCTCTCTATTTCTCTATCTCTCTGTGTCTCCTCCTCTGGATCGCGTCTCTGCAGTTACTCACCCGTCGGATTCCGTTGAAGCTATCCCGGACTCCAGAGGATTCAATGCTCGCAGTATACAAGTTGCCCCATACCGGATTTGGTCTGCCGAGGACTCGCGATTTCTTTGTTTTCCTTGGCCGTTGCTGAAGTCTGTAACTCTTGGTGCCGTTGCTCAGACTTTGACTCGTCCTTTCATCTTTGCCGCGGTGAATCTCTTTCTTCTTTCGCCGCCGCAAGCCATCACCCGAGGACTTTCTTGCCAGGTTCCGCTGCGTTGCAATATGATCTCCGAGGACATGGCACAACCGGCACACGCGTACAAGAGCTCGGCCATCTCCCGCGACCCGTGGAACTCGGCCCGCAGGTGCCGTCTTTCCGTGCCCGAGGACTGCAACGCCTGCTAACGCATTCAACAGCAGCTTCGCCGAACCATTTGGCAATGGAGGATTCGGCAGCGGTCTGTACATGCCTCAGAGGTGAGCTTGAACCCTCGGGACGCCGGACAAGGGAAAAAGGAAAGGAAAAACGAAAATAACATTCTTCTCATCAAGTATAAGCTACTCGGCTGGTGCCTTTTCACAGGCCCCATTTGCCCCCGGCACGGTTGCCAACGGCCCCCCGAGCTCCAGAGTTGCGTCCACCATGTCGACCGCTTCCAACTACGTCGCCCGACCATCGCCCGTCATGAACTCTGGCATGGGCTCCGGCTACAGCTCGTATCAGAGCTCTCAGTCGTCCTCGTGGGAACCGAAGGCGAGATATTCACCGACCGGCTCCCTCGACGACATCATTGCCTCACCCAGCTTGTCCGACTACTCGCCCGAAAATGGCCTCAATGTTGCCAGTCCGAGAGCTCATGCCAAGGCCAACGGGAAACGAGCATCTCAGCGCCGACCGTCGAACCGAGATGAGTTTGACGGGCCGCATCAGTTCCTACAGCGACCGCCGCAGGAGGTGGTGGCGATGCAGGAGCGAGAACTTCCCCATCTCCCGACCAACCTCCACGTCCAGGAGCAGGACAACGTCCTGACCCAGGTGAACGAGCGCCTGTCCCAATGCGCCTTTGACTTTGTAGCCAAGTACCAGTTTCCCATCCCGCTGACCCAGGACATGAGGCCGGTGGAGAGACCGCAGGACCGGGAGTGGACCGAATGGGTCTATCTGCTCAAGAGACTTGCGACCAAGCGGCGCATTCCAGCCCGGGTCCTCTACAACGGCCAGATCAAGCAGCTTGTCACCATCCTGGAGAACTCGCTGGAAATGCGGCATGCGGCCAAGCACCAGAGCCGTCCGCTCAAGGACGACCGAAACATACTGCAGCTTATCTCGGCAGGTATCCAGGTCGCCAAGATCTTGAAGGATGCTTCGGCCATGGATTACCTTGACCGACTATACGTTGAAACAGAGAAGCGGATCCAGGAGCGTGCCACTCCGCGATACCGGTCCTAAGGCCCTCAGGCCCTTCAGTCCGGTGCTGAACCCACCACGTTTTTACCAACAAATATCGCCCCCTTGAACAGAACGAAATATACGCACGCCATGTCCGCCCTGGGACCGTTCCGGGACGGGAGACGGAACCTTGACCAAAGCCTGGTCATGTCTGCATAGATTGTGACGCCGCCAACGATTGACGATGATGCCTTTTCCTGGTATTCTTATTTACTGTTTGCTGTTTTTGTTTGCTCCTTTCGTTGTGCTGGGCCCCTCGGCTGCTGGCACGATGCGTCAAGCCAGACGAGACGGCGTGGTCGAGCCGAGCACGTCGAGGCCTGGTGGAAAGATATGCGTTGTGTATTGGAAAGAACAGGTTGATGCCCAGGCGTACGGAGGGTGTCAGATGATGGCATGTCGCCACGGTCTCACGCGAGCCGATGCTGAAACCGCCGTGTCATCGCTCATTGGCATATGATGACGACTGCGTACGAACTTGTTGACACGTCCCTCCTATGTATTACAGGATTTTTTTGGAGATTAATATGACCGCGTTTATCTGCTGTATTCACAGGACCTCGAAGCTTTAAGTCGGATGCATCGCCATGTGGTCAAGGCGAACTCTGGCCTTAAACACATCTCACAGGCAAGGCAGGACCACGGGATCATAGGTGCACATGCCAAGGTGCGAAGACAAGGGAAGGCAGCAGTCATCTCATAAATATGTCTGTCCGATTCTAGTCCCGAGGCCACACGGAATGTTTGTGGCAGCGGGGTGGAGCGGACTGGTTGTCTAGACCTTGGATTGTTCTCCCACATACGAACGAATATAATCAAGTTGACACGCTTGCGCATTGAGAGCAGTAAGGTGTAGGCAATTTGTGGGTGCGAGGCAAACAAACGCAACATGGACGAGAGGACTGGTTCTGTAGCTCCTTCATCCAGACACTGCACTTGCAATATCAATCAGGACAAAGACTTCGTGTGTAGCTGCGTGCTGCCATGGACAAAAGGCAGAGTCCGTTTAGGTGTGCGCGTGGCTTGGTGACGGAGAGTCGTTCGTTCCATGCGCGTCGTTGTGTGTTGATCAAGGAGGGAAAAAATTGAAAAGCAAGCTGGGACAGGAGAAGAGGACATGGTGCAATCTCTGCAGGACGCGGCCCACCTAGCGGCACGTGACTCTTCCTCCCTTCGCCTTTTTCTCAACACTTTCGCGGCTCTGATTTTCCCTTCTCCTTTTTCCTTCTTCATCACACATACATAGCGCACGATTAATCAACCGGTAATGAATCGCCCACTTGCTATCGGTCATATTTGCGTGCCAGAAAAACGGTCTTCTCTACCAACTCTTCACCGGCCAGACGTTATCTTCGTCTTGCCAACGCGATGGTGATTCCTACATGCATGCAACCTCTTACTCGGTTAGAATTCCCCTTCTGCGTAGTTTATTATCGAGGGCGCACTCTGCGTGGCAGGGCGGTATCTCGAGAGTTTCACGAGAGCGCTTGTGTCGTGGCCTGCGCTATTCTTCCCAGCCAAAAAGGCCTGTCGGATCACTTCGTACATGATGGTCAGAGGGTCCGTGAGGGAGTTGTGCCCTTGCATGGAGTCATGTTGAATCACTCATGGCCAGCTTCGCCTTGAGACACGGATAGACTAGCAGAGGATGCCAACCGCTCCGCTCCCCCATGCCTGGTCCCTCCGAGCATGAAGCTTGAAACTCGTGAGCACAAGCCATCGTCCTGAGGCGACTCATAGGAGCTACATGTCGTGCATTTCCATGTGGCTCGACGGCCCAACTGAGCGCTCCCGATTGAACAAATTGATTGTCTGTTATTAATGGTTACAAAAGCTCAATGATATTGTTGGTGGAGAATCAAACTGCCCAAGAGAATCACCTCGACGGCCTAAAGAGCTTGAGAAGGATTAACCGAACTGAGCGGACCATCTAATCCCAACGCAGGCTTGTTCCACAGGCCTGCGATGCTGTCTATGCCGCTTGCTTACCCCCTCATTCTGACCCGGTCATGATTTGTACATCGACGAAGCCTCGTCCGTGCCGACAAAGCCCATTTCTCACGCCTTCTGCCTCTTCAGATCCCGCGCAGCTTGTTTCAGGTTGAAGTTGCACTCCTCGTACGCTCGGCCGGCACCGAATCCAACGCCGACGAATGCGGGCCACGCTCTTCGCTTGAACAGGAGGACGGAGAAGACGACGCCGAATCCGAGACCGAGGGTCGACTTGACGAGGAGGTTGGAGAGGCAGCGGTCCCACTGCCAAAATAGATCAGTTAGTAACTGAGGCATCTCGGCCTGCCACTCCGAGCGGTACCTTTTCGTTGAGGAGTGCCTCGCTGACGGGCCGAGAAACGGCGCTCGGGGGAGGAGGAAGGGCGGTCTCGGACATGACGGGCGACTGCTAAACGCGGCGCATTAACCCCTGACTGTTTGCGTGAGTGACCCCGGAGGATAACGAATGGACGCGACGAACTTGTGTGCGAAAGTCGGGGTCGGGAGAGCCTAGAAAAAGGGAGCTGCAACCTCGAGAGCAGTGATGTCAAGCTTCATGAGAAAGTAGCTAGCCAATGGCGCGGAATACCCGAAGGCGGTGAAGCCGTAGGTACCACTTTTGGACTGTGCCAGCGGCAGAATTTTTGAAATTATTTCCGGGCTGCTGCAAGTGGCGGCGCAATCGGTCGCAAACTGGAGACGCCAGCGATCTCTCGCTCGTCTTTTTTTGTAGGAAATTCTGCTACTTATTCTGAGAGTCAAAGAACTTGATGGAGCACAGGGAAAGAAGCTTGCGTCATGGTAAGAACTTCCAGACCCGTTGTTTTGAGCTTTGGCTAAAAGATGCTGCAGAATAACGCGAATCTCATAAAGACCGTCAGAGGCCTCGACCAAAGCGGACCTGGACCAGATGGAGAGGGCCTGCAGCTTCTTTGGAGCTGCTTGGCAGCGTCTGCCGATAGTCAATTCCATGCGGCCGAGGAAAGCAGCTTGCGATGGCTGCTCAAGTCCATGAACGGGCCGTCTTCCGCCGCCGAGCTCACACGCCGATACCCGTTGACTTGGACCATCCTGGATTGCGTCTTTCAGCGAATCCCTCTCTTCTCCCTCGCCAAATCGCTTGCCGACAGAAAGTTCATCGCCGTGCTGCAGCAGACCCTCAAGGGCGTCTCGAAACCTGCCGCCGGTTCCCGCTCTCCCGCCTCGTCAAAGCGGAAGAGAACCCCGACCGCCGGCTACGACTTGGAAGCTCTTCAAGCTCCAGTCGGGTGCCTCGAAACCGCCCAAATAGTCTTCAAGGCGCTGAAATCGCTGTTGAGCCGGCTTGAGAATTCTGAATCGGCTCTCACCCGTGACACCATCGGCGCACAACACATCAGATCTCTTTTTTGCAACTCGGCAGCCGAAGCTACCGGCATCGCGGCCCCAGCTTTGACGATATGCAGCATGTTGACGAGCAGCCCGGGGGGCGATGTCAAAGGCGCAGAATCTTGGATAGAGACCATTTCCACCATCTGGGATTTGCATTTGCAAGGAGGTGACGATGAAGTAGAGGTTGCAATTCACCTCTTTCGGCCGTCCGCCACCATATTGGCTAGGCTTGGCAGCTTTCCTTCAGATCAGCAAGTTGAGCTCCCTGAAGCTCTTAAGACTCGATGGAGCGCCGACCTTCAAACATTCATGCAGCGAAATCTCATTATCCCGGGCAGAGCAGCTTTCATGACCCATCGAGTCTTCGAATCCTTCACCCAGGCATTAGAGATATCAAGGAACGTTGCTCAGCTTTCAGCGCCTGCGCTTTACTTCCTCTCCTCCCGCGTCTCCAGCCGCATTGCCGAGGGCGAACTTCGCAAGGACAACGTCGAGTGGCTAAAGCAAATTTTTCATGCCATTGAGCTGACGATCAGGGGACGACCAGATTCTGGCACGCTGATGCAGACCATCCTGGAACTGGCCATACAGCGATCGACCCCCGTGGATGTGCAAAACCTGCGGCGTGTGTGCCGCGACTACGCCATGCGAAAAGCAGAGACGGACTGGGAGTTGATAGCAAAAGTGGCCGCTTGCGACCCCGATGTCTTCCAGCTGTCCGACGATGGAGCCAGCTTGAGAAGAGAGGTTTGCGACAGAATCTTGAAGCAGGAGGCTGCGGAAGCCCACTACAAGCCTATCGCGAAAGTCATCGGGGCCATCATAGATGGGTTCCGAGCGCGTCGTTCCCTGACCGGCTTCTTGCGGCTGTGGTTCGAACAGCTCTGCGAAGCGGAACGGCAGCAGACGAATCACCACTCGCCGTGGTTCGACGTCGGCCGTTTCACCAGTCCGACGCAATCGCTTGACTCCCTTTTGGAGACGGAGTTATCGCCATCGCAGCTTCTTGACATAATTGCCTGGACTGGAACACAAAACCCGACAAAGCATCCCCGTTCCACATGCGTATTCTCCGCCGCCATTGCACAGGCATTACGGGGCGAATCTTTTGTTGATGCTGTGGGATCAAGACTCTTTGATCTGGTCGCGCCTGTAGACGGCTCTATGCAAGCCTCGGCCTTGAAATGGAGGGTGGTTTCCAGTACCATGTCTTGGGTCGCTTCTGATGAGAGAGTTGAGACTTGGAATTCGGTCAAGGACCAGTTATCCAACATCCTGAAGACTACACCCATCATCTCGAGCGTAACTTTTGAGGCATTCAAATGCTGTTTCCGAGCCTGGGACTCATTGAGTCTCGATGAGGCGCATGTGGACGAGGCGGCATCAATAATTGAGAACTTCAATGAACGGCTTGCCGCTGAGATGGCTGGCCGTCGCATCTTGAGTGGAGACGAGCTTTCCTTCTTGGACCCTGACATGAAGGCAGAACTCCAGGAGGATTCCGCTTACCAACAGTATCTATCTTGGTACATTTGTGGCTCCAGCAGATTCAACAGGCTGTACTACAACAGGAAGGAGGGCATCCCTCTAATCCTGACGAACGCATTGTCAAACCAAAATGATGGCGTCAGTGGACTCGAGACCCTTTGGCGGACTTTGCTGCGCAATGAGGTCAACCTGAACGAGTCCAAAATCGCAAGAGACTTCATCGACCGTCTGATTGTCGCACTGGAAAGTTCTAAGGAGAAGAAAGGTTGGCCGGGCAAGCAAAGCCTACTTTCGATCAAGATACTTTCCAGCATACCGCTCGAGGTCTTTGATCGCGGACAAAGGGAGAGGCTCATGAATGTTCTAAGCAAGCGACGATCGAAGATGGTGCAGTCTCCGGAACAAGTCTCTCTGTTCTCGTGGAAAATTGTCCTTGGCCTGGCGACGAAGATGATGGGACGGCCAACGTTCTATGAAGGAATGGGCTTCTCGGACCTGGTCGAGATCGCGGAAGCAATGTCCCGCATCTCCATTGAACCGCAATCTGGTAGCGAAGCTGTTGTCGAGCTGACTGAGCGATTCTTTCTCATGGCGTCAGCAACAATCAGGCAAATGGCAGAAAACATCGACGAACGCAGCATCAGGTACTTCCGCGGGGCTTCACAGTTCGTATCCGACCATAAGGCACGAGGCACCACGCAACCGGAAGCCCACACGGCCAGGCAGCCCTTGCATATGACTCTGTTGAAAGCCTTGGCGGCGGAGCTGGCGCGGTCACCAAGCTGGCAGAACCAACAAGACATGGCTTCTCTCAGCATTGACTCAAAGGCCGTCCTGGCGAGTTGCATCATGGACGTTATGCGCAAGCTCATGTCGGAAAAAAATTTGCTGGCGTCTCCTAGCATAGGGGTCGACATGAGCCTCTTCGCCGCCGTCGACGCCGCGGCACAAGCGGGAGACTTTACTGGGCAGCCTGACTTCAAGCCATCGGCAGTCCGGAACCTTGAGAAGCGAAGCCGACGGTTGATGCAGCAAGGAGACATGAGGGGCTGGAAAATACAGGTTTTCCTTCGCACCTATTTGTCTGCGGTGGTCGAGGTTCCTCGCCCGACAGCTTACGACAGCCTGGGCGGCTTATCGGGAAATCTTAGGCAGCCTCTCCTGAGGGAGTTGGTAACTGCTACGACAAGAACTATGTGTAACAGTGACAGACGCCAGTATCTCAGAGAGCTCCTCGATGGATTCAAAAACGACTCTGATACGGATGGCCAGGTTCTCGCCATCCAGACGGTTGTCGATCAACTAATAGGTTCGTCGGCCGCCCGGTTGCTTGCTAGACTGTAACTAAACCGTCGCAGATTCCGTCGAGGTTCATGAACGAGACGAGGGCTTCAACTTGGCCGCGGCCCATAGCGAGTTGACCTTGCTGCTGTTGCAGAAGCCGACCCACGCCCGCCAAGTATGCCACATTCTTCGGACTCTGCTTGAGAAGCGACCGCAGGCCATGGGTCAATGGAACGTCGAGGTCACCCTGAGCGCAGTCTGTGACCTATGCTCGATGAGCACCGACGGGTCCGCCGTGCCCTTTGCGGAACTGTGCAAGCTGGTCGAAATCGTCATCAAGAAGCACAGACTTCGCCTGGAAGGTCACTACCACATTCTTCTGAGCGCAATGCAGGCGCTCCTCTGCAATCTCGTCATCAAGCAGATCCCAGCGGATCGAAGCGACGAGCGCAGTCAGGTATCAAAGTCCCACGCCTACGCCCGGCTCATCAGCCTCATCTGCGAGCCCACTGCCGGCGCCGTCTCCCGCTCTCAGCTCCACAGTGCCCTGGACTCTGCCACGGATACGGCCAAGCGCTCGGCCGGGCGGCACATGTTCCTCGTCTTGATGCAGTACGTCAAACTGCAGCTCGAGGAGAACGTCCCGAGAGCCGCGAGGGAGGCGCTGGAGCCGGCTATGAACTCGATATTCGACATTACGTCGCCCGAAGGGAGGAAGATACTCAATGATGCCATGGATGGCAGTGGAAGAGCGATCTTGAGGGAGATGTTCAAGCGCTACGTCAAGTTTGGCAAATGGAGCGGCGTGTAGAGCGAAATCAGCATTATCATTACATATAGGGTATCTCGAGACAAAGCAGCTTTGTACCACAGGCGCCCTGGGCACAGGTATTGGACGTTAATCTCAGTGCTTCTCGTAAGTGCTAGGGTGGCCATGCTTCTTGCCGTAGCTCCTGATCTTGCCATGCAAATCCATCTGGACAAAAAACCACAAGATGGACGCGAGCCAGGCGCCGAGCGTGTCGACAACCCAATTATTTCGAAAGGAGCCCCCGAGCACGCCCCACCTCATCAGATGTCCCAAGAAGTTGACTGTGACGAAGTAGTCACCGTTTTCCAGCCCACGGATGGCGCTGTCGGCGACATGATCCGGGGTCTCCTTGGGGTCCGATGCTTCGAGGAGCTTGGTGATGGCCGGTTTGCTGCGGTTCTCGCGCTCAAACCCGGGGGAGAGGATGGTGCCCGGGTAGACGACATGAACCTTGACGTTTTGCGGATACATCATGACTTCTTGGGAGATTGTATCGGCGAGACCGCGGAGTGCCCACTTTGACGGGGCGTAGGGGGCGTATCCTGGGATGGTGAAGAGGGCGACAACGCTCGTGGTCATGATGAGGTGCTTGGGCTCCTTTTCGACGGGGGCGTCGGCGGCAAGCCACTCGCGGAGGATTGCATGGGACATGTCGGCCGTGCCATAGAAGTTGACGTCCATTTGCCGACGCATCGACTCCATGTCCATGTCGACGAACAGCTCAGGCACCGACATGCCCGCCACGCACCAAACGATGTCCGGGGACTTGCCATTGTTCCATCGCGTAGCTTCTTCAATGAGCGGTTGGGCGTACGAGGGCGCGGAGACGTCGGCGGAGATGTAGTGGAAGCGCTGCGTGCTCGGGTTCTTAGCAGCAGCCTGGATGTAGAGAGGTGAGAAGCTCGGTTAGCGACCTTGCTGGGCCCGTACGGGGGACGAGGGCGGATATGCGAACCTGGACGCTCGCGAGGGCTTCTTTGAGCTTGTCGACGCTGCGGGAGACTAGAATGATGTTTGCGCCCCGGGCCGCGAGCTTTTGCGCGGCGGACAAGCCCATGCCCTCGGATGCGCCCGTGAGGAGAACGGTCTGCGGAAGCATCAGCCCAACAATCTGAGGCGCGAGAAGAGGCCAATAGACCAACCTTGCCCTCAACGGGCATCTTGTTGCCGCCGTAGATGCGCATTGCCGAAGCTGCAGCGGTGGCGAGCGTGATTGCTGCAAATAACAGGGACACGGTGCCCCACGATAATTCCATGAGGCAAGACAGCCGATGGAGGCAGAGGATGGTGTCGAATGCCACGCTAATATGCTTCGCCAATCGGCGCGTATCTTGGTTGAATTGAAAGGGGAGCTTGTGCGGAGGGGAAAATCGCTGATGTTCTCCAGAGATCAAAGGCGGGTGAACCCCTACTTTTTAGTAACTTCAAGCTGTCACCTATCTTATCGGCGCGCCCTAGAATGCGGGTGGCCCCAAAAAGAACCGAAAGTAGCCATCTCTACCCTCCACGTGACGCTGCCAACCGCATCCCAAACCAGCAGACAAACACGCCGCCACTCAAGCCTAACCTTTGAGGGATGTTTGCTTGCTGCGGATCCTGTGTCCTTGCAGGAAGAGAGGCGTGACGTGATCCATCCCCAGGACTCGTGCATCATGAGCCATGGCTGCCGGAGACGACGATGACGGGAAGCTGAGCGTGCCCAAGTTCTCTTCTTTCAAGCCAAAGGGGTCGATTCCAAGCGCAGATGCTCAGAGCGGGAGACCCAAAGCTGAGCCAAGGGAAAAGGAGGAGCGTCGACATCGATCCAGCAGGCAGGATTACCGTTCGCAACATCGGCACCATAACCGTCATCGACGGGAGAGACCGCATCGGGAAGAGGAGCATCCCGACTCCCGAGACCGCGAGCAAACGCCCCGTCGTAGGGAAGAGCCCAAGCACCTGCCCGACAGAGGCGCTGTATCTTCTGTCCCTGGCCTCTTCGTCATCGATAAGAAAGGCGATCCGCTCATTAGAAAATATGGGCTGGAGCGGTCCAAGGTACCGTCATACTATCGCCTTCGTGGCGGCAGGGTTCTGGGCACAAATGGACGTCTCTTCCTGCACCACGACGGACCAAGAGAGGAATTCAGCCTGCTGTTTCCCGGGGAAAAGAAGCCTGGCTCCCGCGACACTGGTGGCTTAAGGTCGAGAGACTGGCAGAAGCGTGATCCTGTCAAGCTACGGGCGAGGAGAGGGAAATCACCTGAAGACGTCGGAGAAGGCTACCTGTCTTTGGTGAATCCAAAGAAACGCAAGAGACTTCACAAAAACAGCGACTCGTCCGACGCAGAGAATCAGCCGTCGTGGAGGTCGATTGAAGGCAAAGCGAAAGCAGTCCGAGACGTCAACAGTGATGCGCAGGAGAGCGAGGGCTCGTCGAGCGAGTCCGGTGTTTCGGACCATGATAATCCCCTGAAATGGAAATCCATCCAGCTCAACAGACAGGTCAAAGATCATCCAGACGACATTGAAGCCTGGCTGGAGCTGGCCGACCACCAGGATGCTTTGCTGCGGGAGGGAGAGACGATTGACGACAGAGCCGCCGAGAACACGGCACACAGCTTTACCGAGATCAAAGTGCACCTGCTCGAGTCGGCACTCACCCACGCGTCACGCCCCGAAGATCGCCAGAGGGTCCTGGTGGCTCTCATGCGCGAAGGTCTCAAGGTCTGGGACAAAAACGTTGCGGCAAAAAAATGGTCCCGACTTTCCGACGACGAGCTTCACAGTTTTGAGTTGTGGAAGACGCATCTGGACTATTCCATGTCGAGCATCGCCACATTTCAATACGAAGATATCAAGAAGATGATACTCAAGCGGCTTCATCAGGTTGTGTCGCGGTCAGGGCTTGAGTCGAAATGCGACCTAGAGGAGGCTATTTACATCTTCCTAAGAGCGACGAAGTTCTTCCGCGATGCCGGGTACAAAGAGCTCGCCGTGGCGGCATGGCAAGGCCTTTTGGAGCTCAATTTGTTCAAACCGGAGAACGCGCAGAGCCAGAGTGAGACGCTGGCCGCGTTTGAAAAGTTTTGGGAGGAAGAGAGCCCGAGAATCGGAGAGGCAGGTGCTCAAGGTTGGAGACACCGCGTCGAGAGCGGTGGATTCGAAGACGCGCCCTGGGCCGTGGCGGACAAAGAGCCCGCAGAGACGCGTTTGCGAGATCCATACCAAGCATGGGCAGCAGCCGAGCGCGCTCGAGGGAACAAGGCTTCGTTGCCAGCGAGAACCATGGACGCTGACACCGACGATGATCCTTTCAGAGTCGTGATGTACTCGGACATTGAACCATGGTTATTCGTCATTCCCCGGGCTGGATTACCGCATGCGACTCCGCAGCTCATTGATGCCTTTTTGCTATCCTGCGGGCTTCCGCTTGCACTCAGATCCAACGACTGGCTGGAGACGGCGTACCACAGCCAGTTCCTGACGGGGACCAGCACTGATATGCGCCCACAGCCCGCCTGGGACGAGGCAGAATGTCAGGAAGCTTCGCAGAGAAGACCGCCTTCGTTCAGCAATGGAAACTGCTGCGCAAGGATGTCTCCCGAGTTGCTTTTCAGCAGGAGCAGCTGGTTCCAGTACTTTGACGTGGCCGGCAAGGAACACGCTATTGACTTGTCTTGGGCGGAGACGGCGTTGAAGCAGCTCGTCCACTCGACCTGTATTTCGGACCTTGCCCTGTACTATCTGGGGCTCTGCTTTGCCAGGAAGCCCGATCTCATCAAGAAACGAGCGAAGGCTCTCCTGACGAGATATCCTACCGACGTGCGGCTCTATAATGCCTATGCTTTGGCCGAGTTTGCCAACGGCAACGTCGAGATTGCGAGCATGGTGCTAACATCCGCACTCGAATCGCCAGAAGTAAGACACGATGTCGCTCTGCACCTCGAAGGCGGGCAGCAACTAACAAGAACTTATCTTATAGCTGTCTGCGGCATCAACGGGATTTCTCCTGCTCAAGACATGGAGCTGGATAGAGCTGGAAAGTGGTGACAAGAAGATGGCAACGAAGCGTTTGTGTGCCTGTGTCGATGAGTCCTTGCGCAAGCCCAAACTGGGACAGGATGGTCTGTCGCCCGCGACGATTCTCAAGGCCCGTCAAGCCTTTACGTCCAATGCCCAGCAGTGCCTGTACGAAGGGCAATGGGAAACCGCCAGCAGCCACGCTGAGTGTTTGGCGCTCTTGTCCTATCTAACAGGCGAAGGGGCGAGTGAGCCAATATCGGCAGGCCAAGGCAATATCTCGGCTGCCATGGATGTCGTCGAATCGATGTCAAAGGAGATGCGATTGCACGAATGCGGAAACGGTGCCAGCGAGCTGCTTTTCCAGTGGGCTTCGAGAATGCTTTACTCTCATGCTGCCAAAGGGTACGACCGGTCGGGTGTTGGCTGTTTTGGATTCATGAATACTGACTGCATTGGCAGGCCATTTCGAAGAGTGTACGTGCGGGAGCAGCTGGCTCGTTTTATCGAAGGGTTCCCCCGAAACACCATCTTATTGAACCTTTTTGGATGGGCAGACGCGACCATACGGGTGGTTGACGAGACGCGACAGCTGCTCTACGACAAGGTGCTGGTAAAGAAGCACGACTCGGTGAGCAGCCGGGTGTTTGCCATCCAACACGAGCTGGGCTCCGGCAACGCCAACAACACGCGGGCAGCGTTTGAGCATGCGATCTGTAGCGAGGTGTGCAAACACAACGTGATGCTCTGGGTTTGGTACGCTGGATTCTGCCAGTCACAGAAACAGCTACAAGCCCTGGCCAAGCGCGTGTTTTACCGAGCACTGGCGCACTGTCCGTGGTCCAAGGAGGTGATGATGGAGGCATTTGTGACGCTGGTGCGCGGGCTGGAGCCGGACGAGTTGCGGTCCGTGTACGAAACCATGACGTCCAAAGGCTTGCGGATTCACGTGGACCTCGACGAGTTTCTGGAGAGGACAAGCATGGGGGCTACGTAGATTTTGTATGGGGATCGTGAGCCGGAGATGAGTGAATCCAGATGATGCATTATGGAAGAAACCATACCACAGACGGTGTTTGCGGGGCATACAATTCTGTCCCTCGTCTCGCTCAGGCGCCAGGTCGCAGCTCTTCCGCTTTCGATAATGGGGGGATGAAGCTGGATGCCGACTGTATCACTGTTGGGCTAACAAGACGGCATTGGAGATGCGAAGCACAATGACGCACGTGGGATCCACGAGACGCCCAAGTGGTCTTTGCGCCAGGTTATGTATCGCAAAATCATGGCTGACTGGCTCTGGTTCAGCTTCCTATACCTTGATTTAATGGGTCAAACAAGCAGAGCGTAACTACTTGTGACGCGAGGGACCCTTGTTGGGTCTTGCCTTGAGACCCTTGTTGGGTCGTGATAATTACGCATGGGCCTCACGAGAACATATATTCTGGCTGCGACCGCCTTTCTCTTCACCACAATCGCCATCACGTCCGCCTTGAGGGAATTGTACCGGCCTCTGTCGGCTGTACCGTGGATTGGCTGTATGCCTAGCCCACCCATCCCGCTCCCTATCTGTGTCCATATTCATAAGGACTGGCATCAGCTGCAGCCAGGCCACCGAACACCCTGACGAGCCTCTCATCGCGACTCGACGCTCTGCGTCCCAAGGTCGAGGAACTGATGCGCATTGGCGGCACGCCCGGCCTCTCGCTCGGTCTCATGCACCAGGGAAACCAGGTCTACTTCGCCAGTTACGGCTACCGTGACGCGGAGCAAGGCCTGCCTCCAAACAGGAGACCATTCTCCCTGTTTGTTCCTTGACCAAGGCCGTTACTTCCGCTGCCGTGGGAATTCTGGTCGATGAGAAAAAGGCTGCCTGGGACACGCTGGTCAAGGATGCTCTGCCTTCGCTTGACATCAAGGACGAGACTCTTCAGAACCAGATGACCATCGCCGATCTTCTCTGCCATCGGTCAGGCATGTCCTGGGGCGACAACCTCATCATTGGCACCGACAACAACATCCTCATCAGCGAAAAAGGCTCCATGACATATCTCAACAGCCAGACGCGCCTCCTTCCCTTTCGTGGCCAATTTGCGTACAACAATCTAGCATATGAGCTTGCCGGCAAGGTCATCGAGGCGCTCAGCAAGGAGTCCTACTTCGACTTTGTCCAGAGTCGGATTCTCGACCCATTGGGCATGACGCGCACCTACCTCAAGACCCCGCCGCCCGACCTGGACAACGTCGGAAAGTGCTATAATGCTCCCGATGACGGGACTTCTGCACCCATTACTTGCGTCAAGGCCGGCGACGACTGGGTCGGAACCCCTCACGTGGGCATGCGAACCTGTGTCAGCGATCTCATGAAGCTGTACAAAGCTTTCATGAAAGGGTTCAACGATCAGTTCTCCACAGGCAACACGTCCACCGAAGGGCTACCCTTGAAGCAGGTCACCCAGCTGATGTCTGCCAAAATGTTCATGGATCAGCCTTCAAGAACGAGGCGTCCTATGGTTTCGGCTGGGGTCGCATTCAACTTCCCGGGAGAATGGGCCAAATTGGTATCAACCCTGATTTGATGCCAGATGGCATGCCCATCGTCGGCAAGGGGATAACGCCACGCCTGGTCATTTTCCACCAGGGAAGTATGCCCGGTGTCCTCTCCCTCAACATGCTTCTTCCCGACACGGAAAGCGCTATTGTCATCTCGTCTAATGCCCTGGCTCTTAACGACGTTCCGGATTGGGTTGGGCAAATGGTCCTGGAAGAGTTCCTCGAGGTCCCGGCGTCGGAGCACAATGACTACCTCGCGGCGGCCAAGACTTCCGCGAAAATGAGTCTCCAGTGGTATCCTAATCTGATAAAGGAGCTTCAACAGGCTCAAAAGAATGGGACATGCCCACGGGAGCTCGACACGTACGCGGGAACATACTGGGATTCCCTCCACATCTTCAAAATTGTCGTCACTGTAGAGGACAATCACCTCTACTGGGCTCTTCCGGGCCTTGAGTCGGAGAAGTTCCGTCTCACCCACTACGAGGACGACATCTTTACCTGGCTCCAGCCACGTAACGAACTATTGTGGACAGGGCCATTCCATATCCATACTCGTGGTTGTCCGAGAAGGTTGGCCCAGGCAGTGCTGTAAAAGGTCCCATCGATCCCGCTCCGGAGACGCCCAGCCTGGTCCGGTCCCCTACTGCAACACAACCAGGGGGAATGGGTGGTGCTTCACATCGGCAAATGCACGCAGAAGAATCCGGGCTCCTGGCTCGGGAGTAACGCCAGGCGCGACGTCTACAAGGGCACCGACGATGAAGGCCAGAGGTTTCCGATGAGACAGCTCAGCTCGGGCGGGCTCTGGAAGGGTCTACCCACGGAGCTGCGGCTTTGCTTCGACGTCGACTGGGCGGTGGAAGCTATTGCCAGAGAGCATCCGGTGAGCCAAGACAAACTCGTTCCAATCCGTTTCCGGGTGGCTTGGGATGCTGATGGAAGCCGGGACGTCGAGTCGGGGCACTCTGATGACGCGGGCGCTTCGTTCTGCGAACTTGAGCTGTGCTCGTTGCTTGCTGTGTGCCTCGACAGGTATGAGCGACTCGGCATGATTTCTGCACATTCCACCGGGCCAGCTGCCGGAAGATATCCAAACGCACGTGGCAGTAACTACGACTATCATCAGAGCGCTGGTCGAGCAGCTACGCGAGATGTAGAAGCATTCGGCTGGGGATCGAGCCCCCGAGAACGGGGAAGAGGGCCATTTCTTGTTGAGAGGCTGGTGCCAGCCCTGCACAGTTGAACACGATCCCTCAATGTGACTTGATTAGGCCAGGTGGTACACATGCTGGAGCTACTCCGTACGTGCTGAAAACATGGGATCACACCTTGTCATTCCTCAACGCCAGTTGCATGTTCATTGACCCTCTCATAATGTGTGTTGAATGTGACAGCAGGCGAAAAGGCGTTGTTCGGGTTCATGTCTGCGGTTTAAAAGTTTCGATGACAAAAGCCGAAATACTATACGCGAGGCCCTGATTAACTAACGCTAAGGGTTATTATAGGGGTACTTTAGGGTAGGATAAGACTTTAAAAAGGATTCCTCTATTATATATATATATATATAAATAGTAATACCTAACAGTAATACTGTTGGAATACTAACCTGCTGAGTAACCCGTGCAATCGGGATACCATCACGGTTCATGCACGACTCCACGTGACACCCTACCCCGCGATCAGGGCACGCAGCCCCGGCTGCATGCCCCCATTACCAGGTGCACATTCCGTTTCTTGTGAATAGCTTCCTCTTCCCTAGTTAGTTACAATTGAAGTCATCACCGGTTACCCTACCTGTCGTGACTGTGACTCAGCCTACAGCTTGTGCGCATGCGTATCTGTAGGCACATAGGTGCCTACCATCAAATACTCTTATTTATATGTCTATAAAGAACCTCCCGAGTCTGTGCACGTGACCAATCTCGTGATCTCCGCGATTCAGATCCGGCATGTCCCCCCGTCTCCCTTGCTGCCTCTATCACCGTTATCCTCGTCTTGGTTGGCACACCCTGTGGCGTCGAGCCCAAACGGATAATTCCCATACCTTGGTCTGTGACATCAAGCCATATACTTGGTGCCATGTCGGCCTAGGGTAGGCTCGAGGTCCGCCCATACCCGTCCATCATCCCATCACCACTTGCCAGCAGATGCGTCAACGGTGACTGGTGAACCCGTCCTGGCGGTTGCAGGAATACCAATCTTTGCACTCATCCTTGCTCTCGACATCCAAGAGCCATACAATCATGGTTCCCTTCGCCGACCAAGGACTCGGCTTCCCCCGCATCGCCGGCGGCGGCGCCAGCGAGACCCAGCGTTCCGTCAAGATTCTCCACGCAAAGGTCCTGCCCTACTTGCGGCACATATTTGAAGCCCATGCCGGCTCCACGCAGAAATGGACGGCCGCCCAGGCCCAGGCCTTCGTTGGCAAGGTCCAGGACGGCGACGACTCGACCCCCGCGGCAGCTGCCTTGCTGGGCCAGCCCGACGTGGGCCTCGATGGCTTCCTGGCATACATGACCTCTGCCGACGGAGCCATAACCCGCCCCTGGAAGAAGTGCGATCTGTCGTGGCCGCTGGCCAGCTACTTCATCAGCTCCAGCCACAACACGTACCTGACGGGCAACCAGTTGTCGAGCGACAGCACCACGGAATCATACACCAATGTCCTCCTGAGGGGCTGCCGCTGCGTCGAAGTGGATGTCTGGGACGGCGCAGACTCGGATTCGGAGAGTTCGGCCAGCAGCAGCGGCGGCGGCGACGCAGGCGCCACTCGCAAGGCTGGTGCCCAAGGCGCGCGCACCAAGCCCACCGCGCATAAGAGCAAGCTGGGCATGCTCAAACAAAGGCTACCAGGCTCTCTCGCTTCGAGACTGGAGAGGACCAGTCTGGGAAGGAAGATGGACGAGAGGGGCGGGGCAATCGGCCAACACGAGGCCGTCCCGGCTGCAAGGGACCAAAAGTTCGGCGACGAGCCCGAGTCGGAGTCGGAGCCCGACGTCTGCATGGCCGAACCCAGGGTGCTTCACGGCTACACCCTGACAAAGGAGGTGTCCTTTAGAGCCGTGTGCTATGCCATACGCGAGAGCGCCTTTGCCGTCACTGACCTGCCCCTCATCGTCAGCCTTGAGGTGCACTGCAGCCCGCATCAACAGGCCATGATGGTCAGCATCATGCAAGAGGCGTGGCACGGCCTGCTGGTCGCGGGACCGGAATCGCAACCTGATTCTCTCCCGAGCCCCGACGAGCTGAGGGGCAAGATCCTCATCAAGGTCAAGCACGTGCCCTCCGGCGCGCCGGCCGCCGTGGCAGACGAGCTCGAGAGCGGAGACGACGATGATATCGGCGGCGGCGGCGCCATCTCCCCGGCCGCCAAGGAGACCAAGCAGCAGAAGCCATCCAAGATCATTGCGGAGCTCAGCCGGCTCGGCGTCTACACGCAGGCCGTCTCCTTCAAGGCGTGGACGCAGGCCGAGGCGACAATGCCGACGCACATCTTCTCGCTGGCGGAGAAGAAATTCCTCGACCACCACGAGCGCAGGGCGGCGGACCTGTTTGAGCACAACAAGCACTACCTGATGCGCGTCTATCCGTCGGGCCTGCGCATCGGCTCCTCCAACCTGTACCCGCCCATATTCTGGGGCGCGGGCGCCCAGGTCGTGGCGCTCAACTGGCAGCAGACGGACGAGGGCATGATGCTCAACGAAGGCATGTTTGCCGGCACCGGCGGCTACGTGCTCAAACCTCAAGGTGAGCCCCGGGTTCTGAATATTTACCCCCCCTCCCTCCCTGAGGTAAACACTTGGCTAACTCGCGGGCAAAAACAGGCTACCGTCCCCATGTCCGGTCCAAGCCGGAGACAGCGGCGCAGGCAATCCGCAAAACCCTCTCCCTGACAATCACATTCCTCGCTGCGCAGTCGATCCCGCTGCCAGAGTCGGACACGTCGGCCAAGCGCTTCCACCCGTATATCAAGACGGAGGTGCACGCCGACGGGTCCAACCACCTGTCGCCCGTCAACGACGGCCTCGGCCACGGGGGCGAGTACAAGATCCGTACGCGCACCCACCACGGCTGCGACGTCGACCTAGGCAGCGAAAAGGTGGTCTTCCCCGCCATCGACGGCCTCGTCGAGGAGCTCACCTTTGTGCGCTTCACCATCCGTGACGACGAGATTGGCCGCGACGACCTGGCCGCCTGGGCGTGCGTGCGGCTCGATCGCCTCGGACAGGGGTACAGGTTCATACACCTGCTCGACTCGACGGGTGCCGTGACCGAGGGCGTCGTCCTGGTCAAGGTGGAGAAGGCGCTCTCGTAGGACGCGAGGCCCGCCGCCAACGCCGGGACCGGTGGTATGCAGCAGCGGCGCGGCCATTGCTCGCGCAGAGCTTCCGCGGCGGCTTTCTATCGCTCGCTACGACGCTCGGATAGAGACGGCTAGATGAGTAGTCGGCAGTATTGGGGGGAATCGGGCCGATCAATGTCTGCAGCGTGGATTGCACAGGCAAATGTGGTTGGACTACCTACTGAGAAACAGATGTTCCAACAAGTTCCCGCATCAAAGTATCGAGGGATTTGGCTAGTATCGCTTCCCTCGCATGATGCCGAGTAAAGGGTTGGCGCTTGAGTTATACGCCGCACCAACAGACGCTCGTACGATATTTGCAAGGTAGTTGTTTACCAAACAGCTACGTCCAACACGGATATATAAAAAAGAAAAAATATTGAGCCCGTGAGCAGAAAGGTTCTCGCTTTCACTTCTGCTACAGACCGCACAGCTTTACAATTCCCTCATGGCTTGTAAATGATGCCACCGCCCTGGTCCCAGCCGGTGCCCTGCCCCTGGTCCCAACACTTAGTAGTTGCTGCCCTTGTTCTCACGCTTCTCGTGTCCACGCTCCTCCAGGTTCTTGCTGCCCAGCATGTCACCAGCCTTCTCCATGAGCTTACCCATGGTGCTGTCGCTGCCACCTTGCTTTTTGTCACTGCCGTAGCCTGAAGAGCCATACGAGTCTCCTCCAGAGCCGTACGTGTCGGTGCCACCGGTACGGCCGCTGGATCCGTATGAGTCGCCGCCACCTGTGCGACCACTGGATCCGTAAGAGTCTCCCCCAGAGCCGTACGAATCGCCGCCGCCAGTGCGGCCGCTGGATCCGTATGAGTCGCCGCCACCTGTGCGACCACTGGATCCGTAAGAGTCTCCCCCAGAGCCGTACGAATCGCCGCCGCCAGTGCGGCCGCTAGATCCGTAAGAATCACTGCCACCAGTGCGACCACTGGAGCCGTATGAGTCTCCCCCAGAGCCGTACGAGTCGCTGCCGCCGGTGCGGCCGCTGGAGCCGTATGTGTCGGTACCCCCGGTGCGACCGCTAGAGCCGTATGAATCTCCTCCGGAGCCGTACGAGTCGTTGCCACCCTTGCGGCCGCTGGTGCCATAGGAATCGCCGCCGGAACCGTACGAGTCGCCGCCGCCGCCGGTGCGACCGCTGGAGCCGTAAGAGTCTCCTCCGGATCCATACGAGTCGCCTCCGCCGGTGCGGCCAGATGAGCCTAGACCGTCATTGCCTCGGCCAGAAGATCCGTACGAATCATCGTCACGGCCAGAGGAGCCGTAACTGTCGTTGCCTCGACCAGATGAGCCATAGGAATCAGTGCCTCCGGAGCGGCCCCCCGAGCCGGTGTTCTGTTATAAAACCAGGTCAGTCGAGCTCGTATATAAGTCGGACCGAGGGCATCTCACGTCATCGTCGTCGCGGCGGTAAGACATCTCGACAAAGTAGAATGAATGCGAAGGGGGTATCTTTTTGTTGTAGACTGGTTGGGGATGAGTATGACGTTCAAAGTATTAATTGCCAGGGGCGGAAAGGCTTTCTATTTAATAGACGGCGGGATCGTAGCCGTTTGGAGGTCAATGGACATGTGTACATGACCGGGACACGACCCAGAAGCGAGTCCTCGTTAGATGACGTCCTGGGAGAAGGCGTAGGCGCAGCAGCCCAGTCCAGCTGAAAGCTCTTCCCCACAGTCTCCAGCTTCCCCTGTGTCAAGCGCGCAAAGAGGGGTCGGAGAACCCGTCTGGACCCATCATCGGCACATTGGCCCGCCAAGCTTTCCCTGGGTGGGCAAAACCGGTTTCGGACCCTTTTCCGCCTTTTGATGCAGAGTAGGCTGTTTCGAGTACAGAGGACGGCTCTGGCGGATGCCTCGTCGCATTCCATCTGGCCACTGCCATCGTCATTCTCTTGCTCCCAACCTGTGGCCGAGAGGTGGCCGAGTGACGGGGTGTGCAAGGCAATGATGATGTCAAGTTGGGGCGATCGGCAAAGCTCCAGGAGAGCTTCGTCATCTCCCGGAAGACGGGGGTTGGCCTAGATCGAAACGACGCTGGCGGGGCACAATGGAGGCCTCCATCCAGTCAGGCCCGTGGGCAACATGGTGGCTGTGAGTGGGCAACGGTGGGTCTGGAAGGAGTCGGAAGCCGGATGGCAAGCGGGCGAGCTTGGCTTGCTCGGGCAGGCCGCACACCATGTCGCGACAGCGTCTTGCAGCTGATTGGGGACGATGCAGAATGCCGCACGCACGCCAGTGGCGTCTGCAACAGCAAAGCTGATTGCTCGAGTCCAAGGCGTGCGCATGCGCCTGCGTATGCAGCGCAAGATACAGTATGCATGTTGCGCTTGTCAGTTCTGTCTTCTTTCTGGCTTTTGCCCTCAAGCAACGAGAGCGAGCATAGGCGCCGCCGTGGGCATGTATCGGGCGAACTGACGGGCCGAGCTGAATCTGAGATGCTGGGGCGTGTCTGTGGCCGGCGGTGCCACGGCTCCAGCGCCATGCCGGACGGGGAAGCGTTGCTTGGTGGAAGGAGACCACGGTGACGAGAATGAATGGAGTCGAGGCCGAGGGTAAGAGCGAGGAAGCGGACTGCACGGTGTATTGCACACTGTGACTCAGCTCCGTCTTCTTCTTGCTGCCTGTCGGTGGTGAGTTTGTCATCCACACCAGAATGCACCTTCCGACTAAGAGAGCAATGATAGGTGGTTCTCAGGCATCACACGTGAAGATGACGTAAAAGGAACACCATGGCGTATCACGACTCGACAAGCTGCACAGTATACACACGGTATGGTCCAGAGCCAGACTCGACAGCCTGCCGTGCGAGCCTTTTTCCTTCGACACTTTTCGCTATGCGCTTCCCGTTGGCACGATGTAGCGAATCGGGGTACACGTAAATACAGTTTAGTTGTACTGTACATACCAAGGGTGGTTGACGATTTGCAGACAACTTGAGCCTTCAGATAGGAAGAGCAATTCCATTCGAGCCCCGAGTCTCGTCCTCTCCGCGAGGCCCTGCAGGAGTGCCGGCCCGTACACTGCATCCTCCGAGACTCTCGTTGAGCCGCTCCAGGCATTCGCAGGTACAGTATCCGCCTTCTTGCCCTCTTCTCGATACATCGCCCTTGCCTGCGCAGTGCGGACGTGAACCCGTGTTGCCGTCGCACCGCACCGACTTCCAACACGAGTCTTGATCCTGCCCATCGTTGTTTGCCTGGGGCTCGCAATCCACGACGCGGCACCCACAACGGCCCCGTGGATACGTCGCCCAGGCGTCGTCCTTGACGCACCGGGCAAACGTGGGATAAATGTTGCGATGCTGCTCGGTACAGTTTACCAGCTCAGTGCAGTACTCATGAGGGTCCGGCTGGGTTAAACACCCCTCGCCTTTGGAAGCGCATCCACAAACACCCGGATAATGTGGATAGAGCGCTGTTTCTTTTTTGCATTGAGCCTCTTCATCGTCCAAGCACTGGTGGTACGGCAAACAGTCCTCCATGTTGCCGCACGGCGCGGCTAGACACACGCATTGGTCGCCGACACAGGCAGGATATTGTTGCAGCGAGCGGTAGCACTGGCCCTCCATGGCAACGCGGCAGTCTTCAAAGCCTTGAGGGTCGCCTGGTTTGCAAGGCTCAAAACCTTGCTGACCTGGCTTCAGCCATAGAAGGGGATGACGCGGCGTCGAGACGGCAGACACACTCGTCGTCTGCGCCATGCCAAAGCCCGGTGACGTTTCTGTGCTACTGCTGGTCCATGTCTTGATGGCCAATGGATCACTCGTGCTTGATGCCGAGCCCCTCGTCAATGTCGAGTTGCCCCTGTCAATCTTGCTCGACGCCCCAACGGCTAGCACGTCGCTCGTGCCGGGTGAGGAGCTAATCAGTAAGCCACTTGTGGACGATTCCAGGGCCAACGGGTCGCTTGTAGTAGACACAGAGTCTATAGATGAGACTTTCATCCAAGAGACAGGCGTTACAGAATCTTTCTCCGTCAAAGGAAGCGACGTAAGAACACCTGAGCTCGTCCACGAGGAGGAAGTCATATCAAATGACAAACTCCTCTGCGCCTCGTCCGTCAAAGGTACAAGCTCATCGGTAGACTCTGATTGTCGATCCACTGATCGCGTCGAGTCCTTGGTGGTTGATGAGCTGGCATGACCCGATCTCGACAGGGATGTAGTATGGCCGCCCGCGGCGGTCGACGGGGGCCACAACGTAACGGCAGTCGCAGAGCCCACGTCGAGCATCGCCGTCGTGGACGACTCGGCGATATCGTGTATGCCTGTGAAGCGCGATGTAGAGTCCAAAGAGGAGCCAAATGCCACTGCCTGTGTGGCCAGCAGCAGTATAGGGGCCGCGCGTAGGGACCATCGGCCCATGGTGATCGAACCAAAGAAAAATACCTGAATGATCGGCGCACGTTCTGGCGATGAGTTCGGAGGAGAGATGCTAGATGCTAGGTCCGTCCGGTTCTGGGGTCGAAGCGAGAACTTATATCGGCACAAGCCGTCTTGAATCAAGGTGGCTGTGACGGGATTGAGATGATAGTGATTCAGGACAAGGCAAATCACCAACGCCGGAGTGGGTGAATGGTGTCCTGAGATACACTCGTCATTGCATCGACTCAGAGCCGACTTGACTTTTCGTTTGCACCGCCAATCGCGCCGCTCATCATGGTTGGTTCGCGGGTGCTGCCAAGCAGGACTGCCTCTCTTCCACCTTTTGTTCCCCACCATGCGACTCCAATCGTAGACCTCTCGACGTCCATTTCGCCGTTGACGAGAACATCGAGAAACCGTTTCATGACAGGCCCCCTTAGACTGGGATCCGCAATCTCCTTCATCATCTGGGCCGTGATTCCGAGCCAATCTTCGACCAGCACCAGGGGCAGGAACGGCAATGAATCGACCAGCGCCATCACCAGAGCGCTCTGTTCCGAGAGCGGGACGTCTTCTTGCTGAGAAGACGAGCTATTGTTTTGGCCCAGGAGTGCGGTGGAAGCGGTAGGTATATTGCAGCGGAGCATCTCGAGCAGCGTCTCGGATAATTCAGGTCTCATGGCTGCAATCGGGAAAGGGGGCGATACGATTTCCATGACGGTCTTGAAAGCAACACGGAACTGCCGCGGTGAGATGTGATGGGGAAAGGACTCGAAGAGCTTGACTATGTAGAACGGAGTAATGTCGATGGTGAGGGGGCTGTGCTGAGGACAGGATAGAACCGACAGGATGGCACTATGGGCTGATTCGAAGAGCTCGACCCCAGAAGGCGACAGTGACCCATTGTGCGAAAGATATGCTACTGCCGGCTCGATAATCAGGTTCTGGCAGGAACTCGCCGACAGAGCGAGAGGGAGATGCTCCGCCACGTTGAGATGGAATAGATCCAAGGTCCTCTGAAGAAAGGACGCAGGGAAAGGAATTACATCGGCGGCTCGAGTTTCTCGCAAAAAGACTTGGCATGTCGCTGGGTCTCGTGAGAGGACATCGAGCGACGTCAGATAGGAAAAGGTGTAGACTTGGAAAGCGTTATTCCCGTTGCGGGACGAGATGAAGAAGAGGTTTCGAAGAACGTGTAGCGACTTGGCGGCAATGCCCGGAGCCATGCCGTTGGCCAGCATGTTTGGATCTAGCAAGCTGCGAGATACAATGGCCTGAAGCACGGCAACAGAGCCAAACATGAGCTTTCTCAGAACCTGCCAGAGGTGGGGCCAGGTCGTTTGCAGCGTCTCGAGATCCATGCGCGTGCCCTCAAAATCGGGGTCGACGCCGCTGAGGGCGATTCTCTGCCATGCACTGAGGACTCTGCCAGTAAAGACCAAGAGGGCGTCCTGCGCCTGCAGCACGGCGGCCGAGTCCCTCGCATGCTGCACTGCGAAGCCGGCGAGCTTGGAGAGGGGGCCAATGTTTGCCATCAAGGGCTGCTTCTCCAACTCCTGGAGCATGCGGTATGCCGGAGAGTTTGCAGGATAGCTGAGAAGGTGCGAGGCATTCTCCGTGGTGTCGTTGCCGATGGCCTTGAGAAACTGTCCGTCGCAGAAGCCTTGATCCCCGGTAAAGGCCCAGACAGCTATGGGAAGCAATGCGCTGCAGTTGATGCGGGACCGGTTCCCGTCTGAGAGTAGGGGAAAGGCGAAGTTGAGGGCCGTAACTAGCGACGCAGACGCAAGCAGCCCATCTTGAGCCGTGTGCTCGAGCGCAGGATTTGTGGCGGTGACGATGGCTTGCTCGAGGGCGCTCCTCAGACTCCAGGAAAGGGATCGCCTGCCGTCGCCTTCCATGCCGACAAGCACGCCTGTCAGGACGAGGAGGTGTTGCCATCGCCGCGACCGGTCATCGGCGCCCTTGATGACGGCGCGCGCCCACTCGTCGCATCGTAGCCCGCCCTCGTGTCCCGGCTCCTTGTGCTTGGCGTCGTCGGTGTCGTTGTCGCGCACGCGCGAAGCCGCAGTCCTGTAGATGCCAACGATGCGCAGGGAAAGCCGCGGACCGTCCTGTCGATGCCAGATGGCGGGCGCCGTCAGCAGCTGCGAGGTCAGGACGCCGAGGTTGAGCGGGTTGGAGAGCCGAGACAGCAAATGAGCAGTGGTGCCGATGATCTGGTCCGTTTCGACGGGGCCGTGGACATGTTGGTACCGTTGAAGAACCGTGTTCAGGAGCCGGTCTGCAGGCATTTTGCAGCTGTTGGAGGCGAAGGCGGCATCGAAACTCGTCTTGCTATGCCGCTGCGAGTTGGAAGAAGGAAGGTAGATTTGAAGCCCACTGGTCGAGGCCGCAGCCGGAGTCCGTGTTGGCAAAAGGTACAAAGTACTTGCGATCTTTTGCCGAGGCTTCAGGCCAGGGTGGGTCGCCCTACACGGTAGTACTCGCAACCAGCATCGCGTCGGAACATCACTTAAGCACCCCGTTCGCGCGACTCCGGCAGCTGTTCCATGGCACCCGCGAGGCCGCGCCAAAGGCAGTGTCGATTGCGCCCTCGCCGGGCCGGTTGAAGCACTAGATTGCCATGTCGAACCCGAACAACCCTCCGCCGGGCTACCGAGCGCCGCCGTTCCCATCCCTCAGCACGCCCATGCTCTCCGACAAGACGCCCCAACGACTGCACACAATCTACTACATCGAGGACGCGTGGCGCTTCACGTTGCTATGGACGCTCATCACCTACGCCGTCTTCCATGTGGGAGCAGTGCTCGTGGCCGTCGTCACGCATGGCTGGAAAAAGTCGTCGTGGTCGTACCTCTGGGCGGTGCCGGGCGTCTATCTCGTCGTGGCGGGACTCGAGGCGGTTCTCGCCGGCAGCGTGGTCGGTCTGGTGTGCGTCGCATCGCTTGCATGGACTTGCCTGGGGATTCGAGCTGACTGCTGTGTCTAGGCTTGGCGCCGTGTATAGGGCCGGATACTACGAGATGAACACGTGGATCCCGTGCACCTGGGGTATCATCAACGTCTTGACGTTGGTCATATCGTCCTTTTCGATCCAAGGCGGGCTATGAACGGCATTCTGCCTGGATGATTGTGTTCTCTGCAGGAACCGTCTCGACACGCGACCGGCACGGTGCTTCGTATGTTGGACACCATCCAGCAACGGCATCAAGAGAGTGTCTGTCCGTGAATGGAAAAGCCCGCCCTTTTCTGCACCGTCGAAACTGCCGTCATCTACGGCAACGCCTTTGCGGCACTGTATGCAATTGGAATGATTTCGGGAGCTGGTCTGGGATTACAACGAGAGGCCGTAACCTGATGAGGCCTAGTGGTGGAGCTTTAGCTGCCCCTGATTGGATGCTACAACAGCACGTTCCCACCAGCGTACAGTATATGCTCCTGGTACTGTAGGGAGGGGAGGCAAGAGGGAGGCACTCGCGCTGTTCGTTACGTACGGAGTAGGTAGTATGTTGGGGATCTTGCAATGCACCCCGACTGACTGCCCTGGCCCACTGCGCCACCCCAAAGACTCTCAAGTGCAACTTCTTCGGCGAAAGGCTTCTACCATTGATATTATTCGCTGCAAAACAATCCACTTAGCGTCGCAGCCCTCATCCTCTATTTCGAAACCAACGGAGCCTTTTCTACGCTAGATCAACGTGGTTCTCAGTCCCTCTCACCCACCTGCAGTCAGTTTAGGCTCCGCCAACAAGCCATCGTCATGCCTCGGGTGCGAACCTGAGCATCACTTCAAGGACGACACAGACGACGCAGACGACGCAGACGACGCAGACGAGGCCGGTAGACATTCAGGACCACTGAATTTCTGGATGAGTCGACTTCCTGAAAGTCCGACCTCTCCACACGCCCGGGATGGATCCTACGACCTCTCGTGCTCAGCAGCGACCGCCGCCCGCCGAGTCGCAGTTCCGGCCATATCGGCCTTGGGAGACGGACGCTCCCCCACTACCCGACTCGCCTCTCAAACCCTTCTTCGCCGGCCAGCCCAAGTCCTTGTCGGGCATCGCCCTCCGGGCATTCTGCCTGGGCATTGCCTTTGCCGCGAGTGTTGTCGCCGTCGCCGGCATCCTGCTCTTCACCCACAGCCCGGCATGGCGTGTGCCCTTTTTCCTGCTCGCCCTGTCCACTTTTCACTTTCTCGAGTTCTGGACGACCGCTGAGCGGAACACGCTCGTGGCCAGCATCGACAGCTTCCTCCTGACAGCCAACTGGCCCTCGTACGCCATCGCCCACTCGGCCGCCTTCCTCGAATGCGCCATCGTCAGCATCTTCTTCCCGAGTCGCTCCTGGGCCCCTTTCTACTCCGGTCCCCTCCTCCTCGCCTTCGGCATCGCCCTGGTTCTGGTCGGCCAGGCGGTCCGCTCGGCCGCCATGCTCCAGGCGGGGGCCAGCTTCAACCACCAGGTGCAGACTAAGAAGGCGGGCTCCCACACGCTCGTCACAACCGGCATCTACGGCACTCTGCGACATCCGAGCTACTTTGGCTTCTTCTACTGGAGCCTGGGCACGCAGCTGGTGCTCGGAAACGTGGCTTGCTTCTGTGCCTATGGGGCGGTTCTATGGACCTTCTTTAATGGAAGAATCAAGGTCGAGGAAAAGAAGCTCGTCGATTTTTTCCAAGACGATTACATCGAGTATCGGAGGCGGGTCCCCACAATGATGCCGCTTATAGCCTGATGAAATGGGGCGGTCAAGCTTGGCTGCGTCGCTTTACGTTGCGGATGGACACGGCTGGGGCGAGCTAGAGGGGGTAGACTGTCGTAGGGTTAATCCAAACGTCAATAATACTTTTAGCTTTTAAACAAAGAATAAACATCCTAACTCCATAGCGTATCGAGACCAGATAAATGCACCTCCCTTTCCAAGGGCAGACATTGAAAGCAGGACTGCCTGAAATTACACCTTGGGCTTTCTCCCGGTCTACTTGATGCTCACCGTTTGCTGCATCTCCCTGCTCACGCTCCCGTACTTGGCCTGCCAAGCATAAAAGTACATTAGCGTCGCGAAGGGCTGGCCAAAGATGGTAAACGACACCCAGAAAATGACGTTGCCCACGAGCTTGCCGCCTTTGCCGAGCCTCATCTTCTCCATGGGCGCTGTGATGGCGATGAGAGGCAACTGGAGAAACATGCCGAGAAAGGCAACGCCTGCGGATTGCGCGAGTCAGTCAGTGGGCCACGGAGCTGCGCAGAGGGAGGGGCGGACGAACCGATGACGTTGTGAGTGGGGATTCCGACCAGAATCTCGTGGAGGACGGCCGAGACGAAGAAGACAACAAGACTGGCCATCATGGGGCTCCATCCACGCCCGATCATGGGCATATAGACGTGGCGCTTGAAGTAGGTGTAGACGGGCTTGTTCCAGGTCCGCCAGTATGCGCCCAGGCTCTCGCTGTTCCACCAATCATCGTAAAATACCCGATCACCAAACCGTAGCACTTCGGCGAGAGCATTGAGGAAGGACTGGAAGAGGGCAAAGAAGCCGGCGAGCCAGATGACGAGTGAGATGGTGGACAGCTTCAGCAGCCGCTCAAGGATGGAGGCAAAGTCGAGCGACGCAATCTTATCCAGAGAGTTGCGCAGGACGGGCGCGGCATACTGGAAGCTGGCGAACCAGATGAAGGCGCTCAGGCAGAAGACCTCTCCGAGCCTCTTGGCGACGAAGAGCCACCTGATCTTGTCGGTCCGGGGATAGACGGGTTGGTAGACGAGCGTCGGGGCCCACCAGAAGTAGACGAGGTTGCCAAAGGTGATGTTTTGCGGATACGGGCACTTGGAGTACAGCTCTGGGACGAGCTCGCCCCTGACGGGATGCAGGTACGCGTGGCGCAGGTCGCGGTTGGTGAAGGCGTACGAGGCCGTCTTGAGCCAGACGATGATGGCGTGCATTTCGGTGAGAGTGCCGATGAGCGGGTGGTGGATGTAGAAGTAGACGACGGCCGAGGTCACGACCAGGGCCAGGGTGATGTTGGCCGCATGGACCCAGGCGACGATGAGCCATGTCGCGTGAAACCTCTTGCGGTCTTCTTCAGAGGGACTGGTGGCGCCGTCCTTGAGGCGCTTCCTCGACCCCAGCGCCTGCTGGGCAGCGGCGAGCTCGATGAGGTAGGCGGCCAAGAGATGGCAGGGGATGAGGAAGTAAAGCAGGCCGCCGATGAGGACGTCCTGGCGGCTGTAGGCGTGGCAGCGGATGCAGATCAAGACTCCGTACTGGGGAGGGGGATCAGCAACACGGGATCCCGGGGGCGCATGGGCCAAGTACGGACCTTTTGGATGTTTTCAATCATCAATCGCAGGTTGCCGACGACTGCCAACCGCTGTTAGCGGCGAGCGAGGATGGGCGACACGCCGATGCTTACCCAAGACAATGACCATGAGGTTGCGGAAGCCAATGAAGCTGGGGGCAGCATCTGAATCGTGGCTGAGGCACGAGGGCCTTGTCTGGGAGTGGACGGCAACGACATGGCGATACTTTTTCTGCGACCAAGCTGTCTTGACCCTGTCGGTCACCGTGCCGTTTCGTGGCTCGACCCCGGTCGGATCCTTGCCGCCATGGCGTTTTGTCGCGGTACCAGTCGAGGCCTCGACGCTGGTGGTCGTGGCGGCCATCATGTTGTGTGGCGGCGTCTTCCAATTGGCAGCGTGTAAGAGAGATGCGAGAGAGGCTGACTGACGATGGAGGGACAAGATCAGATGGTGGCAAAGGACAGCTTTCGACCAAGGGGGTGGGGTTTCTCGTTCGAATTCGGCCTCGGTGCGCGTGAAGGGTTAATTAATTACTTCGCAGCAGCGTGGCGACGCAGGTATTGTTCGGCGCCAACGCGAGCGGCGTCTGCGCCTCTGCAGCCTGACCAAGTCTGTCGATGAGGCCGGTGGATGCTCAAGTGGGTATACGGCGCTGCCTGAGCGTGAGGAGAAGACAAGGAACAGCAGGACCGTGGACGCAGTCAAAGTGATGAGACTGGGAGAAAGAGCAGAGGCTAGAAAGAGGGAGGGACAGGAAGCAAAGGGCCCAAAGATGAGAGTATCCAGCAAGAATGCAACCGTCGAGGGAGCAGGTACCCTCTTCCCAGGGACGGCTTGTTTGGCCCCCCTGTGGCGATTGTTCGATTCAATTAGGCCCGAAGAATAGCGTGGCCGAAGGGCGGGGCCAGACGGCGTCAAACTCTCGTCATTGGGATAATGCAAGCGGGCCAGGGTCGGAGAGCACCAAAGTTGTCAGGTACAGTACAGTACAGTGTAGTGCATGTATCTTCTCTTGATATCACGGTGCCTCGGCACGCGCCTGGCCTCGCTTATCTCGTCGTATCGCAAAGTCCCCTTAATCTTATCTGGAGAAGGGACCCGAGGCACCACCCCGTCTCGCACAAGGCACAAGGAGAAGGAGATCAAGGAATTTCCGCATTGCATTCTTGACGCGCTATCGGACCAATGCAGATGCCGAGTCTTTCCCTCTGGGGCTGGAATGCGGCCAAATCGTGCGATTCACTTGTCGGCTTTATTGGTCTAAGCTGTTTGAACTCCCTTTGTGCTCTGTGGAGGTACGGGGCTAATATAGCTACGTACCTACTTGATCTGATTACATAAATACCTAGTTCGCTGACTCAACTGCTGGTCTCGCGCTGGGCCGTTCTCACGTGACGTGTACTCACTTCGCGCATCTGAAATACTCCGGGGAGCAACGCGCAAACGTCCTCTTGGTCGCCTCACTTCACCACAAATGGCGAATCCTCTGCAAACCCCATCGAGAGAACCAAATCTTGCGTGACAGGTGTGCAGTGAGGACCCGCGGTCAATATATATCGGCTTCCCGACAAGCCTGAACGCCTCGCCACGTCCTCACCACGCCGCGTGCATGTGGAGGAAGCTCGACCCGGGAGCTCGCAACCATGGCCCACGAGCCGCGTGGTGATCATGGTGACCGCGGCGGCCATGATGGGGCGTACATGAAGATGCGGGGCCGAAGTAAGTCTGTCGCTGCGCCTCTATTGCCATTCTTGTCCTCTTCGGGGCCCAACCATCACCGCAGCCGTCACAGCTTTGTATCCCACGACATGTCCCAACCACCACCGCTTGGGCCGGGGAGAAAGCTCTCTCCAAGGTCAAGGACGAAATATTCGGCCTTCAGGGAGCTTGAGCCAGCAAATCACTATGGAAAGCTAGCACACGTGGGCCGGAGAGCGGGATGATGGTGGTTCTCACCAGTGAATGATCATCTATTATCCCACGAACCCGCGATCCGTAACGCCCGAGCATTCTTCCGAAAGCCACTCGTCTTCCTTTCGTGAAGCCTGAACCCTTCACGACCCCTCTTTCTCAGTCCACAGTCTTGACGGTGAAACGAACCGATCATGATGCTTCGGGGAAAATGTACTGCACAAGCGCTGACCTTCGTTTTGCAGGGCCGGTCACCGACTACAGTGCCACCGTCGCTCATTGGCAGCGGAATCGAACTGCCAACTACAAGGGTGGCTACACGGGCGAGGCCGAGCGGCCGAGCGTGAGCTACATTGTGGATGTTAGCCTCTCCAGGTTCCTCCAGCGTTCAAGGTCAGGCTGACGGCCTATCTAGATGATCCCACCCGCCGGGCGGCCCACGTCAGCGGCAGACAGCATTCCCTCCAAGCACCTGCATTCATCCTTGAACAAGATCAAGCATCCAGTCAACGTGGTCCGATGGACTCCCGAAGGACGACGGCTTTTGACAGCTTCGACGAGCGGCGAGTTCACTCTCTGGAACGGCACGGGCTTCAACTTCGAGACCATTATGCAGGCTCACGACTCGGCCATCCGAGCTCTGGAATACTCTCATAGCGACGACTGGCTGATATCGGCCGACCACGACGGCCTCATCAAATATTGGCAGCCCAACTTCAACAACGTTCAGAGCATCCACGCGCATTCAGATCCTATCCGGGACCTTGCCTTCAGCCCAAACGATTCCAAGTTTGTGAGTGCCTCTGACGATTCTACCCTCAAGGTCTTCGATTTTGCTTTGGGTCAGATGGAGTCCAAGCTGGAGGGCCACGGATGGGACGCCAAGTCTGTCGACTGGCATCCCACCAAGGGTCTTCTCGTGTCTGGTTCAAAAGACCATCTCGTAAAGCTTTGGGATCCTCGCACCAGCCGCTGCCTCACGACTCTCCATGGGCACAAGAGTACCATTACCAAGGTGACGTTTGAAAAAGTTCGCGGCATGTGCCTCGCGACGTCGGCTCGCGACCAGACGGCCCGCGTCTTTGACCTGAGAATGATGCGAGACATTTGTCTGCTCAAAGGCCACGAAAAGGATATTTCCACGCTCTCATTCCATCCCATCCATCCCAACCTGCTTACTACCGGCGGCATGGACGGTTCGCTCTTCCACTATCTACTCGACACGCCCAATCCCCCCCCTGGCCAGGCCTTGACGGTTGCGCCGTACGACAGTCTGGATCCCACCACCGCCGCGGCCCAGTCGGTCTGGCCCTCGCACAGGTTAGCCTTCGCGCACGACTATGCCATTTGGTCTCTCGACTGGCACCCCCTGGGCCACATTCTCGCAACCGGGTCCAACGACCGAATCACTCGCTTTTGGACCCGCGCACGCCCTGGCGAGATCAACGTGTTCAAGGACCGGTACCACATTGGCGAGGCGGCCGCCGAGGCACAGGGAACATGGGATCGTCGTGGCAACCGTCGTCAGCGGCAGGAGGAAGAGCAGCAGGAAATGGAGGACGAGTTGGACGCGCTGGTTGACCAGGACGCGCTCAAGCAGCAGGCGGCGGGCTTGCCCGGCATCCCTGGCCTTCCCTTGGGCGGGGGCATGGTTCCTGGCCTCGGCTCAGGCGCCGCTATCCCACGACCTCCCATCCCAGGCGTCGGCTCCAACCCTTCTGCTCCTCCCCCGCCGCCCCTGTTTCCTCTTCCCGGGCTCAACGGCGCTCCCCATCCCCCACTGCCGGGCCTGGATCCCAACAAGCCTCCGGACCCGGCACAGCTGATTGAGATTATGAAAAGGGCCGGCGTTCCTCTCCCGCCTCCGGGCGCGTTGCCTCACGGCCTCATCCTGCCCCCCGGAAACGTCCCTTCGCCAGGCAGCTTTCCCATGCCGGTCCAGCCGCCTCTGTTGCATCAGCCAGATGGCGACAAGAGCGACAGCGGCAGACGGCGAGCTCCTCTGCCTAGCCAAGAGGAGAGCTTGCGGCAGGAGCAGCGACAGGGCAAATACACTCGGGCCAGATAGGATGACCAGTTCCGGCGGTGTTGGTGTCTCGAAGTGATTGATACCCTATCAAACGGCGTCAAGGACACTGGAAGAGCAGGGCGGTGGTGGAGAAGACGGCCTTGTTGCGGCGCATGGGTTACTGCTTTACCTGGCATGCTTTACCCTTTCCTTTCCTCCTTCTCCCAATCAATAAACTGGCTTGGTTGAATAAGGAATCTAAAGGGATGATAATGTACATTGATGACGCGCCAACATCTTTCGCTGTAGGCCGTGCACGCTTGCGCTCAACTCTAGGTGTCAAGGCAGATTCAACAATCGAAATGCAGATGATCCCGCAAAGCACACGCAGGAGCCGGTTGACCATGACGACCAGCTTCAACGACTTGCATCTCTCTCGCTCTCGCGCTCTCTGAGCGTCTGGTCTTTGCCCACTTTCCTTGGACACTCAACCCCCACTCTTGTCTCCCGTCGCATCTCCTCTCGCATCTCCTCTCGCATCTCCTCTCGCAGTTGCAAAAAGCATCCTCGTGCTATGACTTGGGCGGGGAGATGGCACGCGCGTCAGTCTTGCCAAAGGCCTTTTGCTTATCGGCGTAGTCCTTGATGACGAGGGCGCACGCCATGTCGGCGCAGAGCCTCCTCCGGCGCTGGACGGGCAGCTTGGTGGCAAACTCGAGGCCGCTGGCGCGCTCGACGGCCTCGACGGGGACCTCGAAGTCGGTGAGGGGCTTGTCGTTTGAGATGGGGGCGTTGGGGAGGACAAAGGCGCCAATGGCGACGTTGCCGCCGACGTTTCCGTCCTCGGCAAAGATGACCTTGTAGAAGTGGGTGGGAACGGCGACGGAGGGCGGGCTGCCAATCATCTCGTACTTGACGTACCACTTGTCGTCGACGGGGTCCTTGCGCGGGAGATAGAGAGGCCCGGTGACGATGCGGACCGAGGGATACTGTACGGTGAGGCGGCGGCAAAAGTCCTCAAAGTGGGCCCAGTAGTCGCGGTTGAAGCCCTCGCCGACCTGGGGACACATGTTGGAGAGGTAAAAGGTGTCGTCCATGGCCCTTTGGGACCACTTGGCGTCGGCGGCGGGGACTTGGTGGCCGCGGTCGTAGCCGCTGCGGTAGTAGTCCCTGAGCAGGGCGCGAAAGGGGGCGGGGATGGCGTGGTCCTCGACAAAGGCGCTGTGCCTGCGGTCGGCGTCGCGCATGGCGAGCGAGGCGGGCGTGATGTGCTCGACGACCCAGTGCGGGTTGCGCATGCGGCGGTCGTAGCTGGATACCAGGGCCGACCTGGAGGCGATGTCGGACACGGGGCCGGGGAAGCCATACTCGAAGAGGCCGGCCGGGTTGACGGGGGAGCCGGCGACGGCGGCGGTGGGTGTGAAGGGTGGCGCGGCGACGGCGACGGCCGAGGGTTTCGTCGAGGTTGTAGTGGTCAATGTGGTGGTAGAAGCGACCTGCGACTCGGGTTTCTTCACGCTGGAAGAGCCAAACGAGTAGACGGCTGCGGTGAGGGCAGCGCCGCCTCCGGCACCAAGGGCAGCAAACATGGCGAGAGTGGATTTGGACATCTTGACGGCGGCGGTGGCGGCGGCGTCTGGGTTCGGGCGTGGCATTTATAGGGGGGTGAAGACTGCGGTTTGTTTGCTGAGGAGGAGGTCAGGCGAGAGGGCGGGCAGGCGGCTGAGAATGTTGGAATTGGCAGCGGGATGGCTTGTTGCTCACGAGGAAAAGGACAGATCCAGCGACAGGCCCATGTGCTGGCGGCTGCGGAGGCACGGGACGGAGGGTCGCACGAACTGCTGGAGCTCGGTGGGTGGTTTTTTTCCCTTGATGGGCCGGGCCGGAGCTTTAGCCGCGGTGGGTCAGGGGACCTGCCTGGCACAGCTCAGGGTACCGTGCTAATTACCGTACAGTACAGAGGTACCTAGGTACGCATGTATGTACATGAGTTACGGAGTAATTACAGCTTCCCCCAATCATCAGCTTCTTCTCACCCACAAAACTGCCCTTGGCCCCGCCGAAGCAAGGGATTGGCCATTCCGCTTCGGTCAAACGCGCCCCTCCGCATGGGACGAGGCACAAGACGTCGCTCCCAGGTCACGAGCCTCGACGTCCATCGGGGCACATGTCTGGTCGTTCACCAGAGGGGGTCGCACGAGCGTTGTCCCAGTCTGCAGCTGTCTTTGCAAGTCATTCTTCGCAGCCGACTATTTCACCGTGCTGAAGCCGCTTCGAAATCACAGATTGCAATCTCCACCTGAAGAGACCATGACTTGGCTCAGCAGCCGGTCGCACGCCGCAAAGCAGAGACCAGCGGGTGTCATCGTTCTGAATGAGGCCCGCATGGAGCACGCGTGCTCTCAGATATCCATTTTCTTATTTGCAGTCTCGAAACGTTTCCTCCATCGCCCAGCCAGCCATTAAGGGGCTCGTAGCCGTTGCGGCTCACCACTGGCATCCCATTTTCCTTGTCCTTCCTCTCGCGAGCAATATACAGAATGGCTGATTATGATGCATATTTTACACAACAAATACGCCGACAAAAAGGGCACCAACAAGAGACGCCACGGCAAAGGCAGCGCCAAACGGAGCGGCGTTTCGGTCTCCAGCGCCCCTTACCGCGGTGCCTGACGAGACCGAGGGTGCCGACGTCGTGGACGCCGCGCCCGAGGGTCTCGATGTGGCGCCAGTCGTCGGAGACGCGGTTACCGAGGAGGCACCCGGAGGAGGCGTGGTCGGCTTCGCAACGCCGGACGGGCAGTGCCAGTGGTCCTTGTGCGGGACACAGGACGACTGGGCATCGTGGTCGTGGTCGTCGTGGTCGTCATGGCCATGGTCATGGTCATCGTGGTCGCCACCCTGAGGAGGAGGAGTAGTCGGCTTCGGCACCCCAGACGGGCAGTGCCAGTGGTCGCCGTGAGGCTCACACGACTTGGCCGCCTCGTCGCTGGGGCTGGCGGGGCCGGCGGTGGAAGTAGCATGGCAGTGCCCTGCTCCCGCTGATCAGGACTGGCTTCATGATGCCGGGTTCGGTAAACACTCACAGTGGTCACCATGTGGCTCGCAGACGCCAGATCCCGTCGGCGAGGGGGGCAGCGTCTTGGAGGTCGGGGCCGCTGTCGGCTCCTGAGGGACGGCGACGGCCAGGCCCAGCAGGCCCAGGGAAACCCACGACTTGAAAAGCATCGTTACTGGTATTGCAAACGAAGGCGGTGGGGAGGCGAGGCTAGAGGCTGTGAGTAGAGAGAGAGAGAGAGAAAGAAAGAGAGAGAGAGAGAGAGAGAGAGAGAGAGAGAGAGAGGGCTGCTACGGCGTGACGGGACAGGGGAACGCACGGCTGTTTATATATTGTACGCATGCACAGGGGATGGACGGGCCATGGCCGACGCAGATGGTCTGGGGCGGGCTTCCTAGTCGTAGCAAGGATTCTATGGGGCGGCCCTGGTTTTGCAGGTGCAGAGGCTGTCATTTTGAGCCATTTGAATGTGCATGCCGTTGGTTGGTGATGAAGCGCGAGGATCAGACCCCTGGCCATGACACGCTGGGCCAATGAGGAGCTGGTGAGAACCTCTTCGGCCATCAAGCAGCCGTGCAGAAGCAATGGAATCTGTCTATGTCTTTCCCCGCTCGTCTACCCACTCATGGTTTATTATTGGAGTCTACCCAGACGCCTTGCGTTGGTGGCGGCAGGCTGTTTTATTCTTGTCCCTGGCCGTCTTCGTGTTGGGGTCGCGGGAGCAACCGACGGGCCGTGGTCCCAACGGAAACTGCTGTGCTTCCTCGAGCTGGTATGAAAACGGGGATGCTCGGGGGGGCCCGCTGGGTGTCTGTCCTTGGACTAAGAAAATCTGCCGCTTTGAGGAGGCAGAGGCAGCCCCTTTGCCAACTTCCCACTGCAGAATTCCCGCGGCAGACGTTGCTGAAGACAGGGTTGGATGGTCGAACGGCCCATGCATGCCTATATACAGTACAGTACATGCTGTACATATTCAATATATGCAGACGTGGTCTTCCGGGCGAGGCCGGGCCTGGAGGGGACATGGGTTGATGCGCGTTGAAGCCTTGTGCTGTCTGTTCAGTTACAGTACATGCCGTGGTGTGCTCGTACGACATGAAGGATCCGAAGCAGGTTTCCGGCAAGACGACACTGACTCACGAGCAGCCAGCAGCAGGGCACCGAGGCCACGGCAGCCCAGGCAGGGCCCCAGGTTGACAAACATGTGGGCATGCATTCGTCCCCGTATCGTGTCTCTACGAGGACGTTCCTTGCACCGACGCAGCCACCGATCAAAGGCCCTCAAGGTGCATGGCTGCGGCTTGCCGGTGCCTTGGTGGAATTAGGACCCAGATGACAGATGTGGCTCGGGCTAAACAAGGCCGACGGCGGGCGAAGACGAGGCAGGGTGGACTCGGTGGAGAACCCTGATGTCGCACTCCTGCTCCCTCCCACCGGGGTCCGCAAAAAGGTGAGACGCCAAGACTTGGATTCGCAGTCTCTCTCCGTCCCGCTCTTGGTCTCTTCCTGTTCGGGTGAGCCGTTCCGGGACGGTCAAGGCCGGCGACCCTGCGGGTTTCTTCGGAGCGGAGAGCGAAGCCGCCAAGGTGCGAAGATGGATGGATGCATGTTGAACATCAGGATTGGGCTTTCTTTTGAAAATTGAAGGGAAACAGTCGGGGCCCAGCTGACAGCATCACGACGAACCCGATCCTGGTGTGTATTTGGTTGAAGCAGAGCTCTCGAGGTCTTCTACTCGCTGCCATGCGGACCTGTCCAAGCCCTCTCTGATGAGACATCGTTGGCTGTCTTGACGGCAGCCCGTCACATATACCTGGCCCGTTTCACAGAAGCGACTTGCCGGCGCCGAGGCCATCTTCCGCTCCCTTGCTGCTGCCGGAAGCACCAACCCTGATGCCAGCTCCCGAGTCCGTGACCCTCGGCAAGGCCACGACGCGTGCTCAGCCCGTGCTCGTTGACGATTTTTTTTTTCATATCGTAGCTCGCCTTCGATTATCTGGGATTCGAGGAATCTAAGTGCAGACGTAACTTGGATATTTTGACGATATTGTGGTATTCAAAGGGGGGATAATCCGGACAGGAAGCACTGCGACGGGTTGTTTGATGGATAGATTCTTGAGCCCTGCCGCCTCCTCCGAACAAGATGTATAAACTGGGGGACCCGCCGATGCTCGTCGACATCGGCTACCTTTGATCTGAGCGTTTTTTTCTACATCGAAAGCAGGGAAATTCCGTGCTTAAATCATCCGACATATTTTCTCGCTGGTTTACCTTACATGCTGCCCTCGTAGCGCTGTGCGGGGACCCCGGAGATGCCCCGGCGATTACGGCGCGGGGCAACAAGGCCGGGTCCGGAAGGCGCGCGGCGACGGTTTTTTCTTTCTTTTTGGCCGGGCGCGCCAAAGGAGCCAGCCAGGCCAAGGAACAGGTGCGACGTGAGGAGAGGGACAAGATTCGCTGGCCTCTCTCGTAGAGCCGCGCCCGGTGGAAGGGAAAAGGAGGTCGGGCAAGCAAGCTTTTGACGAGAGCGGGACCACGAGACTCTTGGCGATGACGAGATGCCGGGGAGGAGACGAATGGCAGCGGTGCTGATGAAGAGGCGTCGGCCACGGCTCCACTGGGGATATATCGCATGGGACGATATAGATTGCAGTGTTCGTGGATGCCGCGGCACATGTTCACGTCATGGCTCCAGATGATGTAGGTACTCGTATGTAAGCACGTATAATGTAGGTACGATGCACGCCCTGTGGTGGTGACTATCAGCCGGCATGGGCTCGAATGAGATCTGAGACGGCACTCTGCCCCCGTCGAGCAGCTGATCAGTACGACAGGCCTGCGACGCATGGTTTGCTTGTTTTCAGCCTCCCGTTGTTCCGGCCCTTTGGCAGAGATGAGCCCGGCGGCCGCGATGAGGCGGGTCAGGGCCTCAGAGGAACGAAGCCGCGAGGGCCAGACGTTTGCCATCGGTCCAGCTGCTGTGTGTGTCTCTGTTTGCCGGCATCCATGGCATGCATGGAAAAGCTGTTCAGCCCGGATCCGTCGGAGGCAGAGGGAAAAAGCAACGACAGATGCTTGCCGGGGCTGCATGGCGTCCGAGGACCTTGATGGCCTGTTGCTGCCTCGCCTCAACAGATGGACGAGAATAGAACAAGGAGAATAATAAGAAGGGGGAAAAAGAACCGAAATGCCCCGTCTCTACCGTCTCTACCGTCTCTACTCTCTCTACTCTCTCTACGGACTCTACGGGGTATTTAGTATTTACTGCTGTTTCCCTCCTGCCCGCCAACTGCCTACTCGGGTTTAGTGCACCGCATCGTCGTCACCTCTGTCTGTCTGTACGGACTACGGAGTACCCACCTCGACTTCCACCGCTAGCGCCCGCCAGTCGACGACGCCTAACTGGTAAAACAACAACTACAAGCATCCTCGTCCAGTTCCCTCCTCCTATCCTCCTCCTCATTTTCCTACTCCTCCTCCTCTTCTTCTTCTTCGCAACCCTCCTCCCTTCATCCTCATCCCCGTCCTGTCTCTACTTCTCCCTCACGCGCCCACGAATCGCATTCCTAAGCAACCGATCTCTCCTCGGGCACTTGAGGCCTCGTCCTCGCCCTCGTCGTCGTCGTCGTCGTCGTCGTCGTCGTCGTCGTCGTCGTCGTGCCTCTCGACGACACCAGCGACCCATTGCCGACCTCTGCTCCCTGCCCTGCGCCGCCACGACCGCCCGCTCATGACACCGACACCAAACCTCCCTCCTCCTTCATAGACTCGTCTCGAGACTTGAAGCCCGTCATGGACCTCGTCGCAAAGGACCTCGACAATGACACCCGCGGGTGGATCATGTGCATTGTCAGCGGCATCGGTCCGTCTCTCATTGCTCATCTCCCGTAGCCATACACGCTGCTAACCTCTGCCTGCCTGCCCACCAGCCTGCGTCTTTGGAGCCTCTGTCATCTGCGTCGACGTCCTCGTCCGCTTCTTGCCAGGCAAGCATAACTTCCGCATCGAAGAGAGCAACGCCTTTCTGGCATGCTCCCTGAGCCTCAGTTTCGGCGTCATGGTACGTCGCAGCTTGCCCCCGAAACAATTTCCCCTCCTGACTCGTCCAGCTCTTCTCGTCGCTCTACAGCATGCTTCCCGAGTCAAAGGGCTACCTCAAGGACGAAGGCTGGGCCGACCAGCCCGCCGGCTTCGTCATGATGGCCTGCTTCATCGCCGGCTTCTTCGGCATCCAGGCCGTCTCGAGATTCCTCCATCAGTACATACCCTCCCACGTCGTCGACTGCGATCACTCCCACGACCAGCACCAGGCCGACATTGCATCCAATACTTCTCGACAGCCCTCGAGGACCAGCCGCGCCCGACGACGACTCTCCCGCACCCGCTCCCCCCATTTTGCCGCCAAGGACGCCTCGCTTGCGACCGCAGAGAACGGAGCTGTTTGTCCCTCCGAGTCGACGCCCCTGCTCGACCCGGACCGGGACGAGCCCACGAGCCTCTCTGAGAGGCATGCCACCGTCCTGCACGATGAGATGTCGGAGCGCCCCATCAACGGTCGAGAGCGCGCAACCACGACCGACGCCACCCTCACCCGCCGGCCCTCCATGTACGATGTCCAGAAGCGCGTCATTTCCTTTGTCAAGGACACCAAGTGCAACTGCGACGAGGAGGGTCGATGCTATGGATACACGGATCCCTGTGCCCAGGAGTGCTTCAAGCACCTGTCGACGCGCTCCACAAACGGCTCGCGCCACTCGACCTTGCTCCGCACCACGACCGGGCCCTTTTATCCCTCGGCCGGCTCTGTCTTCCACGGCGGCCAAGACTACGACCAGCACGACGCCCCGGAGCCCATGAGCCCCAAGTTCCGCACCAGCCGGGCGGCGTCGCGCGATCCCCTCGACACCACCGAGGAGCCGCACGCCTGCGGCAGGCATTCCCCGGTCCCCACGGACGAGGGCGACGTCGAGGCTCAGCACCATCATCATGTGCCTACCAACGCCTTCCTGTCCATCGGCCTGCAGACCTCCATTGCCATTGCCCTGCACAAGTTCCCCGAGGGCTTCATCACCTACGCCACCAACCACGCCAACCCGACGCTCGGCTTCAACGTCTTCATGGCCCTCTTTGTGCACAACATCACAGAGGGATTCGCTTTGGCCCTACCCCTGTACATGGCCCTTGGCTCGCGCTGGCGCGCCATGCTCTGGTCCTCGCTCCTCGGCGGCCTGTCGCAGCCCATTGGCGCCGCCGTCGCCGCATTGTGGTTCAAGCTGGCCCAGCGCACCCACCTGACGCCCAACGCCGTCGCCTACGCCTGCCTCTTCGCCGTCACCTCGGGCATCATGGTCAGCGTCGCCCTCCAGCTCTTCGTCGAGGGCCTCAGCCTCAACCACAACCGCAATCTGTGCATCTTCTTTGGCTTCATCGGCATGGCTCTGCTGGGCCTGAGCAACGCCCTGTTTGCTGGGCACTGAGACCTGGCTTCCCTCCACCTCCACCCGCCCCCCGAGTCGGCGTTCCTATTCTTGGTGATTGTTGATGACGCTGCTGTAGAAGATGCGGCCATTGTATGACGAGCCTTGTTTGCGTCTTCTATTTTGTTTGTTTTTTGACACTCCTTTTTGAAACCCCCTGATTTTGGGCGCGGGTTTATAGACGAGGCGCGGAGTCTTGTGGGGTTTTCTGGGTCGCTGCAATGACGGCGAGGGCTCATGTCCATGTCCTCGCACTCTTCATGAATTCTGGATTGGGATGGGATGAGATGGGATGGGAAATGGGTTATGGCCAATGTTCACGATACAGGCATTAGCAGTATCATCATTCTGATTGTTGGTGTTTGTTTTGGACAGGAAAAACAGGCCTAGAACCTGAGCGAAGCATAAAAAGGGGCAGCTGTTGGCAATATCCGCCGACCGAGCCATGCATTCATCTACTGTCGTGACGCTTCTCGCTTCATCATCATTGTACCCTGCCCCTCGCGCCCCGGACTACACGGCGCACTCACTGCAGCCGGGGCCTCACTGTATACGCATCCCTTTCCATGTCAAACCCACGTAGACCAGCTGGACGCATCGGGGTATTCTTCAAAGGTGACACCAGTCATGGCAAGACCGTCCTAGGGCCCTGCCAGGGCGGGATCGATGGTAGGGCCCGAGGCGTGGTCAGGCGGCGGGTCGCGGGCCAGCAACAGAATGTTGGCCTCGTCGTCGAGCCACTCGTCGCGCAGCGGGCCGTAGTCCATCTGCGCGGCAAAGATGTCGTCCTGGGCCATGTCGGCGGGCCAGGCCGGCTGTGCGGGGTGGTTCTGCTCAAAGGCAGGGCGGGCAGGGGCCTGGGCCAGCAGCGACGTCGGGTCCGCCGGGTCGTGGTCTCTGGCCAGGTGCACGTCGAGGTCGTGATAGCGGATGAACATGTCGTCGCAGTGGGGGCAGGGGATGGTGTGCTTGGCCTGGTTGGCGGCGCCCGACAGGTCGTCGACAACGTCGGGCGCATTGCCGGCCGGCCTCGACATCCGGGTCCGCACGTGGCCGAGGTGGAGGAAGCGCACGTGGTCCTCGAGCCCCGCCTTGGAGCCATACTTGGCACCGCAGCCGTCGCTGTTGGACCAGCCCTCAAAGTCGGGCCCGGCCAGGGCCGCCTCCCCGCAGACGAACCGGACGCCCTGGTGGGCGGTGCGGATGTGGACCTTGAGGTTGGATTTTTTGGTGAATTTCTTGCTGCAGCCGTCGAAGGTGCATGCGTGCGTCTTGCGCTCCTCGACCGACTTTCCTGAGTGGTGCGTCTCAATGTGCTGCTCGAGCTCGTAGCGCGACGACGACTTGTACTCGCAGAAGATGCAGTCCTGGTGCTCCTTCTTGAGGTGCTCCTGCAACAGCACCTCGGTCGTGAACCCGACCCGATTCTCAGTCCCCTCCTCGGCCGCCTTCAGACCGCATTCTGTGCACCAAAACTTGATTTCGCCGTGCAGCTTGTCAAAGTGTCGCTTGAGCCTCGACTTGGTGCCAAACGCCTCGGTGCACGACGGGTCCGGGCACTCGTGCGCCGGCATGTCCAAGTGTTCCTTGCGGACATGCTTGTGCAGCGTCTCCTTTTTCCGGAAGCTCTGCCCGCAGTCGGAGCAGCGGAAGCGGTCTGCACCCTCGTGGACCGCCTGGTGGCGGTTCAGGCGCGTGCCCGTGACGAAGCTCTTGCCACAGCCCTCGCGCTGGCAGACGTACTTGCGTTCGTGGGTGTGCACCGCCTTGACGTGCTGCTTCAGGTGCTTGTCCTCGATGTAGTCCTTGTCGCAGCCCTCGTACGGGCACTTGAAGGGGCGTGAGTTTGTGTGCGAGTTGAGGTGGTCTCGGAGGCGGGCGGGGCGGTTGAAGGTCTTGGGGCAGCCCGGCCAAGTGCAGGCCAGAGTCTTGAGGTCTGAGGGGAACTTTGGTCTGGGCGTGGTGGCTGTTGTGACGGGGGTTTCTGCATCTGGCTCTGGGCTTGGGGTGCATATGTAAGACGACGCGGCCTCGTCATCGCTGTCTTGCATGTCTGGCACCGTCGAGTCAGCGGAATCATGTCATTTTCGCTGTCTCTTGGCCAGGCTCTCGTACATGGGCTGTCGCCCTGTGGCAAGTGCTGCCTCTTAGACGGCGAGGCCCCAGGCGGCTCGTCGGCTGCGCTGCGTTTGCCCATTGCGTGCCGTGATTCACTGCACGTCTACGAGCCTGTACAGGTTGGCAGTTTGATGGAGTGGTGGCAGAATGAGTGAGCAACGAGAATCAAGGCGGTGACCAGAACTTTTTACGGGTCGGTGACGACCCACCAGCCCGGTGAGGGCCGGTGAAGTCACCACCAGTCCAGGAAACCCACCCCACCTGCCGGTACGAGAGCGCTTCGGCGAAGCCACGGTAAAACCTTTTGGAGCTCGCGACAGGGCGACAATTTTTTCCCCTTCCCCAACTAACCTCCCTGGCCAAGCTGCGCAACCACCGCTGGCCCAGTCGACAATCTCCTAGGCTGACAAGTCTTCTCGTCGCGGCATCTTTCCACCGTTCCCAGCATGTCTGACTTTGGCGACGACGATGTCGGCGCAGGCGGGTATGCTTCGCGTTCCACGGATTGCGAAGTCTCGGCTGACATGGTGTGGTTGCAGCGATGAGCCCATGCTGGACGAGGACGTGACGGAGTTTTACGACCCCGAGGTCGCCGAGGGCGAGGACGAAGAGCACGCCGCCAACGGCGAAGACCAGGACAACGTCGTCGTCTCGGGAGATCCGTCGGCGGCCGCCAACGCTCTCAAGGGCGGCGACAGGGCGGTCAAGGACAAGAAAATCCCCGAGAGCGAGCGCACGACGACGCCGTACATGACAAAGTACGAACGGGCGCGCATCCTGGGCACGCGCGCTCTGCAAATCAGGTACGCATGCGTGAGGACGACTGCACGCGCGCGAAGCGGCTGACATGCTGGGGGGCAGTATGAATGCGCCGGTGCTCGTCGACCTCGAGGGCGAGACAGACCCGCTGCAGATTGCCATCAAGGAGATGCGGGAAAAGAAGATCCCGCTGATTGTGCGGAGATATCTCCCCGATGGCTAGTACGTGATTCTCCGGACAACATGGGGGAGCTTTGAAAGCTGACACTGGGGCACTTAGCTATGAGGACTGGACATGCGAGGAACTGCTGCAATGAGCTGATATGGAGAGGGATGGGTGGGCTGATGGGGGGACGCGCGTGTGCGGCATTGCAGCCTTGGGTTGCCATGGAGCAAACCCGTCGTCCATGCGTTGCCCTTTTCTGCCATTGCTCTTGTGCATCGTGTGGAAATGATATCTCGGACGAGTCACTTGTCATGCATGAGCGCGGAGTTTTTCGGAATTTGATTATAAAAAAAAGAGCGAGCAGTTTGTTCTCGTAAGGGGACTGCACGCTGCCGACGGTAGTTGATGGCTCGTCACGATGCGATGGCTCGTCATGATGCCAGAGCAGCCATTGGGTGCGAGGCGGAAAGGACTGAGTCACGATGCTTGGGGGGTCATAGAAGATGCAAAGAAGGGGTGTTTTTATTTTCTGAAGAAGCTGCCAGGTCTTTGCGATGATAGAGTGTGGCTGGCAATGAAGCAGTAAGGCCTGTTCTGCTCGTGCGAGCCGTTCCTCCAGCGGACTGGGTGCAAGATTAGCCGTCTGAGGGTCGTGATGGATGGAGTGGCGTTGGTAGAGCAGGTCATGCGGCTGTGCAGGGTGTTGGCTCCAGCCTCGTGTCCTCTTTGTACGAGACCAACGGCCGGCCAATTGATGGATTGGCGGCCGGCGTTTACTTGCACCATCTGCGCATCAGGCCACCTGGATGGTCGGCATGCTGAGATTAGGATCAGGCTGGCATCGGTGAGAGGACGGGTCGAGGTGTGTTGAAATGAGGATGAGCGTGTGGCGTGACATCACGGGCCACTAACTAGACCCTGCCATGCCACTCTGAGCTGCTTTACTGTCTTCCTCTCTTTACCCTCTGTTTGACCCGGGGGGGAAGGGGGGATGCTAGCGTGATGCAGGACCGGCAGCTCTCACTCCCCAGGCACCAAATCTTCTTCATCTTGACCAGGCGCATCATCAGTTCACGGTCACGCGCCCGCCGTGGACGATGAATTGCCAGCCGCCCCAGAGCTTCAAGTCTAGAGCTTCAAGTCGCTTGATTGGCGCGGAGGACACGGGGAAACGATGACGTCGAATGGAGACAAATGCCTAAAACAGCCGCGACCCCACTCCCCCCGTCTCAATGACGGCTCATCACGAGTGAAAAGACTATCGTGATTCATGGACGCCAGCACGGACTTGCCCATGTATCCCCACGCCCTGTCTACGCTGTGCCATGTACTTACTCACCCACCTCGAGAGCAGTGCAAAGGCCGGAAGGCGTGGAAGAGCCGTTGATCCCCCTCCATTCTCGGAGATTCCCAACGGATCCATGCAGCCAAACGGGATGAACCATCCACCAGCACTGCGTTCGGGCAATGGAAGGGGGCGTTGTTTGATTCGCCCGTCTCGCCGTCAAGCCCGTCGTCATAATCTACTCGGACCAGCAAACACGCTGTCTGGCGGTGCCCAAATCTTACACACGCCAAAGACAGCCGAACCCAATCAAGAGAGAACAGCAGTCTGTTCAGCCATATCTTTTATTCTTACCCATCCATTGCCATCAGCTGCCCCCAGCCTCCCGAGAAAAAAACATCACCACCCCTTCCTCGTCCACCGACGACGAGCACACTTAGCTCCACGCGCAAAAGACGAAAAGCAGTCGTCATGAAGGTCTCGACGTTCCTCGTCGCCGCCGCCTCGGCCGTGTCCGCCTCTCCCGTCGACAAGCGTGCGCTCGGAGGTGTAAGTCGACCCCTATTCATCATGGAAAGCGTCCTGACTCTCCTCTCCAGCTCCTCATGTGCACCGGCGCCAACGCAACCGGCACGTGCAAGCACCAAGTCTACGAGCTCAACAAGTGCGTCCAGCTCGAGGCGCCCTTTTACCACAACACCAGCACCTTTGCCCCCGACGGCGAGTCCTTCAGCTGCTTCCCGCGCGTCACCAACTGCGGCGCCATCTGCACGAGCCCCACGGGCTGCACCTTTGGCGCCGTCAACTTTACCTACGAGCACAAGTTTGACCTCGGCGCCATCAAGTGGAACACGCTCATTGCCAGCTTCGACTGCCTCCCCAATCGAGCTTGAGCTTTTTCCACGACACTGATGGTTCAACTCCCATCACAGGACACCTCCCTCTAATCCCACCCACCTTGATGCCTAATGAATGCCCTCCCCGTTCTCCTAAGAAATGCGTCGCCCAGGCCGAGCCTCGGCCGAGTGCTTTGGCGGCAAGCACGGAAACAACGGAATGCCGTTTTGTACATACACAGAGAAGGCGTCGGACTGGAAAATGTACATACATCCTTGCTCACTTGAGTAGCCTACGGTACTGCCCATACCTACCATTGTCCACTGAGCTTCGCTACCAATTGCGTCTCCCCTGTGTCGCGTGAGCTTGGAATTGACGCCAGCAGTCAGCACCGAGACGCAACACAATCCCACACGCGTACAATTCCAAGCTCAGGTTAGATCAGTAATCGCAAATGGGCAGTCCAAGTCGGAACTCGACCTCAACCGCCATGGTGGGGCAAAACGGCCGAGTGATGTCATCGCAACCCGTCGCAACCCCCACCTCCATCTCCACATCTTGAACCCCGCCATCATCTAATACGTACCATCAGCCATCACCACTCACCACCGCTCGGCACCGAATCCTTAATGGCCGTCGTCGACGACTTCTTCCAGCCTTCTCGCCACGCCCCGTTCATAGCACCCAGCTCAAAACCCCGCCGCCACCACCCGTCACCATGGCCTTCACCACAAACGCCACCATCGCCGCCTTTGGCGGCCGCCTGCTCAAGCTCACCCACCAATCCACCACCACCTCGACCCCGATGAACCTCAACCTCTTCCTCCCCGCCTCCGCCGCCCCGAGCCGCCCGGCCCCGCTGCTCGTCTACCTCTCCGGCCTGACGTGTACCCCCGACAACGTGGCGGAAAAGGGCTTTCTGCTCGCCCACGCCGCGCCCCTCGGCCTCGCCCTGCTCTTCCCGGACACGTCCCCGCGCGGCACCGACCTGCCCGGCGAGCACGACGGGTGGGACTTTGGCAGCGCCGCCTCCTTCTACATCGACGCCGCCGCCGAGCCCTGGCGCAGCCATTACCGCATGGAGACGTATCTGACCGACGAGCTGCCGCGCCTCCTCTTCGACGCCTTTGCCGAGCTCGACAAGACCCGCGTCTCCATCGCTGGACACTCCATGGGCGGCCACGGCGCTCTCACCCTCGCCCTCAAGCATCCCGGCATGTACAAGAGCGTCAGCGCCTGGGCCCCGATTGCGAACCCCTCGCGCTGCCCGTGGGGGGAAAAGGCCTTTAGGGGATACCTCGGCGACGACCGCGAGGCCTGGAAGAAGCACGATGCCACCGAGCTGGTCAAGGCTTGGAAAGATCCCATCCTCAACTGCCTCATCGACATCGTATGTAGACTGATGCCGCTCCCCTGCTTCCTCTCTTCGCTCTACTGAGCCAGCGGCTGACGAGGATACGCTCTGCCCCATCAACAACCGCAGGGCACGGCCGACGACTTCTACAAGCAGGGCCAGCTGCTGCCCGAAAACTTCGAAAAGGCCGTCAAAGAGGCCGGTATTGAGGGTGTCAAGGTCCGCTACCAAGAGGTAAGAGCCCGCTATTGCCTGAGCAGTCGGGAGCGCCGCTGGGACTGACCCCGACTCTCCACTTGTCGCAGGGCTACGACCACTCTTACTTCTTCATCTCCACCTTCGGGGAGGACCACGTCAAGCACGCAGCCAAGGCCCTCGGCCTGTTGTAGTCAATGTACGGGGGAGCACGTATAAGTCGGCCGACCCCCTTGAAACCACGAAACATTTCTATGGCCAGCTGAGAGTAGTCCTTCCCCTGATTCCTCTATTCGCCCACCTGTATCCGATTCCATCGAGTCGAGCTACCGCCCAAAGCCAAACGCGCATGCATGAGTCGCTCCCGCCCGTACCCGTCCATAGGCCGTAAAACCTCGAATAACGAAAACGCCGTTCCCGATGTTGTCGACAAAGGAATCTGCCAGAGCAGAGTAGACTAAACACCAAGCACCGCAGAAGTATCAAGACGTCGCAGTGCCATATCCGCCTTGGAGCCACCGCATGCTCTGACATCTAACTGCTTCTCTTCTCCGACCCCACGCCCAAGCCATCCTTGCCAAGCTTGACCCGCATCTCAGCGTCCACCTCGCGCCGTAGCCGCTCAAACGCAAGCCGCTCGAAGCGGCTCAGGCCTCTCCACCAGTGTTGGCCCGCCTCGTGCTCCGCGATGCGTTCCAACAGCTCCGCCGTCTTGACCCGCACCTCGCGGTCCTTGTGGAAGAGCCCGAGAGCGACGTAAAAGAGCCCCGCGTGCGACTCGGGCGCCACGTTGAGAAGAAGGCATATTTCGTCGTACGAATGGACGTATCTGGAAAAGGTCAGGTAAATGTCCCGGCTCTGCGTTGGAGACAGGCGCTGTAGGCGAAGGCGGTCGTGCATGTGCGCCAGGTCGAGACCTTTGAGCGGCCGGACAGTGTAGATTTGGGCCAGGTCCTGCCAACAAATTAGTCTCCAAGCCAGGCGGGACCCTACACCGGCTGGCGCTCTCTCACCTGGATGTAGCTGTAGTAACTGCGCGTGTTGCGCCATCCTTCGATCCTCGTCACGTTGCCAGCCAGCTCCTTAAGCTTGGCTGCATCGTCCGCCCAGACATAGCCATGGCCGCTCGCCCCGGGAAGCGTCATCTCGTGGTCCTCACTCCCTATGTAGAGAGCACTTGCTCCGTAGACGCTTTCCTCCAGCTGGGCCGCGATTCTCGTAAACTTGAGCACCCAGTCGCGCCACTTGGCCCGGATAACTCGCTCCCCGTGCCTCGCGGCGATGCTCCTTAGGATATCTGTCATGAACACCGCGTCTCCCGTGAGATCCTGGTTGTTGTTCAAGGTGCCGCTGGCAATGGTCGCGAGCGTCGGGTTTTGCTGCTGGAAACAGGAGAGTCCCTCGGTGGCCGGCGAGGGATCGATTTTGCTGCTGATCTTGATGCGCCCGCTCGGCAAGTCGCAGAGGATATCCCACCACTCTGGATGATTCTCAAACGTCGGGTTGGTCACGCCGGCTATGAACCCCGGGACGTTGAGGAGATCGTCAATCTTGGTAAGGTCGGTGTAGGGGAACGCGTGGCGGGTGAAGCCTCGCAAAATTCCACCAGAGGCGAGTGCGCACGCGGCGAGGACCGCCTCGGCCACCTCGCCCGAGGGCATGTTGTGCCCCAGGAAGATGACGCGCTTCTGTGTCAGCAGTCCGTTAACGAGGACAATGATGGGATGCGTGCTGGTGCCGTTTGTCGTCAGATGAGGGTGCAGCGCAAAAGGCTGCGGCGACTTCGTGTGGGCCTCGGAAAAGTTTTGTATGAGCTTGATGAGGGAGAAATCCCCCACCGTCTCGGGCATGACGGCCGTGGGCACTTTGATGGGAATGGGAATGCCCTTGTACATGACCTTTGTTTCGAATTCGTGCGTGTCTCGTGGGACCGAGTAAATCGAGTGGCTGCCGCTCTCGATATGGGCTTTGGTGCCGGCTCTCGAGATGCCGGCCATCTTAGTCGGACTGCCGTCGTTGTGCGCGTCTGCAACGATCTCTCCCCTTTTTGAACCCAGGCGCATCTGGATCATCTGCTCAAACTTTTCGACAAAAAGATCCCTGTTATCGCTGGCCAGCAGCAGGTTTCTCTCTAGGATGCTGAGCTTGGGCATGAGCGACAAGTCCATGGCGTTGACGGCGTGGTACAGCATGGCGAGAGTCTCGGGCACAGGCGATTTAAAGTACTCTTCCAGGGCTAACAGCAGCAGGGGCTGGTCGGACACCAGACGTCAGCTTTCATGGCGGCAGAGGGAGGCGCGGCTACCCACCTTGTATATATGCAGAAAGGGGTGTCGTGTGCAAATTGCCATTGCTTTGACGATGGCGCCTCTCTTGACCGACTTGTCGTGCTTGGTGTTGACCAGATTCAGCACATGGATCAAGGGCGGTCCTTCACCACCTTCGGGCTCGCTATCCGTCGACTCATCGTCCAGGTCGTCGTCCAGGCCATCGTCCAGGCCATCGTCCAGGCCATCGCCGTCATCCTCGTCGGATTCCTCGGTGGCAACGCCTGCGGCGCGATCTTGCCGCCTCTTGCGCCTTCGTTTCCGTCGTTCTCTCGCCTGTTGCGATTCTTCCTCTTCCTCCTTGCTAGTGTCTTTGTGCAGGAAGAAGATGGTCCAGTCCTGGTTGCGAGCATGCGCCTGATCCGGCAGCATCAGCTCCGCCAACATATTCTCGTCGCCAGTGATTGCCACTGGGTACTGGTGCTCCATGACAGGGCCCCGATCGATATCGAAGGATGCGACGAGGATATACTCGACATGTTTTTCTGGCGAGCTGCGGGGATACTGCGATCGAAGCCTCCTCGAGGAGCGGGAATCGGCGTTGACGCGGCGCGAGGCCGAGATTGAGGAGTGCTGAGAGGCCGGCTCGAGGGAGGGCGTCTTGGACTTGGAGCTCGGGTCCGACGTACGGTCTGTGTCGGCCATGGGGAGCTGCGGCGACCTCGAGGGCCGCGAGGCATGTGATGTTTCGGAGGGGGGGCGAGACGAGAGGATCGAGGAGAGCGAGGTTCGGCGATTTGCCGATGAACCATTCGAACGGCCGCTAATACCAGTGTGTCGGGAAAGGTAGGGCAGGGCTGTGGCCATCATTGGGCGCTGGAGCCGGGTGCGAGACAACGGCCTCGCGGCCTTGAAGTGTCTCTCCCCGCAAGCTCGGGCACCGTGTCTCGGCTGTCGGGGAATCGAGTTTGGGGCCGGTGGGCGGCTGTCTGCAGAGCTCAATCGGCGGCGGGCGTGGGTCGACGATGCCGTGCAAGCGCCCTCGCGATGCTGGGGCCGATTGACGCGGTCTCAGCCGTCTTTGGTGGAGGAAATGTCCGTAGCGATGTGCGCAGACGGCGGGTGCGCAGACGGCGGCGACGTTGGTATGGTAGCCCCTCAGTGCGGGCAAACAGACAGGCCGGCCACGGTCGGTCGACGGACGTTTGGTGGCGCGAGGGGCAGTCATGAAACGGGGATGACTTGGATGAGATGAGATGCCGTGTTCCGTCAGGGGCCCCCTGATGGCAGATCCAGGACGGGAAGCATCGGAGCGTGAGTGGCCAGCCTGGCCCTTCCACTTCCACGAGGCTCCCCTACTACCTATCAGACTTGCCGCCTCCGATTGGCCGCTTTGACAAAGGTCGCTAAGGGCGCGCTAGCTGGTCCTGCCTAAGATGTTCGAGGAAGTAATACTTCTCACGCAGTTTAATAGCGCTTACCTACCTAGGTAGTTTAGCTCAGCCGTCGTTTCGCCGATATTCTGCCCTAGGACGCCCGGCTACGCGCCGTCCGACGTCCTGCCCCGCCCGGAGGGCTCCGTTTTCGTTCCCCTGGCACACCGGAGTGTCTTCTTCCGTTTCTACGTAGACCGCTTGTGGATCGCATAATCGACCCGCCATGTCTTAGCCTCGTCAAACAGCCACTGCGGCTCGTACTGTACTTCGTCCCTCCGCACGCGCCACACATCAGCCACAGGCCACCACACTAGACTCTTCAAGGCTCGCGTTGTCATGGTGGTGCTGATTGTTTACTTTCGTCACCACATGCCCATATTCAACCAACGCCTCACCCAAGCTGCCCACATCGGGAGAACGTCGAAATCGACAAAGCGACAAAGCTTGCTACCCTTTGAGAACATCAAGCTTCTTGATCATCTTCATCCCAGAAATCCACGCCGGGATCGTCGCGTTTCTTGGCCAACCGGCTGCTCCGCTTGTCCATAACGGCGGGGACTCGCATGACCATGGTAAAGAGCGCCGGCCAGCACCACTCCCTGCACGCATAAATGTACTAACAGACGTCATTTACAAGTCGGCCTCGACAGCATACAAGCCTTCCCCGCTGGGATACGGCTCCTCTCCCTCCCGCAACTCGCCCTTCAGACGAGCAGAATCACCCGCCGCGCCTGCGCCACTGAGAATCTCAACGCCGACTGCATCCCCGACCAAGTCTGCCCTGACAAACGGAACGTCGAGGTTTGGGAGCCCTAGCTCTCCGGCCAGCACGCACGCGAGTTGGACGCCGAGACCAGCGCCTATCGGATCCATGGCTTCGCCGCCGCCGCCATTGTCACCGTCACGGCCCGGGCCGCTGTCGAGGACGGCCACGTCGAGGTCGTTGGGAAATGGCAATGCGCTCTCACAGCTTCAGCCCGCGCAGGTCAGGACACTGCGCGACGGATTCCAAATCCTCGACCGAGACTGCGACGGCGTCGTCAACGGCGAAGACGTGGCCGACATGCTCAACCAGCTCGGTACGTGCCAACCAGCGTACGCGCTCGGGAGAAAGGCCCGCTAACAGGTGAATGCGGACAGGCTTGCCCAACGGCCCTTCTGACGTCGCCCAATTCTTCCCGTCCTCACGCCCACAGACAACTGCCCTGGCTGCCTTCTTGAATTCGTTGGCCGAGGTCCTCGCCGCGCTGTCGCCCAGTGCCGAGCTGGTGTCGGCCTTTTCCGCGTTTGACGACGACGACAGCGGCCAGGTCGACTGGGCAGAACTCCGAGAAGCCGTGCTGAGTACGGCGCCGGAGCCCGGGGAGCGCGCTCTGACGGCTGCCGAGGTGGACAAGGTCATGAGCGGGTTTACGGGCCGTCGGGCATTCAACCGCAACATGAATGCTCAACTGGGCGCCAAGAAGGGCGAGGTGTTTAAATACCAAGAGTTTGTCAGCTCCATAATGGGGTCTAACGTCGGCACCGAGGGCGGGTCTCCTGGGAGCTTGGATGATTGATGAGAGGACTTTTACCGGGGCGAATTTCGTGGCCGATTCATCGCATTACTTCTTGGAGTGGCTACCAGTTGCTGGTCAGGGTACTTGGATTAGATGCTCGTGCTTGGCCTGGTAGGTGAGAGTAGTGTTGACGCGCACGACATGGTGTTTTTGTCTGGCGCAATTTTTCATAGCCACCTCTCAAGGAAGCAAGCGCTGTTGTGCGCTTCGTTGCATTGACCTACCCGTTGATCTTGGTGTGGGGCCACAGCAGCCCAACTAAGTGTCTTCGCCACTTAGTTGGCCCAAAAAATCCGGCACAGCCCAAAAAATCCGGCACAGCAGGGTCCTCAATTTGGGGTGCAAAATCAAGGGAAATTCTACGCTTCGCTTCATGGTGCCGTCAATGCGACTTCAAATAGCTAAAATATACATGTGATCAATAGCTGCGGATCACCTAAAGACGCAAGTAACAACGAAAAGTGAAAAAATCACGTCTTTGGGCCTATTTAGGAGCTGCCGCCTTCCAGTCGAAGAGATAGGAAGACCGCGTTTGTGAGTCCAAATAGACGTATTATGTAGTAATTTCGCCTGTTGTGCGTCTCTGAGAGCTATTTTATCCATACCTGTGTTCCTGGAGCGTCTGCTGTATCTTGTTGGACGATCGGGTGCGCGGTCGAGGGCATGGTGTATCGACTACCGCTTCAACCGCTGCTAACGGCGGCGATGAGGTATATTCTCTTGCGTGTCGAGTAAATTGTCCTCGTCTTCATCGTCGGCGCCATCCTCACTATGTTTGTCAAGATCGAGGCCTGTGAAATAGACGGTATCGTCACTGCCGGGCAACGACGACATATCTGTAAGTGGGCGAGGTCGGGTCGCTGCGCGCGCCTGACATCTCTGGCGGAGTTATTTCTCTTCGTGGTATCATAGAAAAGGATTCCTTGGATGGCTCTTTGAGCTCCCGCATGAGGGTATCGCAACTTTGCTCCAGAGTGTAGAACTCAACGTCTCGTCCCGTAAACTCTAGCCAGGGCTTAAAGTTCAATGTCTTGACTCTGCCATTGACTAACTGCTTCTTCCCGACTTTATAGTCTTCTCGGATCTTCTGCATCTCTCCACGAACTCGTTTAAGATGCATCCTTATCTCCTGGCGCGTTTGAAGCCGGGTTTGCTTTGCCTGGAGCTCCTCATACTCCCGGGTGATGTCGGCCATGCTGGAGCTCGTGATAAACTCTCCGCGCGGCCTGACAATCTTGCCTCTCTTCATTCGATTCGCATACGCCTGGGTTCGGCTATTCTTATCGCTGACTATGCCCTGGGAATGTGACGCCATCGCGATAGACTCGGTGTTCACTTTCGCAAGAACCCGCAAGTTTTCTCGTGATGGCGAGCTCATGAGGGCCCATACCGTTGCCGGATATCATTGAGGGCATCCGCGGCGACTTGGAAACGCGTCTCCGAGGGTAGGAGCGAGGCGTATGCAGGATTGATCGGCTGCTGTTGTCGTAGCTGCTCGTGGAGGATCTTGGTGATCACCGGCGCTGGGTCGACAGGAAAGAGGCCTGTTTTTCAAATGCCGCCATAATGTTATGCCGCGTGAAGCCAGCCTCATATACGTCCTGAAAAGCTGTGAGGAAGTTGACCCGCGAAAATGATATGTTGCCTTCTGCGAGCGACTTCCGAAGCGCTTTCTGATGTGCTGACTTTAGTGGCTGGAATACCCCAACATCAAGCGGCTGCATGAGGTGGGTGGAATGTGGAGGAAAATAGCAATGATGATATCAAACTTGATACAATACTCAGCAAAGTCAAGGGTGGTATGCCCTGTAAAGCCATCCACAACAAGCAATCGGTAGATCTTCTCGTCGTCAGGCCGTTGGTTTGGCGGCGCCTCCACGCGACTCATCCCCATGTTGGGGCGCCGAAGATGCTCGTCACAGCCGAACCACTCTTCCAGCGAATTTCCTGACTGTTTTGCTTGCGCTGACGATGCCCAAGACCAGCAGTTGAAATGCCTTGCCCACTCAAGGTGTATCTCTGCGTTGGAAAAGCCAGTTGGCGACTGGGCAAACCGTACGCCTGTCATGATGTCGATGCCGGCCCAGTTGGTGGTAGGGTAATGTTGGAAAACAAGCCAGGGTGGAAGAGAGTCCCCCACTGCGTTAACTGAGGCAATTACCGTGCAGGATTCTCGGTTTGCTGGGTCTAAAACTCGGGGCCGGGTGCTCTTGACTCTAGTGGTGCGCGTGATGAGAACTTGGATGCGTTCTCGCAGGCACCCAATGCGTATTCCGGCCTCGTCTTCATTCCAGATCTCTGAACTGCCAATACGGTAGCTGGTGATGATTTCTCGAAGCTTTGAGTAGAAAAATTCGACTTCTTCTACCCCGTGGGCTTCAAAGGACTTCCGGGCTCGTTCAACTGCTTTGAGATACGTCTTCGCGATCGCAGGATGACTTCCACGCCAATTGTCAAGCCAACTTGACGAGACCGGGCGGGCATTGGGATCTCGACGCATTCTTATTGCATTTGCAACAGCTTCAAGTTGCTCTCTCGTGGCGGGCATGCCGGTGCGTTCCATCCACTGTACATACGCAACCAGGGCGTCGTCTTCGTCCTCCGTCAGCGCCAATGGACGCCCTGGAGCACGGGAAAAGGGGTTTCTTATGAAATTAATGGCTCTCTGTACGGATGAGCTCTTCACATTGTAACGGATGGCCGCATCTCGCACGGAAAGAGGCGTTCTTTTGGTGTTGTTGAGCGACGAACATCGGCTCTGGGGTCGCGACGAGACGCCAGAACGGCTTTTGCTGCCTCCAGGGTAGCCATGTTATCTGTCATAATGTATTCCGGCAAAAAGATACGTAAATAAAGTCAAGTTGCGCGAGAAAACGCGGTTGAGATGCATAGGGTTGACGTTTTGGAGGTGGGCTGCTGTGCCGGATTTTTTGGGCTGTGCCGGATTTTTTGGGCCAACTAAGTGGCGAAGACACTTAGTTGGGCTGCTGTGGCCCCACACCAAGATCAACGGGTAATCAATGCTGAGCTACGAATATTCGGTTCATGTTTCGTCTGTGATGAAGGGATCCGCTGGCAGGTGCTTAGTAACCATGGCACGGACGAACGCCTGTCTGGTCGCGAACTAGTACGAAATACCTGTCAACAAGCGCTGGTGCGCAAAAGACGGAAGCGAAAACGGAAACGGACAGCGTGGTCTGACGCCGGGTTTCAAGAACGAAGGTCATGCTTTCGCTTTCAACGAGCGAGGCGGCGTCTCTCCCTCAGGGCCGGGCGAAGACGCCATTCGGGAGGTCAGATGTCCGTTGCCGACGCGGGTGCCGGCGCCGGGCGATGAACCGGGCGGCCGGCCCCACTGAAGGTTCTAGAATCAGGCACCAGTAGTTGCAAGACCCCGTTACAAGGCTATTCTTCAGTGGACCCCAGGACGGGGATTGGGCCTGGGCAAGCATTTGTTGCTAGGCACGACAGCGTCACGCTGCAGCCTCTTTGGCACTGATTGGCAGCAGAGAGCCTCGCGTCGAGGAAGACAAGAGGCTGGGGTGGTCATCTCACCGGACGACCCTCTAGGCAGATATCCAGTACGTATGACAAAAGCAAGCGCCGCTAGTCACAGGCTCGGGCTCCATTGGTCACGGCCTCGGTCCTGTCATTCCGCGATGGGTTTGCAGCCGTGAGAGGGCGAGAGAGGGAGTCTGAACAGGGTATTGAAGTTACCAGTCACCCGGTCTGGGGTGGTTGGAGGAGGCAGCCTGTGCATATATTTGGTTAGGTAGTTTGTGCGCGAGGACATTTTCCCCATGTTCATGTTTGATATCAGGGGAGAACAAAACAAGACGAACAAAGGAGGTCCCCCTCCAGCTCGTGCTCTCACGCCGAACGGACAGGCGATCGCAAAAACAAATCAGAACGCCCAGCCAGCCAGCGGCCAGGTCACATTTAACCACGTCTTGGGCCTGAACACGCCGCCTGCTGCCAGGTTGGGAGAGCTGGAGCTTGGCCCCGTCTTCTCTCTGGTTCTCTTCCTCTCTCTCTTTCTTTCCCCTCCCCCCTGTTCACTCATCGCCTCATCTCAAATTTGGTCCCATTTGCTTCCCCCTCCCCTCCTCCGACATCGTTTGCTTTCGTCATCACCATAAACCACGCCTCGTCTCTCTGCAGTCGTCGCTGGTGCTGATTGTCGGCAAACTGTGGCCCCTCCCGGGACTTCTTCCCTTTAGGCTCTTACTACCTCCCCATTAATGCCCGTTTATTAGCTTGCCCCCTCCACCCCTCCCTTCCGAGTTCAATATCCGGCATAACCTTGTTTCGGGACAGCCCTGCTGAGTTGCCCGTCCCGCCCCAAATGAAGTTCTTTGGCGGGAGCAAGAAACCTGCCTCTTCGACGTCGTCGCCGTCGTCGTCGACCAAAAAGCACGCCTCCAGCTCCAGCATTGACGATCGCGACGACCCTCGCCACTCGCACTCGGAACCTTCGTCGCCCGCAAAATCTTCCTCGCGGTCGCCAAAAAAATCTTCCAGGCCGCCCTCCCATCGAGACTCGAGAGAAGCAAAGCCGCCCTCGTCGCCCCGTCACTCGAGGCTCTCGCGCCATTCCACTGAGCCGCCCTCATCCTCTTCGCGACGCAACAAATTCGACGCCGACACTCATCCCCTCAATTTGCCACCCGAGGAGCGCAAGCGGCTCTCTGCCCTGTCCCAGTCCGCCATGAGCGGCCGCAACTCGATGGAGATTGACGGCGAGCCCGCCAATGGCGCCTCGTCGCCGCCTCCGAATTCCTCGGCCCAGACAAATTTTTCAGTGCCCATTTCGAATGGCTCCAACCACGAAGAGGCTCCTGCGCCCCCTCCTCACAAGTCCAACCCGTCCAGCCCTGTGCCGACTCCGCAGGATGACGCCGAAGCCTACAAGGCTGCCGGGAACCGCTTCTTCAAGGACAAGAACTTTTCAAAGGCCATTGAGCAATATTCAAAGGGTATGCCGTCGAGAGCTTTTTCTGTTTTCGACGACGCCCCACGCTGACTGTGGTGATGACGCAGCCGTTGACTTGTTCCCTGAGTCGAGCACCTACCTGGGCAACCGCGCTGCTGCCTACATGTCGAATGGCCAGTACGAGGCTGCGCTCGATGATTGTTTGCGTTCCGCCGATCTCGATCCTCAAAACCCCAAGATCCTGCTGCGACTTGCTCGTATCTACACGGGCCTGGGAAGGCCAGAAGAGGCCATGACCACCTTTGGACGCATCAACCCGCCACCCTCCGCCAAGGACACGGCACCGACCAAAGAGATGCTGCACCACATCAACTCGGCCAAGGAGACCCTGAGCCGGGGCACTGCAGTGTCCATGGTGCTCCACGCCCTGGATCAGGCCGAGCGCGGACTTGGGCCGGGCGTGGGCAAGCCTCGCAAATGGCAGCTCATGCGCGGAGAAGCGTACCTGACTATCGGGCGGGAGAACTCGCTCGGTGAGGCGCAGAACATTGCCATGTCGTTGCTGCGGAACAACAGCCAAGATCCCGAGGCCTTGGTCTTGCGCGGACGCGTTCTCTACGGCCAAGGGGAAAACGAAAAGGCTGTTCAGTCCCTCCGCATGGCCCTCAACTGTGATCCCGACTTCCGCGACGCTGTCAAGTGGCTGAGGATAGTGCAGAAGCTCGAGCGCATGAAGGAAGAGGGCAACGTTGAGTTCAAAGCTGGACGGCTGCAATCGGCCATCAACAAATACACAGAGGCGCTCGACGTCGACGCCTCCAACCGCAGCATGAATGCAAAGCTGCTGCAGAACAGGGCACAGTGCAAGATAAAGCTCAAGCAATACGACGGGGCCATTGCCGACGCAGATCGGGCAGTGAGCCTGGACCCCAGCTACAACAAGGCTCGGAAGACAAAGGCCAACGCGCTGGGCCAGTCGGGCAAATGGGAAGATGCCGTCCGTGAATGGAAGTCAATCCAGGAGCTTGACCCAGAGGACCGTACCATACCAAGGGAGATTCGCAAGGCGGAGCTCGAATTTAAGAAGAGCCAGAGGAAGGATTATTACAAGATCATGGCCGTGGAAAAAGACGCCAGCGCCGACGACATCAAGAAGGCTTACCGCAAGCTGGCCGTCAAGCTCCACCCCGACAAGAATCCCGGGGACGAGGTGGCCGAGGCCAAGTTCAAGGACTTGCAAGAAGCCTATGAAACTCTGAGCGACCCCCAGTAAGCCTTGACCTCACCCAGCGGCATCCATAACATGCTTTGTACGTGCTGACCTGTGTGTAGAAAGAAGGCTGCCTACGACAACGGGGACGACTTGATGGACCCGTCGGACATGTTTGGTGGCGGCATGGGCAGCAACATGGGCGGCATGGGTGGCATCGACCCGGAGATCCTCTTTAGCATGATGGGCAACCAGGGCGGATTTGGCGGCGGCGGTTTCCGGACAGCCGGTGGATTCCCTGGAGGCGCTGGCGGATTCCCCGGCGGAGGTACATTCCCCGGCGGGGCGACCTACAGCTACGGCAACGGCGGCGCTGGACGCCAACGTAGCGGCGGGTACCCCTTCCAATGACCATCCGACGAGAGCGAAGGCCCAAGCACGGCCAAGGGAGCAGCATGGGAGGCGGAGGACACTCAAGGGGGAGAGAAAATGACGGCTGGCGCGGCGCGGCGCGGCCATGGCCAGGGACGCCGCGAGCCGCGCGAGGAGACGCTCGAAGCCGCGCGGCGCTACTGCATGGGCCTATTGGCTGCCGCCGTGCTCCTGCCGCCGCACCTGGTGGTGCTGGGTGTCATCGCCTCGGCTCTGGTATATGTGTTGAAGAACGTGTACGTTGGGCGGCGACCAGGGGGGGTCGCCAAGGGAACTGGATAGATAGGTTTTTTGGAACGAGGGCGCGCGGGATCGCAAATGCGGCCCTTTGTCCCCTCATTTCAGGGCGTTTTTGAATTTCTGAAGGTCTAGACACCGGAACAGGGAAGCTCGAGGCTGGTCATGAGAACATTCGACTGCCAAGCTCTGGTTGAGTCCCTTGGACCTCTTCTCACATGGATGACCGGGGATGGGAAGGTCTGGGTAGAATACATGCTCCGAGTAGCGAGTGGGCTTCGGGCCCGGCTGTTGTCGATAGTCACGCATAGGAGATGCACCACTCGTTCCCGTTAAGTTTGAAGATGCCGTCTACTGGCGGTAGGCAGTGTTCTTTGTATGGACGGGACTATACATGACCCACAGGCTGTGCTGTACGTACTGAAGTGCCCGATGCTGCATCATTACTGTGTTGTGATGAGGCCCTCGTCCGATCCAAAGGGCATCTCTCCCCTCGCCCGGCCTGCCATAGAGCAGTCACCCTCATGAGGGGAGATAGGGAGGGGTCCCGAGGCCTTGAGCGAGGCACGGCGCTTGTGACTTTGTTGAGGAGGTGACGTGGGCGCTGCCTGCCATGGCGGCTTCTTGCGCGCGAACTGCCAGCAGACTTGACTTGTCTTTTCTTCGTCCCAGGATGGATAGGGGGGTCAGCCACCACCCACAGAAGCAGCACCTGAATCCGGCGCCGCCCTGGTCCTATCCTCCCCGTTCCTCCTCTCGGCGGCGGCCAGCGGGCCCCCACCGCCCGTAGCCTCGAGCACCTTGGCGACGTCGTCTCTCAGCTCGGGCATGGCCGAGATCATGTCCCTGGCGAGGACGTCGCGAAAGGCGCCAAACGCGTGCATCTTGCCGCGCATGAGCTGGTTGCCGCGGCGCACCAGCTCGACAAACTCGCGCGTGTAAATGTCCGGGTTGCGGCCGTTTTCGACGTACTCGAGCAGCTCGGGGGGCACCGAGGGAAGGGTGTTGTGCGGGGACGAGGCCGAGGCGTGGAGAGTCTGAAGGGAGCGCGAGAGTGTTTTTCTGTACCAAAAAGATTGAATTGTCAGCGGTGGCGCCGGTCTGGATCAGCTTGGGGGATGGTTACACTTCGTTGGAGAGGACGTCGCGGCTAGGGCGCCCGGCGGCGTCGTAGGTGGTGACCTGGACCATGACCTGGTAGAGATCCTGGATGATGTCCTTGAGCTGCTCTGCATTTGGCGGAGTCAGTCTAGAGGCAGATGGGAGGCAGAATGGGGTTTGAGGACGTACGCTCAAATTCTTGGTGGCTCATTCTGTCGACTGGAGCCATATTTGGTGGTGGAGCGAGCGCGCTGCCTTTTCGAGCCCGCTAGAAAGGTGGGATCGATTTCCGCACGGGACGAGGAGTGCAAGTCGAGATGGTGGGTGTGGGAAGGGGTCGAGTTGATGGTCGAGTTGAGGGTCGAGTTGAGGGTCGAGTTGAGGGTCGAGTTGAGGGTTGAGTTGAAGGTCGAGTTGAAGGTCGAGTTGAAGGTCGCGAGGCTGAGGCTGGGAGGGATCGACAGCGAGGAAAGAGAGAGGGAGAGATGTTAGGCTGCCTGCCTCGGGAAAAGAGGTCACTGGAAAGGTGGGGGGGGGCCAAGCACTGGACCCACGTCTCGGCGGCATCGTCCACGTGCCCATCCTCTCCCTCAACGACATTGACAGAAGAATGCCCTTTTTTCACCCTCTTTCACTCTTCTCCCCCCCTCCTCAATGAACGGCGTAATTGCACACCGACTCGGCCGCAGCAGCTGCAGCAGCAGAAAATAATCCACGGCACGCTACGAGGAGAACAAGAAGCAAGATTAAGGGCACCAAAAACGGAGCCGCATTATCCTGACATTACCAGAGGACCTCGGCCTTGCTTTCAACATCTACGAATAACCCTCAAGCAGGTCCCGCGAGTCAAAAAAGAAATATATACATGAATGTCCACCGCGTCATCAACTTGTCTCTCCAAACCAGCAGCGCAACCCTTTCCGTCTGGCCAGTCCGCTGCCCTCTCCTGCTTGGCGCTCGCGTTATTAACCCCGTCTTCGTCCTTCCTCCGAAGCTCCATCACCACCACAGCGCAAAGGTAAAATCAAAAAGAAGAAGTGGCTTGCTAAGTCCGTAGGTCGATGGCATGATTCTTATTCATTTCAAGGCATGACATCGTGAACAAGGCGGCTCGAAGGTGAAAGCAAAAAAAGGGGGGCTCTCCCAAGCTCGGTGATAGAGCTTGACGAGAGAACGAAGAAGGAAAGAAAGAGAGTGTGAGCCCGGGCTTTAGAGAATAGCCATGAGGCCGGCCACACCGGCCACGAGGGCGACAACGGGGACACTGTTGCTCTGCGCCGCGGCGGTAGGCACGCTGGGCGAGACAGAGGTCGACTCGACAGCCGGCGGCGACGGCGCAGAGCTCGGCGCCTTGACAGACTCCGTCACCGTCGACTCGCCGCCCTCGACCACCTTGCTGGTGACGTGGACGACCTGCGTCGACTCGGCGCCTGGCACCACGACCGTCTCCGTCACGGCGTAGCCCTCATGCTTGGTCACGTACTCGACCTCGGTCTGCGTCTCGACCCACCCGGGCTTGGTCACGGTCGTGTACACCGTGTTGGCCTGGTGCACCTTGACGACCTTGGTCGTCGTGTACTTGACCGTCTGCTTCTCGCCGCCCACAGTCACGACCTGGGTCACGGCGTTGACCTTGGTCACCGTCTGGTACTCGACGTCGATGGCCGTCGCCGTCTCGCCGGGCTTGTGCACCGTCTGCTGCACCGTCACGGGCACCTCTGTCTCGATGAGCTTGGTCTTCTTGTAAGTCGTGGTGTGGACCTCGCCACCGATGGTCGTGACTTGCGTGACGGGATAGATCTTGGTGAGGGTTGACGTCTCGACTTCGACAGCCGTCGCCGTGGTATCGGGCTTCTTGACCGTCTGCTCAATCGTCGTTGGCACCGCCGTCTTGATCAGCTTGGTCGTCTTGTACGTCTTGGTATGGACCTCGCCATTGATCGTCGTGACCTGAGTAACGGGGTAGACCTTGGTGATGGTCGCCTCCGTAACGTCGGTGGCCGTGACCGTAGTGTCCGACTCCTTGACCGTCTCCTGGACCGTCTTGGGCACCTTGGTCTCAATCAGCTTCGTCGTGGTATACGTGGTCGTATACTCGGTGCCGTGGATGGTGGTGGTCTCAGTCACGGGGCAGACGCTGGTAATGGTCGAGTATTCGACGTCGGTAGCCGTGGCCGTAGTGTCTGACTCCTTGACCGTCTCCTGAACCGTCTTGGGCACCGTCGTCTTGATGAGACTGGTGGTGGTGAACGTGGTCGTGTATTCGGTGCCGTGGATGGTGGTGGTCTGCGTAACAGGGCACAGGCTCGTGATGGTCGAGTACTCAACATCCGTGGCCGTGGCCGTGGTGTCCGACTCCTTGACCGTCTCCTGAACCGTCTTGGGCACCGTCGTCTTGATGAGGCTAGTGGTAGTGAAGGTGGTTGTATACTTGGTGCCATGAATGGTGGTGGTCTGCGTGACGGGACACAGGCTCGTGATGGTCGAGTATTCAACATCCGTAGCGGTAGCCGTGGTGTCCGACTCCTTAACCGTCTCCGCAACGGTAGTGGGAACGGTCGTCTTGATGAGGCTGGTGCTCGTGTAGGTAACCGTCTTCTCATGTCCAGCAATCGTCGTCACCTTGGTCACCGGGTACAGGCTCGTGATGGTGGTATACTGCACATCAATGGCCGTGGCCGTGTGGTCGGGCTGCTGGAACGTGGATTCGACCGTGGTGGGAACAGTGGTCTTGATGAGGCTGGTGGTGGTGTACGTCACAGTCCGCTCCTGTCCGGCAATGGTCGTCACCTTGGTCACCGGGCACAGGCTCGTGATGGTCGTGTACTCGACATCAGTGGCCGTCTGCGTCTTATCGGGTCCGGGGACGCTCTGGTAGACGGTGGTGGGCACCTGGGTGACAATGTTGCTGGTGACGGTCCGCGTCGTCAGGTACGTGTGCTCCGGTCCGGTCACCGTCTCCGTCACGGGGCAGAGCGACGTGTAAGTGACCTCGACCAGCTTGGTGGTGACCCCGGTCACGGTTGGGCCGGGGACGGTGACGACGCCCCCACAGCCGCGGCATTCCGTGACGGTGAGGGTCGATGTGGTGAGATCAGTCTTCCAGTAAGTCCTTGAGTTCATGTCAGCTTAAGAGCGCGTAAAGGGGGTTGCGGAGACAAGGCATAGACTGTGCCGGTACTCACGTTCCCTCGGAGCTGACGGTCGAGGTGACGGGACAGATGGTCGTGGTCGTGTAAGTCGTCAGTCCCGTGGTATAAGTCGGGTTGTGCTCGGGCTCGGGCTCGGGGTGATTCTCCGGCTCATGTCCCCTCGGGTCAATCTGGTTCCCAAGAACCGAGGCGGCCAAAGCCAGCAGGGCGAGACGAGACACCATGGCGAACGGAACGAGGGACCGCTGGCTCAGTGGTATGTAAAGAAGCGAGAGTTGATGGACACGCTGTTGGCACGCCGTGATGGACGGGCGAGAGCGAGGGTAATAAGTATTTCAACGAAGGTGGCGGCTCGGCTGGCTCAGACGACGCTCTCCCGGAGGAGGAGAGGGGAATCTGGCTTGCTGAGAGGAGTGGGAGAGGAGGTATGGAGCAGGCTTGAAGGATGTGAGGTGCCGGAGAAAGCACAACAAGGAAGACTTGAGGACGAGGAGTCCGGGCTGGGACTTATACGTACGTGCTACTGCAGGACAACAACACCAAGATACAGGATGCAGCCGGTTCAGGCACGACAGCAGCTCCCAGCCGATCCAACCGTCCGCGTCCGCGTCTCGAGCCATACAGTACATGCTTGGCGTGCATGAGCATCATGTGTTTTGTGACGGGCAGGGCGAGGCGCAAGGGAGGGGGGTGATGGCTAGGCGAGTGGTGGCGGCCTGAACGGGAGGCAGCGGACCTGGCCTTTGCAGCCATGGTCGGGAACGGATGGCCCAGCCGGGGGTGAGGCGAGAGAGCAGACGGGAAGCTGTGCCAGCTTACCGCCGGGAGACAAGTCCGTTTCTCCATCTTCCTGCCGAAAGGCTCGAGCACAGCCGGCCAATCCCGAGACCGGATCGTCGTCCAGCCAGCTCTGGGCCGCGGCGAGGCGTTGCGTGCTGAATGGCAGGTGGTTGGGAGGGCAACCCGAGAAACATGAGGCCGAGTTTTGCAGAGGCTGATGAGCCGTGGTGACGGATGGCGATGCTTCTTCCCCTGCCCACCGCCTCTTTCTCTCTCGTTCGCTCTACGGTACGAAGTAGTACCCCCGCGTCTCCCTGTCGTTCATGTCGATCCTCACTCGGCCCTTGGTCAGTTTCGGCCAGTCGGTCGCTCTCTTTGGAGCAGCGTGCGGTGTTGGTGGAGAGTCACAGCCGACCGGCCTCGACGATAAGAGCTCGCACGACACCTCGACGTCAAATCACGAGCCACGTGTTTTGGGACTAACCAGCCTGTACATACAGTACATACATACTGTACTGCAAGCACAGTCAGTACATGGGGGACACCGGATGTCAAGTCCCCAGGCTCGCTGTGCATCCCGAGATGGGAGCTGTTGGTTGCCGCTTCCGGGAGTTCATCGAGCGATCCGCCTCCCAGGTCGCACGGCAGACGCAGCGGGATGGGATATGCATGTGTAACAAGGAAAAAAGGGCGGCCGACGTGAGCAGCTCGATGGGTCGCAGCAGGCGTCCGGGGACGAGACCGCCTGGTATGATGGTGGCTTGGGATCGGGGGGTTTTTTTTTCTACCTACTGTACTCGGCCCTCGACGGCGGCGTAACAAGTCGTCACAGCTGGTAGCGGTTGAGAGAGGGAGGAGAGCAGAGGTTGGAGGGGGAAATATTCAAGCGGGCGAAAAGAAAAAGCCCCCTGTCGGTCGTGCCGCGCTGCAGTATGCGTGTCTGGATTGCTGTCCGAAGGGAACGTGAAGAAGGCACGAGAGGGTGCCCGTATACAAGAGTGCATGAGCGAACTAGGAGGAGCCATGACTTCTAGTTCATCGGTGTGTACGGATACAGTCCTGTAATATCTGTGTGTATGTAGATGAAAGGACGAGGAAAAGGGGGGACGGGGGGGGACAGGGGCCCGAGAGATGTGGCTGCAAACTCGCCTAGAAAGAGGTGTGACGACGAGGCAAATGCCTGCTCCTTTGTCAACGGTCCTCCTTCGCCAACGGTCCCTGCCTCCAAGGTCTGTCTGTGGGTGGTCCTCGGTCCTCCCCATGCTCACTCTCGTGGCTCAGTCCCGACAGAAACAGACGGGAGGATTCGGAACAGCAGACAGAGAAGGCCTTGTTGCTCGGCATGCTTTATGCCTTGCTCGCATACACACTGACACATTTACGCACATACTGTAAGTTACTCTGCAGTCTGCACATAGCACACATGGTACCGCGTCCATGGGCCGTGCCAGGCTCTGGATACAGGGTGCATGTCATGTTGCATAGTCGTATTGTGGAGGCATGTATGTCATGTATGTACTCGGTAGGGAGGGAGAGAGGCATGCGAGTGTGTTTGCATACATACACTTGTGTCACTACGGCCTGGGAAACCGCCTTGCAAGGAAACCGCATGCCTAGATAGCTTGTGCAGACAGTCGACCAGCTGCTGGCGGTGCCGTTCCTCAGCCGCAGGGAATGGCTCAGGCGAATGTGACGAGTTGGAAATACGAGCCGGGACGAGAGTGCATGCATACGAGCATTCACCATGGATGCGAGTCTGTCAAACTGTGTGCATACTGCATAGTTTCTTGTATGTACGTACATGGCAAGAAGACTCCGGGATGGGATTATTGATTAGCTCATAACTGTACCTGTTTTCCTTGTCTGTTCTCTCGTGACTCCATCTAGACCCAGGCCCGGGTTGAGCAACTCGTCCGTGTAAGTATGTATGCACCAGCCTTTGGATATCATCAACAGGGCCGGCGAGTGCCGAGAGTCCATACATACTACAGCTGCTCTGTCCCCCATGTACTGTACAACACTACATGATGGCTCCGGGCCGGTTATCTCGTGTGCTGTGCACGAGAGGTGTCCAGTCCAGGCTGACAGCGGCAGAGATGCAGCCAAGGACTCCGTATCGGTAGCACAAGCTTCCCCCGGCCCGTGTGGCGTGGCGTTGGTCGATCTGTGGCCGGCACACGGGCTCAAAGACAACGACGGTCTCTGCTTTCTTGGGGCCTTTGACCGCGTACGGCGTGCTTGCTGCTGCTGCTGCTGGCTTATACGCTCCTCTTCTCGCGCTGTACGAATTACCGCATCATCATCGTCACGGCCGCTACTGCACGAGGGGCCTCGCTAGTTCCCCTATAGTCTGTGGGGATAATTCGCTATGCGGATACAACTGACTGGCTTACACGGCCTGCACACATACATGTCTGCAGCAGGGCACACTGGACTGTTCTTGCGCAAGTATGTACAGTATGCCTTGTGTATCGGGTACTACAGACTGTATGTACTCGGTTGGATCTCCGAGTTACTCCACGCCGTCTTCTCCCACGCAAGTAGCTACCGAGCGGCCGTTGCACAAAAGCCTATCGCGCAGCATGCGCATGTTTTGTGCGTGCATGCCTGTGCCCGGCTGCATGTAGTGACTGTACCGCGTCGCGTCGGAGACGGTGCCCGGAGGTGCAGTACCTGTGGTTATCGACGGAGAGGAGCAAGGAAAAGCGGGATAGAAAGGGACTGTGAGTCGAGTGAGGGTGGGACGGACAAATCATCATGCCCGGTGCCCTATGTGGTTCTCGCCTTGGTCCCCTTGCTTGTGTCGGTATGTTTGTATGTATGCAAGTGATGTCGAGGAGGGCGGGCGTTCCGTCGACTTTCCCTCGTCCTATTTCCTCCACCAACTCAAATCGGCCGTATCCGTACTTGGATGGAGTGCTTTTGGCGCGTCATTGGTTTCCACCATGTGTCCGTCTGTCCGTCTGTCTGTCTGTCTGTCTGTACATATGTTACGGTGGGAGAGATCATAATGAGTTGATCCAGGCTCTTTTTAGCCAATGCAAACGTGCCCTGACAGCACAGCACACACAGCCGGAGAGACGGTCCCCCAGACGATGCGACGGAAGCAAAAACACCACCATCCATGATTACGGAGCAGATCAATAGCTTCCTCGCATCAAAACAAGAGTCAGAGTCGTCACAGACGGTTCCATGCACCTGCATACATACGCTTGCGCAGACGGACGGCTCACATACAGTTTCCAACAAAACAAGTCATATTACATGCAGCAAGTATGCAGCAAGTATGTACATGCAGACCGACACACACCGGCCACAAGGATACCGACACCACGCACACAAGCAACCTGACAGGCTAGCAACAAGTACCTCCCTAGGCACCCTAGGCACCTACCAGTTACCTACAGTTACCTACCTGCCTAGTAGATAGGTAGGTTGTACCTACTACCTACCTAGGTACTTACATGCACTCGGCCAGTTGCCCGGGTACATGCCGCACAGTGCACGCGGCCGACCTCGTATTGCCTTGCCTCCCCAAGCCAAAGCCATGCCGCGTGCAACGAGCCCAACGCTTGTCTGACATCACCCCCCCTTCATCCATCCCCCCTTCATCCATCCCCCCTTCATCCATCCCCCCTCATCCATTCCCCCCCCCGTCCTCCGCCTTTTCCCCCGCTTGGCTTGTCTCGCCCGAGTCGACAGGAGAGTCACCGTCGTGGAAGGAAAATGCTGCATGGGCTGCTTCTCCTCTCCGGTACAGCAGGGTCGCACTCTGGCCCCTCCATCGCCGCCAGGCATCAACAACCATGACGCCACATCCGCCCTCAGCCCGTCCTGCCATGACGAAAACCCGGGCATCGAGGAAAAGCAAAAACGGCAACAATGCAGAACCGTGGACGGCAAGGGAAAAAGGAAGAAATAAAGACCCATCTCAGCCGTGCCGTGAGCGTCCCCAGCTCCCGTCTCCTGGCTCCAGGCAACAAGGCCTCTCTCTTTGTTGTTGACTTGGCCCTATCCGTACGCAGTCAGGTCCTCCCCAATCCAAGACAGCATTGGTGTCCGAGAGCGGGAAAGGGGGGGCCACAAGCCGTCCAACACGTACTGTCGTATCCCGACTCGTTCTCAGACGACCATGTCGTCTCCGCCTCTCCAGGCCCGGCCCGTGAACGAGACAGGCTGCAGACAACAAGCACTCCGCTCACGGCTGCGGGCATTCTTCTCGTGTGAGCCGAGACACACGTTCCCGGAACTCGGTCGTCACAACCACCACCACTCCAACAAAGACCAGCCAGCCAACCGGGCTCCCATCCATCCACCTCGACTCTGCCACGTCCGTCCAACCTGCTTTGCCGGTAGCTCCAGGCCCATTGTGGTGCCCCAATCCACCCAGCCTTCCCGGCGCGTGTACGCCATCTACGGCAACACGGGGCTTCCCAACCTGACTCGTCGACACGCCCAACAGGCCAAGCTGCACGGGAGCGAACCTTCAATCTAAGCATGGCTTCAGTAAGAAGAGCATGCGCTCGTGACCGGGCTACGTGAGACACTTCCGGCGGTGCAGTCTACTCTCTCTCTCTCCCTCTCTCTCCTTTCTGCAAGTCGGGCCGCCGCACACACGCCGGGCTCCAAGGCCTCGCGCATGCACACTTGGGTGGATGATGCACTCGCTCAGGCACAAGACGGGCCGGCAGTCGCATCGCAGAGTTGCCTTGAGCTGAACCCGCCGCTGCCGTGCCACAGGCCCTCTGCCAACCACATAAGCTCTGCATGCAAGTCCTAGCCTGGCTGGGCAGACACTGCCTCTCTGTCTCAACACCATCCAAGGCCTTCTCCCTCGAGCAGGCAAAGGCCCCCAGTAGTCAAGGCACCGACAAGGTCAGAGACCACACAGCACAGCTGCATCAGTTGCTCCCGTCTGTTGGCATCTTCCGTAGCCTCGACCACCGGGCTTGAGCTCTCAGTTGGTGGATGGATCAGAGCGAGGTTCAATGAAAGCACTGCAGAAAGACAGAGCGGCTCAAGTAAACCGTGTCCCTCTGGCCCCGCAATCAAAGGGGAGAGACTCGGTTGTATTCATGACTTCGTAAGCTATATAGATCGCTTGCCCGTCAAACCCTCGCAAACGCCTGCGATGCGTCCATGAACAAGCTGGCGACAAGCCAGACCCCGTTGAACATGGCCATCATGTAAAATGGTGCCCCGTGGGACAGCTTGTCAAACAGGATCCCCCCGACTTTGGTGAGAAGCAGAATCGCCGCTCCCCCGCACAGAGAATACACGCCGGCGATGGAACCTTTCAAGCGCACCCGGGATATCGCGTCATCTTCGTTCTCCTGGACGAGCGGGTCCGACTCGGCCGACTCGTCATCGTCCGGCGCAATCGACGGCTCACGAAGAACCGACCGTGGCAATTCGGCTGCGAGGACGCCTTGGCCGAGCGACCCCAGACTGCACACAATGGCCCCGATTTGGCTGATGCCAATGAGGGCCACGATGACGAGGATGGTCGGGCTGCCTCCACGCCCGTCTACATCCTTGAGCTCGGGGCTGGCCAGCTGCGGGAGGATGATGTAACCAATCATGCCAAAGGCGCCTGCCACGACAACGGGATAGTTGACGCGCCTAGTGCGGCCTGAGAGATACCCAAAGAGGGGAGCACACAGCAAGCCAATGAGCTGCGCGACTCCAGACAAGATGGATGACAAGACATAGGCTGCTCGACATTCTTTCTTCAGCTCGGGAGATGGGTCGTTGGGCGAGCCACGGCAGAACCCGTTGCTTATAAAGAACGTGTTGACGAAGAGGGGAATGAAGAGAGAGATGGCGACTGTAGACGCTCTCGCCACAAACCCGCCGAGATAGCCGAGGGCGATCCTATGGTCAGAGAAGCCCAGCAGGACCGAGTCCTTCATGAGACGAAGATAGGGAACCGCTTCCTACCAAGAGTCAGCCAAGGGCCAGGCCAAGCGTTGCATCCGGAGCTTACCCTTCTTCGGGGCCCATCTTCGTCGTCGTCGGCTTCAGGATCGTCAAGTGCATCGTATCGATTTCGAATGCCGAGGAGGACTCTCCAGCCCTTGCCCTCCTCGCCATTCAGGTTGCGCAGTCCGACGAAGACGAACAGAGCGACGACCAAGGACACGGCACCGACCACGTAGAAGCTGTACGAGACAGCCTCGCCGGGCGTCACGCCGCTTTTCTCGCCGAATTTTGCCGGCAGCGGCAGGAACAGGGCCAGCGCGACAAGAGCGCCGCACCCCGTGAAGGACCCCACCAGCCCGGCCAACGCAGACGGCTTTCCGGGCTTGGCCGCCGTATCTGGGCCAGGGTTATGCACCCGTTCGTGCGACAGGTTCCGGGTATATATCTCCGGCGTGATGGTGGCTTCGGACTCGACGGAAAAGGCGGCGCTGAGACGCGGGTTAGGCTTGATCCTCGAGGGCCCCGACGGGCTCGATGGCTGGCCCGTCTCCTGCGTTAGTGAGGGGAGTATGGCCGTGACCATGGTGGCCCTTTGAAATCGTCAGCTCCGCGCCCGGCGCATCTAGAGCATGGCAGGCAACTCACGCGGCCGAAGCGCCCACGGCGAAGAAGACGCGGGCTAGCAGCAGCTGGGGATAAACATTCTTGGCCTGGACAAAGACGGCGAGCGCGACGCCGATGATGGCATAACCAATGGTGGCCACCCAGCGGACCCCGAGCCGATCCGAGATGAGACCCCATGCAGGACACGCGACGAGGGCGACGAGCTCGTCGGCGAAGCCCAGGGTGCCGACGACATCGCCCACGTCCTTTTTCTGTCCGATAAGGTCGGTGATGACGAAGGAAACGGAGCTGTTGAGAAAGACGAGAAAGGAGATGGAGAAGAGCGAGACGCCGAGCAGATACGTGACGGCCTGAGTCGTCGTTGTCGAGGCCGAGAACGGCAGGAATCGCGAAATCGATGGCATCGTGTCAGCAATCGATCAAGCCGCTGGGGGAGAGCGTCCCATGGCGAGGCCAAAGACGTTGCGAGGAGCCGGTGTTTACTGCAAGGTAAGCTTGACGTTTAGATGCATTAGGAGGAGGGCGCGCGCGCGCAGGGGCTAGCGAGAAACCGCCCCGTGTTTACTTACATAAGCAGTTCCCATCTCAGTCAGCCCGACGTCGCCCAGTCTCGTCTGCGGGAAATGGGGCCTCTACAGTAGATCAATTGGGCAAAGTCACGAGTTTCGAGCCAGCAGAACCAGCATCACCATTGAGCATCGTAACAGCGAGCTCAGAATGTCGTAAACGCCGACCAAGCCGCGCCCCCGTCGCCCTTGCCAATAAGCTCAACCCAAACTCCTGGTTTCCTTCACCTCCCGCCCATCCGTCGTTCCCAAGGGTCATGATTCCAGCCACCCTGCTGCCAAATAACCGTCCCTCACCAAGCCCAAAGCACCTTGTGGTGGAGGGCTCTCGACCCTAATCTCTCAAACTCAAAGGGCGTGATCCACGAATCGTTGGTTGAGAGCTTCGCAAACACGCTCGCACCCTTCCAAGCCACCACCTGCTCGTCCATGTCCCTGGCGCTTCTGCTGACCAGGATCCTATCAACCAAGTCAGGTCGCCGCGCCTTTAGCTTCTCCTCCAGTACAACCGTAAACTGCGGGACCTTGGAGCCGCCGCCAATCACCATGATGCTTCCCAAAAGATCCCGCAGCTTCTTGTCGTCGTTCTTAGCGGCGTTCTGAATGCTCGTGAGGATAGCAATGTCCAAGGGCGCGATGGGGAGGACAGAGTCTCTCTCCGCCGCTACTTTCGCCGCACTTCGTTCCGGGCCGTCCACAAACACCCCCGGGGGAGGCTGGGAGACCTGAGAGAACTGTCCGGGGACCGGCGTGCCGGCGGCACGCGTGCCACTCGGCGCAGGGCTGTCGTAGCCGCCGCCGTCTTTACTGGATCCAAACAAAAACGGCGGGGGAATGGGCGTGCTGGTCCCTTCTGGCGCCGGGGATCCAGCGTGAGATGCTGCAGGTGTGCCGTTAATGGCGGCTTCACTCTTGCCCAGAAAATTGAATGGCTGCGATCTCTCCTTGCTCGGCGTTGACACTTCTGGCTGCGATAGTTGCAGTGCTCCGTTGGCGCTCGATGTTAGGGACGGCTTCACCAGGGCCAATATCGCCAGCTGCGCCGCGGACGACGGGTCGTCGGGAATGTAGACATCGTAGGCATTGTAGGAGCGCTCAACCAGCTTCCGTCGTCCCCTCAACTTGACGCTGTTGTCGAATATGGATGGCTCAAAGACTCCCATGGCTGCCAGGATGACTTCGTCGTACGTCTTGAACGTGTATTTCTTGGTAGGCTGGTTCGGCGCGCGGACGTGGAACTGGTAGAGCTGCACCGAGATGTCGGCCTGGGACATGGTGCAATGCTTCATCTTGAGCTCCTCAGCCAGCAGAAAGTCATACCGTCTCTGCAAGTTGATGTCTTGATACGGGAAGTTGTCGTATAGGATCATCTTGATGAACGTCTCGGTAATGTCGTACCCACCGTACTTGAGATTCACCCTCGAATCCTCAATGCAGAGGCCATCTTCCACGCACGTCACCGACGTCTTTTGGGCCCCAACGTCCACGACGCAGGCCTGCGTATAGCCGGCGCCGAAGGTTGCGGCCATGCTTTCCTGAACGAAGCATAATCTGCTGAATTCGAACCACGTCATGCACGAGCGCAGAATCTGCTCCACGTATCGCTTGTCGTACAGGTCCGGGATGACAAAGACGCAGCTGTACTGCTGCCATTCGCTATTCGTCTTGAGCCCGAGCTCTTGCCGAAGTGCCCTGTCCAAGAGCGTCTCGAAGTCGTCGTAGAGGTGTTCCTGACTTGTGTAGTCGTCCTCGTTCCACCATCCGTTGCGAATCGGCCACCATAGCTTGAATTTCGGGTCCGAGTCGTCGGGCACGCGCAAAGCATCGTTGCCGATAAAGCACGAGGCAGGAGATTCTGGGTCCTCGAGGGTCTTGATGTCCGTCCACTCGATTTCCAAGGGGTCGTTGTGCTTCTGGATGACTTCAGGCTCGGTCCGGCGATTGAATGTCTGGACGAGTTCTTTGGAGTTTGGTAGCACTTTGCGCTTGTTGGCGCGCATCTCCGTCTTGAGCTCGCTACACATCCTCTGGTATTTTCTTGACCATTCCTCACCGTACTGTTGATCTGTCGTCTTGGCCTCGAACTGCCGCCGAGGGAGGGCTTCGTACATGTCGGACTCTGTTTGTGGAAATCTCGTGCCGAGCGTCATGGGAATTGTCTTGGGAAGGGCGTCGCTGGCGAAGCCGATGCGGAGGTTCTGGCTGCCAGGGTGAATCACAATGATCCTAGAAGGGTCCACGGCTCCCGATGGCGTGGTGGCGCCGTCTTCTTCGGCGAGGTCCGGCACGGGGAGGGGAAGTTCGCCGTTGGCGGGCTTGGAGAGGAGCCGGTCGCGATCTCGGGCGGTCTGGACGAGACGGTCGCGCGTCGCATCGCTTTGAAGTCGAAGAGCGAGAACCTGGTCATCGCGCTTCATGTAGTCGCTGGCGAGCGCATTGGTTAGCCTCGGTCCTGCTGCCGCCGGCGCATTCCACTCACGTGTAGTAGTTTTTCTGGTTGATGGGCGTCACCTCGGGCCAGCTCGTCAGCTTCATGCCATTGTCGGTTCTCTCCAGCCCTGGCAGAGTGCATTGTCAGCGCTTGTGTCGGGACTTTGGCCATGACGACGTACCCTCTCGGAGGAGAACCCTCTCCGAAACCTTGCCGACCATTGTGAGTTGCTTGGCTCTGCTGCGCTAAGTGGCTTGATTGGCAGGGAGCCAGGCTGGCAGGCCCTTTGTCGAGTGAAGTATCGTCGAGTCTGCCAGCACTTCTCTTGATACGATGTCTCCCTGCGAATCAGAGCCGCCGTTACGGCTGAGACCCACCCCCGACAGCGGCGTCGCCTGCACTTTAATCCGCTCCGCTCGCACCGCGCCAACCAACGCAGTAATACTCGTTAGGTAGTAAATGTCGATTCTAACAAACGACTTTCTCAACCAGCGGCGCGTCAGTCGCGGCATCACCGTCGACAGCGGCCTGCTCGCCCGCGGCGGCTTGAGCCAGTCGTTTGGCTCTCTCAAGAAATACAAGCAGCGTGACATGGCGTATTTCCAGTTCCATGAACTTGCTGGGCGGCAGGCTTGGCTCGGGCATCTCGATTCGATGCTCTCAGTCGTCGCAATTTCAACCTGATAAGACACGCTATTCGGCACCGGGTTTACTCAGACTCTACAGCATCTTCGGACGATGCTGCTCCTCCCACACCGCAGACAGAATCATTGGAGCTCGGCCGGCGGGTACTTTGGCGAGGCATGGCCTATGGCGTACTGGGTATCCGGTCGTTGGCTGGCCGGCGGCAAATCCAACACGATAGGATTTTCGATATTATTAATCAGTGATCCCGTTTATGTTTTGGTACCTTTACGCTGCGAAAGGCCGTTACGCTGCAACGGGCCCTTCACCAATGCCTCTGCTCCTTCGCTTGAAGTGTTTGAAAAACGAACCGACTAGCAACACCATCGCGGTTCGTTCTCAGCCCCGAGTCCCCAAAGCGTTCCCACTAAGCCATTGCGGTGCTAAGAATCACTCGCCTGGCTTTGCCCCAGCGAGACGGCGGACCACTAATGCTGTCCGAATCCTTCCCTTGGGCATCTGCTCTGGTTGCTGCGTTGGCCTCGTATGCCGCCTTGTGTGCAGCGTTGCGCTTCCGACGACTCAGGCAGCTGCAATCACGTTTTTACTATCCAGATCGAGCTTCTTTGGCTTCCATGACGTCTGAAGATGCCCGAGCCATCGCCTGCACCTCCAGCGCTCTCGAGTTTCCCCTTTTCTGCGACTTGGGCCTCCGATACGCCCTGCTCAAGGTATCATGCAACGCTTCTCCCGCCTTCCCATCCGCCTTGATTATGTTCTGAATCAGGCGCCGCCAGTCATATACAATCGACAATGTGGGAAAGCTCTTGCATGCTGCTAGCGATCTGGTAGACCCTCAGCAGGCCGCGAAAAGGTATTTACCTGGCCGCACCCGCGCCCGCAATGTCCCTGGCCCTGACAAACGCGCAAACCAGATACGAGGACACTGAAGTCATCTATACCTTGTGAGTTTGACGGGCCTCTTTCTGCTCTGATCAGCGGCTTACAACGCTCGCCCAGCTTGGGAGGGCACTTCCCGCTGAGCTCTCCATCGCTTCACAAGGCCGTGGCTCGGATGAACTATCTGCATGCTCCGTATATCAAGAGCGGCAAAATCCTCAACGCGGACCTCTTATACGTTCTTTACCTCTCCATGGCTGAGCCCGTCCGATTCGTGAACCTGTACGAGTGGAGATGCCTCACGGATATGGAAGTTGCATCTCACGCAGCGCTCTGGAAAACCGTTGGCAGCATGATGGGGATTAATTTTTCAAAGGAACTCGGGAAGAGCGAGTGGAAAGATGGCTTGGAGTTCATGGACGACATGACACGATGGGGGGTTCGGTACGAGGACCTCCACATGCACCCACTGCCCGAGATTCAACGGCTCGGCGCGATCCTCGTCGACATGCTTCTGTCTGCGTACCCCGCAATGATGCGGCCGCTCGTATATCAAATGCTGCATGTCATTTTGGGGGATACGATGCGTCACGTTCTGGGGTACGTGTCTTATCGCCAGTCCCGTCTGCTGCCCTGGAAGCTGACCTCGCGATAGACTTCCGGAACCCGGGATAGCGGTCTCAGCCTTCACTTACACGCTCTTACTCTGCCGGAGGTTGTTCCTCCGGTATCTGACCCTGCCACGAATCTCCCCCGTATGGATCGTCAGCGGCCCTGATCCCACGACGGGAAAATTGCACCACAATCGCTATTTGAAGGAGCCATGGTATGTCCCCGCCACCGCGTGGACTCGCTGGGATCTCCAAGCGTGGATGACGAGGGCCTGTGGTGGGATGCTTCCCGGCGACGGCGGCCCAAGGATGAAGCCCGACGGCTTTCTCTTTGACGACATTGGGCCACTGAACAGGATAGGTAGGGGGGCCGCAGAGATGGCGCGCATAGAGGAAGTTGTGAGAGGCGAGGCAGCAAGGAAATACCCTTTTGCTGCCTGTAAGAAGCTCTGAGGACGATGGGTCGGGTAACCCGCTGGGGACTATTGAACTGCGCTCACCAGCCTTGCTGGAAAATCGTGAATTCTAGGGGCCATCGACATGTCACGCCAGATCTTTTCACCATTGTGAAGTCTATGCGACCGGTGCACACCCTCTGAAGCTGCCACCCATGCTCGTTCCAGTTGAGATCGGGGGTGGTTTCAACAACTTCCTGGGGCCTGCCTATACCAGCACCGCCTTGCCTATCCGGCTGGCTCTTGAATGGCAGGGTAATGTAACATCTTGGAAGGAGACCTGATGAGAACATTATTCTGAAAGATGAAGAAGGCAAGGTAAACAAACAAGAATCGTGAAGTTGTAGACGAGAGATTATCAGGATACAGGGTAGGCAGAATGCGCTGACTAACGCAGTCGAGCACGACGTCACTTCCCGCTCTACGGTGTACACGAACACGCTCTCCTCAACGACATTGATGCACGCTTCTCGCCTACATCGATACCACAACGGAAGACGCGGCCATACCACATCGCCTACGACTGTCGAAGAGGTCCTCGGCGCTGAACCTTGCGCGGGAAAGAATCTACATATCCTGAAGAGGCGTCGCGACGCATCGAGATCGTCAAGATGCCCCCCATACCAGTGTACAGCGCCAGTCCCATTAACGCCTCCAAGGCATCTGGCATAACTCCTCAGACGCAAGGACCAGAAGGATCGCACGGCAATCAGGAGTCATCGGAAGCCCTTCCGGGCGCTGCCGCAGCCGCAGCCACGTCGATACCAGACGGGCAGCAGTCTGCAGGGCTGGCGGCACGGCCGGGGGCCCAGCCATCATTGCCTGTTCAGACGGGGATGCCTCAGCCCAACACTTATCCCCAGGCATATCATACACCGACAGTACACGAAGGCCCCTCGCGAGTCGAACATGTCAGTCCACCAGCTCCACAGCCAGGTCCCGTGCCTGAACCCCCCGGCAGAGAGAGACAAGTTCCTCCACCGCCGAAAGCCGGGGAGTTGGCGGAGCACCACCGGCAAGCGCAGGCGGCGACAACGGCTCCTCCTCGCATGCCACATCAAATGGCATACCAGGCGCCCGCTGCATCCCAGCCAATACAGGGTCGCTCGTCAACCACGACGACAACGCCAGCCACGTACATAGGCGGCCCGTACTCGACATCACTGCAGGGGACGAACCCGAATGCCGGGTACGCGAACCACCCTGGGTACCAGCAAGGCGCCGGCGCGTCTGGATTCAACCGTTATCAGGGCCAAGGGCACGACTTTGGAGGCTCGCAAAACTCGAGTAACTGGTCATCGGTTGGAGGGGAAGATCAGCCGGGCGTGTGGGATACGGCAAGGAAATGGGCAACGGCAGCGGGCGAGAGCCTCGCCGCCGCCGAAAGCGAAGTTTGGAAGAAGATCAATAAAGGCTAAGCGACGACCGTCGTGTAGTGGAATCGGCAAATGGCCCCGTAGAAGAATTCCGATCGCCATGGGCTCGAAGGCATCGATATGACTTTTACCGCGCAGACAGATCCGAAAGTCGTGCCTCAACGCAACACGACGCTCGCTGACTGGCGAAAACATCACTGGTCGAGGGGCAAAGGGGGGGAGGGGGGTTGGAGGGCGTTATGATGGAGCCACTGACTCGCTCGATGGGGGTCCATCTGAGGAATCGGCAGGGAGATGCCCTGGAAAGCGTTCGGCGCTACACTAGGGGTGCTACAATCCATCTGGTGCTAATTCTGGTCGTCTCGTCCCCTAAAGGAGAGAGGATCCGTGGTCGCGGGACCGAACATCAGACGCCTCGATAGGTACGCAGCAAGAAAATACTCAATCACATGACATGCCCTACGGGACCCGAGGGTCGCTTGGGCAGTCTCGCCATTGCCATGGCCCGTTCTCGTGTTGGCAAGGTGACACGAGGGATATACCTTTTGGACTGCGTGTATGGCGACACGAGACCTGTCGCCTGCGCAGCAAGTGTCGACGACCTAGTGATGATTGATGATTCCACGACGCGCCGTGTGTACACACCTTTTAGCACCCTTCATCTGCTGATTAGAGAGAAAGAGACGCTGGCGATTAGTGCCGACTGTGGATTGCTGCTCGTCCTGATTGCCGTAAAAGGGGGCGCTGCCGTCATGCAGCGGCCCACATCGCAAGTCATGGAATCAAATCAACCCGCCGGTCGGGTATCCATGGCTGTCACGATGCATGAATCATCGACGGTTGACAAGACGGTGATCTGCCACCCTTTCCTCCGCGTTTGCCACCGGACACTTGACATTCGAGCTGGTCCTGCACAAGTGGTATCGGCACCGAGGATCCCCGTGGCAGCTGCGTTCAGACGGGGCATTCAGGGAGACCCCGGCAAGGCGGACGGACTTGTTTTTATCGAGGCCTCAAGGCGCGCAAAGCCACGCGTCCGCTCTAGCTCTCTTATGGATAGGTCGACGAGCCCAAGAAGAGGCGTTGGCAGCCTGAGAAAGCACGTGTATCATTTGGTCTTGCTCGTCTAGCTCAACAAGTGCCGCTTCGTCGTTTCTCGTCCAATATTCCTATCCTAGCCTTGGTGGAGCGAGAGGGGGTCATGGACTGATGAGGACCGTGGCGCCATTTTGCGCCCGCCGCGTCAGGGACTTGGCTGCGCTGTAAGATGCTTGTGCCGATAGAGCCGTCGGTTAGAGCCCAGCAGACAGCAGAAACCGGAAGCCCGTTGACTGGGTACGGTTTTGGCGGCGCACGACACAGCCAAGGATGGAGCCCCCCTTCCCACCCTCAAGACGCCGAACGTCGGCGAGGTCTGTATGTGTGCAAGTAAAGATTCTGGCGCAACGGGAAAGGAGGTGCAAAGGACTTGGAACCCTTTGCACGCCCGATCGCCTGCAGCTCCGCGCTCGTGACGCAAACGTGACTCGGGGAGCGGTTCTGGTGCGTGTTGAAAAGGCTGGAAATGAGCGTCGACGAGGATGAGGTGCGGCAGATCTGAGACACCGACAGCGCAGGTGCGCTGAAACGGCCCTGCGAGGCCGCTGTAGAATCGCTTGCCCGCCCAATGGGGGCGCTGCAAGTGCCGGGGGAGCTCCTTTCGGCACCTTCCCTTGCGTTTAGGTGCTGTCACAGCCTGTCAGCATAGGCCAATCATGCCTTAGCAAGCGGTGAGCGGCCTGTCCCCTTTTTTCCTCAACCTTGACGCTGCACATCGCAACCCAAGGCCTGTCGTGACGGCTGCCGCCAGCCAACCAAAGACGAGAGTCTCAAATTCACCGATCCCCCTTCTCCCCACTGACCTAGTGACGCCTCCGCAATTGCCCCAGCCAAGACAACGAACTTTGCTTCTCCTCGGCATGCTTGGCATTGCCCTGTCTCTACAGAGTTGCCGCGCGGCTCCGCCTTCTCTTTCCACAGTAGCACAGTGGACCGAGAGATGGAAGCCTAGCCTAGCAAAGGCCCTTTCTTGTCTTGGCCTCTGCTTTGTCAGCTTCAATCTCTACCTCTGGTGCTTCTCTTCATTCCTCCACTCCTTGCCAACATCCTCCTTCGATGGACACGCGTACAGACACGTGGAAATGCCCAACTAATCAGTCGATCCTTTTAATATACAGGGTCCCCCTCGCGGGTACCGACTTCTCTCCAAGTCTAAACCATCGTCCGCGCGGTCCTGGATGACAAATGCTCGCGGATCTCAAGGTTCAGAATCCATCGGGAGATGCTGCGGGAGGCATGCGTGAGGACGAACCACGGAGCGGGATCGATAGCCGCCTGCACCGGCTCGAGGCCCGCACTCTCGTGGCCCCTCCGTGGCCCTCTCCCTGCGAGGCCGACCGCCCGGCTCCTTGATACTTGATGACCTGTTTTGTCTAGGTGTTGCGGGCCACGTGCTCCGCGTCGCCCCTTTCTGTGCTGAACCGACAGGAATACTGATGGCCGGCTGCCCCCTGAAAACGGCAGACTTGATCTACATGGCTGTGGTTGCTGCGTTTCTGGCGTCTCCTGGAGCCTGCACCTAGCTGTCCCGCCTCCAGCTACCTCGGTATCCCATGCCTCATCTGGGTCGGTATCCCGATCAACACCGGGTCCCCCCAACCTTTCCGGGCGGCATTCGTCGCCGACAGCTTCAAAAGGCGTGGCCCGGTTTTCTTCCCTCTCCGCCCTCGCCAACCAATCCTGGATCCCGCATCCTTGCCCCCTGCTTCATCGGCATCTTGTCTTCGTCCCAGCCCATGAAAACTTACGTCGCCAGTGGGTGGTGTGGAAAGAGTAAGAGCGGAAGGAGAAAAAGGAGAGAGGAGGGAGGGGGGGACAAGGAGAAAGGGGGGTTTGACCGAGTCAAGTTTCCCCCCCCCCCTTCGTGGATAAGGCCGTCCTTGCGCCGAGGTTGGCTCCTTTGTCGCCCACCTTTCATCCGGTCGATGCGCCGAAGCAGCCCATCAACATCGCGTTTCCCCATGTACAGCCATGTTTTAGCCGTTTGGGAGGCTTCTGGCGTCGCTCATGGAAGGCATGACCATGAATGAACCCACGTGTACAGCCACGTTCTAGTTGCTGTGAAGGGTCTTTGGCATCATGATGGAAGGGACATGACGTTTAGCCGTGCACACAGCCCATTTCTTAAGTCGTCTCGTCTGAAAGGAGAAGGCCGGACTCGCGGTGGGGGGAGCGATGAACCCATCCGCGCACAGCCATGCTCTGGCCATCTGGAAGCATATGCGCGCGGCCGACCAGCATTGCGACCAGCCAATACAGGCCACAGCCCTGTTCCAGCCGTCTGGACAGCCAATCAAACTGTGTGCCCTGGTCGGTCGGGGTGGCCGATGAGGCCGACCAGCAGACAAGATGAAGTGGGTGTATGCTTTGCGCTACAAGCCCGGCAGATGCGCATCGGGAAGAGGCGAGCTTCATTGTTCTTCCGGAAGGAATTCTGAAGGAGCTTTCTTTGGTTTTCTCCCGCTCGTACTTGTGTCACGACCCTGTGTTTCTAGGCTCCATGACAGGCGCGGCTAATGGGCGAGGAATCAGGATGCCCGAGATGCCGATTCCGGAGACACCTGGATACAAATGTGCTCTGTTGATAGCCTCGCACGGACCACAACTGTTAATTCCGAAGCACTCCACCCACAGCGTCTCTACGACGATGCGCCCAAGAGAACAAAAACGTGGAGAATGGCGGACCTGGGGATTTTTAATGCGGTAACGCTGGTGGGTGCTCGGCAGCAGATCTCCCGGCTCCCGGACGATGGATAGATGGACAAAGGAGCTGCATGAGATATGCTCTGGTCGATGCGCTGAGATGCGTCATCGACCTGCTTTGCGAAGACTTTACCGCCTTTTGTCCTGATTCTTTTCATTCTCAGTTAACCTTTTTAGAGGCCTCGTGTTTCTTTATTGACTTTATGTCCATTTCTCCGTTAAATAAGGGGGTGGACGGAGAAACTGGCGCTTCGTTGAAGCTGGACGGTTGGTTTCACGTCCGCAGCTGAAGCCGGGATCTGCGCAGCCCTGCAGTCGGGGCTGTGGTACTTTCCCACTCAACTGGCGGAAAGGCATCCGTCCCATCTAGGCCATCTGCCCATTCTCGTTTCCGGGAGTTTCGACGGCCCGTGCGCGTGTGTATGTTCACACGTGCAGTGCAGACTTGCATGTACATGAGACCCATAGAACAGAACGGGCCGAGCTGCTTTAATTCACGACGGCCGTCGGAGAGCAATCGGATGCGTTTTCCCCTTCTTTCTCTCCTGTTATGCCGTTGACGTGCCGGGACGCCTTGTTGATATTAGAATCTTGGCAGTGAACACGGCCCTGGGTTCTTTTTGATGTGTTAATTCTTGCCCACAGACTGGGTCAAGGCTCGCTCGACGGGGTCACCCACGGATGGCGTCGGTGAAAGACGGAGGTGGCAGGCAGTGAGAAGGGGTCAGGCGACAGCGGAGCACCAACCAAAGGGGGAATGGCGAAGCAAGCTAGCAGTTGAAGACTAAATCTTGTTTCTTTCGCCTGGTTGTCAGTCAGCTCGGATGGTCACGCAGGGTTAAACGTATGCCTCTGCTCCGCTCTGAGGTCGGCCACGCGCTACAAGGGAGACTCGTCAGCTGCAACTTTACCTGGGCGAGCCCCCAATCCTGAACAATGATCAGACAGACACTAGGGTGCTGCTCCAAGTGGGTTCCCCCTCCCTTGGGCCTTGTTGCCTCGGTACAGGCACGGTGGAAGCAATCCAGGGGATAGATGTACCACGAGTATGTACACGCACGCATCTTATCGGCTTGCGCGTTCTTGTCTGAATTCTGGCCATCCGGGTATCTTGCTCGTCGCGTCAGCGGGTCCGTCGCCATTCTTGGACGGGGCGGGGCGAGCTGGGCGGGTTTCTGCTTCCTCGAGAAGCAGCGCAGAGAGGCACGTGTCGTGTCGTTGGACTCTGTACGGCACCTGAGTAATTCTTACTGAGCTTTGTAATTAACTGCTACTCCGTACAGGGATGGGCTCTCGCTTCTTAGCTCCGATGACCGATAGCCGGGTCGTTAAGCCACAAGTGCAAGCAAGGCACACGTGCAAATACCGTAGCTTGCCGCCCGCCATCTGCGCGCACGCGCCACCTTTGCATTCGGATACGGTACCGAGTGGACATGAATCCATGTACTCGGAACCATGGCCCGGAATTCGGAAATTGCGTGCGGAATGATTAGAATTACTGGGTAGAGAGAGTTCTTATCCTTGTCCTCCTCGTCCTTCCTTTACCAATCCGGCGTTCCTTCGCTCTGGATTCTCTGCTTTCCGCGTCGAGATGGAAGTCACCTCAGTAGAGAAGTTTTAGCATGTAGAATCTGTGAGGACGTATTTCTGACAGCCAGACGGGCAAACTGACAGACGTCACACGGACGCCGTCATGGAAAAAAGGGCTTGAGTCGTGGTGCCTGAAACGGCGGCGGCTCGGCGGCTCACGGCCCGAATGGAAAGTGACAGAAGAGCCGGTGGCGTGGTCTGGCGGCCCAAAGGAGTAGTTTTCGAGAGCCGTCGCGAGAATGTCTGGCTCGACTCCCGCCGGACCCTGGTGCCGGCTGTTGATTCTGGGGTTCCCCCCTTCCTTTTGGTGCGATTGCCTAATCGATTGGCGGCCGCTGAGGAGTCTGCAGTCCGTTTGGAGTTGACGGTGCCAAGGCCTTGGTAAAACGCCTCGGCGACCTGCAGCCGAGGCAAGCCGGGTAGGGTAGAGTTGTCGCTGGACCCGGGAAAAAAGCCGACGCATTGCCTTGCACCTTCATTACGTCAAACACCTTGTGGTGGTGCCTTTGTCGAGGGGCAGCTCCGCGTTTAGACAAAATTGAACAGGATAGACAAAAAAAAGAAAGGAAAAAAAGAGGAGAGCCAGGTGCCGTGTGCCCTGACGACGCCATATCGCGAAAATGGCCACACTCGTGCAGTCGTTCGTCAATAAGCCACTGAACGCTCCCCCGCGCACCTGCATCACAGAATGGGCCCATGGATCCTGGTTGCCTGGGCACTGACGCCTCGCTTATGGGTGGTGCCTGTACTGGAGACTGTACAAGAGACTTGACTGCCCGAGCCACAAGAGGGGCCAGGCAAAGCCACGATGGAGCGGTCGTCTGCCGACGGGCGGGTCTCGAGTCAACTGCCGTGCGTATCGTGCGCACGTCGCTAGCGTACCGAAGAAGACGAAAGTACCGTCCGGGTCCGCGTTGCCATACGCCGGATCGGGGTACCGTCTGCTGCCCGGCTACACAGCTCGGTACCGGCATGTCTTCGCCGGCTACGTGCCCCCACACAGCCTTATACAGAAATGCACGGAAGGAGTGAAGGCGAGCGTGACTGAGTACGTACCTCGGCTCCCTGTCCATACGAAGACGACAAGTCTGTTGCTTTTCCCCCTTTCCACTCTCTATACTTAGACTCTCGTCGACGCTTCTGTCTCGGCACCTTTTCTCATTGGAACTTCACGTCGTCTTCTTCTTCTTCTTCTTCTTCATCACCGCTTTCTCCTCGTCGACGCCGCCGGCCTTGGAGTCCTTGGAGTCTCTGCCCGACAACCATCCATCATTCATCCGGCCGGCCATGCGTGTCCACCCGTCCACCCATCCACCCACGAGCCAAATAAACCTCACACACCTCACAACTTGAAACCCGGAACCATGTCACGCCTTTCCTCCATCCCGGACATCCCTGCTTCCTCGGCGACCCCCAACAAGGCCGAGCCCCGCCAAGCCCAGCCCTTGCCTCTAGAGATAGGCCCCAAAAATGGCTGGATGGATCTCGAATCGCTTCCACAGCCATCCCGCCCCTCGCCGGTGGATAGCAACTGACAGACGGACATGCCAGCACACACCACACACTCGTCACTCGTATACGCAACTCAACCTTGAGCCCAAGGTAGCCTTTGGGTCGTCATCTGGGTCGACGCACCCCCCGCCTTCTCACACCCCTCTTGTTTACACGCCTCTCCCCAAGTTCGACCCTAAGACGCAATCGAGGCGACTGGTGAGGCCGGCTGAGCTGGTACCGGCGTTCCGAGCCTGACCTTGCTAGCCCGATGACGGGGCTGCCTGTTATCAATAACCATGACAGCCGCCAGGTACCATGCTCGTAAGAAGCGGGCATGGAAGGCGGCCTTTAGTCTCTTGTCTGCTCTCGTCCAGTCTGCCCTGCCGGCTGCCTGACTCTGCTGTACAATACATGACTGACTCCGCGCCCCATCGTCGTCGTTGTCATCGCCGCCTCTTATGAACACCATCTGCCCGTGGCCTTCTCCTTTTCTTGATAAGCTCGCCCAACATCTCTCGCGTGAATCCACCCCGGCCCTTTCGTCTTTTCCCAGCCCTTTGCTGGCCTAACGCTCATTTGTTCCTGCCTCGGACCGGACCCGTTGGATTCTGCCCTTGATCTATATTTCATTCGACAAGCTGGCTATCCTCTCTTTTCTTCCCCGAACGCTTACTTGGTCCACCGTCCTCGTCGCCGCACCGGTCGAGAAGAGATATCTGAATACTCTGTCACTCCCTTTGTCGATTCGCTCATTCACGCCTCACACTCGACAAGACTTGACACTCCTTCGCTCCCCGACCTCGATGTTCAGACAGAGCACGCCTTGCCAACTCATCCCACTATTAGCCAAAGACGAATCGCAATAACCCAACTACACGTCCTCGCGCGATTCTCTAATAAGTAGGTTCCACGAGCCGGCACGTATGCCTCGCACTCGCTCCTTTGCCGCCTGTGTGCTAACACGCCACGACAGACTTCAACAAGCCGGTGGACACTGGTTTTACTGTCCGATCTCGCCGCAACTACTTGGTCCCTCCCCCCCTTTGCGTCTCACTGCCTGAGTATGGACTCCAGCAAGTCCGAACTGTACGCCGCCTCGGATTTCGAGCCTGTCTCGCCCCATCGTGCCATGGCTCACGCAGCTCGCAGCAGACAATCTCAAATGCCACCGCACCTTCTCCCCTATCACAACACCGGTGATGGACTGCAGTCGGTGGCTCCGCCCCAGCCAAGTCCTATTGCAATGATGGGTGGCAGCCCGGTCACCTCTACTGCTGCTGAGAGAATGGTGTCTACGAACTCATGGCACATGACTCCGCCAACCTCGGAGCCACGCCGACGGCCGGCCGGCCTCTACCCGGAGGTGTCGTGCGTCAGCGATGAAAGTTGGGACTCGTTTCCTTTGCAGCACGAAACAACAAACCCGGCGTCCCGGCCCGTCTCCATGGGCCACGACCTTATGTCCTTGGACATGGTCAACAACAGTAAGAAATGTGAGCTTGGCCTCAGTTTGCAAACGCTAACCACGTACAGGTGACTGGCCACAAAAGTCTGTCGAGGAGAACCTCGACTTTCAAGCATTGGAGGCCGAAGGACCCATCGGCCAGGCTTACACTACTGACGATGCTGTCACCATTCTCGACTTGAGATATCCAGACTCGACCCAAGACGGACAGCCCTTGAACCTGGACGGCAGCTTGAATCGCCGCAAAATGTCTGGCTCCTCGCTGACCGCCATGTCCGATTTGCCGCCGTACGAAGACTTCTCGGCGGCCCTGTCTGAGGCCCCATCGTACGGCTCTGACTACCCCGCGACTTCGAATCGCAACTCAATGATGTCCTCCATCCACATGTCGCCCGTGGCGTCTCCGCGCATGACAAGCCATAACCGATCTGACCAGGTCCGAGCCCACAGCCGCGGCCGGGCAACACCCTCCCCTCGACCGAGCATGCGCTCTGTCCCGTACAGTATCGAAGGGTCCAAAAACCAACGGTGGTCGACGGGCTCGTATGCTCCGACCCAGGGCCGGCGACAGTCCCCCTTTGTGTACAACAACGGCTCTCCCGAGGTCTACGGTGTCCCCCAGCGAATGTCGTACCAAGGCCCCTCTCCCGCCAACTTTCCTGCTCAGCAGCAACCGATGGGCTTGGGCGCTTACCCTTCAGGTCCTCGGGCGCCGTTCATGATGGCCGGTCAGCCCGTATACCAGAGGAACAACATGCTCCTGCCCTCTCAGCTGCCGTCGCAGCCTTTTCATCATGACGCCGGCCACTTCGAGCAGCCGCCTCCGTTGCCGTCGCAGGGCCTGTTCAAGATGCTCCAGAGCAACGGGGATCCACACTCGCTGCACGGCCACTACACGGACTTGTCGGACCCGCCCGATCTGTTCGCTGCTCTCCACGAGGAGCAAATTCCGCCGCCAGAGGAGGACATGAATCCTTCTGACCCCGACTTGATCCCCTACGAGCAAGAGCTGAGGTTCGAAGGTGACTTGTACACGCCGCGGTGGGTTCGCGGCCACGGCAACAAGCGCGAGGGCTGGTGTGGAATCTGCAAGCCGGGGCGATGGCTCGTGCTCAAGAACTCGGCATTCTGGTACGACAAGTCTTTTACGCACGGCATCAGTGCAGCTACCGGCTCTCCCTTCCAAGAGCCCCTTGAAACGAGGCGGATGGACGGCAACCCGGACGTCTGGGAAGGCATGTGTGGAAGCTGCAACGACTGGGTCGCCTTGGTGAGCAGCAAGAAGAAGGGCACCACGTGGTTCAGACACGCATACAAGGTAAGCCAAAGCGCAATGACGGGGCCCATGACCAGATTGTACTGACATGCTGCAACAGTGCCACAGCCATACCAAGGTAAAGGATGGGCCCAAGCGTCGCCGCGAGGCCACAAATGGCCGCGCCGGAGGGGCGAGAAGCAAGCAGCGTTCCGAGACACCGGAAACGAGGAGCATGTCGGTCCCCGGGCTGGCTCCTGTGCTGGACGCGCCCACATCGGCACCGATGCCGCCCATGCACCCGCAGCTCCGGAACCTCAATCAAGTGACTCAAGTCTTCACGCCTCAGCCACTCCGCCTGCCAGGGTCCAGGCCGCCGCCGCCATCCCTCGCCGCCTCCGCCGGTGGTTTGGGAAACATGGTTTAACGAGATCGGTTTAGGCGCGACGGCGCTTCCTCACCGATGAATACGAATCTCAACTTTTATTTCTTTGTCTCGTCACGTTTTTGAGTTTCTCTTCTTGGTCGAATCTAGAGGACGAAAATGAATGATCTCACGACATTGCCACGCAACGAATACGTCTGCGGTTTCCTGAAGCCATGTTCAGGGGGTCGTCTACTATAGATTGGGTATGGCCATGGGAAGGGGGAGGGCCAACGTGGCCCTGCGATTGGACCGGGCGTTTTGAAGTATTTTGATTGCTTTTCCATGCCTGCCTCGGTTGAAACCGAGAGGAGGAAACTGGGTTCGGCGTCGAGGCGGCTAGGATCTTTGGTCGAGGAAGCCAAAAGTTGACCCCACGCACCACGACGATGACTGGGTGGTGATGTTTCTCTGATGGGCGGGCACATGTGTATACGCAGGGTTGGGGGCGGCTTGGGAACCACCGGCTGGCTGCTTGACCATTGTATGGGCGGCGTGGGTGTGGTGGGTTTGACCTTGATGGGTTCAGGGAGTCGATAGAGCGGATAGAGGGCTCCAAAGCCAGCCAACATGGGCCGGGTTCCCGTTTTCTCTCGACATGTCAGCTTGGCGCGGCTTGGATACGGCGGAGGCTGCGTGTAGCGCGCGTGTCCCGGAGGAGGGCAGTGCGCAACTTGTTCGAGCTGGAGAAGCCGCGAAGAAAGATTCCAAGGTTCTTCAAAGGTGCCCACTGCCCAAGTCTCCACAAGTCCTCGTGCCCTCGCCCCAAGTCGAGCCTGATGCCTCCCACCTCATCCGGGGGGATGCCACGATGCATGATGCGCCGGGGATCAAGGGGCCAAGTGCGCGCAACAAGCTCCGAGTTTTTGCATTGCTCCCTCCGCTTTTCATGTTCCAATCTGGACGCGTCTCCCTGTCAAAGGCGCCTGTGTTTATGAGAAGGACGGGGGATAAAGGGAGGGAGGGCTGGCGAGCCTTCATTTGCGAAGCTCAGCATCGAGTCCACATGAGGGAGGGAGAGAGCGCGCGCCTTCTTGCGCCGGCCACTTCAACCGAGGGCGAGAAGCCCAGGGAGGGGCGAGGCCTCCCTGGTCTTCGTCCCAGCCGCTGACTCCTGTCCAAGGCCCCCCTCCCGGTCCTCGGTAAAGGTCGGTGCTCATCGCCGCCGACGACAACTGTTGACATACACACCCCCCCCCCCCTTCGACTATGTAGTATTTACTCGGGCCCATGCCGCGTCTCCCCGCCAGTCGCCAGGTGTGACGCCCGGCTCCAAACCATCCATCTAGCTTTACGACAAGCCTCTCCCACAGCCCCCTCCTCTTCGTCCGACCCAAGGATCAGGCAACGGCCGAGCGATAAAAGGTTGGCCCACCTCTCCCCACCTCTCCCCACCTCCTCCCCACCTCTTCCCGGGAACATGCCTGGAGGGGCTCCATCCAACCACACGAACCGGCCGGCCGGCGCTCCTCTTCCCTCTTTCTGGGAGAAGGGATACGGGGAGGGGGAGAGGGAGGGGGGGGGGGGCCGTCGGAGCTGCCGGTGGCGGTACTGACCACAGGCCGGATGATACGTAACCCTCGCCGAGTAATGTGCTCACTTCCTCCTTCTCGTGTGAGTCTGTGGATCCGTCCCTCGATCGACTGCCCGACTAATTGCCCGATTGACCGTTCGACTAATTTAATAACTGCTCGATTGACTACCCGATTGACTGCTTACTCGGCGCTGCCTCTGCCTTCCGAGCTCTTGACCAAAACCCACTGGGCACTTGGTCTTGGGCAAATAGTAATACTCCTCCCCAATTCGCAGCCGCTATCATATCATGGCCACTTTCGGGGCTACAGACACCAGGACGCTCCTATGTCGGTCTTGGTCGCCTTACCTGCCTGTACGGGCCTCGCTCGTACTGGGTAAGGTATTCGGAGCTCTCGTTCCTTGGAGGCCACGTTGACAAACGGGCGCCATCATGATCGTCGTCGTATCTTCGAGCGATCCGACTTCCACGGCGGTCCTTGGGCTCTATTGGGGCTCGTTCAAAGCCGCGAGTGTTGTTCACTGACTGGATGGTATATGACTCCAATTGTCGGACCTACACGTTTCTGACCGTCGTCAAGCGGAATGATTACGCGGTATGGGCCTGGGTCGTTACCTGTCGTTGAGGATGTAGGTTTCGACCAATTTGACTGCTTCGAGAGGTGTTGGGCGTCTCCTGAAATCGAAGGCGTCGTTGCACGTTACAGTAGCCTCGCAGAGACGACTGCCCCTGGACTCCCGACTTTGAAAAAGGTGCCACGCCCTTCTCGTCGTTGCGTTATACCTGAGGATAGAAGTTGTTACGCGTTCTACGCGGGGAGAGCCACTTTCTGGAGTCTGCCTCGCCGCCTCCAAGGCAGGAATCTGATCTTTGTTGGGCTGGTCAGCGACCAGGCTTGACATCAAGGTAGAACCAGTCCTGTGAATGGGGAGGGCGATGCCAAGTCTCGGCGATCATTTTCAGAACCGCGCCCTTTGTTGATTGAGTGTCAGGAAAGGGGCAGACAGAGTCTTGGCTTGATGGCAGGTGCGAACGTTCAGTTGGACCGAAGACGAGCGCATGAGTAAAGAGCAAGTTCTTGGAAGCATGTTGAGTGATTTGGCGGTGCTTTTACAACTTTGGAGTCTTTTGGAGGCAAGCGCTTCAAGAAAGAGCCGCTGAGATGCAGCTCGGAGAGCCCAAGGGAACAACATGTCGAGGGGCCGTGTCGTATTGGTGGCCTTTGGTCTGGTCGGTAGCACTGTTGCATAGCCCTCATGGAGGGCGTGCTGGACCGATGATGTTGGCGATGATGATGATGCCTCAGTCGTCTGGTATGTAAGCTAGTCATGTAGGGCCGCGGAGTTGTCATTTGATGGCCTGGCGGTCGCGTATAGTCGGCAGTGAGCTGTTGCACATTGGTCCAGCAGGCGCTTTCCCGCTTGCTCAGCCCTCGGAGAGCGTCTGCTGAGCCAAATGTGTCCCGTTTTGTCGCAGCAAGGGCTGCATCCAAGCGCCGGATGAGCCACAGTAACTTCACAACCTCGTAAGATGCACGGAGCTGCCGATCTGGCAGGTGTATAAGAGTTGCAGCTGCGCCGAGCACCGCCACGGAGCGATGCGATGGGCTGCACGTGAAGACAAGTACGGTTGGTCGCCCCGACTGGAACCTTGACCTCGTTCACTAACGACGACCCCAGCCGATGATGTTTTATCTTGTGGAAAGTCGAGCAATCTTCGTACCTTGCAAGTCCACCATCGTCGCATCTTCCAGCAGGAAACATTGTCGCCATGAATGCGGCAGCACTGGGTCCTCTCGGACAAGCCGGCGACCAAGAGAAGCCAAAATGGCTCCTTGTTGGTATCCAACAAGAGCGCCTCCCCGACCCCGACGTTAACGAACTTGAGCGGCATCTGCCGGTCATTCTGCAAGCCATGCTACAAGACTCTGGCGATGACGCCAAGGCCATCGGTGAAGCTGCTCAGCGCATCCTCAGCTACTACCATGAGTTGGTTGCCGAATCCGTCAATAGGCAGCAGCGGGAGGATCGCGGCGTCGTGGGCTTCCTGAACGAGGTGGCAATCATGTCCTTCGACCTGCTCAGCAAAGATCTTGTTCCCAAGTGGTGAACACGAGCGGCTTAGCGGGCTGCTCATTGCCCTTCGACATCTTGGGCCAGAGGCATTTGGCGTCGGGGTCACCTTTTCTCCTTCGTTATGGTCCGGGAGATTTCATGGTGCTAATCTAAGCGCAGGATCCCGACCTTGAGTTTTACGATGAGGCCATAGGCATCCCGCTGGAGCAGTATTGGAACATGTGTCAAGGTTGAGCCGCCCGCCATTCCTACTGCGCAGACGCCGACGTCGCTGGCACCTGGGCAGTTCCGCTGTATAATGGCTGTCAGATTGACGAGCTCAGGGACAGTTGCAACTATGTCGTCAGCGTCTCAGCCCTCTTTGCCAAGTTCCTGGCCGCGGGCATCCTCACAGCACGTATACGCCAGTTCGCAGCCATCCAGCTGGCCGAGAGCCGAGCGCCGCGAGTGGAAGGCAAGGCGCCGGCCTTGGAGCGTACCAGGAGATGGTGTTGGGCAGCTGCCGCGGCGCATTACATCCTGCTCGCGGGGAACGCAGTGGCCGAGGCGGTCCGGTTTCCCTCGACCCAACCACAAATCCATGCCCTGGGCGAGGCCGAGTGGAAAGCGTCGATGGCTCAGTTGAAGCATCTTGCTGAGACAGTGCCCGAGGAGGCGGATCGGGGGTTGAAGGGGAATGCGCAGAGAGCCTACGAGAGAATGGGCGAGTTGCTGCCTGAGCTGGCTCGAGAGAGCCTTGCGGAGGAACCCGAATAGGGAAGAGGATAGTGGACAAGCCAATGGTACTGACACTCGTCTGGGCCATGACTGCTGGAGCGGTGCACTTTTTGCCTAGCCGAGTGGTTGATGCTTTCCGAAGAACCTCAGAGGAGCTGCAATTAATCGGTACGGTGACGGGCGTCGGGAGTGACTCACAGGCGCTCACTTATAAAAAAAAGGCCTGTGGACTAAGCAGACACCACCAACATGTGCATCCCCAGCCACTCGATGCGGCCCAGCGGCCCAGCGCCGAAACTGCCTGCAAACGACGCCCTGCTTGCAGCTCCCCTGCCTCCCGGGCGCTTACACAGTTGTCACCTGGCGAGTCAGAGGCTGCCGCTCTGCCCTACCCGACGCCGATCCGCTGCAGGTTGGCCGCACCATGCCGCATCTCAGAGGCCCGCAGGCCAAACGAACCACAGTGGTCGACGCAGAGTCATGGACTCAACGTGCCAGAGCTCCGTTTTCCACTCGCTCGCTGAGGGGAAGTCGAACTCGAGACACTCGGCAGCTTCCGTCCCTTGGCGCAGAGACAGGGGGGGGGTGAGGAGGTACAGCACATAATTGCGGCGCCGAGGAAGATCCGTTTTGAGCCTCGAGAGCAATACGGATACAGGCTGTGTGAATGGATTCAACTTCCGCAGTCTCGCCGGCATTTCGTCATCAACCAAGACCTGCGTTTCGCGCAACGTCAAGTCAAGCTCGGCGCCAAAACCGCCGAGGACCTTCGCGCTTGGCCCGAACAAGGAGAATCACAAGGGATGCTGCGGGACTCGTGCAAGACTCGAGGGACTGTTCAGTGCTGCCGACTTGCGACTAGCGGTAGTCGAGAACAATGTCTGATCTCGACCAGCTAACTCGTCAGATGTAAGTTGGATCAAAGATGGGATGCGCCATCTTGCCTTGGCGCCAGATCTCGGTCTCGGATGGACCCAGCATCGTCCTAATGTGGATTCGACGCCTGCCAGGCTGTATTCGAACCCTTTTCTTTATCCGCGAGGTTTCATGGACGGCGCTTGACAGAATTCCCGGGTCAATTCCCATTGTTGGGCAGAGAAGACGGGGGCTTCTCTCGCTTGCGGAAGGGCTTGTCCGCTTCGTGTCTCAGCCCGCCGACACATGTCAGACAAACCGCCATGTGCTTGGTCCCAGACGAGCAAAATATGGCCTTCGGACCGTTGCTCGCACCATTTGATCCCTTATGCGACTCGCCCTCAGACTTGCACTTCGGTGCCGTTTCCCCTGTGTGAGCCCTTCTTTGTCAACACCGGGATATCTGCGACTCGTGCGTTACCACGGAACATGGGGGACTATGTTTTCTCAGTCGTATTTGGATGACTCGGGCCAGTAACATGTTGCCCGCAACGCATGTCCACTGCTCCGTGGCAGCATCAAGAAAGCAGCCGGGCAACGGCAGCCACACGCTACCATCATGGCTCGATCTTGCGGCCAGCCGTATCCACCAACCAGCTGCCTTGTATCGGCGTCAGTTCCCGGTCGATTGCTTGGGCTCTGTTGGTTGACGCGCGGCTACATGGACGGAAAGGGGAGGCGCCACAGGGAGCAGTTGGGCGCCTCGTCTCGTGTGGTGAGGAGATGGGCCAGAGGAGGCGACATGATGGTTTCGCCCAGAGCTGCCGGCGGGCCGACTCGTAGGAGCACGGTGCTTTGTAGACGACAGTGGCATGCGGCGGCTTGGGCCGTGACGTCGGGGATGTGCGAGACTAGAAAGCAGGAGGCGATGATGCAACCAAGAGGCGCTTATTACGTGCGAGGTGGCGGAAGCTGGCGGCTAGGGCGGTAGCGTGGTGGCCTGGTCAACTGAGACGAAGGAGTCTTGGCTCCGGCGGGCGCTACCTTGTTTGGGGATGAATGGACGGCCCGACGAGAGCGCTGAAACGGAGTATTGCAGCAAATGGTCAGTCTCGAGATCTCAACCGAGTATACGGATAGGATACGAGGTAAACAAGAGAACTATGTCTGTCTGCCCTGTTCAGCCACCAACCGAAACCGTCAACCACGGCTAGCAGGCCCGTCTGCGAGTCAAGCAAAAGAAAAAGGAGAGGGCAGTCAGGCCGTTTGTTGATACTGAAAGGGGAAAGGAGCCCCCCCATGAGTCGTTGGCAGGCACCAACTGGCCTGGCCCAGTAGTTGACACGTCGTCGGACCGTGCTCGAGGGCATTGTCAGGCCATTGGTAACCATAAGCCCCCTTTGCTCGCCAAACAGACAAAGCTTGGAATAATTAGGTACAGTACGCTTTTGGCTGGGGCGGGCAGCATGACGGAGCGAGAAAGGGAGACGGCAGATTTGATAGGGAGGATACAAGGGGCCGCTGCCATCGTCATGGAGAACAAGGCCGTGCGGGCAAGTAGCGGTACTTGGGGGGGAGGTGCCAGTCCTCGACTCCAGTCTGCACCTTGTCGGTACCTTTTCCCATGTGCAGAGACAATGAAAAAGAGGAAAGGGAGCAAGGGGAAGAGACAAGAGAAGGGTGAGACGGAAGTTGGCCCGAGCCAGACCGCTGTCGACGCTACCTAAATGAGCCAAACCCGTGCCCTGTCTCTCTCCCTTGGGCATTCCCATGCCTTTGCTTGGCGTGACGGGCGTGAAGAGACAAGGCAGCCTTTTGACTGTGTGCGAGTATTTTGTATGTATCGTCTACAGTATGGATGGATAGGATGCAATTCTCGCAGCCAACCTGGAGCTCGCGGCAAGAAAAGCGGTTTGTTGGCTGCTGCACCATGTGCCTTGCATCATCGCCCACGAGCAAGGCACAACCGGAACTGCGCCAAGTAACCTTGCGCAGAGAAGTACTGTACTGTACCTCGAGATACTCCAGGCACAGACAGGCCCAGGCGTGCACGCTACCAGGTCTCCGCTGCATGTATGTAGGCACCTTATGTACCTGTGCACGCACGCCGCGGTTCATCCGTTTCCAACAATGTGCCTTGTTGGCAGGTACCTGCGACTCGGCGTCCAGAGCTACCATTCGCTGTCGAAAGAAACGGACTCCGCACTGGTTGCTTTTCAGCGCCCGTCGTCAATCCTCCTCGTCCTCCAGGGGGGTTGTCGACTCGCGCCAGAGCTCTTGCTCTCCAGACGAGGTCCCCCGCAGGTACCATCTGCCTGGCCCGCCCGCCGCGCCGCTACCGCGCCTCTACCCGCCTCGTCTCCTGCCCTGATTGCGGGTTGCAGAGCCGGCGGCCCACCGCAGCCAAAATTTACCGAACGAACCAGTCCATCTCCTGCCTAGGTAGAAGGTCTGTAGGTAGAACGACAGCCTACCACGCTCCTCAGCGTATTACCTCTCGTCTGGTCCCTGTAGCCAGCCAGCCATCTCTGACTGCATCCTCCTCTTCTCTGCTCATGCTCGTCTTGCCCTTTTACCCCCCGTTCTGCTCCCCCTCTTCCCCGCCTCGTCCTTCTTTTCCCGCAACCTTGCATGCAGCCCTGAAAATCTCGCCAGCCGTCTCCGCAGAGCCAGACAGATCCAAGGGGAAGAAAAGAGGCTTTACCCTGCCCTGTCCTGCCCTTGTCCTTGCCCCCTCTCCCTTTCTGCAGCTCGCTTGTCCCGATCCCAAGGGGCCCGGCTTTTCTGCCAAAGTGGTCCAAGGTACGTCCCCCCTTGCTTTGCCCATTGCCTTCCTCCCCGTATCTCACCTGACCTTTCCTCCCACATTTATCTTATCATGGCAAGCTGATCGTTCGTTGCCCCTCGGCACACCTTCTTTAGATCTCAACCATCGCCTGTCTACTCATGATTTTGCATCATCTTTCGATTCTCCCCCTCGAGCAGACTCCTCTGCCTCCACTCGACGTCGACGAACCCGCAATCCTTTCCACTTCGGCGTCTCGTCTTCGCTTCTAGCCGCCCGTCTCGATCCTTCTTGCGACGTCGCTCTTCCCTCTGCCTTGGCTCGTCTGTTGCCTGTCGAGACGAGCCTGGACCGAGCACTCGTTGTACTTTTCCCTTCTACCAACAAATATTGCATTGGATAGACCTGCTCGGCGTGCGTTGGATCACACCAGCCCCTGCAGGCGTCGTCCATAATTTTCCCTTTTTCGTTTTCGCCCCATCTTTCTGGTAGTTTGGGGGCTTTCGACCGAGCACCTGGGATCAATGTGCTTAGCCTGTGACGCGCTGCGATTCACGGCGCTGCTATGAGCGAGCATCATCTGGCTTCCAGGCAAGACTACTTTACCCCCCATCTTTCGGGTGATGTGGCTGACCTTGTTTTTGGCCGACAGCTTTGGAGACCCGAAAGCTCAACCGCACACTCCCAGGCAGACTCCGACTTCCGCCGCCTTTCCCAGCCCCGTTTTCGAGACTCCCAAGCACTACCAGGGCTCCTTCGTCGAGCCTGGTGGCCTGACCCCGCGATTTGCCGAAGAATACTCTGTTTTTAATTCGACCCCGGGAAATCTCAGGGGCTCTCAGGGCCCCTTCGCCGACTTCATCCCGGCGACCCCGGCGAGCTTTTCCAGGGGTCACAAGCGGCTGCTGTCTGTTGAGGGGCCTGTCGTCGACATTGCTGCGCATGTGAGCCGCTTCTCGTCCAACCCAGACAGGTCACTCCCTCCAGCCAACCCCTCTCGGCGTCGACCCTCTTCGCCTGGTCCGTGGGCGGGCCAGACAGGGCCCCCGGCCACTTCTGATACCAAGCCGAGCCCTCATCTCTCGAGGAACACGTCGACCAAGAAGTTTTGTAGGGATACCAACACCGACCCACCAGAGCCGCCTCAGGTTATATCACCACCACCAACGTCTCGCAAGGCTGCTCGTCAGCTCAGCCCCAGGCTCATCATGCATCATGACGAAACATTCGGTCAGCCGGACCTCACCGGTCCCACGCAACACGACATGGCCGTCTTGATGGGCAGCTCGGGCGACCTGTTTGGTTATCCCATGTCGGCTCCGGCGGCCGCGCCCGCCAACTTCTGGGACCCCTCGGTGTCCATGAGCATGGATCTGGAATTCAACGCCGCTGGACATCATACCATGCAACCTCCCACTCCCCCGTCACATCGCCATACAGGGTCCTTTGATTGGAACGCCGAAATCCAGTTGTTCCAGGACGTTGCTGTTCCGCCCCCTTCCACCAATCAGGAAACCGTCCAGCAGGTGAGGCGCGAAAGGGCTCTGGCTCCGAAGCCACCGGCATCCGAAGTCGTCACCACCAACGCAAGTGACACTGCCGTACCCGCCGTGCGTTCCAACGTACTGGACGACCCTTTCGGCATAATCAATCCGGGCGACGGAGTCGACCCGGGCTTGCTCTTCGGTCGTCCTCAGGCGGTGTTGAACTCCAACTTTAGCACACTGTCTCAGCCGGGCCTTGCCGAGTCGGCCACGGCGTTGTCTGGAAAGGGCCAAACCGGAGACGTGCGCAGGACAAACAGCGCCAGGGTGGCGAGGAATGCCCGGTTACCGGACCGGGCCCTGCCCAGCTCGCCCGTCAAGTCGTCGATACGCCCCGGGCTAGGACGAAGTTATAGTGAGAACCGCGGCAAAAGGGCTGTTGGACGAAAGGCGCTTCCACTCTTGGCCGAGGCCGGTCGACCAGCGCCACCCACAAATAGCGGCCATGGAGTCCTGTCAGGCAGACCAGGGGGCCGTCCATCAGGGAGGGTATCGCCCTCCAAAACAGTACCTCGGCTGTCGAGCCTGGCATCAATCCCTGAGACGTCTCCCCAATACCGACCCCGTACGTCTGTTCGGTTCACGATTGACGCAAGTGGCCGGGCCAGAGCCGAAACAACGGTCCTTGGCGACGGGTCCCCGTCGGACAGAGGCCTCTCCCGCAGCAGAAGCTCTCGAGACGTCGCAAGCAGGGGCTGGGATTCATCAGACGATGACTCCTCGACGGACGACGAGCCCATCATTATCCCTAGTCGTTGCAGTTCGTTCAACGCGTCTTTTGCCCTTCCTGATCCCCGCAAGCCCGTGGGGTCCATCTTTCACACCTCGTATCGGGAGGTCAGCGACAGGAGCCGAAGCAACTCTGCCAACGGTGCCGAGAGCGAGGCAGAGACTGTCGTCAACGATCGGCAAAAGAAAGGAGGAGATGCGACCAGTGAGCTTCGCAAGGTGGTTGAGGATCGGCAGAAATGGTCAAGTCGAATGGGAAGCGCGCGGTCCCGGCGGTTCATCTCGACAAACGTTGGCAGCTTTCCCGGCGGCATCATCTCGCCGGCGAGCCTGACGGGCTCGAGCCATGGGCCAAGCGTTAGATGCGTGTGCAATGAAGTCTCGGCAGACGAAGCAGACGGCTTCATGCTCCAGTGGTGCGTTTCTCCTAGCATGCCCCCATGACGTGGCATGGCAACTGACAGTCTTGCAGTGAAGCGTGCGAGATGTGGCTGCACGGCAAATGCATCAACATCACGAGACGGTCCATGCCGAGCGTCTATATATGCTGCTTCTGCGCCAACACGCCGAACATGGCGGGGCGGAGATGTCGAGAGAACGGGCTGGGAATCGGGGGGCTGTTGTCACCGCTGGCTAATAAGCCTTTCCGGTCCTTTCGGTGAGGGCACAGCGCGCGGCGGATTGTGTATAGCGACTGGACCGAAGATATGCATTGGGCAAGGAAAGACAAAAACGACAGTCGGTCACAGCGGTATTTTGCCATGGGCAACATGTGTGTAAGCGTATCTAAGAGGTACCTTGATACCCGCAGTAAATGAAATGGATGAAGCGCAAAGATCAACAAAAAACAGGGGAATGTGACAGGAGCGCAAGTCAGGCGCTGCTCATCGCGTGCTGCCAAGTGTCTCGGGCCAGCCGAGGGCGCGGGCCGTTGTTAACGCAAATGTTGAAGTGACAGGCTGTGCAGTCGATTGGAATCGAGGGCGGCAACGACGCATTGTAGTGGTCGGCAGTGTTTCGCATGCGCCGACGCCCTCTGCCGGTGCTGCCTCCGCTGCAGTCTGCGCGCCCAGACGCAGGGCCGAGCACGGATGCAGGTCGATGGCCTGGTGAAAAGTATCGGCGGCCCAGCAATCGCTCGACGTCAGTTGATTGTTGTTGAGGCGGAAGCTCGCACTCGCGGCCGGCAATCGGGGCATTGGCTGTAAACACGCCTTGTGGCGCAAGGCCGGGCCAGCGGAGCATCCAGAGCCTCACCACTCGCTCCGATCTCGGCCAGGCGGGGTTTGGTGGAGGGAGGGAGGGGGGAGCTTTAGCTACGAGGGGATCCCCATCTTTTTTCCCCCTCGTCTGCCATTGCCCCTCGGAGCTTCTTTGACGACCGCACATATACTTACGGCGCCAGCATTTTTGCTTGTCTCTCGTCGACCGAAAAAGTAACACGTCGATTTTTCCTATTGAACAGGGACGCACACCTGGAGCATGGCGGAACACAACATTGTCCTGTTTCCCGGCGATCACTGCGGGCCAGAGGTCAGTCACACTGCGGCGAGGATGGGGAGAGCCCAACGCAGAGCGGGAGAGAGAGCTGACGCGAGATGACGCAGGTCGTGGCCGAGGGTGTCAAGGTATGCTATGCTCTCGGCGAGGAAGAAAGCTACATAGAGGGGAGACGGGGGGGACTGACGTGAGCTGTGGTGGTGGTGCTAGGTCCTCAAAACGCTTGAGCAGCATCGGCCCAGCGCCGGCAAGTTTATTCTCCAGGAGCATCTGCTGGGCGGTGTAAGTCCCCTTCGGCCGATTTGCCCTCGAGAGAGCATTTCGTACCGCTTGGGAAAAAAACCCAACCCCCATCTGACCAACGAACCCGCATGCGCAAACACACAGTGCTCCATCGACGCCACGGGCACGCCCCTGAGCGACGAGGCCCTCGCGGCGGCAAAGTCGGCCTCGGCGGTGCTGCTAGGGGCCATCGGGGGACCGAAATGGGGCACGGGGGCGGTGCGGCCGGAGCAGGGGATCCTGCGGCTGCGCAAGGAGATGGGCACGTACGGCAACCTGCGGCCGTGCTTCTTCGCGTCGGAGGCGCTGGTGGACGCGTCGCCGCTCAAGCCCGACGTGTGCCGCGGCACCGACTTCGTCATTGTGCGCGAGCTCACGGGCGGCATCTACTTCGGCGACCGCAAGGAGGACGACGACGGCTCCGGCAGCGCGTGGGACGTCGAGGCCTACCAGCGCGCCGAGGTGGAGCGCGTCGCGCGCCTCGCTGGCTTCTTGGCCCGCGGCAGGGGCGATGCCAGGGTCTGGTCGCTCGACAAGGCGAATGTGCTGGCGACGAGTCGTCTGTGGCGGCGCGTCATGACGGAGACGTTTGAGCGCGAGTTTCCCGACCTCGGCCTCGAGCACCAGCTCATCGACAGCGCCGCCATGATCATGGTCAAGAAGCCCACGTCGCTCAACGGCGTCGTCGTCACCAGCAACCTCTTTGGCGACATCATCAGCGACGAGGCCAGCGTCATCCCCGGCAGCATCGGCCTCCTGCCCAGCGCCAGCCTCAGCGGCATCCCCGACGGCAAGAGCCGCTGCAGCGGCATCTACGAGCCCATCCACGGTGAGTTCTCCCCTCCCTCGCTTCTCCGCGCTCCTCCATCCACCAAGCTTCCACCCTTGTTCTGCCGCAACCAAAGTCAAACCGCCCAAAGACAAACGCGGGAGAGCGAAGAGCAACAAGGGAGCAAGCAGCGCGTGTTCCCGCCTGCCAAGTTCGCCGACGGCTAACCATCTGAACTCCTTCCCCCTCGCCTAGGCTCCGCCCCGGACATCTCGGGCCAGGGCATCGTCAACCCCATCGGCACCATCCTTTCCGTCGCCATGATGCTCCGCTACTCCCTCAACCTCCCCGACGAGGCCCAGGCCATCGAGGCCGCCGTCAAAAATGCCCTCGACGGCGGCCTGCGCACAAAGGACCTGGGCGGCAGCGCCAGCACCAAGGAAGTGGGCGACGAGGTCGCCAGGCAGCTCGTCGCCATCCTCCAGGCCTCTTGATTAAGCCCCGAGCGGTACCTTGAAATTTGCGTCGCAGGCGGGACGGAGGACTGGGGGTCAACCCCGGCAGCGAGCTATGAGTAACGGAATGGAAGGCGGGAAGATTGGCCCGGATGGAGCAGATCTCAAAAAGAATATAGGTGGAAAAATTGAGCACAACAGTTCTGAGCAACAAAATGTTGGCCACTAATGTATGGTAACCCATGATGCCCCCTCCTTCTACGGAGCCGGCTAGGGCACCTTGAGACAAAGCCATGGTACTGTCCCTTGTCAGGCGGCCATGCTTTGTGTCATGAATGCGTGTAGCAGCTTTAGCATGGCACACGTAAACCCCAGGAGGCCATAAGAAAGCCTGCCGTAGTATAACAAGCAAGGATAATCATGCAAAGATGGCAATTATCTTAGTTGGAAAATACTTGGGCAGACGCAGATATAGCAGCACTCGAGCCTCTGGGGAGCATTGGGACTTTGCGTCTCCGGCCACCCGCCAGGCCGCCTGAGCAGACCAAACGACCATTTCAGGAACAGGCACTGAGCATCGCAACTTTTTTTCGACTATCAAACACAAAGGGGGCGGTAGCAGTAATTGGAAGTTCCCCTCCACTTGGCGGGGTGACAGGGGTTGGATATAGCTTCCTCCATCCGTCGTCGTCATGCCAGCCTGTCCTGACTATGCGCGAAGGGGGCCAGCCGGCTGCGCATCAAGGCTTATTTGCCGCCGAGGCTTGGGAAGGCAGCCTGGTCGTTGGTGTTGATGGGAGCAGCGTTGTCACGGCCGCCGCGTCCACCGCGGAAGGGGGGGGGTCCTCCCCGGCCGCGATCGGCGCCGCCGCGCTCGCCACCGCGTCCACCGCGTCCGCCTCGGCCGCCTCGGCCGCCGCCCCGGGTGCGCTCAGGCTCGACGAAGCGCGGGTCGAAGTCGATGGTCTGTTTCGTCTTGCGCTCGCGCTCACGCTTCGACTTGCCGCCGGAGCTGGCAATGAAATCCTCGTCCTCCTTTTCCAGGGTCTTGGCATTGGCCCACTTCTTGTCGAGCTTGCTGCCCTCGTTGGCTTCGCGGACCTTGAAGCCCGAGCCGAGGGCGTTCTTCTTCTCCTCCAGTTGGGCCAAGTACTCGGTATACGAGACGCTCTTGTCTTCGGGCTCAGCGGGCTCATCGGCAGCGCCATCCTCGGCCAGAGCGTCCTTATGCTCGGACCGGGCCATGGCCTCGCCGGCCTGCTCGTCCTTCAGTTCGGCATCCCCCTCGGTGGCACCCCACGACTGGGCAGCCTGTTTGTCGGAGCCACTATAGACAGTTGTCAGTCGAGATACGAGAAATGGCGTGAAACAGGGTTGATGCCATACCCGTGACCGCCTGCCCTGGAAGGGTGTCGATCGTCGAACTCGCGGGGGCGGCGAGAGCCGCGACCTGTTGCACATTAGTATTCGACCCTCTCACTTGAATGGAGGCTCCTCGGAAGCTCCAGGTGGGGGATGCAAATGCGACTTACCACCACGGACGCGGGCACCATAGCCACTCCGGGGGCCATCTCTAGGGGCCTCCTCGGTAGATCGCCCGTGGTTGCGATCGCTGCCGGCGCCACGGTCACGGAAGGCTAGCAGAAGCCGGGTCAATCAGGACGGGTTCATACAACGGACGTCAAGACATCAAAAATAGCCCAGCTCGACTCCAAAAGTATATCAAGTATAGCACTCACCACCCTCGCTTCCACGTGGGCCTCCGCGGCGGTTTCCGCCAGAGCCTAGTGCAGGGGCGGCGGGCGCCTGGGGCTCGACGTTGCGCTTGGTCGTGCGGCTGGTAGCCTTGTCGATGGTCTTGACGGGGACGACGGGCTTCTCCTCACCATCGTCGTCGTTGCCTAAACGGCGAATCCGAAAGTCAGCTTATGTAGTTCGTTTCTCGGGACCCACGATTGGGGGGTTGTGCGTCGGCCGAGATCTGCGTCGAGATGGCGAGCATAGATCCAAGGGGAGAGGAGGGTGTTACCGAGGTAGGCGAAACGGTTCTGCAAGCACTTGGTCAGCAATCTCACCGTCAATGAATTGATGCAGGGTCAGTCGAGCGACAAGGAGCGCTGGGCGACAAGCCTAGGCCGACGAGGCCGACGAGCTGAAGCTGAGGCGGGAGCGAAAGGGAGCGAGGGAAACCAGGTGGAGAGGGGGAGGACGGTGGTGGGGAGGATCAGGAGGGGAGAAAAGGAGTAGAAAAAGATGCGGTCGTACCTGGGACTGGACGTTGGACATCTTGATCGGCTGATGGCCTGTCGCCTGCCGTGTCGAGGCGTTCGTTCAATGCGGCAAGTCGGGGTTGGTTTGCTATGGTGTTGCGCAAGGAAGGGAGGAGAGAGGCTGCTACGCTTGCATGACCTCGGGAAGGATGAAAAGCGCGCAGGAAAGGGGGGGTGATTCGTTTGATGTGCTGGAGCACCAGCTATTCCGGAGGGTGGGAGCACGACAAGGTGCTCGACGAAGGGGGGGGTGGCGGCCGTCGATGGAGAAGTAGGGGAGAAGGAGAAAAAATGAATCCTTGCACGATGGATCTGGCCTCGCCCAAGGCTCCTCGCAATGCTCGAGGTACAGCACAGGACGGTAGGGGCGGTGGGTGAGCTACAGGTACATTTGCGGAGGAGCTGTCTCTCAGCTTGGTGAGCGAGTGAGTTGCCGGCTAGCGCCTCAGCATGGCCCGCCCGCTCTCGCTTAAATTACCCAAGACTTGGGGAATTTTTTGTGCCCCGGGCGATATTTGTTAGGGCTCCCGATTCACCTCCGTCTGTTAGGCCTCGTGCCCCCTCACCCTGGTCCATCGCTAACAGCACACGCGGTCCCGGAGGACCGGGGAGCCACTGGTACCTGGCGCTCTCACTGCTGCTGCGGTTCCACAATGCCCAACGTCCAGGCTTCGGAAGACCTTGTTTGGCCAGCCATGCTCCTTGTCTTGCTCGTACGAACGCGTACAAAAAGTAGCCACGCCTGAATTGTCTGTAGGGCTGTCGTTATCTTGACCATAGTTCGTACAGGCATGCCAAGGCCCAAGACCCCTACTCCCATGCCCACCTACCCTAGGCCCCGTGCCTAAACAACGCCTCGTTACCATCTCGATGCACTACGTATATCTCGCCGTCTTCATCTCACGTGTCGGGCGACGGTGGTGGACTTGGTTCCGAGTGCCTCAGCCTTGAACATGGCTGTCTCGAGGAGTAGCCACCTCGGACCTTCAGGGGATCGGCATCCGACAGAGAATGCTTAGGAGCGCCCTCGACGGCTGACAAGTCCATGAACAAGGGGATTGGCTTCAAGTGACTCGGCTTGAAGGAGAGGCCGTTCACTGGGTCATGCATGTCGACCCAAATGGTGGTTACGGGAGCGTCATCGACGTGCATCGCCTCGCCTGCACTTCCATCGCCTCCTATGGCCCCCGATGGCTGCATAGATGTCAGAGCCTCCCCCACTTCAGAAGCGGATACGCAGCATCTCACCTCTTGGGTTGCCCTTGCATGCCGTGCCAGACGGTCCTGCTGGCCCTGCCTCCGGACCCAGCGCTCGCGCGTCACGCCTCCGTCCACGATGCTGACCCTCTTCAACCCTCTTCGCACCACCGCCTCTTCATCCAGCCCAGCAGCTTCAACCTCGACGACACACATGGCACACAACGGAGCTTCCGCCACCTCCTTCCCGCCGGCGGCAGATCTGTGTCCCGCGTCCTCCCTGTCCTCGAACAGAGCGTGAACCGGAACGCCGGCACAGACCCGCCGGCTACCGCAGAGCAGACAGCCGTAGCATGCGGGATGCCAGAAGCACCAGCCAAAGCTCACGCACTCGTCGCCCCGGAATATCATCTCCCCGCACACCTAGCAGATGGAGAGGTCGAGGAGCGCTGAGTAGCATGGCTCGCAGGTGAGGCGGGCTGAACGTCCCAGTATGCGAGGTGGCCCGGCCGAGATGCCGCGGCAGAACGTGCACGTGAAGACATTGTTGTAGTTTGCGGGCTTCATATCGGGAGCTTGTGTCTTTGGGTGGTTCTGAGAAGACCTGGCCAAGGGCTGCGCTTGATGGCGGTTCAAGAGAAGCTTTGGACCTTCCCTCGACCTGGAAGGGGGAGAGCTTGCAAATAAAGGAGTGTTAGGGAATGGAATACAGTATGAGAATATCAATGTCCAAGGAACAAGGGCGGTGAGGGCCTCGGACACCCCAGGCCACATGCGAGGAGCGGAGTCAGTTCTCGTCGCCGCAACACCGGCTCGAGGCAAGTCAAAGGCCGCCTCAGGCCATGTCAGGAAGGTGCGCCTGGTGCCGAGCAGGCAGGAGAACAACCTCATGGACCAAGCAGCGAGCGGAGCGAAAAGAAGACGACAGGTAGTGAGCCCAATAGATGCAATGTTGATACAGTGTCTGGTAGACATATCTTTACAGCTCAGCCAGCACCTTTCTTCCCGTGTATTTTCCCCTCCCAGGCCGCCAAGGCCACTGTGTGAGGAAACCGTTGCTCGCGACCGAGCCTTGACCATAGAGTCACGCAACCTAAAGACAAACAACCCAACGCCAGCTGATGAAGGCGGTGCCCCTTTTTAGTCCGCCTGTGTCGAGAGGCACACAATTCCCAAAGATTGGCGAGATTCCCCTGACGCTCACTGCGCGGCAAGCAAATGGAATCCGCGTCTGCGCCAACCCCCCTCTCTCCCCTGCATTCAAGATGCTTCCTAGCCTCGGTTCTTCGGGCGCGCAAGCATGTTGAGACGACTCACACTAAGCACAGAGCCCTTCTTGCTTGGGCTCACCGATCCGGGAATCCGACCAGGCAGGCGGCTCGGAGTCTTGCTCGGAGTCCGGCCGATGCCGCCCTTCTTGACACCACTCGCAGGTGTTTTGCCCATCAGGCGGGGTGCCAGCAAGGCCTGGCCCTCGGGCACATGCTCGTTCTTGCGCTTCTTCAGCGCACGCTCCGCCGCCTCGTTCTCCGCGTCCTCCTCGTCCGAGCTGGCGCGGTGTCGCTTCTTGTTGGGCATCCCGTGGGCCGTGCCTCGCAGCATTCTGGCTGGCGACGGGGCCGCATTCTCCTTGTTCGGATGGCAGCTGGGGGACGGCGGAGGAGGGAAGCTGCCAGGCATGTTCGTCGCGGGCATCATCGAGCCACGGACTTGGCGAACGCCCGACTGACTAGGGGAAGCGCCGAAGTCCTTTGCCGACGCGTCTTCGAATTTGATTGTGTGATCACTGCGGAACGTAAATGTACCGGCCATGGATGGGCTGGACGCCTTTTCTCCCCGGGAGCGTGGCTCGATGAGGCGCCTCAGGGGCGAGAGATCGGGATAGAGGCTGTCATTGGGCTTCGCCAAGACCTCGTCGAGCCCCGCAAAGTGATGGGCGTCGACCGCCTGCAGAGGAGACCGGTGCGGCTTCTGAGGGGAGGGCGAGTTCTGCGCCATGGCTGCCTTGGAAGTCTCGGGCGTGAAATCCACACGCTTTGCAAACTTGCGTCGGGGGGTTGTCCGAGGAAGCGGCGGCAAGGCCTTGTCGGTCCGCGGCGGTGCTGGAGTCTGCGAGACAAGAGCGGCGGGCTGAGGAATGGCGCTCTTTGCGCCGTCCATGTCAATCTTTTGCCCGCGGAGGATCGACTTGACTTTGTGGAATCGGCCGGGACTGATGATACGCCGCTTCAAGTCTGCCGGCTTTGACGGGGAGCCAAAACTCATCGCCGATGCCGACTTGGGGATACCGGGCTGGCTTGGCTTCGGGGACGCCATGATTATCGAGCTAGTCGAATCCTGGAGGCCTGCCGCGTGTGCCATGGAGGACTTAGTAGGGCTCATGAGGCGCGCCAGGCCTGACTTCGATCTGGACAAGGATCCTGGATTGTCACTGCGAGTCACTGGTCGAGGGAGTGAGCTCCCGTCGCGCGACACAGGACGAGCGCTTGAACTATCGTCCTCGTAGCGCTGCTTCAATCTCTTGACGGTAGACTGCTGGCCAGTCCGTGCGAGAGCAAGGAATTTCTCAGGGCTCGTGGCCGGAGAATGTTCCTTGTGCTCATCCTGAGTTTGATGGTAGTCTAGGTTTGCCACAGATGAGGTTCGTTTCAGGCGCAGCTTGGCACCGCCATCAGGCATCTCGGCAAGAAGCGACTTGGAGGGAGTCGGTTTGATGGCGGAGCCTTGGGATAGCGGCGTGGCGTCGAGGTTTGCCTTGGAGGGAGAGCGCTTCAAGCTCGACTTTGCCGGGGTGAACCGTCCATTCTGGGCTCTCCAGGCCGACGCGTGTCCCTCAATCGAGTCCATCTTGCTGAACTCGGCCGTGTGAGCAGCACTGAAGCGTCCGCATTTCCCCTTGAGCTTGGCAATTACACGGCCGCTCGTCTTGGGAGAAGCACCCTCGTCTTTCTGAGCAATCAGGTCGGCCTTGATCTTGGCGGCTTGACCTCGAATTTGATCCATCATGCGCCGCGCATCGCTGCTGAGCGCCGTGTCGGCGGCCTCGCGGGTGAATCGAAATGTGAACGGGGAGGAAAGAATGCCGCCTATCTTGGAGGGGGTCGAGGTCAAGGCGGCGGCCTGAGGCCCCTCTCTCTTGGAGGGAATGTCGGAGAAGCCCAGTCGAAGGGCTGACGAGGGCTCGCCCATGGTTGGACGGACCTTGCTGGGGTGCATTTCGTCGTGTGGAGGCTTGAGTGCCGAGGACATTGGTGTGCTCAGCTCCGGACGCGTCGGCGAGAGAAGCGTGTCGCGGCCCTTAGGCTCGTCGCGAGGGGGGGTCTCATCGCGCTCGGCCAAGGAAGACAGCTCGGGAGTGGCCCTGGGCTGTTTGCCACAAGTCAGGAGAGGGTCGTCGAAACGGGGGAGAGGAAGTCATATTACCTTGACAGCCGAGGTAGCCAACCGCGCCGAGCGGCGACGCGGACGCGGCGACATTGGCGAAGACGGGCTTCAAAAGAGGAGTATCGCGGGTTTCCAATGCCAAGCGCACGCCTGACGGGCGGAGTTAAAGCGGAGGGGAAGGACAGGAATGTATGCAGCACCGCTGACAAGTATTGGTATGATGTCAAGTCGGTCGGGAGATTTGTTGACACCAAGCGGCACTGGGTTTGTTTACATTTGACGTAAGGCAAGGGGCGGCCGAAGGCATTGGCCAGTGGGGGATGCAGACTGCAGAAGCTGTGATGGTCCAAGCTTGGCCGGGATAAAGTACACCCGGCTTCCCTTCCCCCGAGCAGCGGGGAAGATGCTTGCACTCCCCAAATCTCCTGCTCGCACAGAGATTTATTACTCCGCGTGTCGCAGTCGACACGAAGACGGGGTATTTGCGGCAGGTGTAACCGGGGGCCGTGTTTCTCCATTGAAGCGACACAATCGACGATGCCGGCGCGCAGACACTCGTCGCCATCTAGTCTTGCCTAGCCGACGCTCTGACGCCACGACGGCATGAGATGCACACAGACTCGAGCCGTGATGCGCACCTGCAATGCCGAGAGTCAGACGTCACATTGGCCGCCGTGACGGGCTGATGGGCGACGACTCGAAAAACCACAGGTCCCCTGTCCGCTGCAGCGCCCCAGTATGTGCGTGCTATGCCCCGCAGCTGAACAAGCGAGAGGCTGTCGTCGTGGGAGCCCATTTGTTGGCAGCATGCAGATAATTAGAGCTTAATCTTATCCATTCAGGCAATGGTGCCCAAAAAGAAGCGCCCGTGTCCGAGGACAATGTTTCTCACGAACGCGCCTAGCTGTGAGTCGCTGGGCAAGCCCATCCGATACCGGCTGGCAACAACTGGATTCAGAGCTAGAGGCTTTATAGAAGCCGCCCCCCAGCTCGCTCGAGCCTCTTGCAGTGATGCCAACTGCCGTGCCGTACCAAGCTCGTCAAGGCGAGAATGTGGCTGCCGAATCACAACCAACGAGTCGAGAGCCTGGCTTCCGCAGACAGAACACAGCATGCGCCTAAGGGCTGGTCGACAGTCGTCCGTGCCGTTTGGTCTTGTGTCGTGCAGAGCGGAGCAGGACTGCCTGTGCCATTACACGAGCCCCAGGCCGCATTGAAAAACCCGCCACGATCGTCCCCCCTCCCCTGGCCAGCGCAGAAACCATCCGGTCAGATGACACGCCACAACGACGGCGACTGGGTCGACGTGGCCGGCGACGACCACGACATGCATGTGACCTGGGACGGCGGACCGAACAGCGGCAGACAGACACAGTATATACTGTATAAAATGTCTGAACGCTTCGTCTCAGCAGGCGAAACGTGGATAGATGGCTACATACGATGGATGCGCGGATGCCGTACACCAAGCACGACGAGCGGACAATAACGATGGCCAAGGCATCATCGTCCGGGGGAGAAAGCAAGCCATGATTGACCTGGAGAAGCGGGAAGCCGAGGGACGACGGGTGCCAAGCCTTGGGAAGCCCGAGCGAGGGCCGGCGGGAGAGACAGCGTCGCCCAGCCTGCCCTAGAGCCAGCCCGACCGCCATGGCCAGGGGCTGCCATGAAGGAGTGGTCGCTGGGTGACCGACCGGGGGCCCTCCCGAGGAGGTGGCAGTGGGAGCGCCGTCCGTGGCAGCAGCATCTGTTGTGACGGTGGTCGGAGCTGCGATCCCCAAACACTCTCGAAAAGGACATGTCGAAAGAGCTCCGTGTCCCGCCCCACTTCCCCAGCCGGCTACCGACCTCGATATACCTACATGAAGCGATCGCGAGTCGACGATATCTTCGGTTTCTACTACTGCCGCCGAGGGCCAGTGGCGGCAATACTTTTTCTGGTGCTGTCCAGGTACCCTAATCATGCATTCCGAGCCAACGTCTTCCGCAACCTTCCAAAAATCCGCAGAGGAGCAGGGTGCGGTAACCGTCGAACAGAGAAACGCCCTCGCGCTCCCGCGCGCCCCTGCCCATTGCCTCGACTTTGTACTGTATAGGTTGAGCCTCGGTTTCGCCCCTCCTTTGCAACAACCTACCCAACTTGCATACCTTTAAGCATCTATGAATAGGGTATTGCGCACGTGAACGCCTGCATGGCGAAACCTATAGATGGTGCAGCCAGGTTGGCTGCTGTCTCATCGGCGCCAACACCAGCTGGCATTTGGAACCGGCGGCTAAAACAATCCCTGGGAGCAGGTGATGGCCACGTCTCGAATCTCCATGGCACAACTCCTGATCCGGAGTCTCCCGTGGTCTGCGGGGGAGGATAAAGGACGGTGTGCCTGAGAAGGATGTACACACAGTATGTAGCTTACACGACATGCTGCTCTTCGCCCTAAACCGGCTCTTGCAAGGAGCAGACCATGCCAAGTCCCCTGACCCAGAGCTGCAGGCTCATCAATCTTGAGATCTGCCAGGTCCGGTGCTGTTGGATGTCGTCCCCTGGCCCTGGGTTGCTTGGGGGTTCCGGCAAGTTGGTTGCAGCCTGTCTGTCGCCCTGCTTTCCGCGCAATCGGACGGCTGAAGAAGCCAGGGAGCACCGCAACCGAAGCGGTACGGAGTACCTGTACATAAAAAAGGTAGGGTTCCTTGCAAAGTGCTGCATGTGCGGAGTAGGTACAGAGTTAGTTACTGTGATGTGCGACGCAGGACTTGTCGGGCCACGTGCCAAGGAACCCGGACTATCGGTTGGCCCCGGCCCATTGTTTTTCTACCATAAAAAGGTAGGTACCTAGGTAGGTACCTTACCTTGGGTATCAACGTATCAGTACACTTACACTGTACCTGGTAATAATTACGTGCATGGCGGGAAGGCGCTCACCACCTCAACCTGTCTCTCCTCACCTTGCCTTACCTGAACCTCGCAATTTCCTCGGTCAACCTGAAGAGGGACTGGCTTCCAACTGTTCCCTTATTCAGATCTGTGAGGCAACTTGAAGCTCGTGGCGAGTTTCGAAGCAATGGACCTCTATAATAAGGTACCGGAGCAACCGTCCTGTGGCCAGACGAGCTCAGCTCCGGACCCCCATCCATCTTGCCTCCTCGCACATGTTCCATCCTTGCCCCGTCCACTCCCTTCCGACCTCGGTTTAGTAAGCGTGATGCGTCCATGGGGAGCCAATAGAGGCGCGGGGGTCCGCGCCTTTAAAGTCGGCGCGGACGTCCGCGCCTGTTTTGTAAGCCCAGCCGGAAGATAGTCGGGCCCGCCTCCGGCCCCGACCTGTCCTCTCCTTTCTCTCGCCCTCCGTACTGTGGCAAGCATATCACGACCATATCCACGGAGGGTCAGCGCGCCGCCATTGCGGCCCAATTTATCCGCCGCCCCTTACGCAGAGTAGGCCAATATGGAGCTTACTGAATTCCTGACGATTGCCTTCCTCCTGAGGGTCAATTCGACTCGCGAGAGTCCCTTCTTGTCTCAATTAATGCGTGGGCAGCTCCAGAGGCTATGCCTTCACCACAGGCAAGTCCACGAGAGACCCGCGGTCCGGAAGACGCACAGTCACATTTGCCTGTGATCGTGGAGGTAGACCAGGGGCTCATACAAGCAAGGACCAGAAGCCAGCTGAACGGCAACGGTCTACAAGCTCCCGTATCACTGGATGCCAGTTTTCCATCAATGCGAAAGAGAGCCTTGATAAGTCGTACTGGTATATCAGGCATCGCCCAGGCGAGGAGAAGTCGGTCCACAACCATGAGCCCAGTCTGCACATTACAGCACATCCAGCTCATCGTGCCCTCTCCTCAACTGACCAGTCAGCTATTGGGAACCTCGCAAGCGCCGGCATAGCACCAAAGGATATCCGGACATATATGCGCCAGAGCTCTCAGACTGCTCAAGGAGCGACACAGCAAGACATATATAACTGTATCGCACAGCGCAGACGAGAGCTTCTTGCTGGGCAGAGCACAATGCATGCCCTTGCCAATGAGCTTGACAACGAGGGGTTCCAAACCCGCATACAGCTTGACCATGACGGCCGAGTCACAGCGGTCTTATTCGCACACCCGGCGTCACTAGAATACCTCAACGCATACCCAGAATTACTACTTCTAGACTGCACATACAAGACGAACAAATATAAGATGCCACTGCTCGATATGATCGGCGTTGATGCCTGCCAACGGTCATTCTGTATTGCCTTTGCCTTTCTCAGTGGTGAAGATGAAGATGACTACATCTGGGCACTGGACCAACTCCAATCGATATACGAGTTATATGACATTCGCCAGCCATCCGTTATCCTTACAGATCGTTGCCTTGCCTGCATGAACGCAATTTCCCGGTGCTTTCCTGCGTCAAGGTCTCTGCTCTGCATCTGGCATGCGAACAAGGCGGTGCTTAGCTATTGCAAACCAGCATTCGACCGTGAGGATGAGAACTCTAACAGTGATGAGAAATGGGTTGAGTTCTTTGGGTATTGGCACTCAATCGTGAGCTCGAGAGATGAGGAGACATTCGATCAACAAGTTGAAGAGCTGGAGAAGCGCTTTGTACCACGATACGTCAAGGAGGTTAGCTACATACGGGAAACCTGGTTGGACCCGTATAAGGAAAAGCTCGTCAAGGCCTGGGTTGATCAATATGCTCATTTCGGCAATGTGGCTACTTCCCGGTGGAAGGCATCCACGCATTATTGAAGAGCCACCTTAAGAAGTCAACACTAGACCTCTTCGAAGCAACGAGGGCAATCAAGCAAGCTCTTCTCAACCAACTGGCCGAGCTACAAGCCAACCAAGCCAGGCAGCATATACGGATGCCAATTGAGCTCTCTGGAACCGTATATAGCACGGTACGTGGCTGGGTATCACACGAAGCCTTGCGACAGGTTGCAAAGCAACACAAGCGCCTCAACGAGAAAGACATCCCTGCTTGCACAGGCAGCTTCACCAAGTCTCACGGTCTCCTTGTGCGCACACATTACAGCCGCTCATAGAGGAAGATCTGCCACCCGGCCACAACATTTTCATACGCATTGGCGCCTTCGACGGGATACCAAAGAGATTGGTCAGGTCCTCATAGAGCCTCGTCGGCGATTGGACCAACTTGTCGCCACATCGAGGATAACACAGTCATCCACAGCGCGAGCCAAGTGCATTTGAAGCCATAGAGCCAGTTCTACGGCCAAAGGCGCCACCTACATGCAGCAAATGCCACCAGAAAGGGCACATCATGACATCTCGCAATTGTCCTTTACGCTATAGCGACATACTGCAGCGGGCAGAGGCACGGGCGGCAGAGACTGCAGAGACGGCAGCAATTGCAGCGACTGCACAGACTGCACAGACTGCACAAGCAGTAGCAATTTCAGAGACTGCACAGACTGCAGCAGTCATGGAGACAATCACGGTTGCAGTCACTACAGTCTCTACGGTGTCTACAATTGCTGCAGTCTCGACAGGAATTGCAGAAGCTACAGAGACTACGGAGAATCTACGATATGATGACCCACGAGCCATCTATCAGAGGTATGTCAGGGCAAGAGACTCTTGGTATAGAGCACAGCCTCGCGGCAATCTCAAGACCAACCAGGCATACCGAAAGGCAATGGGCTTGCCATTGCGCTACAGCAAGACTGAATATGACTGGTGCCTCGACTGGAAGCAAATGTCAAGGAGCTGCGGCTCGAGGAAATGGACCAAGGAAGAGATGATGGCATACCTTGATTGGGATAAGGCAGAAGAAGAGCGGTTAGATGCCCGGGTGGCCGAGGAAATGCAAGCGCAGCCTTTCTCACGAGAAAGAGGTACTGCAGGTATATGGGCTGACTGCGAGAGACTCGGAGGAACAGCAGGCAAACTATTCCCGCATATAAGTCGTCTGCTAGGACCGGTCTGTATAAGTGCGCCACAGTTGGAAACCACAGCAATTCTAGATTAAAAAAAATTTGAGTCGATTGACACTCAAATTGACGCTGTGGCCGTTGAGTACTTTTGCCGATGTGCGGGGAGATATGTGCAGTAAAACTGGCGCGCCAGCGCGGTCGCGGCGGGCGCTGTTCGCGGCGCCCACAATGGCCAGCCGGGCTTACATAACAGGCGCGGACGTCCGCGCCGACTTTAAAGGCGCGGACCCCCGCGCCTCTATTGGCTCCCGCGTCCATGCTTTGCCCGTCTATACACATACATCGAGCAAGATGGCCCGAAGCGGCTTCGACGGCACGCAGCCCTTGAGATCAATCATCAAGATCAACATAATTTCGAGAGTGCCCGGTTCAAAGTTGCGGGCACAAGAGAAGGCTTTCCAGATCCCAGACTGGGATGTGTGCGCCTCTCCTCGTCGCCGGGGATCCGCGCGTCCCGAGTGCGCCCTCGGCATGTGGGATCGTGGACTCTCCACCCAGTCCGCATCGGCAAATGACTCTCTCGCGAGTCACGATGTTTGTTGGGTTTTCCCCCTCGGCAACCCTGCCTCTCGGCCTGCCCACATACGTGTGTGCCAGCCTATGTATATCATACTGTATGTATGTCGTATGTATGTGACGGCACAGACCCATTGTCGTGTACATATCCGCACATGCAGACGAGATTGCTCGAGGCGACACGGGCCGAGGGGCGACGTCAAGTTGACGGCCGACATCGAGATGCCGGGCACCTTGGGCGACCCAGAGACGATGGAAGCCGTGCGTGCTGCGTGTGTGCCAGAGGGCGCGGCGGATAAGTAGGCAGAGACAATGCCCCAAAGCAGCGGCTCGTTGGGGGACTCTCCGGGCTTCGGAGGAGGTCAATGACTGCCTCCCTGCTTGGTGTGTGGGTGTGTGCATGTCCCACGAACCCCGTCCCAAAACACCGCGGAAATGGCCTCGACGGCCTCGTGGCAGCAGCAGCACGCCCGCCCCCGATTGGACCGCGTGTCAATTGTCCAGGCCCAGACGCTAACAATCGTGCCCTGGTCGTGGACCATTCCTCCTGACTTGGCGGTCCTCTCGTCCGCATCTGGACTCGGGCGAGAGCCTTCCAAAGGGCACTGGCAGGCAGGGCGTTGCTGGAGAGCGAGAGAGGGCGCGGAGAGAGGGATGGGGCGAAGAGCCAAGACGGAATGGATACAGCGGCGTCTTTATACGACCTAGACGTCGATGAAGCTGTCCATCCACCTGCATTGTCAGACGCACATACAAAAGGTCCGGTGGCCATGACGGCGTCCCCACGACAGATCGGGGAAGCGCCCGCCGAGACGGCCAAGCTGGTGCTTGACTGAGGGTGGGCGATCAGACAAAAGCGGGTAGCTCGCTTAAATCGAAGAATGGTGCACATGATGCTGTGCATACAAAGGGACTGGAAATAGCACACAGTAGATACCATGAGGTATGGAGGTAAATTTCCAGAAATGCTGGGACAGCCGCCGATTTCGCTCCGCCCACGGATTGATGGCCTGCACCGGACGAGCCTCGTGGTTGCATGGAGGCAGGCAACCCGCACCTGCATTGTAGCGTACGGGCGACAGCGCCAGCCCGAGTAGCAAAGCCCGTTGGCTTCTCTGCAGCGCATCCCCGCGAACCGGGCCCGGCCCAGTAAAAGCGCGGGTTGCAAATGAGATGGGGCTGATGAATGGGGGAGGGGCCGCGGGGTGGGGGAGAGACAGACGGAAAACGAAGCGACTTGGGCGGGCTCCATGGCTCCATACCGCGCAGCGCACAGTGCCTGAGTGCGCGGGCAGCGCACAGTATAGACAACTGCCCCCGGTCTGGCCCCAAGTCGCAGCCGCACTGGATCAGGTAGCGCATGCACAGTGCTGTTAGCCCAAGTGGGCTCGGGGCGAGGGGTCTCGTGGGCGGGCAGAGAATGGAACTGGGCCTAATACTTACCCACCTACTCCGTAGACTTTGGCACTGCCGACGATGCTGTGTCGCCCGCTGGCTCGTCTGGGGTTGAGACGCAGTCCCTACAGTACCTACAGGTATGTACATGCTCGCAGTCCAAAACCTACCTTGGTACCTACCTACTGTACCTTGCCTACCGAGGTACCTGGCCAGAGCTTACCTTCAACTGCCCCATTGGGACGGCCGCCCTTTTACCACGCCGAGACCATCCCAAATCCTCCGGGCCTTGTTTAGCCACCCACTCCCATCATCACGTCCGAATCCCACGTCGAGCGGCTCAATGCCATGTGCATTTCTCCAAGATATGCTCGCCTGGACAGTGCGTCACCATCCACGCGCTCGACATACAGAAAAGGTACACAATGGTGTAGGTACTGTCCAATAGCTGGCCGGCTGCCAGGACCCTGGTGCTTGACCCGGCCGGGCATGGGGGTGGGGCCAAGTACGGGGGTGTGTGGGATGGCTCTCGAGGACCGCCGCACCTCATCATGAGTGAGTGCGTGAGGGGAGAGACGGGCGTCGGCAACCCCCTCTTTGCAGTTCCCATTACATAAAAGACTCGGGCACGCTGTTTTCTACAGGTCCCTCCCCGTCCTGCTATCTCGCCGACCCAAGCTGTCCTGGCACAATTCCATGTACAATTGCAACCTCTGCTTTGCACCTTTGCCTCTTCTTATCTTTGGCGGTTAGCTATCCTCATCTGTTTGACGCTCTTAGCCGCTCTAGACGCGCCCTCAACCTGCCTCAACTGTGTTTTTATTATTTTTACCATTACTTCCTGTCTTTGGCGCTCACCACCCCCCACCCCCCTCTCAGCAAACCGAGGCGTGGCTGGTCTTTGTCGACGGCAACCCTGACGCCTCGCCCCGACGCCTCGCCCCGACGCTGCAGATCGCCCTCGCTTCCAGACGTCTCCAGGCTGGCGGCATCGCCGTCGCCGCCGTTTTGTTGCTGCCCTGAGAGGCCGAGACCTTGGGGCGCTCGCCGCACCGCGGCTGTCTTCCTCGCCTGCCACGACGCAGAGGAATGGCAGAGAAGATGTCCATCGACAACAAGCCAAACCCTCCCCGCCGGGACGACTCCGACGACTCGGCCGACTCGACACCCGAGCGAGACCAGAACCCGCCACCTTCCACCAACGACCATGGCTCCCACGACGCCCAGCAGCCAAAGCGAAAGGGCGGCCGCAAGCCCGTGAGCCTTCCCACCCCCCCAAATCGCCCTCAACAAGCATCCCACGTTGCCCTTTCCTTTCTTCTCCTGTCCCGCCTGCCACCCCTCCCAAAGTGACACAACTGGCCCCCTCCCGCCATCGACACGCTATACCACTCCCACCCACGTGCGAGACATAACGGCTGACGTGGACATCTTGTCCTAGATTTACGCAACCTCGGAGGAACGCAAGCAGAGGAACCGCCAAGCCCAAGCCGCCTTCCGGGAGCGTCGCACCGAATACATCAAGCAGCTCGAGGAGACTATCCGTGTCCACGAGTCCAACCTCCACAACCTTCAGACGGCCCACCGCACCGCTGCCGAGGAGTGCTTGATGCTTCGATACAAGAACTCCCTACTCGAGCGTATCCTCCTTGAGAAAGGTTTCTATCCCTTCCGTCATCCAATCCCCTCTAGCCCAGTCGACTTACACCATACGTAGGCATCGATGTCCAAGCCGAGCTTCATGCCAAGACTGGCAGCCCCAATCTGGGCTCGACCCATATGCCCCAGAACTTGGTTCAGCCGCCTCCGATCCAGCGCGCCATTATGAACCGACACCACCAGTCTCGCAAGTCCATCTCTAGCATCGCGCCCAAAGCGGAGCCGGGGGCGGTGCCGTCGTCCGCCCACAAGTCCGTCGCGTCCCCAAAGAACCGGTCGAATCCCCCGCACGCCAGCTCGCCTTCCACTGCCTGCTCGGCCTTCTCACCCGCCCCGTCCGACAGCATCTCGATGCACGGCTCAGTAGCGGGGCTGTCCCGACAGTCGCTGCCCACACCGACGACCAATTCCGCTGCGAGATCGTCCCTGCTGCAGGCTTCGGGACGCCGCGGCCATTCAATTGGCAACGGGGCATCTTTCTATCCCACGCCCACTTTCCAGAATCAAATGGAGCAACAGCTGGGTGAGCCTGCGGGAAGCCTGCTTGAAGCTGCGCGAGGGCGTCTTGCAACTAACATGGAACTGCAGAGCAAGAGTACGATGGGCGATGCGACATGGTCGACGACTCTGAAATGGATACTCCCAACGGACACGCTTCATACCCCCCGGGTTTCACCAACAACCAGCATACCATGCTGCTTTCACCCACCTCTACCGTTCCGAATCATCAGATCTCGCACCCACACGAGTCGACCCAGCAAGCTTCGGTATCCAACCATCCGTTCCCTTCGATGACGCAGCTCCTGGACCAAAATCTCGACTGGGACCCTTTTGGCTTGAGCGCCAGCATGGCCTTTCCAAGCCACCAGCCATTCCAGTTTGACCAAGCAAACATGCGTTGATCGTGACGGACGGCGGCGTGGTGGCGAGGTCGCGTCAAAGTTCACTCCTGGCCGCTTGTCTTGCCTGGTCTAATACAGCACACGACACCCAGATTCAGTCGCCACCTTCGGGGGCCGGCTTTGGCTGTCCTGGGGCTAATGCGCACACGGGAACTCGAATAAACACGACGCCTATGATAATGAGTTCGGTCACGTTACATGCAACCGATGACGGACGCGGCCGACGAGAATATTGACTCTGGCAGCGACAGCAACAAGGTGACAAAAGCATCAGCGAGATGTGGGCAAGCGAACCGGCGGCACCAACGAGTGCCGGAAAGCCGATGTCTCGCCAGTTGGCTAGAGCGAGACATACAAAGACATGATGCCCCATTTCATGGTCATGTTTCTACACCATGCGCTACCGGGTCACATGGGCTCAACTGGTGTTCCATCCCCCATTCGACGAAAGGACCTGGCCAATCCATTTCTTTGAAGCGCGAGGGACCTGTGGTCGATATAAGACCTCCCCTCCCGCAGTCTGGGTCATTGCTACGCTCGGACATGGCCGAGAAGACCGGGAAATAAAAACAGCGATCTTTTTGGGATTCGGAATTTCTGCGCTGGCTGTTTTTCAGTTCAGCATACTATATGGTGTCTTTGCCAAGCGACTGCGATGGACGAAATACTTTCTCGCCAACGACCTGCCCGGAAGAGGCGGATATGAGACGGGAAAAAATCGTCCAAAGACGGAAACAAGGTATTGAAAAGTGATTTTTAGTCTCTGCTTCAGTTCTGCTTCTGGCGTTCAAGGATGCGGTAATCATTCCTTCCCCCGGGGCCCAAGGGAGCTCGGCGGCTCGCGGAGTATCTACTGCTCTATAGCATGCTTTGAATGAGTACTTTGAAGCCTTGTTCTCTATATCAGGTGTTACTGCTCTACCTCATGTCTTGCTGCCCTTCCCTACGAGCGAGGGCAGCTGGGCCGGACGCGTGGCAAGGCCTACTCAATGGGTGGAATTTCTGCGCTCTACATGTTACCCTCGTTCTGCAGCCGGGGAACTACGGATACGCTGCCGACGACTTAAGTCTAACGACGACGACGGAATGGAATGATCAGACGGACGTCGTTTTCTTGCGTGGGCCGACTTGACGAGGGTGGGGCATCGGCAACGTCTCAGGCACAAAAGGAGGTCACGAGGATGAACGTGGGAGCCGAAGGAAGCTGGGGAAGCCGGTCGCGTGCCACTTGCTATAAATGGGGCGATGATGGTGAGAGCTGGCAAGTTTCGTGACTTGCTCCTGTGCATGGACACGGTACTGGAAGTAATTGGAATTGAGTTGGCTCCGACTGCCACGATGTCTCTGGTTTCTGTGTCATGGAAAAAGGAGGTTGGGTGAGGGGTGTGAAGGCATTCTTGGAGAATAGACGATCAGGGAAGCTTGGCACGGGAACCCACGAGTCAGTCAGTGATGCGCCAGCTATGTACAATACAGTATGGAGAAATCAGATCCTGTCGTGGAGAGAGACCAAAGAGAGTTGGACCGGAGCGTGCTATTCTCATTTCACAAGGTACGCAGGTAGGTTGGTACTTGACCGTACGACCCGAGTCAGGGAATCATGATTCCTCAAGGTGGGATATGTTGGTTGTGCGGCCCGGGATCGAATACGTGGCAGTCTGAGTCCGCCCATAAAGTGGTCTATCCTCATGCCTAGACCTTTGTGGATTTACACAGACGCATGCGGCCAGGAGCAGGGGAAGAATCCATAAGCAAGCCACATAAAGGGGCTTGCAAAAGGACACGAGGACTTGGATCGTCGGTTGGGGAAGAGCAGTAATAAGTGGCATCCGCCAAGGAGCATCCCAAACGCCCCGTTTGCGCGGATCACAAGGTCAAGACAATTGGGGCCATTCCTCATACCGTGAGAAGGCGCGAACCATTCTTGCCTCCCTTGCATGCAGAGGCCGGGCCGAGGAGCCGTCGTCTAGCCGGGCTCTTGGTTAACCCTTCCCCCCCGCCTCGCCGGTCTCGTCAACGCGGCCGGCCCCCAGGCAGCCTTGGGCCCTTCACACCTAGCGAATCATGATTTCCCAGGCTCGGCTGATGGCGCCTTGCTTCGCCGTCTTGTTGTACTGGAGACCATCCTGGTCCACTCAATGTGTGTATCTGCAGCTCCGCCTCGTGGTTCATAGCTCACATTCCCGATTCAGGTTCCCCTACTGCGACACGACTCAGATGAGGGGGGTGGTCGCACGACACTTGGAGCTCGAGGCTGGTATAATGCTTCTTCGCCGACACCTGCCACTCGGCGTTGAGTCGCAACGGTCCATCGGCCCCCTCGGCCGCCGTCGGAGAGAGGGGCTTGTTCGTGAATCAAACCCTATCTTACGGACCCCAAGAGAGGATTTCCATCCTGGGCCCCGGCACATCGGCGGACCTCCCCGGCACATCGGCGGACCTCTTGACAGGGGTGGACGAGCCAGACCCGACTCCGGCCAAAGTCCGGTGCGGCAGCCTCACGAAGTTACAAGGTCGCAGTGAAATAATCACTCGGCGGAAGCATTGCGAGAGCCCACGCGGTACAGGGAGCTGGTCGAAGAAGAGACTGCCAACCGTCTGCTCGTGCCGGCAGATGTCAGGCATCGTTAACGTAGGATTGGTGCGACGCTACAAGTTGCGGCCCGGGCCTAGGGTCTCTCGGCAATTCCTCGGATCTATGTCTCCCCTCTCGGAGTGGAGTCAATCTGTCACGTGAGGTAGTTAAGCCTCAAGAAGCCACCCTTTGCTTCGGAGTCCGGAGAACGTAATTCCGCACTCGACGTATATCTTGCATATGCCATTACGACAATCTCTCTCCCCCCTTGCGATACTCACAACATCTGTTGGAACTGCCCTTTGCGTTCAGCAAATAAACAAACCTCACCACTAGCGTGAGCCGCACACAAACCGGGGACTTCCGCGCCCGCATTGAATCGCTGACTGCCGACTGCCGTCTGTCCTTCTCCAGGTGCCTACATTAAGTATTCGATTGGCATGGCAACGTATTCAGGATACTCATACACTATGGCGCACAGGATTTTGTTCAGTTTCTTGGCCCGCGTCGACAATTTACGCAGAGCCAATGTCTTCGTCGCGCGCTTCCGTCGCGGCTGCGTCCAAGTCACCTGAGCCCTCCGTGGCAAAGGTGCAGGATGACAAGACCGAGACTGCCGTCGCCGACGGAGTCTCGCCAGGCTCGGGCAAGATCTCGAAGGCTGAATCCGGAGCCAAGGATGACGCAAGCACGGCTTCTGCAGAGGAAAAAACCAAGGCAAGAGATGACCCTCCTGTGCCTGACGAGCCGACTCCTGATGGACCTCCGCTTCCCAACGAACCGGCCCCCGAGACCGAAGACGACGGCTGGGATTGCCAGTGGGAGCCCGTTTCCCAGGCGTGGTTCTTCTACAACCGCCACACCGGCGTCTCCCAGTGGGAGAACCCGCGTGTCCCTGAAGCCACTTCGGCCGGCGCAGGCTATGCCGCAGCTCCTGCCGCTGACAATTTCGCGGCGCCCGTCAACGAGAGGCCTGCTGCGGGCGGCTACAACCCTGCTGTCCACGGTGACTACGATCCCAACGCCTGGTACGCACAAGCCTATAACCAAGAGAAGGAGGAGCAGGAGGCCGCTGCTGCCGCTGCCGCTGCTTACATGGACCCCTCGGCCGCGTACGGCGAGGCAGTGGGCTTCAACCGCTTCAATGGGCAGTTCCAGGCTGCCGGTGCGGGCCCCAACCGGCACAGCGACGAGGCAAAGTCCCGCCGCCAGATGAACGCCTTTTTTGACGTCGACGCTGCCGCCAACGCCCATGACGGCCGCAGCCTCAAAGCTGAGCGCCAGAACCAGAAGCTCACCAAGTCGGAGCTTAAGGCTTACAAGGAAAAGCGCCGCGCCAAGAAGGAAGAGAAGCGTCGCGCGTGGCTCCTGGATTGATGTTGTATGTGCTCGTCTACTGCTCTTTAGTCCCTGCCCATCTTTCTTCCTTGTTTTCATGTAATGCACCGAATCAGGGTCTCGGCGGCGGCGTTTGGGAGGGCAAGGCGTGCCAAGAATTTCTGGGCCATGCATAGAGGTTCAGGCTGTTGGATTTATGTTTTCATTGTCAATACGCGACGGGTTTCTCGCGACGCAAGCTATACCCAATGACGATGGGCGTTACAGCCACCCAATAACGACTTTTCTAAATGCTAAAATCCACTTGACATGTTCACTCATCTGCCTCGTCCTCCACCTCGTCCTCGTCGTCGTCTTCCAGCTCCATATTGAGATGGACACTTACGTCGCTGTCATCATCTTCCTCGTCGACACTCTGCTGTGCCGGCTGTCGAGACGCGGCACCTGCGTCCACGCTCGTCGTGGGCTTCTCGAGTTCCTGCCGCTTGGGCGGATTGGGATCCGCACCCTCGTGTTTGCGTTTGGACTGCAGGTCTGCTGGATTGCCGTCGTGTCGTGGGATGCTCGTTCCCGTGCTGTCCAGTGCAAACGGGTTGTTCTGGACGGGCATTCCGTCTTCGATCTGTGGTATTTTGGGGAGAGTTGCAGCTTGCACCGAGCCCTTTCCGGAACCCACTCCGGTGTCGTCGTCGTTGTCATCTTCAATGGCCATTGCATCGCCAGATTCACCCCCAACCTCTTCTTCCGTCTCAACCATGGACGCGTACATTTTGCTTTCACCAAGAACGCTGCCGATGCGGAGATTGCTCCGGATGATTTCCAGACCTTGATCTTGTGGGTACTGCCGTGACATGTGCGGCAGGATGCTCGGAAACATGCGTCCCCGCTGGTCTTGATAAGGGTGGAGCACGCTGGACAGCATGCCTTGACGGCTGCGCGTCAATATCGCCGTCTTATCGAGAAGGCCGCGCAGGGTGGGCTTGAGGTGCTGCTGCGGCAGGTTGGAGAACATGACGGGCAGGAGACGGACGGCCGCGGCCTTGTGATCGGCATCGAGGCTGAACTCTTGCTCTGCAGCCGACGCCGCCGGCTGAAGGAAAAGGTCGACGTTGGCGACGCCGCCGCTCTTCTTCGAATCTTGGGCCGTCGGGCTCGGCCTGCTACTCGGCTTGAGGAAGCCTGCGTCCTGCTGCAAGTCGCGGCAACAGGCGGCAACGAGAGGTTCAAACATGGCCACCGCTGGCTTCGACATGGTTGGCCCGGCATGGGACAAGAGGCAGTCCAAGACGAGATAGCAAGTTCTGCGAACCGCGGGAATGTCCATGCCGGATCTGAAGATCCGGACGAGGTGGTCTGACAACTCAGGGGCCAGTGGCACCATGCCCTTTTCGAGCCTTCGGAGCATCACCAGCGTCAAGTCCATGGCCGCCACGTGAATGTCGGGCATCAGACTCCACAGCTCCTCCTTTTCTTCCCTGCCGATGGCGGGGTTGGTTTCCACGGCCTGGTCCCAAGTTTGGGACTTGGGTGATAGCTTCGCGATTAGGCAAACCCTAGAAATAGCGTTGACGATGGCGCCAACGGGAACGGTGACGGGGCCCTTGGTTGGGCAATGTATGTAGTCGGCTAGATGGTGGAACAGCCCGACCAGGCGTTGGGCGCCTGCGCTCAGGCCAGTCCACCGCGGCAGCTGATCCGACGAAGCAGAGCCGCCGTTGGGCTCTCCATCAGCATCAACCATTGCGCGTCCATAACCCTCGGTTGGCTGCCACGATTCATCCACGGCCCGGAAGACCTGGTCGGCCGTGGCATGCAGTTCTCTTAGGACGGAGTCCACCATCTTGGCCCATTCGTCGCTGCCGCCCGACTTCGCGGCGGTCTGATGAAGCGAGACGGTGAGTCGGCCAGCAGCACGTTGCTGAGACTGAGAGACGAATATGCTATCAGAGCTTGTTGGTGCCAGGCAGCCCCTGACAGCGGATCGAGCTTGGGAGCTGCATGGGCGGAAAGTGGTGGGATAGAGGGGGATCAAGGTCGAGAAGGCATTGCAGATGGTCTCCATGATGGCTGCGGGGACAGTTGAAGTCTGGCCGGGTGCTGCCGGTTTGATGATTTGAATGCACGCCTTGGCAAAAGCCGGGATAGTGGGAGTGGCAATCTCCCTCACCAGAGTCTGATAGGGGTGAACCAAGACGTATATCCTGGTGAGGGTTACGACGGCGAGCTCCTTGGAGGCAAGTGAATCGCCTTTCTAAATGGTTGAGTGAGCACAAGGCGCCGGAAATGTGTTTTTGTGAAGCCTACCTGAAGAATGGCCAGCAGTTCGCGCACCCAAGGCTCCGCCCCCCGGAGCGTCTCCCACCCACCGACATCCACGACGGCCTTGACCAAGCCCACAGCAGCGAACCTAGCCTCGAGGTTGCGGCCAGTCAGGAGCGCGGTGATGCTCGTCTTGAGCTTGTGGACCAGGAGCGACACCTGAGAGGCATCGTCTTTGGGCTTCTGCTCCTGGGGCGTCGACAGCACATGTCTGCAACGGGCCACGTGCCTCGTGAGAGCAGGGAGTGCGTGTGGCAGCTGGGCGGGCGGGATGGATGAGAGTTTCCGGCAGAGAACCCGGAGATCGGGCGGGAGTTGTGAGGCCATGTAGTGAGTGATCTTGTAGATGTGCTGAAAGAGCGACGATGCGCAAGTTGATGATGCCGGGGTGACGAGATGCCGAGCTTGAAATATTCTATGAAGATGATGAAGATATCCTGGCTGAGTCAAATTAGACAACAATTGCGTGGTGCTTGTCAATTAGCACTCACGGATCTAAAGGGGGCGGATCTTCTATGTTTCAATGCGAAGCAATCGCCGTCCTTTTTTCTTCGTTTTTTTATCGGGTCTATTTTCAGCCTGCAGTATTCGAATAGGTAGGTACAAGGGCTCAAGTACCTAGGTAGGTACCTTGCATCAAGTACAGAGTACAGTACGGGGTTAGGCAAGCCCGCCCCACCCCGTAGCTTCCTGTGCTGAGCCTCACTTCGAGTCGTGATTGGTTGACTTCACCTCTTCCCCCCCCCCAGCTTGCACTGCAGCTTGACCGACGAGACATTCGAGCTTGTTGCTCCTCAACGAGCGCGTCGCCGTGGCACCATACGCCTCCGAGACACGCATCCGACGCCTCTCAAGCCTGTTGCATGTGACTGCCCGATCCTGCGTACAGAGAAACCCATCGTAGCGTCTTCGGTCCGGCTCGCGATGCCTCTGGACCTGGCCCCTTGCTCGTCGACAAAGCCCCTGACCTGGACGCAAAATGATGGTACGTCTCGGCGCCTTTGCTGCATCTTGCACGCCGCCAGAAGAGCTGACCCAGCCTCTCCTCGAGCTCTAGACCAAAGGCAATCACTACCTTGAGCTGCTGGAAATTGCACGCTGTGAGGGTAACTGGGACGCTGTGCCCGAACTGGTCCGCAAGGTTCGAAAGCATGCTTCCTCGAGATCATGTACGTCACAATTCCACCGTACGCTGTCCTGTAATCCAATACTCATCCTCTCTTCTCCAGGCCTCGCCCTTGCCGCCGAGACTGAATGCGCCATCTCAAACGCGACAACCCACGGCCCCCGTCCCTCGGCCGCCGCGACGGCGCGCGATCTCGATGTCGCCAACCGGCTACCGACGCTTCAGAGTGCAATATCCGAGGAAAACGCGAACTCGGAGGACAGATTCCAGGCCCACGTCTGCGTGGGTTGGCTGCACTGGGTCGTCGGAGACTACAGCCTTGCCATCAGACAGTTGCCCAAGATGGAGGACCCAAGTACCAATCTAGATCCGGCCAATTTGGTCTCCGAGTGGACCCATGTTTGCGCCCTCAAGTCGGCCTACTTGCGGGCAAACTGCCTGATGCGCGACGGGCAAAGAATCGACGCACTCGCGGCTCTCAGGTCCGCCGCTCCGGTCCTGAATCGCGTCGAGTCTGGCAAACCAATCAAGAAACAGCTGAGATACTGGTCCGAGCTCTTTCTCACGGAATATTGCATGCTTTCGAGCGAGGCTGTCAAACAAGGCGACGTGTCTCGGCAGGACGCCTCCGTCCTTGCGCCGTATCGCTCCTGGGCGACGTACTGGGAGGTGATGCAGGCCCCTGTTACGGGGGGTTTTGGCTTCAAGGGTTCGGTCCCGCGGAGACAGGTTTGGAATGAATATTACATGGTTCTGTCGCATATCTTACAAAACGACATCCCTTACGAAGCCGGATTGGTCAAGAGAATGCCTGGCGATTCGCCGTCACGAACCCAGCTTCGCACCGAGATCAAGTATGCCGAGGCTGCATATCGATCGCTTCTCCTTGCCGAAACATCCTTTCCACGGGCCGACGAGGACAGAGAGGAGGTGGAAGAGTTTGTGCAGCAGGTGATGAAAAACTGGTCCATCTTGTGCGGCCGCGGCTGGCGCGAGGAAGACCTAGGCCAAGGGGGACGGAGCGCCACAAGTCGCGGCGTACTCGAAACCCTTTACAGCGCCGCGACTAGAACCTACCACTCAACTGCAATTCTCAGGTCCCTCTTCTGCGTCCACCTTTCTCTGGCCGAGTTTGACCTCGCATTCAAGGCCTTTGACTCTTACCTGGATATTGTAAAAAGGGGGAAAGCAAGAGTAGACAAGACCGGCGAGGCCGAACCCAGCTTGGACAGCGATAGCACAGTTCTGGAGACTATGGCTCACGCCATCATGGCCCTCTGCCGCTACGGGCGCCGGCAAGCAGGCGAGAAGGCGCGTCAACTGGGGGCCGAGTTGGAAGACTGGCTGTCTAGACTGCCGCCGATCAAGGGTCCTGAGAACGGAACCCCCTCGATAGCGGAAGATGTGGCAAAGAGCGACCCGCACCCGCCCGTCGCTCCGAACACTGTTGCACTGGCCTGGCAGGCCATTGGCCACTCGCACGCACACTGGTCGAGACTTACGAATGAAGCCGGGTCGAGGATAGAGATACAGGCCAAGGCAATCCGATGCCTCAGGAAGTCAATAGCCCCCGAATTTGGCCGCTGCAAGGACATTAGGACCTTTTTCACGCTCGCTCTGCTCTTGGCCGAGCGGAGAGAACTCACAGCTGCCATTGAGCTCACAAGATCAGCCTTGATGGCCAACAAAGACCAGGAACGAGGCAAAGTCCTCCTCAACGGCCCATACTGGCAGGAAAGGACGCTCATCCCACTATGGCACCTCTTGGCCCTCCTACTGAGCGCCAGGCAAGACTATGCCATGGCCTTTCGGGCTTGCGAGGGCGCGCTCGAGCAGTTCAAGGATCCGACGGTTTTATTTGGCAAGACAGATGCCAGCTTCCGCAGCGAACACCTCGAAGTCGCCGGTGCACCGCCCGCGGCCGAGTCCCGCCGCGGCCTGGTCGACAGCTTGGACGACTCGGAAAAGGAGAGCATCTTGGAAATCAAGATGACTCAACTTGCCTTGATTGAGCTTACTGAAGGCCCGGAAATGGCCGTCAACGCAAGCTTCGAGTTGCTGACCATGTTCACGCGACTGTTTGGCAACATCACGGCGCAGGCGATGCCGTCCGGGCCGACGCCCGCACAGCCGCCCAAAACCTCGGGGACCTTCCGTGGCATCAGAGGGAGCATCTTTGGGGCTAAAACGGATAAATCGGTGGCGTCGTCGAGGGGGCCGGGCACATCAATCATCAGCGAAAAATCGGCTGCGATGGCATCGAGGCCCTCGACTGCGCATAGCGTCGCCACCGCGAAGCCTTCCATACACGTAACGGCCGAGAATGACAGCCAGACAGTTGCGTCCAGGTCACGGCGAGACAGCTCAGCTCAAAGGCAGAGGAGCGAGTCTCGGAGAAGGAGTAGCCTGAAGAAGAGAAACCGGAGCAGCAGCCGTGCCAGGCCGGAGACTGCGGGCGCACCCGCTCATCAGGCCACCGTTGTGGATGGCGACGTGTTTTTCACGCCTGCACAGGAACCCGACCAGGTTGATCTCTTTCCTTTTTCCAACAAGCCGTCTCGGGCACGCTCGACGTCATCCAGGGGGAAGGTGGTCTCCATGAACTCGTATCTCTCAGCACCAGCTTCGAAATCTGCCGACTACACAGAGCTTGCGACTGAAATCATTCACGCCCCGTCGCACCTGCTTCCCTTGATACAGTTCCCCAAGGAGCAGGAGAGGGCGCAGCGTATGGCCATTCTGGTCAGGATCTGGCTCACCGTGGCCGGATTCTACCGTCGGGCGGACATGTTGGAAGACAGCAAGGGGGCCATTGCGGAGGCGCAGAAGCTGGTCCAGGACCTCGAGTCCCAAGACCAATCGGGAGCGAGCGGGCCCAAGTCGACTGGCTGGGCGGAGAAGAAGAGCGTCGACGACTTGTGGGGTGACGTATGGAGCGAGGTGAGTGGCCAGGACGGTCCCCCTCTTCTTGATATGCGATGGGCTGCTGACAGAATCCGCCAGCTCGGGCTCTTGGCTCTGGCCCAGAGCCAGCCTCTCGTTGCCCGCTCAGACCTCGAACAGGCCTTGACGTATTGCCCGGACCACCCGGCCGCCACCGTCTGCCTGTGCAGCATCCTCCTCGACATTTCGAGCGAGAAGCTCCTCCCCGCGCCCGTCGTGCCGCCTTTGGACCACACCGAGCAACCACCACCACAATCACAACAACACCTATCCGGCCAGCCCCAGGCCGCGCCATCAGCAGACGGCCCTCCGGGGAGGCTCCCGTCCGGCCCCCTGGGCCTCTGCCCGCGCAATGCCGAGGCCATGCCTGCCATCGGCGTCGCGGTCGACGGCGGCAGTCAGCTCACGTCGCACCCCATCGGCGACGACTCCCTCCCCGCCGCGTACAAGGCCACGCGGCTGCCGCTCGTCGACCGCCTCGCCGCCCGCGACCGAGCCTTTGCCCTGCTGACGGGCCTCACGCGCCTCGGCACGGGCTGGGACTACTCGGACGCCTGGTTCGCGCTGGCCCGCGCCTACGAGGAGAGCGGGCAGCCCGACAAGGCCAAGGAGGTGCTGTGGTGGTGCGTCGAGCTCGAGGAGGCCATGGGTGTGCGCGAATGGCGCTGCCTCGGCGGTGGCGGCTATCTCATTTAGGCGGCCTGCGTGTAAGTTGGTCTTGTGCAGTCTTTGTTGCTTTTGCCCTTGCCCACACTGTACTTTGGGCACTGTACTTTGGGCACCAGAAGTTATGTCAAATATACTCGGCGTGAGCCTCAATTCAAACAATCGACATATACAGCCTCGACTGTTCAGCGAACTCGAATGTAACCAAAATCCATCCAAACCAACTCCGGGGTATATCCAAAGCATGCAAGATAAACACAACCAAACAAAAAGAAAAACAAAGGAAATCCAGAATCCTCCAGTTCGGTCCCCGCGGCCCCCCTCCTGCATCCTGGGCAAAGCCCCCTTGCCCAACAGCCCCGAGTCCCCGAGCCAGGCTACTCCAGGGAGAGCAAGGCAGGGTCGATGGTCTCGACCGGCTCAGAGGCCATGGCTCGCCTCCTGTAGGCGAGCATGCCGGGGTGAATGTCCTCCGGCAGGTCCTCGTCTTTGTCGGCCCATATCCCCACCCACGGGTTCTCGACAAGGTCCCAGTACCGGGGCTCCACCGGGCCCGGGTCCTCCAAGGCATCCGGGGCAGGCGGGTGTCCTTGTTGTTGTTGTTGTTGTTGCTGTTGTTGATGTTGCTCCTGTTGGCGCTTGGACTCGATGAGCCAGCGCTCAAGGTTGAGCGGGCTGTCGGACCCGGCCCAGGCCTTAGCCGTGCAACCCCACATGTGGGGGCCGGCCCCTGGGATGTCCTGGGCCAGACGTTGCAGGGCCGAGCAGAGTCTCTGGATGTTGTCCTGAGACTCTCTGCGGGCCGGCTGCATGTGAGGCTCGATCTCACCCGAGCTGCTGCACATGGTGAGCAGCAGCATGTCTGTGCCGGCGGGGACCTGCCCCGCCTCGGCGGCCCGGATCACGTCGGCCATCAGTTTGCTTTCGAAGGGCCATGGAAACCCCTCGAGCTTCTCTTCCGGCAGGCCGAGTGCCTGGCACGACTCCACGCCCCGCATGCCCAGTTCCTCGCACCACCAACGGATGTTGGCGAGCATGTTGCTCTCGGCCAACTGGCTCAAGGGGCCGACGAGGTAGTCGATGACGCCGCGGGCTTCGCCTGCAAAAGACATTGCTGCGGCGCGAGGTGGTGACTGTAGGCGGGAGTGTCAGCGCTCGTCTTGGACAAGGGGGGTGGACGGAGATGGTTTGTGTTGAAATGGGAGACGGAGGGATTGGTGGGTATCGTGGAGGGAGAGGCGAGGGTTGGGGAGGGCTGGGGAGGTGACTGTAGAGAGCTGGAGGACTGACGGGGGCGTGGAGTTGTATGGTGATGGAGGCGGCAAGAGGGGCATGGGATGATGATATGGACGAAGAATGGATATAGAGAATGTATGTAGAGAATGTATGTAGAGAATGGATGAAGAGAATGGATGAAGAGAGAGTCAACTTACTGGAAGACTAGTGTTTAAGGGGCTGAGCACAAGACAGTCGCAATGGACCGTCGGACGACAAGCAAGAAGAGAGGCGTGGCAGGTGATGTCGAAGCCGGCAGGTAAGTAAGGTGCGAGCGAGAGGCGAGTGGCAGGCAGGCTGTAGAGTCGTAGATGGAGAGTGGTCGGTTGAGAGAAGACCAAGGCCGGATGATCAGTGACAGAGTGTGTGGTGCCTGAGCTGAAGAAGATTTGACCAAAGCTGGAAGCTGAGAAGCGAAGACTGGCTGTATGATCTCGTGCTTGCAGATGGGAAATTCTGGACGGAAAAGAGAGGGCATTGGCAGGAGGCACCACGGACTATATAGGATTCCCCAAAGCCGTTGAAGCGATGCAATCACTCACAGCAAAGGCACCAAGCGCACAAGTTTTCAAGTAAGTTTCCCACCGTCGTAACCCCGTGGGCCCCTCTCTACAGGAAACGAGGAAAAGAAACTCGCGAGCCCATTGTCAAAGGCGCCCCGTGATGGTCCCTCCCCTCCCACCACCACAAACGCGTCCCCCCAGGAAGGCACTTTACGTCTTCAAAAAGGATAACGAGACGCGTCGGAGCCTCTGGGCCAGGTACCCCGGAGGTAGCCTCTGGCCGTGCGGCGCGCGAGGGAGCTACGCGCGAGGGTACGCGCCAAAGCTTGCCGCGCCCCAAGGTTGGAGACTACGAGGAACGAACTCTCTCCGTGTGACTCCTTTCTTCCCCTCGCTTTCTTCTGGGCCCGGGCTGGCGGGCGGGACGGGACGGCTGCCTGGGTTGACGCTTTTCCTAGCCCGAGGCCTATGTGCAGATGCAGCTCGAGGACCGAACCATCAGCCAGAGTCTAGGGCTGCCTGCAATGGAGGCAACGCATACGGCCGTTCCTTGACTGTCTCGGGGCAGGGGCTCTCGGGGCTCGGGGGCTATTCCTCGCGGCGCCAAATTCAAAGGAATCGGGGCAGGGACGGGAAAAGGGAGGTCGAGACTCGGGTACATGCAGCTGGGGAAGGAGCACAAGGTTGAGCTCCCGAGCCGCATTCCTGTTTCCCGAAAAAGCTTCTCGTTTCCAAGGTACAGTACTATTGGGCAAGTACAAGTACACGGGACAGGGGGCCTCGATCCCGACGGACCCTGCAGCAGGCAGTGAAGCAGGCGGTGAAGCAGGCAGTGAAGCAGGCAGTGAAGCAGGCAGTGACTCGCGAGACTCTGGCAGACAAACCGCCCAACTTAGGTACAGTACCCGTCTAATTAGCTAGCTCAAAGCTTCCATCCCCACGTCTTTCCTTTATCGGAAGTCGTCGGCCCTCTGGTTGGCTTCTCCCCGCATAAGCCCGGCGCCATCGTGGCTTACACTGGCTTTGCGCCTCCAGCTTCCCCCTACCGGCAATCATCACAGCCAAAGACAGCACCACGTCGTGTTTCTCCTCTCCCAATCAGTAATCTGCCACGCATGGCGAGCTGGTATATTGTCCTCTTTTTATTCTTATTCTTCCACTTCAACCCCCCTCCCCCCTTCTCCCCAACCCGCGCACCAAATCGCTCGGCTTGCTCCCCAAGCTTGCCTCTATCCATCACACACGCTCCTCCTCCCACCTGCCAAGCACTCCAGCTCCATCCCTCCCACGCCAGATACATCGAACCCCTCCATCGCATCCAGCCCTAGTGCCTGTTCTTCAAAAGGCCCTGCAGATACGTCGAAAACCCCCGCTTGTCCGTGGACGTTGTCAGTGACAACAGGAACTCGCCTCCGTCAATGCCCAGGCTTGGAAACAGGTTGTTCTGCAGCTCCCGTATGAACATGTCTCCCGTCTTGCTGTAGATGGTCTGCTCCAGGCTGGCAATCTCCGTCAGCACCTGCCTCGTCTGCGCGTCTTGCGATGGTCGGAAGCTCGGGTTCCGCATCACATCCCAGCACACGCCGTGGAACCGCTCAATCATGAAGTGGTCGAATCCGGGAATCGCCGGGCTGGCGCTCCCGCTCGGCGCGCTCGGGTTCGGCGCAATCGTCGCCACGTCGGGCCCTCCCCAGATGGCAGAGATGCGTGCCATGAGCGTAAAGGCAAGACGGCTCGGCCCAATGTTCCCATCCAGCATCTTGGCCAGCTCCGTCACCGACGAGATCATCGGCTCAAAGAAGCCCTGGTTCGCCTCGCTTATGAGAACGCCGTCGAGCCCGTTGTTGAGGATGATCTGCAGAAACGAGAGGTACTCCCGTCGCAGCTCCGCCAACTGGATCTCGTCGTCTGTCCCGGCAATGGGCTCGCTGAGGCCCCCGAAGATGCGCTGCAGCAGCGGCGTCAGGAGTATGTTGAGCACGTCGTAGATCTCGCCCTTGAAGCCAAAGACGACCTGGTCGAGCAGGCGCAGGAACATGGCCATTTCATCCTTGGACGAGCTCTGGGACAGCAGCCCTTCGATCCACTGTGGAAGCTGGGGAAGTACGGCCGAGCCAAGGACCCCCAGCAGCTTGGAAAAGGAGGAGCGACAGGCCGTCCGTATCTCCGACGACGAGTTGAGCTGGTTCAGGGCAATCAGGATGGCCTCTGCGGCGCGGGAGAACTCGTCCGACACGGCCTTGTGCGGCGGTGGGTGGTGGCCAGAGGCAGAGCCCGGTGACCAGTCGGAGAAGCCATGCGACAGGGTCCCCAAGGCCATGACAATGTGGTGAATCTGCAGCACGGCCTGGGTGTCGCCGGACTTGGCCCGGGGGAGGTGCGCTTCCATGTCCTGGAAGAGGGGGTCCATGACGGAGCGAGCGTAAATGGCCTGCTTCTCGGGCGGCGTGCTCTGCGTCGAAGAAATGCACCCAATGGCCTCGAAGAGATACAGCTGGCTCGTAAATAGGGCATCGGCCGAGTGGTCCGACTCATCCGAAGACATGTCGTCGTCGGCATCCTCGCCAGGCACCTCGGCCTTGATGGGCAGCAAGTCTCCAATCGACTGTATCACCGTCTCGGCGACGTTGCCCACCCGAGTCCGCAGCTGCTTGATGAAGCGGTGGAAGAGGTACCACGATCGAGTCTTGATGCGAACGTGATCATGATGCACCAAGCGCACAAAGTTCTCCAAGACTTGGGGGATGTAGTCCGAATAGGTCTCGAAGATGACACAGTATCGCACGCAAATCTCCATGTACTGGAGCAGGATCGCGGGATGGGAAAAGTTGGCAATGCCTAGTCGCAAGTGTTAGCAGTCTCCGAGGCCAAGACGCCGCACGTCTCTTGGACTCACCCGATCCAACCATCTTCTGCATCATGACAACCAGCCTCTCGGACGCTTCGCTCGACGGCTGGTTCTTGGTACCAAGTCCGTGATTCGGCAGCGCAAGTTCGCCAAACAGATACATCTCGTGCAGCGCGAGGTCCAGGTCCCGCCAATCCATCTCCGACCCCCTCTGGTCCAACGTCTGAAACGTCGTGGCCACCAGGTTGCTGAGCATGTCCATGTACAGAGGCTGGTCTATGGCAGCAATGGTCTTTTGCAGATTCTGCAGCTTCCTCCTCAGCTCCTGGAACTCGGCCTCGTCCGTCTGCTCGTCCTCGTTGCCCCACGTCGACGTGTCGTCGTACCGCATCTTCCGGACAATGGCGTCGAGAATCGGGGCAAGCGTGGCTGCGTAGTCCTGAGGCGGGTGGCCGAGCTTCCGCAGAAAGGTGAGAAGGTCGGTGAGGGCCGGTATCACGGTCGAGCAGACCTCGTCGTAGTCGTCGGAGAAGAATCGCAGGAGAAAGGGGAGAAAGTCGTTGAGGTGCTGCTTGGCTCTGGCGCGGGTTTCTTCGCCACCCTGGCTATCATCGAGGGCCCTGACAACGTCCGACATGACGGTATTAACGAGCTTCGCAACGGCCTCGGCCAAGTCGGTATCATAGTCTGCCGTGCCCTTGAGCTCGCTCAGAGCCCGGCTGGCAATGAGCTGCGCCACAATCTCCCGCAGGTTGAGAAAAGTTATCATTTCCATCTTGTCCGCCGACCTCATCTTCTTGCCGCATATCTCCGTCAAGGTGTCGATGGCCGTGTCGCGGACCTTGTCCTCGCCGCCCTGCCTGTTGCGAGCCATCATGGGCAGCAGCAGGCCGAGCATGTCGGAGCTGACGACGAGGGAGATGTCCATCCAGCTGACCCATTTGCCAACGACCTTCAAGACCAACTCGACGACGGTATCGTTGTCTGCGTATTTGGCAAGCAGCAGTTTCCAAGACTCGGCCACCTTGTGCATGTCTTGAGCACGGAGCCGGTCCTTGAGCTCGGTGTTGCGCTTGGCGTCGTTGCTGTCCCGGGCCAAGAGCATGTCGGCGATTTCGTCGTGAATCGACGATAGAATTCGGAGATAGAGGAGGACGCCGGCGGCGCTTCCAGAATCGCTTGGCATGCCGGTGAGCTCCCAAAAGTCGTCGATGAAGCTCTGCCAACCATCTTGGTAGAGGAAGACGAAGAGGTAGGTCAAAGTTTGGGTAAGCTTATTCTGGAGCGACACGGAATCCGGCTCTTGCTGGGCGCCGGGGCCGTAGCCCTGGCGCACGTATTGCAGTATGGTGTATTTGAGCAAGGACAGGCTCTCGCCGTCGAGGCCCTGGGTATGGACAGCGTAGTTGACCATATCGAGACACACCATGCGAACCACCTCGGACGTTCGCGGGGTTTGGGCGAATAGGTTGGTGCATACTTGCCAGCCTTGCGGGTTGGAGCGCAGCTGGTTCAGAAACTCAAAGGCCTGCTCCTTGAGGGCCTGGTCCGCGGTGGGATTTGACAGGATTTCGACGGCATTCGCAACCTGTTTAAAGAAGGGAAATCCCTCGACGTTAGCACCAGGATCCTGGAAAGAATCGCAGCGAGAGGAGACGAGATGAAAACGGCGGGGCACGACCTACCTGAGCTTCCATCCTCAAGGGAGCGGTGGCACGAGAGCCAAGCGCAGAGGAAAAGGTGGTATGTCGACAACGAAGCGAAAGCCGCTACAAGTCTTGCAGCCTTGAGCGCGCAGCATCCAGCATACTAGCTGTTGGGGTTGGGCGACGATGACGAGGCTACCGTGGAGTCATGCCTGGCCGAGGGGCAGGCAGGCAGGCGTCGAGGGTTGGGCCAGGGCGAGGCGGGGCAGAAGCCAGCGGCAAAGTCAAGCTCGAAGTGTGCCGCTCAAAGGCGCGCCGGGTTCGGAGACGGAGAGATGACGCTTGGTAGCCGTTTCACAAGGGATTAAGCCGTCTGCCTTTTTTTTTTCCAATCTTGTGTTGCGTCTTTATCTCCCTCCAGTTGTCGGCGCAAGTTCTCGCGTGCCGATGTGGGGTGCCCTGTTGTCAGCAAGGCGGCCAAAGTGGCAGGTTGCAGGCAAAAAAAAAACACCCCTTACCTAAGGTGGGTCAGAGGTACATGCTTCCAGGCCATTCGAATGCGCCGTGCTCATGTACCCTCGGTTTCTGTAGCACCGTCAGACGGCAAAAATGTACAAAGAACAAGGTCACTGCGGTGCGTGGGCGGGAAATTTTCGGGCCAGGACGTCTGTCAATCATCACCAGAGTCCGCCACAAAGATACCCGGCACCACTTTCATGGACGCAGATGCTGCAAAAAGAAGCGATGAGGGAAGGCTTCAAAAAGGAGAAGAGGGTCAAGTTCAGGCCTGCAATATATCTGTGATGCATATTGCTATGCTAAGTAGATAAGGTTAGTAACTTGGGCAGGGACGGACGACTCGATACAGAGTTGCTCGGCATCACGTTTGTGCAACTTGAGCATCAATGACGAGTCTCTGGTATGAAGTAGCTTGCGTGACCCTAAAGGCGCAACAGCATCAAGGACTGCACTGGGGGAAACAAGACACCAAGACAACAGACGCAAACATAAGCAGAAACAGCAGGAGAAGGGAGAGGAGTTGGTGGAAGGGGAAAGTCAACCGATGAACGCATGCCCAGAGACGCATCTGGGCTTGACGCCCGGCTTGGGCGAGTCATGATCTTTGTTGAGGATGAAGCCAAGAAGTCATTGGGCGAAGCAAGTTGGGAGAGCTGCGAAACATGGGCATGCTCGGCTGGCTCCATGACGAGATGGCTACTCAGACCAGGTCGACTTTGCGATCGGGAAAGAATTCTGGCCATCGAAAAGCTCAACAGACAGGAAACGGAGTAAGTAGAACAATGGCTCCAGGGGGATGCTGCTAGATTCTGCCCCCCAGTGTTGGCTCTCGTCATGACGTAATTGGAAGCCATCTTGTCGTTTCTCGTTGCCATTGCATTTGTCAGTAAGCATGTGAGCCTCTGCAGCGTGGATTGCTGGATGTAAGCCGCTTTGCATGCATGGGTTGCCGGTGGCTACAGATGGGATGAAGTTTGCTTGGGCCTTCTCTGGCGGACTGCACTGGCAGCCAGCTGCTTCTGCTTGCTGGACTAAGTTATCCTATTGACAACGAGGAGAAGACGGGAGCTGGTGGAGCCTGAGCTCACAGCGGATTCGCGCTGACGTGTGGGCGGCGATCGCATGCCAAGACCCAATAGTCTGTCGGGAAGCCCTGCGCATCGTGTGCCTCTGGGTTTAAGCTTGTCCTGCGTGTTTCATGTTTCACAAGCTTGTGGTCTCGCAGGGCGACGTCATCCGGCTCATGGTGCGACGCTAGCGAGCCAAAAGCTGGACCTCGGGTGGGTGGCAAAAGGAAGACGAGAGGATGGGATGAGTCTGACTCGCCGTCGATCTGTTGGTGATGCGCGGGGGAGGTTCGAGATGGTAAGCCGCTAGAAAGCACTATTGGATGGACAGTGCGCGCCTAGTCAGCATTGCAAGGAAGCTCTCCGGTTCCCTGGTTGTCCAATCGGACAAGTCTGTACAATAGCCTGATTTCCTCCCTCTCGAAACCACCATTTGACAAAGGCAAGCAAGCTCCCCGAACAACTACAACGGCTGCCAGGCCCTCCTTGCCTGTTTCCAACTTTCCAGCGGGCCAACCCCCAACCCCCATGCTTCCAAGACTTGGCGCGATACAGATTCATAGACAGGCATCGACATGCAGACACGTGCATTGTGAGCATGTGCGGAATACCTGCAGCATGTGTGTCTGTATTTATATATTCGTACAACTCGTTTGTTGTTGGGCTTGCCGCGTTTGAGGTGACACACCGACCAGGCAGTGGTCCCGATGTGCCCGGCGCTGCTGCTCTGTGCGGCGCGAATTGGCCTAAAGACACAACAAATCAGTAATAGACTTGGGGGCAGCAAGAGGATTAGATGCTCTCCTCAGCAGCCTACTGCAAGCGGGCATGTCTCTGTCTCGCAAGAGCAGATTGGAAGATTGCCAGCGGCAAGGAAATAGTTACTGGTCGGCGGTACCGGGACCAAGTAAGGTACCAAGTAAGGAGGGGTGGAAGCAGCTGGCCAGGGCTGGCCAGGGCGTGCCAGGGCGTCGAGAAAAAGCTTGTCTCCGCTTGGCTGGCGGTCAGAAGGGAGGGATGAAGATCTGTACCTGCATTAGCGCCGTTGGGCGGTAGGACCGCGACGTTTCATCCCTGAGTGTTTATTTGTATTCGCACTCGAGTCTTATCTCGGCGTCGACTGAACTGTGCACGCAGTAGCCCAACTCTACACTTTTGTTCATGGCCAGCCAGCAAGCCGCTTGCTTTGTTCCAGATGTGGACGATGCACCATCCAGCCTAAATAAACGCCCAAAAAAGATGGGACGCAAGGGTCTCCTGTGCATACCCGGCCAGGCCTCGCATTAGCACGCACACACGTATGTACTGTACATCAGATTGTTTCTCGTCCAATCTGTTGCTTGTGCCCACGTCGCCAATTTCGATTGTTTAGATTCCCCAAATAGCTTCATCTGGTGGCAGCTCCGATTATATACACTCAAGATTACACCGTATCCGGAGCGGCCGCTCTTCGGGCCAGAGAAGTAAAAAGAGAGTGTCCATCCAAGTCGACCTCTGGCGGTGCCCGAGAGCTGCCACAGCATTGTTATCCGGTTCGTCAGGCAACCCTAGGGGAACAGAGCCGGGAAGCCAAAGTGCAGCTGTGGTGCCACGACAGGGGCCGCGATATTGTCTGCGAGGAAACAAGAAAAAGCAATTAACCAGCCACTGCTGGTGAAAGAGAAACGGCCGATCATGACCCCCTGAAGGCCTCTGACGCATGCATGTCTGGGGGCGTAACTCAGCCACGCAAGGCAGGCACTGGGGAATAGGGGGACTGTCAGCAAGCACTCCGTGCGTGCAAGGGTTCAGACGGTACTCCGTACTCCGTACAAACCCCCTTTTATTAGCGGCTCTCCAGTTGGCCGTCTGGCCCCTCTGGCCCCCACAAGGCACGAATGACCTCTGAGCCAACCATTGCTCACGAGAAAGCAAGCGTCGTTGATGCCACTTTTGGCCGTAGGCCGGAGATGAGGGCGGTGAGCTGAGGTAGCGACACACCGCTGCCATTGGCGAGCCTCCAGTGTGCTCATGGCTTCCAGTGCCGCTTGGTATTACCGCCTAGGTAGCTGGGGAAGTTCAGTTCGTGCCTACTGTACAGCGCACATAAGTACACTGTGCAGCGCGTCCAGCATTTGGTAGCGGCAGGCGGGCGGGTGGGGACCGTTGATCAACCGGAGCCGAGGTGGCAACTGGACTGGTGGATACGGATATACCGATCAACACCGCCGAGCTTCACCTTGCTGCAAGTACCGTACAGCATATTTGCTTCGCCGACGCACACACACACAACACCATGGAGAACGGGCCGGGGCAAGGGGTCCGTCCAACCATCCAAACCGACCAAATCTCCACTCCAAGGCCCCTGGTATGGCGCGTCAAGCCGCCTGCCGCGTAATTTCCTCGACGCTCTCTGTATCTTCGCCTTGGTATTAATATCCCCTCCTTCAGCCCGCTCAGGCAGGCCAGTTGAGTTCCTCCTCCTTGTCCTCTGTGTTCATTCAGCAACATCCCCAAGTCATTTCTCCAAAACGTCTCCTTGACTTCGGTCGTCCATTCATTCAACTCTTCTTAAACACCAGCCCTCACGCCTCGCTCCTCCTTTCGTTAATATTAATTACCCATTCCACATCTTCCAAGATGCGTTTCACTTCAATGGCGGTCATGGCCGGCTCGGCCCTGGCTTTTGATGCCGCCTATCCCCCTCCCAACAACTACGCCGCCCCTGCCGGGGCCATGACCAGCGTCGCCGCCAACCCTCAGCCCGAGTCCCCCTCGACCGTCTACTCCACCAAGGTCCATACCATCATTTCTTGCGGACCTGAGGTTGTCAACTGCCCGGCTCACAGCACCGTCGTCTCCACCGAGATGCTCCCAGCCAACACCGCCGTTTCTCCTGGTGCTGCGGGCCCCGGTCAACCCGCCTACCCTCAGCCGGCTCCCCAGGCTTCTCAGCCCGCTGCCTACCTCCAGCCTGCCCCCGAAGCTTCGCAGCCTGCTCCTGAGGCGCCCCAGCAGCCCGCCCCCGAATCCCCTGGGCAGTCCGCCTACCCTCAGCCTGCCCCCGAGGCTTCTCAGCCCACTGGCTACCCCCAGCCTGCTCCTGAGGCTTCTCGGCCCGCTGGCGGCCTCCCCAATCCCGTCCCCGGTGCTGCCATGCCCACCGGTGCCGGTTCTGGTGCCGTTCCTACTGCCGGTGCTGTCTGCCCTGCCAGCTCCGTCACCGCCATCACCAAGACATACACCACCGTCCTGACGTCGGTCGAGTACTCCACCATCCAGACCGAGGGTCCTTGCGCGGCTGCGACCCAGGTTCCTCAAGTCCCCCAGGGGCCTAATGGTCCTCAAGCTCCCCAGGGCCCCAACGGTCCTCAGGGACCCGTCGGCACTGGTGTCCCCGTGGCCCCTCCCGCTGCCTACCCCCCCAGTGCGAACACTCCTCCCATGGGCAACAGCACGTAAGTATTATCCCGGATGTGTACATGTCTTCCGATTCACTGACGAGAATGAATGCTGTACAGTACGCCCCCCCCTGTCACCGCTGGCGCTGCTTCCATGGCTGGCTCTGCCCTGTTCGCCATTGCCGCTGGTGTTGCTGCTTTCGCCTTAGCCTAAATATTTTCTTTTGGCCACTTGGTTTGAGCCCACATGCGGATCATGGCAAAAACATATTTAGCGCACATGAATTCGACTTGAGGGATCCATTTTGCATGTACAAAATTGAAGGTCAGATCTGAATATCAGCATTATTGGAGGATCATGGAGGGGCATTGCGGAAAAGCTGCCGACTCTTTTCTTCGAACAAGCATCTTTGGTCGCAAGCCATTTGTGAATTAGTGTAATGGTGAGGGACGAGGCTTGACGCTTGGCCACATTTAGCTTGGGACTTTTTCTCGTGTCTCTTTTCCCGTTTGGCAGTGAGACTTGAATTCAATGTGTCAGACCATCACCTCGTACCAAGTGAGATCCTACAGTACAAGATGTCGGCCTTTTGAGCTCATGAGTGTTCCCTTGTTGCGCCTATCGTGCGTTCAAGGAAGTTGGACAGTGCAGATACTGTAGATTTTGCCTGCACTCCAGTCAGGGATCTCCTGGCCGCGAGCTTGCCGGGTTACTTAGTGCGGCACAGCCCGCAGGGATCGACCGCCAGTAGGGATCTGGTGTCTGGACTGGGGTAGACATGCCCCTGATTAACCTCGCCTCTCCAGTCGTGTACATACATGGACTCGAGCCAGGAGTACTGTACTTTGGTGCTTGGCGGGTATAATGCAGCATAAACGGGTGTTATGCTCTCTCACCAGATGCCGCATTGTGAGATGCACATGAGACATGAGCCGAACGAGTTGCGACCTAATTACTCCGTACCGTGCTTGTCCTGCCTGATGCGCCGGTCCACTTGAGGAGCTATATCGGCCGGCGCACGAGGCGAGGTGGTTAGAACTCGGGAACTCGGGAATGGAGGTGCGCACGGCCGTTGATGTATCGATGCCCGGTGAGCGCTCAATTCCGGATGCTGCGTCCTTGGTGGTATCGAGAAAGCAGTCACTCTGGGGCGACGGTCGAAACGAGTGTGCTTCCCCATGATGGGCGGTTTGAGGACGAGCAAAAGATGGCTGCAAGGTGAGAGACCTCGAGCAGGTACAAAATACCTGGACGGGTAAGCGTGAGCGGTTCAGACGAGAGAGGCAAGAGCCCAGCCCAGGCCCGACACCTTAGTCCTTACATACTCCTGGCCTGACCTGCGTACGGAGTATCGAGAGCAGGTTTTTCTCCAAACGCAAACCCTGGGGCGCTTGGTCCCACGAGATGCACCGGCGCATCAACAACTAATCAACAACACCTTGCTGGGCCACCGGACTTTGCCGCTGCCGCAACGAGGTGTGCTGTGCGAGTCGTCGTGCAAGAGTCGCCGTGCAAGAGTCGTCGTCCCCGAGAAGAAACAAAGCTTCAGCTCGAGCACACGCTGTCGCTCGATTTCTCATCGCTCGTGCCCGTGTCGCCGCCCAGCCCATGGATGAGGTCTCGATGCCCGCCCCGTGGCTGTTTCCGTCCGTGGCTGCTTCTCGGCGCCGGCAAGAGCCATGCTTTTATAGCACTTGTCGGACAAACGGGCGGGACCAGTCAGAAGACGAGCAAGACCGGAGAAGAAGGCACCTCGATGCGCCGACAAGTGTCAAGTCAAGTGCCGCGCACGACGATAGAGTTTCCTTGCCGAGACGGCTTCTCGTTCGGCTTGGAGCTGTTGGATCCTCCACCATGTCGACGCCGGGTTCAGCTGAAGCTCGCCAACCGAAGGATCCTGTTCTGACGCAGGCTTGTGCAATGTTGCCGTCATGAAATGGGTGTGCCGTGTGAGCCATCGTCTCAACCACAAAATAAGAAAACCTGCGCCCGGCATGACACAGACAAGCCGTCTTGGCAAGCGACAGTGCAGTGCAACTACGTGCGAGCCCAGGTCCATGCGCAACAAGCCTCGATGCACCTTATCTAGGCCATCAAGCCTCATGTCAGCCCGTCGTCAAAGAGCGCCAGGATGGATTCGGGACGCCGCCAAGAGCATTCGAGCCCGAGTGTGGGGCCCTCGCCCTTTCGCCCTTTCGCATCCTCGCGGTCTCGCCGCCCACGCTGCTACGCTACTGCACAACCAACACCCGCCACAGTGAGCCGCCGAGCAAAGAGAGGCGCTGCATTGGTTACCATTGAGCCTCAGGGACCAACAGCTGTCGCTTTCGCCCTTGCTCCTCCGCGACCAGGCGGCAGTCCCGGGCCCGAGGCAACCAAGACGAGCCATGTCCCGCCTCCTCGGGCATGGCCCTCTCGCCGCCGGGAGGAGCGAGAATGTGCCGGGCTTCTGTTCACCCAACAGAGACGCTGTTCCTGGCATGTGTATTTGAACACGATCCGGCCCGCCGGATGTATGCGTCTTTGTTCCCAGCGCTGCCATCGACACTCACCTTCGCACTTGTCTATATATTCTGGTCAATCTGCCTGTTACGCTTGTCTTCGGCATTCAACTCCCGACGCCGCCGCTTCCCAGCCCAGGATATACTGGAGTCTCACAAATCGCCCATCTTGCTCTCTTCCATTGCCTCGCCTGAAGCCCCCGTCTAGTCTTAGCCTGAGGGCGACCATTCATCATGTCTTCGGGCGAGCTCCCCCCGGGCCTCAAGACCTTCGGGCCCAGCGCCAACTGCACCCTGGACATTTGCCCTGCCGAATGGAGCATCTACGGCTACCAGCCCTCGCTGGGCGCCAACGCCACCTTCCTCGTCATGTTTGCCATCCTTGGCCTCGTTCATACCTACCTCGGCGTCCGGTGGAGGAGCTGGGGCTTCATGTCGGGCATGATTGTCGGCTGCCTTTGCGAAATCATCGGCTACGCAGGCCGCATCATCCTCTTCAACAACCCTTTTTCGTTTGGTGGCTTCATGGTCCAAATCAGTGAGCATTTCCCGCCTTGTCCACTCAGCGCCTCGCCCTTTACTGACCATTTCGTGCCCTAGTTACCCTGGCCATCGCCCCCGTCTTCTACACGGCCGCCATCTACGTAACCTTGTCCAAGGCAATCGTCTTCTTCGCGCCGGACCTGTCGCGATTCAAGCCACAGCTCTTCATCTGGATCTTCATCCCTTTCGACGTCGTCTGCCTCATCCTCCAGGCCGTCGGAGGAGCCATGTCAACGCGATCGGGCGGCCAGGATCAGGCGGGTGTCAACATCTCCATGGCCGGCCTGGCGCTGCAGGTCATCATCCTGACGGCCTTTGTCGCCTGCTTTGGGGACTACATGTTCCGCTACTGGCGCTCGGGCCGCTACGTGGGCTTCGGCTGGCGCATCAAAGGCTTCTTCCTCGGACTGACGTCGTCGATCCTTCTGATCCTGGCCCGTTGCGCCTACCGTGTTGCCGAGCTGCGCGACGGTTACCATGGAGAGCTGATCAAAGAGGAGGTTCCCTTCGTCATCCTCGAGGGCGTCTTGATTGTACTGGCATGTCTGGCGCTGTGCTTCGGGCATCCCGGCCTGGTGTTTGGCCAGAGTGCGCCGCCCAAGGGATCCGACGATGGCGAGAGCGGCACGGCCACTCCTGAGCGCAAGTAGGGTGCAGGCCTTGGTCGAATCCTTGCGCTTATACCTGAAGCCGGGCCGGGCTTACCCAAGGGCAGCCAAAGACGATGGCCCTGGGGAGGAGGAGACGCGCTTGCGTCGGATCGCCCACTCACTATATGGCGCAAGGTGTCTGACTACAGTAGTCGGTCACCTTGCATTTCTCTCTTTCATCTTGGTCTTTTTTCCCCCATGTCTCTCGCGTAATACCCCTTCTTTTCTGAAGAAGTGTCCTTCGCAGTAACGGGTTACGGATGCATGCACATATATGATGATTTCGTTCAGAGAAGGATAGGTGGAGCGGATTTTGATGAATTGGGTTGACGATACCCTGGCAATGATCTTGTTTGCATGTTTCCTGCCATTGTTTTGGAAGAAATTATACCAGCATAGCCTATCGAAGAGTTTCCTCGCGACTGATAAACATAGCTGGTCGCTATAGGAAATGGTTGACAACTTGAGCAGCCGGAATGCAGTCTTAGTTGTCGCGTACAGTGACTAGACGCTCAACTGTAATATACCTGATTGGGTACACGCGGCAGAAGCGCATAACAAACACTTTGTGAAGTAGAGGGCTCGTCCTTGCAATCGTTTATGGGTTTAAATAGTAGAATGTGGACCTTTTGCTGCTGGACGCCATACTGGAAACCGAGCATTTTAAGAGGGCCTGGCGGACAGGAGTTTGCCATTCAATGGACCCGCGCAGCACAACGCAATCATCATCGCCGTCATCCAGCTCCCTTCAAAGGTAATCAGTTACATCAGTGCATGGTTGGGACAACGAGAGACAGTGAGCGACTTGGAGAAGAACTACGGGCATGCGAGAATGGACAGCAGCTTACCAGGCTGATGGAGGCTATCCAGTAAAGCCCAGAACACGGCCGCAACCAACTGGCCGATTTGGGAGACAAGATGTCGACTGTACACGGGTTCATCACCCAGGCTAAGATGACCTCGACCGTTTACACAGCCGCCAAAGTATTCGATAAGATAAGGATGCTTACAAGGCGGTTCCAGACTGGCTCAGTCCCATAAACTACTCTTCTCCGCGTAGTGACTTGTTCGACCGGAGACAGCCTGGCACTGGTCAGTGGTTTTTAGATTCCAAGCGGTCAAGGAATAGCCCCCGATATTTCTGGACATCTCGAGGACTCTTCCGTCTGTGGCATCAACGTTTTCAAGAACTTTCACCGTTGTCGACGCGTCGGACGAGTGTCGCACATTCGACGGGAACCGCAACTTATCCGTCTCAGAGCTGTGTAAGCTTCAACCAAAATATGGAGTTGACCTATTGGTGACTTCAAGAGCTGGAATGGAGATTCCAGAGCTGTTTCGGGAAGCAACGATACTGGGATCTCTCCGCCAAGGACGAAGATGTACGGGAATATCTCGACAACAAAAGACGAGCTGAGACAAACCCCACTACCGTCTGCTGCCGGAACTGCCTCGAACCCATGGCTTCGGGGCTCCGTGGCTGACCTGCTCTTTCATGGTGGTAGCCTTGGTAACGGAAAGGTGGTGATGATGGCACGCGGACGAATGATGCAATATACGAGTAGAAAATCCCTCTTACTAGAAGCTTTGAAGGCATAGGGGTCAGGACGAGGGTGACAACTGAGTCCTGACAAGTCATAAAGGAGCATTCGAGTCGTCACGTGAAAGTGATGAGTGGGGGTCAATTATATCGGGGGGAATCAAATATAGATGTCGGCCCCAAGCTCAACTTCTCACGACGAATCCCTAAGAGGCCAAGCGGGGTAAAAAGCCACGGCCGGTCCAGGAGCAGGCAAAGGGCAAGAACGGCCGTCTTTATTTCACCCTGCCTGTTCCCTTCAAGGGCCTTGGCGGCATCGTTCGGGCATTATAGATTATAGCTACCAAGAAGTCTCACGCTAAACAGTACACAAACTAGTCGCTCTCGTTGCGGGTGACTAAAAAAGCACGGTGATGCTCGACTTTTATGTTAGGATTCACGGCAGCTCCAGAATTCTGCACCGACTTCCAGATCGATGCAAGTAGAAGGTAGTCTGTGGAGCAGCCTTAGGCCTTAAAGGGATAGGACACGAGCAGCATCTCAGGGTAGCAGTTGCCGCCTCGTCCTGCATCGCAGCCCGGCTTCTTCCCCCTCCTTTACCCCCTCTTTCCCCCCTCCCATGTCTCTCGTCCGTCTCTTCCGGCCGCCCACGACCGTGCCTCTCCGCCGCCTCGTCTCACCACCAGCACGCTTTTCCACCTCGCCCAGCATGGCGCCTCCCAAGCCCGCGCTCGACTTTGTTGACTTTGTCAACGCCTCGCCCACCCGTATGTTGTCGCCGCCTCCTCCATGACATCCAGCAGCTGACTTTCCCGCAGCCTACCACGCCGTCCGCTCCGCCGGCGCCCGCCTCGAAAAGGCCGGCTTCACCCTGATCCGCGAGCGAGACTGCTGGACTTCGGCCCTCAAGCCCGGCGGCAAGTACTACCTCACCCGCAACGGCTCGTCCATAATCGCCTTTGCCGTCGGCCACAAGTGGAGGCCCGGCAACCCCGTCGCCATTGTCGGCGCCCATACCGACTCGCCCTGCCTGCGCCTCAAGCCCGTCTCCAAAAAGTCCAACGTCGGCTACCTCCAGATCGGCGTCGAGACCTACGGCGGCGGCATCTGGCACTCGTGGTTCGACCGTGATCTGAGCATTGCCGGCCGCGTCCTCGTCCGCCAAGGCGACAGCGTCGTCCAGAAGCTCGTCAAGGTCGACAGGCCGCTCCTGCGCATCCCCACCCTCGCCATCCATCTCAACCGCGATGCAGGTTTTGATCCCAACAAGGAGACGGAGCTCTTCCCCATTGCCGGTCTCGCTGCCGCAGAGTTGAACAAGGCCAGTCCCGAGCATGACGAGCTGGTCACCGCCAGCAAGGACGGCTTTCAGCCCCTCGACAAGATGACAGACCGCCATCATCCCGCCCTGCTCGACCTCATCGCCGGCGAGCTCGGCGTCGATGTCTCGGCCATTGCCGACTTCGAGCTCGTCCTCTACGATACGCAGAAGTCGTGCATCGGAGGCCTCGCCGACGAGCTCATCTTCTCCCCGCGCCTCGACAACTTGGGCATGACGTACTGCGCCATCATGGGCCTCATCTCCTCTGTCAAGGAGAGCTCTTCGCTCGACAGCGACTCCACCATCCGCCTTGCCGCCTGCTTCGACCACGAGGAGATTGGCTCCCAGTCGGCCCAGGGCGCCCATTCCAACATGCTGCCGTCGGTGCTGCGCCGCCTGTCCATCTTGCCCGGCGCCCGCGACGCCTCCTCCGAGGCCGACGACTCGACGGCACACGAGCAGACGCTTTCACGCTCCTTTCTCGTCTCGGCCGACATGGCGCATGCGGTGCACCCCAACTACGCCGCCAAGCACGAGTCGTCGCACCAGCCCGCCATCAACAAGGGCACCGTCATCAAGGTCAACGCCAACCAGCGCTACGCCACCAACTCGCCCGGCATCATCCTCGTCCAGGAGTGCGCCCGCCTTGCTGGCGTGCCCCTGCAACTCTTCGTCGTGCGCAACGACTCGCCCTGTGGGAGCACCATAGGGCCCGGCCTCGCCGCTCGCATGGGCATGCGCACGCTCGACCTCGGCAACCCGCAGCTCAGCATGCACAGCATCCGCGAGACGGGCGGCACGGCCGACGTCGAGCACGGCCTCAAGCTCTTTCACCAGTTTTATCACAGCTACGGCCGTCTGGAGTCCAAGATTCTCGTCGACTGAGCGACCTGGAGGCAAGCTTTCAGGGGAGGGGGATTCGGGCCAGGGCCCCGAGGATGCCCGCCGTATATTCCCTGACAAGGTCGGGGTCGCTGCTTGACTCACGGGCTGGCTGTCTTACCCGTTGACGCAGATGACGGGAGTGGCTGTGATTGTGCGAATCCAATGTGCGCCACGGCAGTTGACCAGGTGTCCTCTTGCAGGCAGCTCGGGTCACAACACCCATGTTCTTGCCATATCATCTTGGAAACCTCTTCCCCTCTTTCTTGGGGGCGTCGCTTTGCCTTTGCGTAATCTGCGCGTCACTCATCACATGCCATGGCCAGAGTGCTTGGTGAATTCATGGAATGGGGGCAAGGGGGGTCGACAGCGCCTTTGAATAGGTCCATGATTGTCGTCATCATGATGAAGTGTTCTCCCAAATGCCTAATGCCCCCTCTCGCGTCTTGTATGCAGCCAGCCCAAACACGCGCACCGCCAGCCTGCACCTGGTCCAAGTACCCGTCCCATGGTCAAGCTCAGGAACGATGGCAGTCGACGCGTCTGGGAATCACGCTCGCCTTTTCTACCATGGCCAAGCCCGCTCTTGGTGAACAGCAGCCAACCCGCCACACTCACTATCTCATCTCGCAGCCCCTCGCTAGGCTCAGCAGTCCACTCGCTGCGCCCCCCCCGATGAAGGCGCTGCTGTTTAGGGCCCGGTGCTGGGGCTGGTGCTGCTCTCCGCCGGCACTGCCGTCCTCGTCGTGCCTGGACATAGTGGTGGCCGTCGGGGCAGCGTCTAGAGAGGGTTGGTGCTGTTGGGGGTCGTGTTGCAGTTGCTGTAGTTGTGATGAAGGACGACGTTGTTGCTGGGGTATCGACAACGACGACGAAGACGAGTCTTGAGACGGCGTGGGAGGACTTTGCACACGGACCGTCCGGCGCGGCGGAAGCGGCCGGGGCTGCAGGTCGGCAAGCGGGACGGTCGTCTGGCCCGTGCGGAGCTTATAGCTGGCGAGACCAAGGCGCAGACGCAGAATCTCGACCTTCTGCGCTTGACGTTAGCTCTGGGAAAAGAAAACCCGTGTCCGCTCTCTCGCCGGGGCTGGCGGGAGGATAACCCGGCGTCGACCAACCTCTCTCGCCTGCTCCCTCGTCAAGCGCCGGGCGGGCGGGGCGGCCCTGTCCAGAAGGTCGGGCTCCGTGGTTGTCGTCGTCATGGTGGCCCACGAGGCGTCGGCAACCGAGGTGTCGAAGACGGAGCTGGTGTCGGGGCTGTGCGACCGGGACCGCGGCTTTTTGCATTGAGTGTTAGCAGGAGGCGTCTTCCACGCGACGGCGGCGGGACGAGGAACAATGGGAAGGGGGGAAGAAGGGAAGGGTTAGGGTTCAACAAGGGCCGCTAACAAAGGGCCATTGTCTCGCCCAGGGAGGGAAGAAGGGGCCGTGGTAACTGGAAACGCACCTCGTCCCGCCCCAGACACGCCTTCTTGGCCGCCGGGCTCACGTCCATGCCTTCGGCGTCGGCCTGCCGCTTGGTCCCCGCGGGCGGCGAGCCGCCGTCGTCGTCACTCCCGGGATCCCGCTTGAAAGCCGGGGAGAGGACGGCGTCCTTGCCGCCTGCCGTCCGGGGCGACGACGGCATCACGTTCACGTCGAGCGCCGCGAGCGGGGCGCGTCTCTTGAGAGGCGAGGCGGCGGCGGCGTCCATGGCGGCGCTCTCTGGTGCTTGCTTGGCCCCTGTGTGTGCGGGCGCGCGTCGTGGTGTCTTGCGCGGCGGATGCGGATGCGTGTCGTGGTTTTATATGGATTGTGCGTGCGGCCTAGGGGAGGCGTTGGACCGGGAGCGCGACTTGTATTGCTTGTCAGCCGCGCCGGGAGATGAACGGACTGGGAGAAGAAGAAGATGATGATGAAGAAGAAGAGGAGGAAATGGGGGTATCTCGAGCGGGTAGCAATGGTATCTCGATGCGCGCGTCGTGTATCCGTGACACAGGGGGGAGGGAACGAGAGAGGAAGAATGCGGAAGAGAGAAGACGGCGCCGTCGTCGCGAGCGCGCGCGCGCCGGCTCCTCTATTACTAGTAAGTAGGCGGTTTGGTGGATTCAAGGCGCGCCCACTCACCATCCGGTCCCTACCTACTACCTACAGTACCTACTTACCTAACAGACCTGCGCGCGCGCGCTCTCCCGTGGTGCCCCTGTACCTCGCCCCCCCAATGACGAGACGGACCGAACAGCGGCTGTTTTTTTCCGCCCCTGGGGATTCGTGTAAGAGGGCAGCGCGGGCCATCAGGGGTGGAGGGAGCGGAGCCGAGGAGCGGCGAGAGAGCGGGCCTTATCTAAGCAGTGCTGATGATCTAAGCAGTGCTGTTGTAATTACAGAGGCACGTGTGTGTATGTACATAATCCGTACCTGCATAAAAACTGTGTATGTATGCCATGACGACCCCTCCTCGTCCCGTCAGCGAATTACCATCATCGATAAAAACCCGTTTCCGCCAGCAACAAACGTCCACAGCACACACACGGCGCAGGAAAAAAGGAAGGAAAGACAACGACGACGCCACGGCGACCGTTTCAGCACGCGAATCACCCTGGACCCTCAACAACACAGCTGCGGCTCGGCACCCGATCCCCTTTCCTTGCTCCCCGCACGCGCGGGCGCGACTCGGACCCGTCGCCAGAAAACTCCACTCTTCTTTATCCGTAAGGTGCACTGCATCCATCCTCCGTGTCGTGGCTCTTCACTGCTCGCGACGACGCTACGTCGACTTCCACGTCGTCCATGTGTCCCAGACCGTTTTCCCTCCTGCTTCCCAACGTCTGCGTAGACGTCGAGAGCATCGTACCCTTGGACGTCATCTCGTCAGCCTCGCCCGTGCCTTGCTGCCTCCTTGATACCGAGTATATGTTGTACTGCTACGTGCATGCGTTCGACGCCCATATCCTAGACACGGACGCCTCGACCACCAGCAGTCACAAGTGGAAGCAACAATCAACGGGAACTGTCATCAAATCGTCACCCTCCGCCGACAACACCATCCTATTGCCGGCCTCTCGCTATACCGTACACGCAACACTTCATCCCTCGTAGCGAGACTCGACGCCTCCACTGCATCCTGTTTTGTGCCATTCACCTGCCTCGATAAAACCTCGTCACGATCTGCAAATATGCCGTCTCATCAACTCGGCTATATATCCTGCGAGCCCAATGGCAAACAAGTGACGGGTAACAATCAAAATTCGCTGTAGAAACGCTTCAGAAGCGCCCCCATTACCGTTTCCGCTTCCCTGGCCAAGCGCGCAGACAAACTGCCGTCGAAAAACCACTCATCACGGGTCAAGGGCCCAAACAGGGAACAAAAGCAAGCGGCGCTAGGTTGCCATGCTGTAAAAGCGGGTATCAAGTTCGAATGGCTTCGTGAAGTCGATGTTGATGTCGTCCCAGTCTGGGGCTGGTCCGAACGAGGGTTCCATGAGGACCATCGGATCAAGCGTCTGCCCGCTCACGTCCTTGGTCATCATGTCCCCTTCCAGGTTTGCGTTGTGGAGATCAAGCAGCAGGTCCGAGTCGAAGTTTTCATAGTTGCGCCAGTACACGTCAATGTCGAGTGCCGCGCCCTCGGAGATGTCGCTGTTCGGCTCGCTCGACCCGCTGTCCTTGCTGGATTCCGGCGTGTCCTTGGGCGTCAGCGACCGGTACATGTTGGCTTCGCTGACAATGTTGGGCAGCCCGATTCCCTTCTCCCACCCCAGGTTGGCAATGAAAGCCTGGGGGTCAATGGTGCAGCCAGCCCAGGGGTCGGCGCGTGTCGCAAGAGTCCCCGAAGCATCCGTTGGCTTGCCGTCGCCCTGCCTCGGCGCGCCGCCAGCATCCATTTTCCCCGCAGACTTGGCGTCCTGTGGCCTGCCAGCAGCGCTTGGCGTCCTCTTCATCGACATGTCCTGAGACATGGGCGTGCTAGCCATGTTGCCCGGCGTGAGGAGGCCTTGCTTCGACGTCGACGTGCTCATGGCTGCCGAGGCTTGCGTCGCTTTCTTGAGGCTTCCGTCCGAGTCCAAGCCGAGCGCCAGCGCCAGGTTCTCCTTGACAAACTTGACGGGATCCTCCATGGGCCTGACGTGCTCCTCATCGATGTGGTGCTGCAATGCTTGTTCGTTCGGGAATCCCAAAGGTGACGAGGAACACTCGGGGTCCTTGCAGAGCAAGACTGGCTTCTGCGGCTCGGGCGCTCGGCGCATCTCGGGCGAGGCATTCTTGCTCGTCTTGGGCGATGGTGTGGCACCCTGCGCTGCTTGACCGGGCTGCGGCCCCGCAGTCTTCTGCTTCTTGCGCGCCGGCGGCAGCTGGAGGTTCATGTCCTTTGGTTTGCCGATGTAGCTGGGGTTTCCGTGGGGTGAAGACTCGCCAAAGGGGAACGGTGGCTGCGCTGCCGTCGGCGCTGGAGGGACCTGGTTGGCCTTTGCCGCCGGCCTCTGCTGGTTCATCTTGTTCAATGCCTGCGTGTTCTTCTCTAGGTTGGCGGCATTCAGCGGCACCGGCTGGTCCTGTTGCTGCTGCGGCTGCGGCTGCCCCTGGTTCTGAGACGCCGCTTGACTTTGCTGTGCCTGGCTGGCCTGCTTCAACATGCCGCTTTTCATCATGCTGGCAGCAAGGTCCTTAGCCATGCTTTCCAACATTGCTCGAGCCTGGTCGATCTCGGAGGAGCGAATGCTGAACTTGTCGTTGAGCTCCCGCATAGCCTCGCCGTCGCAAAATTGCTTCATGATGCGCATTCGCTGTGGTCATGGTCAGTTCCGGGCCCGCACCTCTTTCGGGACGGTAACACTCACAGTTCTGAAGAACATCTTGGCCCGCGCATCATCTCGCGTAATCGAATACCACTTGGTCAGGCCGCGGCCCACCTTCTTCATATCCATCGAGATGCGCTGCAGCTTTGCAGCAGTGTCGTTGTGCTCTTGCTGATTCATGGGGATCTCTGACAATGACTCCTGGCCAAACTTGCGCTGTTCCTCCTGGCTCAGCTGTTTCAGGCGGTTCAGGGCCTCGGTGCCCGCGGCCTGCTGCATCATGTTTGCCGCCTGCTGACCCTGTCCAGCCATTTGCATCTTCAGGTATTGCTCGTACTTCGCCCGTTGGTCGGGATTCAGAGAGGCGACTTGCTGTGGCGTTAGAGACGTGATGCCTTTCGGTGCTTGTTGGACTGGTTGCGATGTCGGCCTGGGTGGTGCTGAACCGGCACTTGCAGGACCGGTAGTGTCCGCAGCTTCGTCGGTGCTGGGTCGCTTGAGGTTCTTGGGCGGTTGCGGCCGGTTGTTTCTTGACTGGTCGTTGGCTGACAGCCCCTGCGGCCCCTGAGACTGTTGCGGCTGCTGCTTCGGGGTACTGGATTGCATCGCGGCCGATTGTCCCGTGGTGTTAGGCGTCCCCTGAGGTTGAGGTTGGGGCGTGCGATTTTGTTGCGGTTGATGCGGCTGCGGAGTCGGTTGCATCTGCATCGAGGCCTGAGAAGGACCGGACATTTGGTTCTGCCCGCCTTGCTGAGCCTGAGCCTGAGCCTGAGTGTTGGCCTGGGCCTGGGTCTGGGCTTGCGCCTGTTGTGCTCTCATTTGCTGCTGCTGCTGCTGCAACCACGCCTGTCTCTTCATGTGCGAAATCATTGCCCGCAGCTGCTCTTCGGGCATGCCAGCCAGGTTTTGCTTCTGACTGCGAATCTGCGAGATCTCCTGGTTCGTCACTTGGACGACTTGAGGCGGGATATTTCCAACAGGCCGCTGCATGCCCAGCTGCTGATTGGGCATCTGACCAGGCATTCCGGCTGGGTTCATGCCCGGATTCTGACCCGACATGGATGCGCGCCTCTGCATCAAGACATGAAATTGCTTCTGCTGGAGGGTGACGAGTGAAGCGCGGATGTTTGGAGGTAGGCTGTTGTTGTTCTGGTTCAGCCACATCTTCAAGTCCCTCCACTTCTTGACCTCGACAGGAAGCTGGCCAATCTGGTTATGGACTTGCGGAGGCAGATCCATCTGATCCATGATGACTTGGGCCTGGGGGTTCTGCATGGGCATCCGCATCTGCTGTTGCTGATTCCCGGTCCCTGGGCCGGCGGGCTGCTGCATCCCCTGGGGGCCTTGGCCACCACCCATGTTCATGTTCATCTGCCCACCAAACTGATTCTGGGGGCGATTCTGGTTCATTTGACCCGCGCCCATGGCCATCTGTTCCTGCCTCTGATTCTGCCACCTCCTCATCACCTCGTTGAGCTTCTCGGGGGGCAGGCCATGAAGAGCCTGCCTTTGGTCGGGCGTCATGCTGTTGAGCATGTTGCTGAATGCTTGATTGTTCGGCCGTTGGATGCCTTGGTTGAATCGCTGATCCCCAAATTGCATGCCCCCCTGCTGACCCATTCCGGGGCCACCCATGGCATTCATGGCACTTGGTGGGCGAGATACCGGCGTGTTGAGGGTGTTCATGGCAGGACTCTGCGATGGGGGAATGCCACCGCCCATGTTGCCCTGACCCTGCATCTGCTTCATCTGGAGGTGTGGCTGTGGTGGTTGCGCCTGGTTCATCTTCATTTGTTGAAGATTGGCACCCTGTTGCTGCTGTTGCTGCTGTTGAGGCTGCGTCTGCATCTGGTGCTGAGACTGCTGCTGCTGAGACTGTTGCTGCTGAGGTTGCCGAGGGGTCTGGTTCGGGCCCTGCTGGCCGACCATGTTTTGGTTTGCCGGCTGGGGCGTGGCGTTGCGGGCGCCTCCATTGCTAGCCGGGACGACCATCTGGCCAGCCTGTTGAGCCATAAGGCCGTTCATCTGTTGATCCTTGATGCTCTCCATGTTGGGCGTGAACTGCGAGAACTCGTTTGGCTGTCCGGCATTCATCATGTTTTGCCGCTGAAGAGACTGCTGGCTGTGTTGCGGCTGCATCATGGCAGCTTGACCAGCGTTGGGGTTCTGGGCACCTCCCTGTTGCTGCAAGCGCTGGTTCATGCTCGCCTTGAGCATATGGAAAGCCTGTGTCTGGAAGAACCACAACAGGGGGTCCTTGCCTTGGGCCTGGAACTCGGCAAGCTGCTGCGGCGGCATCCGCTGCTGCACATGCAAGCGTGCACTCGACTTTTGCTGTTCGCTGGCTTGGATCATCATCTTGGAGGCGAGATCCATGACCTTGGCCTTGTCAGCCTGAGCGAGCCTCGACATTTCAGCGGCAAGTTGCTGTGGTGGACGGTTGAGACCACCGGCCATACCCATGGCCTGTTGACCACCGAGACCAGGGGGCATGCCACCGCGACCAGCCTGCAAGCCCATGCCCATGCCCATCGGTTGTTGCTGCGCCTGGGGTTGTTGCTGCGCATGCTGGGGAATCTGTGAAGCCTGCATCTGATGTTGAAGGTGCTGGAAGCCCTGTTGCGGAGCCTGGCCCATGCCTCGGCCCATCTGAGCTTGCATGTTCATCATGGCCTGTGCCTGTGCCTGTGCCTGGGCTGCTTGTGCTTGGGCGTTGAGTGTGTTTTGGAGGTTGGGCTCGTTGGCTTGCCGCTTCTTGAAGAACTCCATGGTCTTGTTGGCCATCAATTGGTCGTAGGCCTCCTGCACAAGAGGTTAGACGGCGGCGGCAGGAAAGCGAGGCAAAGAAGTAGCATTCATACCTTGTTGGGCGACTTGATGAAGGCCTCGCGCTCAAAGTTGCAGCCAAATTCCGCGGCTCGTATCTGCTCGATGCCGACAGCCAGGGTGATGTTGGAGATGCTAAGCTTGGGTCAGCAAGAGAGGCCCCTGCGGCAAGCGCTCGCGGCTCTAGGCCAGGGCGCACGGGAAGGGGAAGTACGCACAGGTCCATAGTCTTGCCCATGCGGTCGTTCAAGCTGACGTTAGCTTGCCACGCCAGAGCATTGGGCGCCTGTGCATGCTGGAGAAGAGTCTGATAGACAAGCTGCTGTAGCTGATTTGCGTTTGCGGGCTTTCGCATTTGCTGGGGCATCATCTGGCCGACCCCAGCCATGTGCTGCATGTTGGCGGCCATGGCCGCAGGAGTCGGGTCGGGACAGTCCCCCTACTCGTCTTGCTTATATGACCGACTGACACGTTGAAATAGTCGAGGGGTTCGCGGGAGTATGAGCGCGCTTGGTGGTGGCGTGCGAGCGGCAAGGACGAGATTTGATCAATCAAAGGTAAACGGCGTGGTGCAGCGAGGTGGCGAGGAGAAGAAAAACCTAAATTCGTCTTTATACTGTTCGTTCCGACCGGAACAAATTCGTCGACGGCGTGGAATATGAATTTTATCTGGTTCAGGTATCGTTCATAGAGAGATGGCCTCGCCCGGCGGTAGCAGGTGGTCTGATGAGATCCGTTGACTAGAGGCGAGAAAGTCGAAGCGTGTGAGCATGGACGTCGGTGAAGAGGGATGAGAAAAGGAGCGGCGGCGGAAAACTGTCGACGATGGGGAGACTGGGCAACGTTGCGACGATGCGAGGATTTCGGTCGGGGTGGACGCAGGATGCTGACAAGTCGTCGTCGAACAAAGTGCGGCCGGTGATTGTTCAGCCACCGAGTGTCGAGATTCGGACCGCCGGCGATCGAGGCCTGCACCTGGACATGGACGGCATCCGGTGAGGGAAGGGCAGGGGCAGCGCAGAGACGGTCGGGCGAGCGGCGACGACTGGAATCGAGGATCGTGACCCGCCGTTGGGTAGCGGAAAGTGGTGAGGCGGGCCTGAGGCTGGGGTGGTGGCCGGGACGTCGAGGCGGGAGGAAGAGGGGAATGAAACGGGCTAGTTACCTAGAATGAAGCGATGGAAAAGAGCGTCCCCGTTTGCGCAATGCTCGGGAGGAGACGAGGTCACGGACACCTGAGCCGGTGTTGGTCGTGGGTGGTGATGATGGATGGGGGGAGGAGAAGGAGGAGTAGCAGAGGAGAGAGAAGGGTGCAGAGCAGTGCGGGCGCAAAAGACTGAGAAGTTGGTGACCGGGAGCGAGCGGGAGAGGTGTGGGTGGGTGGGTAGTGTGTGTGTGTGTGTGTTGGGTGCAGGCATCGTCGGAGAGGGGACGGGTTCCAGGTACAAGGCCGGGTACAAAGGCCGCGAGCATGCACGGGTACAGGTACAGTGCGTATACGGAGTGGGTCTAGTGCCAGCCCGAGCTTGTACCTGTAGAGGAGGAGGAGATTCAAGGCAAAGAAAGAGACGGAGACAGGAGGGCGATGGAGGCCTGACGGCGGGTGGTTGGTCTTCAGGGCTTCATCTGTCTGTTGGCGTGAGCGACTGGTCTGGATATCTGGCGACCCTGGACCTGGAGATGGACCAGCTGAATGCTCAGGACCGCAGTGAGGTACCGGATCGGTGTACGGTACAGTGTCCTGGTCGCACCAGTGGCAGTGCTTTGGGGAGGCGAGTACCAGTCCCGTACCTGTGGCTTGGCTTCCTGATTTTGTACTTCGTACGTACATAAATGAGGCATGGTTCGCCAAGTGGTGTCGGTAGATAACCAGACGTTGCAACAAGGCTGGCAAAAGAAGCGACGGCTATTACTTGGGCATCTCTACAAGGCAGACTGGCTCCCAGGCGAGGTACATACCTGGAGAGTGGTTGCTTGCCTGGCTGCCGCACCAGAGCCTAACCACGTCGTCTTTCGTTTCTGAAACGCGGCTTGAACAAGTACCACACCGGCCAGAGCCATACCTGCTGCCGATGGTGCCGCTCGGTACCGGCAGAACTGCACGAGGCGAAGCGGACAAATATCACAATGGAACTTGAAAGGCGAGCCAGTCCGCCCGTGCAGAAATACCAGGACGATGTGGTCAACGAGAAGGACGGGCAACAATCAGCTCTTAGGGCGTCGACGGGCCTGCGGGGCGGCGAGACACAAGAGTCTACCTAGTGACCGACAAGCGAACTTATTCCCAGGCACCTGCGCCACAGGCTCGGTAGACGGAGAGTCAAGCTCGCCAGGGCGCCTTGGTGAGTGGTCCGGTCATTCACGGGGCAAGGATAATGGAAAGCCTTGCTCTCTGAATGTGCAGTCTGGGCGAGAAAAACGCCCATCTTGGCGTGTAAAAGCGCTGCCTACGCTCCAAGGCTGCATTGCATGCAAGGCGAACGCTGCACTGTACAATGGACGTCGCCGCTGGTAGACACGCGGTGCGGCGAAAAGTACAGAGGACAGGGGCCACTAATAATACAGGGGGTTGAGGATTGGATAGCGCCGGGTAGGGTGGACCCCCCCTGTGCTTAGGTGATTTGCACCGAGTTGACACTGACACCTACTGGGCCTGCTTGGCCCGCTTGGCCAGGAAAGCGGTGATGGACGACATGGGCGTACTAACATGGCTGCGCCCCCGAGGCGATGAAGTTGGCCAGAGAAACATTGGGCTGGGAGTTTGGCCTCGCGAAGGCTGTCGACAGCAGAGACCATATCTTCCATGTTAAACTTATCCCTAATACATAGGGTAGTGCATTCTGTACCTGACGAATTCAGCATTCGCAGGCAGGGAGTGGGTCAGAGGTGCCACTCATCTTTCAGCGAGCCAAGGGGTACCTGAAGTAGCGCACAGGTCGTGTCCTAGCCGCGGACCCAGCCAGTCAATCAGGGCATCAGATATAGAAGCACCATTGCAGTACTTGGCACCACCACGGCAGTCGAGCCAGTGTGGCCAGGGGTGTCGTCTCTTCCATTCAGGCGCCTGTCGCAAAACCCCACAGCGCCACCATGATGCAGCCTGGGCCGTCCGCTTCCTCGCGCCCCCTTTTTTACCCTCCAAGGAGTCCAAGCCTCCAAATCAATTTGCGCCGAGCTTCAGCACGAGCAGCGGTAAAAGCAGCGGCATCATCAAGTACATGCTACCGAATAGAAAGCAACGCGACAAGGCCCCGGGGTGTCGGAAGGGGAGCGCCAGAGCGAATAAAAGGAGATTGTGCATGGCTTACTTCACCACCAGACTGCCGGGTCGTCGTGTGACACCAATTCCCACCGATGCGTTGTCTGTCTCTGTCATGACCACCGAGCAGCTGCTGTTTGCTGCATTCCCTTTCACTCTCTGCTCCGTCAATCATTGGCCCCCCCCCCTCTTTGTAGTTCTTCACGCACACACGTTCCCCTCCCTCATTAGCCATGTGTGCATGGATACAGAATACCTACGGTGCTCAGCTGGGAGTGAGGTGAGATATGTGCGCGATTGGACAACCTCCCCCCCCTCCCTTGCCGTCGTCGATCTAGGATATCCCTGTCTAGCGCAACGAACGCAAAAGCTGCAGTGTGTACGGAGTACGAAGGACTGCGACACGCTTGAATTTTCACCGTATCTCGCCCCTTTCCTTTCTTTCGCTTTGTCCTTGCGATACTACAACGTGAATTACTTTACAACGGTCGAGGCACCCCCAACTCTTACCAGTCTGTTCCCGAAAGAGGCCAAAAGTCTGACTCGGGAAAGCGGCAAAGCGCCGTGACCAAGACGTTCGATTCCTCGTGGGCCGCAAATATTAAAAGGCCGCCGAGGTGATTGCTTATCCAACGGGCTTGAACCCGGCAGGTGAAAATCACCTGGGACGGCGGCGATTGAAGGACAGCCAAAAGTTAGCGAGCAAGTGCCCCCGACGAGAGTACTGTACACGTCCCGTTAGCAAGAGGAGGTGGTGAAATATGGAACCTCTTTTTAGTGCCTCTCCGCGTTATTGGCCTCTGGTGCCAGCCCGCTGGAAGAGAGAGACAGGCTGTCAATCTCGTGCCGTGTCACACGCATCGTGGCATCCAACACGCGCAGATGGTTGCAGCACAGCTTGGTCGTTCCATCCGACTCTGCCGCGCATATAAAACTACTGGCATAGAACGCTATCTGGCCAGAACGGGACGCGCACATGGCAGTCGAAAGCTGGCTGCCGATCTACGATGCGGATCTGGGCCTTAGAGAGGACCCTGCCTGACACGTTCGAGCCAGTTTCTTTGCTGTTCTTTTTCGTGCTGGCCCTGGGAAAAAAGAAAAGGCGTGGGTCTGAAGACTGACAAGATGCTTGTGTTGGGAGCATGTGCCTTGACTTTCTTCAGGGATATATACAAGTACGCATCATACTGTATTTAGAAGGATACTTTAGAAGAATGAAAAAGATCAATGTCCTGGATGCCTCAAGCAAGGAGTTCCTGTACTGCCCGCTCCTGCGGCGCTTGGCAACACAGCTGCCAAGTGTCTCCCATCCGGAGCGGAAGAGCGCCTGTCTCCTCTCCTCCCCCTCCAATCTCCAACCTCCAATCTGTCGCCTTGTCTACTATGTATAATAAAGCTCCCTCTCTTTTGCCCGCATCAGCCGATCGTCTCGGCTACAGTATTCTGTATGTACATACATACAAACCCCCGGGTCATGGGGGCCATGTGTGTTGTATGCACGTAAGGGACTCTTCACCGTTTACTGACACGGCCAAGATCAGCACGCTCCTCAGATCTCCAGCACAGTCGGTAAGCTGTAATTGTCGACAGACCAACTCCAAATTGCCGTGATCTGCAGGCCTTCAGCCGTGTGTACACTGTGCCAAGGCACCGAGTACCCCGCCCATGTCGCACAGGGAGGACCCCATGTCAGCTGTTGGCATGCCTGCCTCCCCCACCATGCCTGCCTCCCCCATGCCTGCCTGCCTCCCCCTGCCATGCCCTCCCCCTCCCGCTGACTTCTTCCCATGCCATCCCGAGCCCTCCTCACCTGACAACGAAGACGACCGAAATACCAGCTGTTGTTTGCATCTGATGACGAGATTCCCCCCCGTCTTGGCTCCAACATCGAACAAAACGTCAGCTCAAGCGTCTAACAGGACAAGGAAGGGCGCGGGCGAATGAGCCGGGGTTGAGGACCAATCCCGGGCGCTTGGATCTGTCGAGCGAAGCTTTCCGCGCAGCTCGTCAATGCCGCTCATCAATCTACGCGCGGCATGCGTCTGATATTGATGCACGTGCGATTTCTCTACCACGTCAAATCAGTTGCATACATACCGTATGCTTGCCAGAGAGAACCCTTGTAGCGTCCCGTTTCTACCGACGAAGCAGATCGGTAAAGCGAGACGGGATGAAGAGAAGCTGAGCGAGCCTGGCTACTACCCACGCTTGCCATTCTCCTCGCTTCCAGCTTCAGCTTTGTTGGAAGGGCGCCTCCGCCCCTCTCGCTTGGCGCTTCCAACACATTCTCCGGGCGCACGTAGATACACGTAAGCTACATGTAAGCCTTGCTTGCCTTATTGTATGTATAGCCATCCGAGCCGAGGCGCTCGCGGTACACGAGCTCGTATCGTACCAACCTGCTTCGTGTACTTGTTACAGTGCAAAGGCAGACAGCAACGGTGCCGTCATTCGTTGCATACAGCATGCATGTGAGCACTCGGGGACCAACAATACCCATGCAGGGGAGCAAGGCAGCTGCCGAGCCGGCCCGGGGACCTGAAGAAGATAGATGCCCTGCGAGCCCCCGCGCCATACTGAAAAGTCCCCTTCTTGGATCCATGGCTTGGTGACCCTGACGGCTCGGCAAGGAAAGACGTCGGCGACACGGGAGCACATCAGTAGGGCGGGGAAAGGGGTCGAGCAAGAATGGGCGGCCGCTTCGCTGCCCAGAGGCTTGTCAGGCAACCGACAAGAGACGGGCCCAGGCAGTGCAGCTCAACGGGGGAGTTCTGCCGTGTGGTGGTGTCTGGTGGAGTGTGACACGGCAGGTTGCGTCGTCAGTAGGGAGGGTGTGTCATTGTTCGAGGTGCGACGAGTATAAATGGCAGTCAGCAGAGAGCCCTTAAACGTGTTGCGAGACGGTGCGAGGCGCGATCCATGGACATCCAATCATGCTTCATCGAATCAAGATTGCTCTTTGCGCTTTCTCAAGGGCAACGTTCTTTATCTTGGTATACCGAGTACACTTGTTTCCTCGTCCGTTTGCACCAACACTGACATTTGAGCCTCTCAAGTCCAAGACTGCCAAGCCGCAAGATGACGAGCTGGTCGAGGGCTTCCAAAGAGTTCCTTACAGCGATGCTGACAGGATTGCCGGCACTCGAGCACGTTCGGTCCTGCCTACGAGACCCAACACCTCATTTGTGACTCGCTTTGGCCGTCATTCGTCTTGGTTGGGCAATTCCCGCCGTGGTGATCAGATCGTGGCCGTGGGAATATGACGGCTCCGCTGCACTAAACCTCATCGGCGATGGATGGCTTCGCTATAGCGAACAGACAGCGTTACATGCCCAAGGCACACGGTGCTGCATCGCCATCGCTGCCTCTCGACGTCTTGCTCTCGGGGCACGACGAGATGAAGGCGCAAGGCCGCCACCGAGAGAAGACGAGGCTCCCATAGTTTCGCCACCTTATTTTGACGCCGATGGAGCTAATGGTCCAAGGCATTCCGGGGCGAGTTTGGGACGCTCCACGGGAAATCATCCTTTGTTCCCCGGAGGCCAATGCTCCGAAAAAGAAACGGTTTCGTGGACTGAAAAGCTCCGGACATGTATCCGTACATACGTACTCCGTACTCCGTACATGGCTCCGTATTCGGCCGCGAGGTCGGGCCTCCCTTGGTGCCGTCGGCAAGGATTCCAGGCACCTGGGCCCCCCCACGGACGACGCCTCCTGGCAATGAACCGGGGATATGCCAGCCTGGGTGTCGATACTTAGTAGCGATCCCTTGGCCACCAGAAGGAGATGGGCTACAAGTTAGTTAAAAGAGGCGAAGCGAGAGGAAGGCGGAGAAGCAAAAGCAACATGACTATGCAGTTGATGGTTGGAAACTTGGGTCTCTGCACAATCATCACCTACACGCATGTATGTACTTCCTCGCCTGCCCGTCGGCCTGGCCTGTGCAACAAGGCGAAGGATTACATGCCGCAAGCGGGTGCTCGGAAGATAGCCGACGTCAACGCCGACCCGACGGCTGCATTCTTTCCTTTCTTCCAAAGGTATGCATACTCGATAGGTTTATAACCACAGCATACGCTCTGCTTGACGCCCTCCTGTCCTCCTGTATCTCCCTGGTCCAACGTCCCCCCCTCGAATATAAGCCCCGTGTTGACTCGGTGCTTTATTTCATGCGAAAGAGGGAGAAGACCTGGCGTCCATGACTCTCCGCAGAGCCAGCGAACAGACAGCCAGCCTATGCGGGCGAGAAGCAGACATCACACGGTAGGCCTATCGTAAGCCGGCCCACTTACACGTCCAATCCCTGGAGCCAATGCCGACAGCAAAAGCACATGGCGATGCCTGGATGCGTCGCAACGTGCAGCGAGGCCAATCTCGTCGCCCTCCCTATCGGTAAGCACGAATCCTTCTGTAGCTAATAAACCGGGTGCGCACATGGACGGGGATTAGGGCAGAACCAGCCAGTCGGTTCCGTGGCTCACCACAAGGGACGAGAGCACGTACTGTATATAGTACAGCACGGAACTTTGCAGGTGTATTACCTGGAAGGCTGGGCGTCTGAGCAGGTACTGTACCTGGTACCTAGTACGGTGGTGGTCTGCTGCGAGTACCTGCAGGCTATGCCAGGTGAGCTGTTTCCCCCGGCCGGAGAGCGGGACTCGGCGAGGCCGCACCCGCCCCAGGTCGGCAGGGAACAAATGGTCCATGTACTGTACTGTACTGTACCGTACCGTAATTACCATGCCGTACCTACCTACGTAGGTACCTACCTCGCTCGTCTGCCGGTGTGAATGGCGGCGGCTGGAAAAGACAATGATAAAGGGGCTTTGCTTATTTGTTCAGACGAAACTCTAGTCTCCGGCGCGTCGAAACGCTTGTCTCGTGTGTCCAGCTCACCTTGTCGAGAAGGAATACTCACACAAGACGCACGCAAGAGAGCATCATTAGGTCTCGAGCGACACGTCTAGACCGAGGACCGACCCTGCCTTGGGAAGCAGCTGGTGCATCAAACAGGGTCAAAACCGTCGAGCAGAGTAAAAGGCTGCCACTCTATTTCGAGCACTCCCCCAGTTCTCCACCGGCACAGGCATTGACCGCGTCCACGATCCTGAGGCCCTACAAATGATCTGGAGTTGAATAACTTACCTGCACCCATTCCTCGTCACCATCGTGAAACACTTTCCTGGCAGCCAAGTACCGGTACCGGTACCCTTCAGAGAGGACATGCCACGGCCCCCGCCATCTCCCACATGGCCTCCCCTCCACCGACCCGCCAGGCCTCCACCCCCCAAGACGGAAGGGGGGGTCTTTGTACTCGATACATGCACGAGACTGCAGGTATTTATGCCCCCTTGCCCTTGCCCACGGGCTCTAGGGGCGACACCGTGCCAACCAGCCAGTCAAGCTCGGCGAGGGAAGAAAGTGTTAAAGAAAGAACAAAAGCAAGCAAAAAAAGGAAAGGAGGAGGAAGAGAGAAACCACTCCCACTGCATCACTGGATTATGCAGGGGTTTTTGGGGTGGGTGACTGTGGTGGTGGGGACGGGTAAAGGGGGGCGCAACCAAAGCTGAAGATGCCACTTAGTTGAGCGCATCTTAACCCAAGCACAATGTCGAAAGGGCTGCAGCAGCGTCGAGCAACAACCAAAGGAAACAAAATTGTGCCCTCCCACGGGCCGCCCGACATGCATCAAAGTCCAGCCGAAAAAAAAAACATGAACTCTAATCTATCTTGCCGACACTTGCAGCCAACCCCGGCTTCTTCCGGACCACCAAAGGCTACCCGCAAAGACGACCGTTTCCATCCCGAGTCGTGCATGTGGCATCATGTCGGCAAGTAGGCTTCCCCTCTCTCCCGCTCCCTCTCTCCCTCTCTCTCGGCACCGCCTCTCGCACCCGACCACCAACGCCTTCTTGTGCAGCATGACGTCGCAAAGGCACCGTCGTCCAGATCCGGACGTCGTGTATGCTGCATCAAGTGACCATGCCGCTCTCACTCCAACCTGCATCATGTATGTATTCTCTGCGACATCTGCTCTGCTAGCCTAGGCCACAACACACCGCTTGCCTACACCAACAACACTTCATCAAGCCTCTAGGCGCGGCTGCGGGGCTGGAAGCAGTCGAGGCGGAACAATCAACCTGTTTCTTGCGCTCTCCGCATCTTGCTGCTCCGTCCCGGCGTGGACTGCCTTGGTCGCGAAATACTCTTCCACCGGCTTCCTCCCGCCGTGCCTATCGTCGTCGGGGCATCTCTCCCGCTCCAGCTTCATGTCCATGATCATGCTCAGCTCTGGACAGTAGTCAAAGATCTTGCGACGCATCTCCGGGTCTTTCCACATGTTGGTGTCGAGATTGGCGCCACCGTCCGGGACGTGATATCCCATCGGCCTCTCCACATGGACGATCTGCACTGCAAAGGCGCCATGCAACCGGGACGCGACTTTTTCGCCCGGCATCGCCGACAGGCGCTTTGCGAACCACTCGTCCTCTGGCTCCGAGTTGTTGTGGCGGCTCTGGAAGGCGAGAACGCGCCGGATGGCAGACACTCGCCGCAGTGTCAGGCCCCCGGTACTAGAGAGTCGATCGTCCTCGGACCTGAGAGTCGAATCAGTTCTGCCCTTCTGCCTCACAGGCGTATCCCGTACCGAGGAGCGCCTGCCCAGCTCCAACTTAACCACTCGTCGAGATCTTTGGGCGAGTTGGCGCATAGGATGCTGTCGTGCTCGTACTTGAAGAGCCATTCCACCCCTGGGAGAAATTCATCGTAGAACCTAGCGTCTGTCAGGAGCCGGGACATGTCTTCTTTCCCATCCATGGACCAGGGCTTGGGCATCTTCATGACGGTCATTTTGCCAACGGCCTGTTGGTGCTTGATGGCCGGCGAGCGCCCGACGTTGTATACGCTCCAAGGCGAGCCGATGAAGAGGAATCGCCAGTCGGGCGGCACCACCGAGGCCATGTGCGTAATCAAGGGGACCAGGTGCGGAAGCGGGCGCGGCTCGATAAGAAGAGCGACTTTGGATGTGTTGTACTGGATGCGCCCATCGCCGACGGGTCTCCAGCCGAGCAAGAGGCTGGGGATTCTGCGTCGAGCTTCCTGGACGCGGATCGAGAGCTCGGCCTGGACCATGGGCCTGTAACGCGAGGCCAGATGGGCAAGCCACCAGCTTCAACCCTTGTCAACACTGCCTCTGCGCAAATGCGATGCATCTTTTGCGGTTGCAACTTACGTTAGGACTAGGGAAGCGAGCAAGAGGAGTCGGGCTTTGGGCATGATGAAACCTTTGCTCGAGCCCAGGACCGCTATGGTCAAGAAACCGCTCGTCCAGGTGAGAGATGGGCAACGAGATAATGGAAGCAGAAAAGGTCTTGCTGCGTTGGGATGAAGGAGGAACGTGGTGCAGGGAGATGCGAGGCAAATGCGTCACCGCTTCATGGCCTCCCGCTGGGCATCTGGGGAGGCAGGTGCAGGCGGGCGTCGCTCCTTCCCATGACGCCAGGCCACGCTCACTCCTACGATAGAGACGAAAAACCCTCTGCCCAGGTTGACGAGTTCTGACATTGCGTCGTCAACGACGGTGGCAGCATGGTCGACTCGCTACAAGGGCAGCGACGGCCTTGTCGCCCAGTCCGCCTCCTTGCCATCTTCATCTGCACCAGGTCAGCCGCCCTCCAAGCATCAAACCACCACGCAGTCCCGCTCTCTGACCAGGCCCTCCTCAAAGCTTGACAGTGTTTTCCCTTCTGAAGCAAGGCGCCACGCCGCCTCTCCCCTCGTCCCGTCCCCCCTCGCCCTTCAATGCCTCCAAGCTCGCCCTGCTCGTCGAAGACCGGCCGCTCCCGGTCCTCGCGCCGCTCGTGCTGCACTTCATGGCCGCCCTGCCTCCCGACTGGCGCTTCCTGTTCCTCGGCTCCGCGTCGTCGCTCTCCGCCGTCAACGCCTCCGTCGCCATCCGCAACCACGCCCGCACCGGCAGGCTCGGGCTGCAGCGCCTCCCCGCAAACGTGAGCACCTCGAGCCAGGAGATGATCAGCCGTTTCCTGACGTCGCGCTGGCTCTACGAGACGGCCGTCGTGCCGGCCGAGTGGCTGCTCGTCTTTCAGACCGACTCGATAGTCTGTGCAAACAGCAGGCTCGCTGTGGATGACTTCCTCGAGTACGACTGGGTCGGCGCGCCGTGGAACCCGGACGGGAAATGGGGAGGCAACGGGGGGCTTTCCCTCCGCCGCGTGAGCCGTATCCTGGAGATTCTGCGCAACCAGGAGCGGCCCGACGACTCGGAGCCCGAGGATGTCTGGCTCTCGGAGCGCCTCCTGTACTTTCCCGGTAGCAACATGGCCAACGGCTCCGTCTCGCTCTCCTTTTCCGGCGAGATCCACAGCGGCAGGCCCGAGCACGTCGTCCTGCCGTCCATGGCCAACGGCACCGTCGCCAACGATGGCGACTACGTCGAGGGCATGGACGATTGGCGCGACGGCTTCTACGAGCCCATGGGCTACCACACTGGCGGCAGCGGCGTCTGGCTTCACTCCCCCCTTTGGGGCACGCCCGAGCTCCGCAGGCACATCTGGTCCTACTGTCCCGAGGTCAAGATGACGCTGCCCATGGACGTGGCCCTCTTCGTGCCCGGAAACTGTGGCGAGCGCTGGTGACGGGGTGGACGTGGATGTCGGTGGCGAAGAGAACAGGTGACGCAAGACGTGCCCAAGTCAGGGTTCATGGGGATCCAGCATGGGCGGCTGAGAAGCGGCCATGCATGTTCGGCACGTTCCAGTCGGTTCAGCTCCCGGTATTGCATGGGTAGAAGGGTGCTCTTGCATGACATGTCCCTGGAACCATGGTCAGAGTCATCTCCAGTACAGATAGCAGTGGAATCAAGAATACGCAAGCAAACTGCAAGCTCCGATAGTACAGTACCCTGAGTGTGCACCCCTGTCATATATGCGTATCTTCCCCTCCTGCCCTCCCTCACCTCTCTTGTCCCATGAACACTATCAAAATACCGCACCATACCCATGCTGAAGAGCCAAACCCCAGCCCGGCCGACAAAGTCCATGCATTTTTGCGTACAAATTAACGTGTGCCGCGTGCCGTGAGACGTACCGGGCTGCGTCATGATGAAATAAAGAGAGAAAAAAACAATAGATGGAAGAAAACCCCTTTCGCTTCAGGGCTCAGCCTAGCCCTCCATGGCGCGCCCGATGGCCCCGGCAATTTCGCCAAACAGAATTCCCTTGAAGACGCTCTCCCCCATGCCCTGCGACCACGCGCCGGCCTCGCGCAGGCGCTCCTGCCAGATGCGCTTCTGCTCCGCCCCAAGCTCGTCCCACGTCCGAGCCGGGCCGTGCACCGCCGAGTCGTGCACGCCGACCTGGATCTGCGCGCCGGGCCGCTCCGACTCGGACTGCGGCGCCTCGAAGAGGACCATGGTCTCGCCCGCCGCGGGAGGGGTCTTAACGGCGTCGCCGCCGCCGCCGCCCATCAGCCTCGAGACAAGGACGTTGTCGAGGATACCCGCCGGCGATGACAACGGCTCGAGCTTCGGGGAACGCAGCGTGCCGTGCCACGAAGAGAGGAATGTGGGGGCGAAGAGAGCGGGCTGGCTCCTGCCGTACGCCTCCATGACGGCTTGGCCGACGATGCCCATGACAAGGACGATGAGGGCCAGGGCGATGACAATGGGACGGGACGATGGTTTGCGGGAGCGCATCGCCACGACGTACCGCACGGGTCGGGGCGGGCCCTTTTTGTTGCGCGGCGCCCCGTCGACGTGTTTCTTGAGAGGTATGCTGTGCACGGCGACCGTCTTCTGGAGGGAGGTGCTGGCGAGCTTGACGAACTGCGCGCGGGCGTGCGTCTTTGGAGTGACGAATCTCGAAAAGGCCAGGCCGGTGATGTTGGCGGCACCGTGGACGTCAACGAGGGTGCACAGCGGGTGGAGGTCGATGAGGAGGTTGAGCACCGTCGACGGCCTGTGCTCGAGCGTGTAGAGAGATATGGACGAGTCGTGGCCGGCGACGGCGACGACAAACTGCGTGTTGCCCGGGGTGCCCCACGATGGCGACGGAGGCGACAGGTTGGCGACGGCCAGGGCTGTTGCCGCGATTTTGCGCGGGATGCGGGCCGTGACGGCGATCCTGGCCTTTTCGTGACCGGGCGAGGGCAGCCGGAAGCCCTGGATGAGCACGCCGGTCCTGCCGGGCAAGTTGGCGGCGGCGAGGATGAAGTCGGGCGAGAGATAGCGGATGGAGCGAAAGACGGGCCGGCGGCCGTGGTCGTCGGGCATGGTGAAGATGAGCTCCGGGTCGCTGTTCTGCTTGCCAATGTCGACGACGTGCAGCTCATGCTTGTAGCAAAAGGCCAGCTGGAACTCGTCTTCGCCCTTTTGCACAATGTCCAAGTCCTCGGCATCCGCAGGCAGCTCCATGAGCCCCCTCATCTTGGGTCGCGCAGCAGCACCACCGGCTGTCTCAAAGACGGCAATCTGCGGCTCCGAGCCCATGGCCGAGGCGGCCGCGCCGACGGGGCCGGCGATGCGCAGTAGGCGCTGGTACGTGTCCGGGTGTGGGTTGGCGAAGAGGGCTGTGCGCGACAGCTCTGCGACCTTGACCCTGGCGTCGGAGTTCTTTGCCGAGGGCGACGAGCGCGTCCTGGACTGGTTGCTGTCGATGGCGAGGACGCGCAGGTGGTGGTTGGTGCCCTTGGCCAGGTCGGCGGGGCTCGAGTTGACGCCGGCCAAGACTCGCGTCGACTTGCCCCTCTGCCCGCCGACCGCGAGGGACATGACGCTGTCCTCGTCACGGGAGAGCTCGATGTCGCCCGCTACGCGCAGCTCATCGTGCGCGGGCGCCTCGAGAGCCGTCTGAGACCAGGTTCGTCAGCATCGGACAGAAGGAGGGGGCAGCGCAGCTCGGCGCAACGGGGTCTGGAGCGGGAAACAAGGAGACGCACAATCTTGTTGCCGACTCCAGAGCGGCCGGCGCCGCCCCCGCCGCCGACAACAAGGCGCCTCGCATCCTCGGGATCAAAGTCGAGGGCGTAGAGCGGGTAGTCGAGCTCGATGGTGGCGCATGGAAACGGCGGAGCCATGCTGGCGCAGGCGAGCGCTGGGGCCCGAGTCAAAGGGCCACAGGGAAAAGGAAAGTGCGAGACGACCTCGGGGAGGCGGGTGGTGGGCGAGCGCTGCGCGATGCTTGCTGAAGGAGAGAATGTCGTCGTCGTCGGTCCGTCACGTCGTCGGTCCGTCATCGAGGCCAGCTGTTTTCACCTTGGCTAGCATGTGGGGGGCTCAAGTACTGCCGAGTTGTGCCGCACCAGGGGCAGCACTGTCTATACCTCGCTGTACATGCGCATCTAGCTCCGTGCCGTCCCTTGCCCACTCGCTGGAGCTCCCCCCAACAAGGCATCTGATTGTGTACAGTAACTTACTGTACTTCCCCCAAAGCGGCATCCACACTGGCCGCCAAGCACCGTCTCTGCCGCAGCCGCCCGCACGCCGGGGTGAATGAATGCGGAGGCCCCGCTGCCGAACGCCCGAGACCCGGGCATACCACACACATCTCGGCGCCCACCGACGACCGGCCCCGTTGCTGTAGACTCAACCGGCCGCCTGCTTCACAAGGTCAGGGCGTCTCGCCTCGCCATCCCAGCATCCTGTCCATGTGAACCCTCATGCAATGGTCCCAGCACGCTACAGCATTTTCATTGTGCGTCTCTTATATTTGGCCTCTTAACATGCCTTCATCTGTTCCTAGGCAACGGCTGCATCACCGTCTGTCAAACAGAAACAAAAGGAACATAAAGAAAAACACAAAGTTTACCCTGCGCGACACGCAGCAAACGCCCCTTTCTCCATGCCGGGCCCCCAAAACACCCCAACTTTGCTGTGTTGCAACCCAGCCCGCCGCCTTAGCCCCGGTTTGTCGCAATTGCTTGGGTATCTCTTCCTCCTCTGAATCCATTCTCGACCTCTTCTCAACTGGGTATACTGCCCAACCCGTGGCAAAAGGAATACACCAAAATGCAAATGTAAATGACAAGGCCACACTCGACTGCAATCCATAACTGGTTTCTGTTGGTTATGATTAAATGGCAGCGACAGGAATGAATAAACAGGCTCCATCTCATCATCTGCCCGAAGGGAAAGACCAAACGTTTGATAAAGAACAACTGAGCAGAGTATGGGTACAGGACTCGTGTAAAGAAAGAGAAACCCAGTATGAAATGTCAGTCGCCCGACGATCATGTGTATTCTTTTCGGCGCCCCAAACAAGAATAAAAGAAGAGAAATGATAACATTGATATTAGGGTCTTCAGGCGGGTTTTGGCAACGGAGACGCCCCAAGAGCCTTGTCGAGAGACCCTTATTCTTGACCATGCCCGACAGAACGGGGCACTCATCGAGGACATGAGTCGGGAGCATCACCAGCATTAGTGCCATTGGGAGGCGTGGCCGTCGTACACCTTTCTCGGCGCCGTTGCCCACCCGGTCTCGTATTGACGTGGCTGGGCGGGCCGCCACTGCCCGGTTCTCGGATCCTGTTCCTGCGGCTGCCCAGTTCCCATGCCTTGAGCAGCCAGTGGTCCCTCCATGGCCCTCAAGGGGGGCAGTCTTTCGCCACTGCCCGACGAGGCAGCAGACGGCGGTCGTACCGGGCCCCCGTACCCCGAGGCCCCCGGCAGGGATGCCAAGACTGGCGGCGGTGGGCCGACTGACGCCCCGTAGACTGGTGTCGAAAAATCGGGGCGGTCGTCTGTTCTTCGGCGTTGGGCCGGTCGTTCTGCCGACGATGGATCGCTCGCGTATCCCTGAGACGGCGTCGGCATATGTGCGTGCTGTCCTGGGCTCCTCTCCGCATGCGAATCCGAGCCTTGTTCCGAAGGGCTTGCTGGCCCGCCGGCATGCTGATGAATGCCCGGCGTCCGCGCCACAATCTCCCTCAGCCGGTTGCGGTCATCTCGATAAAAGTCTCGCTGCCGCTTGAGGTCATCAATCTCCTCCATCATCTGCTGCCGCTCGTCCTTGAGATCCTGGAGCTGTCTCAGGTTCTCCTCTTGCATCGTCTTCTTTTTCCTGCGGTGCCTCGTCGACGCCTTGGCGTTGCGCTGGCGCTTTTCGTCTGCCTTCTTGGACGCTTGCGAGTAGTCGACCTGAACAGGGATCGGCGTGTCGGAGCCCGGCAACGTCATGAACGCCTGCTGTCCGTCTGCGCTGCCCATACCTCCCCCGACGCCAGATCTGCGCATTGCGTCTGACCACAACGCCGACCCTTCCCCCGGTCCTCCAATGGCTGAGAGGGGTCGGCTGGGTGGTGCCCCATGCTGAAACTGCGGAGGCGCATGCAACGACTGATGGCGGGTATGCGAAGGCGCGTATGAGACGTCACCGCCGCGTGCTGAAGGCTGCGCCGGCGCTCTGGGGGATGTCGTCAGCGAAGAAATCAGAGCTCTCCCGGGGCCGTACTGAGGCCCAGGGTGTTGTCGGGTGTCCTCAGCCTCTGTCGCATAGGGGCGCTTGGCGGAAGAGGAAGCGGAAACAAGCGAGTGCGGCCGCAACTCCCTTTCGTGAGACGGAATAGCCTGAGACGGGCCTGAAGCTCGTGGAAGCCCGGGACTCGATGTCTTTCTGGGGTCGTTCCCCGCAGGAAATGGGTAGGCAGTGGCAGGCGAGTTGCGCCCAGAGGACGATGGCCGTCCGAGCGGGGTCAAGTTGCCGACGGGAGAACCTGTATGCGAGACCAGTCCCGTATGGGTTGGAAAGAATGATCTCGGGCCATGAAATGTCCGTGATGAATGCGCCACTGCCGAGCCGCCGTCGCCCTCCCTCGTTCGCGAAGAGAACGGGCGAGAGCTATCTGGCGCCGCGAGCCGCGGTTCAGATGGATTCAGAATGTTGTGAACCCCTAAAGCTTTGGCAGAAGGATATTGTGACCGGCCACCACCTTCTGCGGCAGGCACGCCGACCGAACCCGAGCGAACGGTTCCGCCACCGGGAGGCGGCACATGCTGGTGAGGGGATCCCTCTTCGTGCCCGACGGGGGATCCTGAAGACCGGCGAGAAGCAGGGCGAGGCACAGGCCCCCTCTGCGACATCGAGACCTGATCCCCTACGTATTCCTGGTCCGCAGGACCGGCACATTGAACTTCTGCGCTGTATATCGAAGACTCTTCTGCCAAATGTTTCGGGAAACACTTCAGGGGGGGGCCGACGGGTCGCCCCTGAGGCGTAGGCGGGCTTCGAGGCGAGTTGGGCGTCGTAGCGGCCGTAAAGTCGGTGGCCACAGAGACGGGGCTGTCTTGGACAAACGTCGCCTGCTGCCACAGGCCTGCCGACGGACGCGCCAGGATGGACAGGGACGGGCTCTGCGCGGCTGGGAGCTACGCCCACAAAATCCCAGCTGCCTCGTTATCGGAGGATCAGATAGAGATTGCACTTGGGTGGACGAGTTGGACGTGACCTGTGAGTCAGCCTTGTCGAGGTTGGAGAGTAAAGCTGCGACCCGAACAAGCGCGAGTGCGAAGGACAATGCCGAAGGGCCTACGCGATCGCTCGGGGGACGGTATTGCAGAAAGAAAGTCCGAGGTTCAGGAGGCGAGGCGTGAAGAGTGTTTTTTGTTCGACGAATGGAGCCGGCAGTCGAGAGGAAATCGTCGAGTGTGCGTAGGCAACAACCCCCGTGGGTACACCAAGGGCCGCTCCCCTCGTCAGCCCGACCAGTGGCGGTGACCCCCCAAATTGCGAGCCAGAGAGAGTCGTGGTCCGGCAAACAGGCGACCTCGACGTGCTCTCAGCTTTCGCTGGGGTTGACACAAGGTATGCCGGCCGCCTCGTCTCCTGAGCAGCGACGACAGCAGCAGTCAGTCCAAGTGTCTCGTCGTTTGCTGGCCGGCAACCCAAGTTCTCGTAGAATAGAGAAGGGGCAGTGACGAGATGGTTCGAGAAGCGTCGAGATGGATTCGCGTCTGGCGTGAAGAGGGCAATGGCAAGCCTCGAAGTGACGATGGGTTCGATCGGATTTTACAAACTATCGTCAGTCATGCTCAGTCCCGCTTCCTGTGCCAAAGGTGGACTAGAAGAAGAGGCAGGAATGGGTCGGTAAGGGATAAGCATGAATGGCGAGAATAGGCCGGAGCTGCTAAGGAGACAAGGGACGGGGTAGAGTGCCTTGCCAATCAAAGGACCTTGGCCCCCTACTGGCTTGTCGAGGCAGTGGTATAGAGCAAGGGGACAGTGCCAATGGCAAAGGCCCAAGCTAGATGGCAACGAGCCAGATGAAGTCAGCCACTGGACGAATGTTAATAGTCAGGCCATCCACCGGCACCCGACCAATTCCGCAGCGCCTGGCCCGCCGGTTCCCTTGCCGTTCCCCAGCTCACGGTGTCTCACGACTGGCGAGCAGTGCGGTGAGGGGTGGAGGCAAAAGGGGGCAGGTTTTAGAGGCAAAAAGGAAGAGATGCGGAGAGCCGTCGCAGTGTTGGGCTCCGCGTGGGAGGAACAACACAGACCGGGGTTGATGGGACTGGCTCATGGGTCGCCAACTCTCTCACTCATCAATACTTTGACTGCAAAGTACACGCGTACTGTACTCGTACATGGCAGCCAGATTGACAGGGGGTGTCATCTGTTTGCCAGACGCTGCGCGGTGCTACTGTGAGCCTTTGATCCCCCCTCCCCCCGGTAGCAGGAGGCAGGGTTTGGATGGTTGGGTGGTGGCCAGGCCGGGTTTCTGGTGGCGGCTGCAATTTTCCCTCGGTCCCTGTCGTGCTGGAGATGTGTCGAGCCACCAGCCCCAGCGGAAGCTTCCTAGGACATTCGATGGGCGAAAAAGGAAAGACTGGAACTACCCGGTTCGGCTCATCCGAAAGCTGCGGTTACAATGTTCCCTGCATGCGTGCAAGTAGGGAGTATTCCCACGAGCTTGATATAACGTGCGCATCCCCGCAGACATGTTCAAGACGCACGTGTTGTGTATGGGCAGCGCCGAGCGTCCTGGCAGCCCAGAGACGCCGTACGGGTCCATGGCCGAACGGAGCTTTCGATGGTGGTTGCCATTCTGGACAGCAAGGCGAGCGAAAAGATGAAGATGTTCACGGTCGATGGACTTTCCGAGATGGCTGGCGATGCACTCTCCCTTGTGCCCAAAGGGGACAATGACGAAGTCACCGGCAACCCCAGCTAGCAGGGCTTGCTGACGATGGCGGTCAGCAAAGAAGACGCAAGACAGGGCCGTGGGAGGCTAAGATGGAAGAAGCAGCGCCATGGCCGAATCAGGTACCGGGCCCTGGCCAGGCCACAAGCACATGAGAGTTAATGCAGACATGGTCGGGATGCAGAAGCGGCAACGGGATTTCCAGACGACCGGTCGACAGCACTAGTGTTGGGTGCCCGAGTGGGTCGAGGTCCAAGACGCAAGTTGAGCCGCCTCATCAAGCGGGCTGGACGGCCACATGCCCGAAGAGAAGGGGGGCGGGAAAGCAATGGTCTCGAGGCTGCAGGCGTGCAGGGCGCCGTGCAGCAGAGAGACAAGAGACGGAGAGGCCTCTTACGCCCGCCGCATGCACGTATGTAGATGGCACAATGCCTCGTTGCGTGCTCGACAAGCGCTGCCATGGCCGTCGTTGCCAGCCAGCCAGCGGATGCTTGGGCGGTCCCCGGAGCCGTTGCTCGAGCTCTCGAGACTCGGCGGCTGCGGTCGTACATTGGCGGCGGCTGGCGGCAATGGCGCGTTGCTCGAATTGTATGTACGACAGCGGAGATGAGCGTGGATGGCGGGTAGTTCCAGAGCGCACGCGGCCCAACCCTTGGCCTGGGGAGCCAATTTTCCGACCTGTTGCGATGAAATGAGGCAATGTGGCCCCGGCGAGGGGTGAAAGGAGGGCGCTGACGACACCCCGTGCATCGTGGCCGGCACTCGCAGGCGTGTCTGTCCGTTGGTGTATCTTGGAGTACTCCGTACACAAGTACTCGATATGTGGTCGTGTGTGCAGGCCGACGTGATGCAGACAAGGGGAAACGCGAGATGCTTCGTGATGATGCCCTTTTTTTCCTTCTTTCGAGGGAAGGGTCGGTAGGTACTTGGAACTCGGTACGGAGTACGTACTCGATACACAACTGCTAAAACTCCTTCCCTTGCTTCGCTCTCGTTACACCCCCTCCAAGGCCTATCCCCACGCCTTGGTGTTCTCATTGCCGGGATCGGCCCCCCCCAATGCCATCCCATCTCCAACACAATAGGCTGGCCAAATATCCCGTGCTTGCTGCCATTTCTAACAGCCGTCTGCCTGCCGATGCCGTCATCCTAGCGTCATGCTGCGGCGGCGGGCGAAGCAAGAGTCGAATGCTTTCTTGCAGTAGCCCTGGCGAAGAAGAGGCCAGTGTACCCAGCCAAGTACCTACCTACTCTGCCGAGACCGACCTACTTTTCTCTACAGCATGTACATCGTTGTAGGTACTCAGTACCTACCTGCAAGTCTTGCTCCTCGTTGGGTCGGCACGCCTGTGGTTTTCTGCAGTTCCACGCGAGACATGTTTCTACCTTTTCCACGTCGGCTTCCAACTCTTCCTCCGTTGGACAAGACCGGGCCGCAGAGTGTCTGTCTGCGTGCACAGGGCATCGCAAGGCGCCCAATCTCTGCTGCAAAATACAGAGGCACTGAGTAATCTACGGTTGTACCCTTGCCTTGCCTGGGCCAGGCACCCTCGGAAGTGTGCCTGCGGTAGTACCTTGTCTTCGGTCTGGATCTGCCAGTACATCATCACATCAGTCTACAGTGTACCGTCTGTGCCTGGACGCTTGGAGTGCATTAGCCTCATGTAGGGAGGCAGGACGCTATGCCGTCGTCGAAACCAACGCTCGTCGAGACACTGTCGAGTCAAGCTAAAAGCCATGGAGAAAATGACGACTCACCAAGGCCATGTGCTTTTGCGAACAAGTGCGTGCAAAGTGCGGATAGCCATCCAGAGTACCGCCAGGTCACGAGCACGTGCCTCTCGTATCGTTTCCTTTCCCCTGCTTTCTCCTTCCTTCCTTTTTCTCCTCTATTCATCTTCTCGTCCCTCGTCCCTTGCACCTCTTTTCGCCTGCTAGGCCGGGCACGTCAGAGCAAAAAGAGAGGGAAGAGACTCCGTGCGCCGCATAGACTCGGCTAGCGGCTGACGAGCATATCTCTCCTGCTGGCTACGTGTCTCGCATGGCGGGTGATCCGTGCTGTCGTCAAATCGATCGTCGACGGCATCACCCACATACGCACATACATGCAAAAGTTGCAGCTTCGGAATAGCCCACCACGTATCACCCCGCGATACGTTGTACGAACGCTAATCAATACTCTCCTAGCCCCGTCGGATTATTGGCTTCCTCCCAGAGGTCAGACGGTTCACAGCATGCGTGGCCGACTTCCATCCCCTACCCCTGGCTCAATATGCGACCCAGGGTATGCTGCCGCTACCGGATCCGACGCCGTGGTTAGAGCTCGACTCTGCCCCGGAGCTTGCGTCAGGATACCTCTGGGCAGTCTGCCGCCGTTATTCGCATGGGAAAAGTCTTCCATCATATTGATCGTCGCTCCGCCAATGACTACCGTTGAGACAGCACCGAATGGGCAAGAGAAAAAGAAGCATGTGCAGCCCAACACGACTCCTCTCAAGCGTGCCAATCAATTTCTCGACAGGCCAACCACACTCGGCTGCAGGGGGGTTACTGTTCGACCGGGCTCATGCTACTCCGTACTCAGCCTGCAGCCCCGTTCTCGTCGTATAATCACCAGCCCACAATACGGTCCCCCCCCCCAGTCATGACAATGGCGAGCAGTGATTGCCATGGGCCATGAATGCACACGGTGCACGTCACCGCCAAAGAACCGGGGAAATGAGGTGTCAAATGAAATCAGCTTTGGGCAGGGGCTGTCCAACAAGGGAAAATATCATCCCTCAACCGACTGCGTTCCCCATCCTCCTTCCTGGTGTGGCATGAAAAGGACCCTCGTTGCTCAAAATGAGGAGAGCCCAACCACTAAGCCGGACTCGGAGAGCGTATCCGTACAGCACGCACGAACGACTCAAAGCAAGGTGAAACGAGGAGAGACAGAGAGAGACAGGCTCTATTGGTAAGGGGGTGGTCTGGGACATTGGGCTCTGTTCATGGGCCGACCCGATTTCTCAGTACCGACTTGGTGTTTGCATTTTGAGAGCAATAAATATTTACCGTCACTCTCACTCAGGCTAACTCCCATTGCCGAGTAGGGAAACTGCATGTCCAAAGGTTCACGGATCCTCATGTCTTGTCCGATCGCCAGCCAACCTGCAGGTGCATGGCTGCATGAAGCAAGATGTGACGCAGCAGCTGCAGACCGGTTTGAGATTGGACCGAGATCGAGAAAAAGGAAGGGTCAAAGAGAAATAGGCTTCCGCTGGTAAAGTAGCAGACAAAGCCTGAAGAAATGCAGCCATGTCACTCAACGACCCACAACAGCTGTCACGGAGCCGAAGCTCTTTTTGTTCTTGCATGGCGCATTTCCCCCTGGCCTTGAAACCCTTTTCGGGCCTGTTTCAGAATCATATTGATGTGTTCGCTGGTTCCTTATAAATACGGCATCTCCACGACCTAGTCTGTCTCTAGGCACATGTTCTCGATCGCAGGGGTAATTGGAAAAAGGAGCGAAAAGATCCCCAGCCAAGGTCGAAGAGAACTCTCTACGCAGACAAGCGTCTTGTCAACAACGCAAGAGGTGTCGAGCCGCCGATGGGGCCGCATGGCATGCATTGCGTCTGCAGCGCTGGGTGTGAGGCAGCCAGGGTCCTGTCGCCTTTGCCGGTTCATGCGGGGGATGCCTGACTGTGACTTGACGAGGTCATCAGCTCAAGGCAGCAGGCACGAGACGCACGCAAGCAAGAGGCCTCTCCTTGCCCAGTTGAGAGCACAATGCCGAGGTGGATGGCATCGCAGGGCCCAGAGGCGAGATGCCAAGTGCCAGTATTTCAGCATTCGTCTGCAGCTGTATGCATCGTGTCCTCGGCACCCAGGGAGACCAGTGCCAACGTGGTCACGCTCTACAGCCAATAGAGCCAACCTCCGTCATTCACATTGGTGCCCGATATCAGCCTGATAGACGTTCCAAATTGGCCTCGGGTTCCAATGGCCCTTTCTTTTGCTCGTTGACCCGAAGCGATCTAGTCGACGATGACTGCAGCTACTCTTTGAGACGGTGCACGGGGATTTCACAGCGACCCGACTTGGGCAATGTGGTTGGCCAAGTAGACTCAGTGTCTCAGCCCTTCCGGCTTCCCCGGGCTTGCCAACGATGAGACAAACATGGCACTGTACTCGAGTTAAAGGGCCGAGATGCCAGTTGCGCGCCGGCGACGGCTGTGCAGTGTTGGTACGCGTCTTGCCATAGCCACGTGAAGAGCTTGGTTGGCTGAAGAGCCGTGGCTATGTGCAGGCCGTCAAATGCACGGCGAGTCAAGCGCGCATCCTGTCGAGGCGTTAAATGCCTTATCACATCCATCCCTTTAGGAGCTGTCTGATATCTTTCGCTCCCGTCACTTTCTGAAATGAGAGGGTCACTACGCAGAGCGACCTGTCGCCTGTACCATGGGGGCTGCCGATCGATCCCAGGATGGGCATCATCGCGAGCTCACGCACTGCCGGGCACAGGATTCGCAGCCGTGTGCTTGCAACCAATCATTGGGATCAAGCTCTTCTGGCGCGGTTGACTAGCCCGTGGCCGCTACCGGCTGGTTGGCTTTTCCCGACAACGATGATTTCATTGTGGCCAGTTCAGCCAGCCCCTCTCAAGACAGAGGCAGCGTGAAGGCCCTGGCGCTAGCTATAGCGACGCGACGGACCAATTCACCCGGAATGGCTGGTTTGGCACGAGCTGGAGCTCCCGCGCGAATGGGAGGAGAATCAATAGTGATGATGGCGAGTTGAACCACTATCAACCACGGCCTGGGGAGAGCCAAGGGTCGGGTCCCCCCTTTTTTTAACTCCGTATATGCTAGCAAGAGACTGGGTTGATGCCCGTGACTCTTCAGCAGAGGCTTTTGCTTGGTGATTCCATCTACTTGCGGAAGCTCCCGGTCGCTCACGAACGCCCATCTCAGACACACGAGCTCTTCTCCACTCGAGCTCTCCTCCACTCGTCGTCTCCTGGCCATCAACCCCACACTGCCCCCTCTCAACCTCTCTCCGCCACAAGTTTCAGCTGCGCAGCCAGAAAGATTCGTCAACAAATTGAGACTCACCGGGTGGAGACTGACGAGATGACGGACAAGTGGACGGTCGAGTCGCCCTGGCTGGAGCTGCACTGCGCCCTGGGCGAGGGGCCCTTTTACGAGAAGGCGGCTCATGCGATCCGCTTCGTCGATATCAAGAAGAAACAGGTGCATACCGTGTCACTCGACCAGGGGCTCTCGTCGCTGCAGACGATCCAGCTCGACGTCTGCCCCACCGTCACGTCGGATATCCAAGGCGTGGACCCGCGAGAGCGGATCCTGCTGGGTGTCAAGCATGGAGTTGCCATACTGCATCGCGAGACGGGCACGTACGAGATGCTGGCGCGCTTTGGCGAGCCGGACAACGAGCGTCTGCGCAGCAACGACGGGGCATGCGACCCGCACGGGAGGTTTTGGCTCGGCAGCATGACCGACTTTGGCCTGGGAGAGATGCAGCCTGAAGGTACAGTACTGTCAAAGGATATCGCCCCCCCGGCACACGTTGCTCACCGCATCCATCCCATGCGCTCGCTGGCTGGCTGACTCTTGATTCGCTCCAGGCTCCCTCTTCCGTTTCAGCCACACCGGCCGCGATGACGAGGTGATGAAGGGGCTCACGATCCCCAACTCGGTCGGGTGGTCGCCCGACGGCAGGGCCATGTACTTTACGCACTCCAAAGCCCGCCAGATCCTGGCCTGGGACTACGACCCGTCGTCGGGCGCCCTTGCGCGGCAGCGCCTCTTCTACCAGCACGCCGGGCATGGCGAGCCCGACGGCTTCCGCATCGACGTGGACGGCAACCTCTGGAGCGCCGTGTACGGCGAGGGGCTGGTGCTCAAGATCAGCCCGCGGGGCGACGTGATTGGGCGGGTGACGCTGCCGACGCGAAACGTAACCTGCGTGCAGTTTGCGGGGACGGAGCTGGTCATCACGTCGGCGGCGGACGAGGCTGAGGATGCCGACTCGGTGAGCAGGCGGCATGGCGGTGCCGTCTTCAGGGTGGACGTGGGCACGCGGGGGCTGGAGCTCTTCGAGTTCGTGATGGGTCCGCGTAGGAAATGAGGCGCGACATTTAATCATGTCTGACGCATCATGTGTGAGCGGGTGTCTCAGTGGAGCTCGTGCAAGGACATGGCCGCCGGGCAACAGAGGGTCCCCCAGGGAAGAGAAACGCCGACATGGACGATTCGGGGCCATTGGGCATGCGGATCCTCGCCCCATGACGAGACTGCGGGACGCGTCAACCTGAACCTGAGGCAAACAGTGCACCTCGACGGCCTCTCGGCAGGGTTCCATCGCGACGGTCGGTCTTGAGGCCCCCCCCCTGTCCCCAGGCGATGCACGACGAACCCCACAATCGGTGACGCCGCCCATCCCTGCTCGGTCGCGACCGCGTGCTTTGTACCGACCGACGCGGACATCTGGTTCCCGCTGTCATGCTTATCTGTCCCATGCGCACCAACGGGCTGGTCGGGAGGTCGTATATGTACACACGGGCGCCGGGGCGTGAGAGAAGGGGAGGAGGGGACAATGGAAGACGATGGGATTTTAAAAAGGGACACGCCCAGCTCGACGACGGGCTCGTGGCATGATGGCATGCCCCGGCCAGCGGCAGCAGTTCATGCGCGTTCACCGCCGCCTCACCGCTCCCCCAGATGGGCGGCCGCTGTGCATGCCGGGCCTTCACGTCCGTCTTGTTGCCGCGCGCGCGCACACGTGCTGTATGTATGCGCGGCAAGGTAGGGCAGCAGGAGGTCCAAGGCCCCTTTGCGCTCGTGCATGCCGTGGCTCCGGCCCAGGCCCTACAGATGGGATACGTGAGCATCTAGACGGAAATGCAGACTGCCTGTAGCTGGAACATGCCGAGGAGGTACTGTATAACGGGAGGACGAGTCAGTTGTCATACGGCGTCTCGATATCGCACGCTGATATCTGGCATGCAGGCACGTGTCTACAGTAGACTTGTCAAGTTGTCATGAGCTCGAGCCCCTGAGCGAGCTACTGTACGGCGTATCGACAGACGAATGCGAAGATGGAAGCTCCCATCCATTACGAAGACAGCACGGGGAAGAGAAGCATAACCATGCCAGAGGAGAGTACGGGGCGACGAGGCCTTTACACAGCGCAATCGAAGCGAGAAAGAATCAAACGCCTTTTCAACAAGCAAGAGAGAGGAGGCTGAAGAAAAGGGGGGCCGAGGCAGCATCATGGGCTGCAGCCTTGCCGAGACGGCCTTGTATGGCATGTACAGCTACCTGGCAAGGCATCCTCGAGCTGATTCGACGACAAGACAAGTCGTCTTGAGCGTCGACGGTTGAGATGTACTGTACATGGCCGAGGCTTGTACGCGCCGTGTCGGTGGCAGAGCAGGGACCCTGCTCGGAGGTAATGGCATGAAGCCCGCCCACGGCTCCATCGCAATGCTACCGACGCCGTCCCTTTTGCTTCCCCCGTTTCATCACGCCGCTTCACCTGTCATTTTTTTTTCTTCATTCATCTCCCTCCCAAGGTCTGCGTTGGCGGATAGAGGACGGGCAGTGTTTGTTCGTGCAGACGCCACCAAATAAACCAAGTTTCTCTGGCCGGGAACGTCAAAGGCCCCCCCCCCCCCCGGTCCTCGATGACGACGAAAGAGAAAGTCGATGGTCTCGGTCTTTGTCCCATCACTGCTTCACCGGGGCGGGGGATCCGCGCTCCGCCGAGGAAGGGGGAAGCATCGTCCCGCCCACCCGTTGACGGCACGAGGGGGGACAAGACGCTGCTCGGACAGGACCCATCTCCCCACCCGCCGTGTGCTCCTGTGCTTGAAAGCGCCGGGAGGGGGGAGTGGAGAAGAGGATGTAAAGGGGGCGGACGGGGGGGGGGGGCAGAACGGGTCGTGAGACTCGGACCGGGCGGCCGTCGTGAAGCCCCTCGCCCGGCGGTCAAAGAGTCGGAACCTTGGGGCGGGCACGTGGGCGCACTTTGAACGGCAAGGACGAGCGGCCTGTGCTACCGCGCCGAGGAGATGATGGCTTGCGCCGTCTCAGCCGACGGCCCTGCGCCCCATGAGAGGAGGCTTGACGCCCCGTCTCTCTCTCTCCCCCTGCCTCTCTCTCACTGACTCACCGGCTCTCTCTCTTTCAGCCTCGGCTCTACTCGACACGCCTCGCTGAAGATAATGTCGCTCGTCCATGGCCCGTTCCATCGTCGGTTGCCTCCCGTGCTCGACCTCGACGAGGCAGATACTACAGACCCTTTGCCTCCTCATCCGCTTCCCTCCCGTTCCTTGGCAGGGTACGAAAGCACAGGGAATCAACCCCGGACCTTCGTCGGGGGTGCCACGAGGGGCCACGCAGGCCCCGCTTACTTGACCTCGCGCAAGAAGAGAGGGGCGGGCATCCCAGCTCCCCGGGCAGCCTCGTCCTCCCTCGATCCACTCGTCGACGGCCGATGTTAAAGACCGGGTCCTTCCCGCCCCCGCCCCGGCATCCTCTCCGGCTTGCCACTTCAAGCCGTCGGGGACAGCTTGGCGGTCTGCTGCTCCACCAACTGCCTCCCCCTTCCACTCCTCTTCTTCCCTCTCCTCCCCCACGTCGGACGATGCTGGGGAGGGGAGGAGGAGAAAGGGGGTGCGGCGAGCGGCACCTCGTTGCTCTGCCACGGAGCATGGGCCTTTTTTGTCATCCGTCGTGATCTGTTTGTCGTGCCTTGCCTATCCCATCATAGCCGGGAAAGGGGGGACCGTGGCACCCGGGGAGGGGAAGAAGGGAGACAGACAGACTGAGAGACTGGGAGAGGGCGTCCCTAGACGATTCCAGCGTGCCGTACAAAAAATATGCCACGCAAAAATAGGGGGTGGGGAATCAAAGGCCGGCGAAGAAACAGCATATATGGCTCATGGGGGAATCAAACCATGTACCATCATCATCATCATCACCGCCGCCGCCCCCTCCCCCTCCCCTTCAGCCTGGCCGCCGCAATGGGTCCCCCGGCCCGAACCAACGGCCCGCATGACGCCGCCCAGCAGCAAGCAGCGCGTCCATCCATTCGTCGGTCCTGGCTGCGTTGCTGACGGGCCGGGCCTCGGTAGGGCGGGCGGGCGGTGGCGCACAAGGAGCCCGACAAAGCGTATTCACGACATGCTCTTCTTCACTCCTCGCTTTTTGCTTTGTTCCTCTACTGCTGCTGCTGCTGCTGCTGCTCCATTCGCCTCCTCCCCGAGCCCTTCAGCCTTGTCAGCACAGTCGAGGCAGGGAGGGAGACGGCCATCCCAGGCGGGACCCACGAAGCCTCTGCGCAACAGAGCTGCGCTCTCCCCTATTTTCCACGCAGAGGCCAACAACAACAACAACAACAACAACAACAACAACACCGCCTCTCTCGTGATCAAGGTGAGGCGGCGCCCGAAGGAGCCGCAGCCTGTGCAACCTCGACGACGGGAAATCTCACCTCATCCAGACCAAAAGGTTGACAGTTTGCTCCCCGGCCCACCCCAAGGCAGCGTACTGATAGACATGTACATGCCCTCGCCGGATAGTTACCCACCATGAAAGCTCGGGACACCAGTGGCAATGTACAGGCAGGCCGTGTTCCGTACATACTTCGTACCGCTCGTCGGGGGGACGGGGGGGGTGGCACGATGCCGTATCATGGCCGTTCTCGGCACCTGCGGCTCCGCTGCCGCACGTCCATCACCGTACCTACATACACTTCGTGCATGGATGGATGCCTCGGGCACATGCGGTCCTCTGCATCATGATACCTTGCCTGCTGCAGCCGAAATACATGCTCATGACGCAGAGGAAACGCGTCTTCACTGGCCCCCTCGACGGTAGGTACGGCGAGCCAAGGGGCCAGGCTCCTCCTCCTCCTCCTCCACCTCCTGCTGCTGTCGGCCAACCGTGCCTTGCTTGGCCTGCTGTCGTCCGTTAGACCCGAAGGCGCCCGGCTTATTCGCTTCGTCTGCGCAGCAGCCACGCCATGGCCATAGCAATTGTTAGCCTTTATTGCCTATCCTGCGTACCCAGCACCGTCAGCACAGCCTCTCCCCTCCTCGACAGCCCGCCGAGCGCCGCCATGTCGTTGCGCCAACCGTCTGACGGCGCCTCAATCTCGCTGACCCTGCCCTCGTGTACCACTCGAACTTTGGCCCCGGAGGTCCGTGTTGATTACCAAGTCATCCTTGTACCTCATGTGAACCACAATCGTCAAGCCTTCGATGCCGACGTCATCGGGCGTTGCTTGCAGGGCCACCCCGTCCCCGACTCCCTTGTCCATCCGACTCGGCTGCCCGTGTCCCAGTGCGTCCTCGTCAGCGTCGCACGAGTTCAGCTCCGTCTTCCATTTCTCCACCTCCCCCCTGAGATCCATGTACCGGTCCCGCCATGAGCATCCACGGCACTCTGGCGACGAGCAGTCCCTGGCGTCCTCCCAAACAGCGCCATCATGTGTTTCTCCGTCCCCCGGTGACCCAGAGTTCCGCGATGGGCCGTGCAAGGCCTCTTCAGCCTTCTTTGACGCCTCGAGCTCCTCCTCCGCCTTTTTCTGGGCAAGCGAGCGCTTTACCTGCCTGACCCTGAGCGTGGCTGGTGTAACCCAAGATTCCGCCCAAGGTTCCCCAGGCTGGGGATGGCCTTGTGTGCCGTCCCGGTGGCTACAATCCTGTGGCGGCGTCGTTGACGTCGGATCGCAGAAAGAACAAGTGTTGGCCGTTCTCTCGAGATGCGGCCGCGACGTTTCAGCCTCCCTCCTCATCAAGTTCTGACGCCACTGAGACGCCGGAGTGGATGCTGCGGTGATGCTGCGGGGCGAGATTCGTCCCTGCTCCGCCGTCTTTTTCAGATTTTGCCTCCAAGTTAACGGTGTAGGCATCTCGTTGGCACTTCGTAGCTCATCAGCGTGGCTCGACGGTCTTCGCAGGGACCGACGAGACCACGGGACAGGCTCTGGCGTAGGGGTTTGCTTTTCTTCTCGTCGCTTGTCCACTTTCCTCAGACGCGGCCAGGGATCTGGCTTCAAGTCGGCGCCCTGGGAAGGCAGGCACAGGTTGGTGCCTCGTGGGTGGCGACGATATTGCGCCATGCTCGACACATCCTGACCGACTACACTAGCTGAAGAGGATCGGGTGGGCAGCAGCTGTGCCGTCCGACTCGCAGATAAAACGTACGGCGCTGGCGTAGTTGACCGCCCTCGTTTCCCCGTGTTTTGGCTGCTACTTCTGAACTTTTGGGACCGACGTTCGTCCCGAATCTTGTCCAGGTCCTTCGCCGAGGGACCTGGGCTCTCATTTCTGTGACGCGTAGGAGAGCAAACCAAGGACACGTCGCTCTCTCTGGACTCTGTATCCTTTCGTCTCTCAGCCAATCTCTGACCGGCGCCGGGATTTAAGCCCAAAAAGGGGGTGGTTCGTTTGGGGCTTTCGGCGCTTTTGGTGCTCTCCATCTGGCATTTCGCCTCGTCTAACCCCCCTTGGCCCTGATGAGAAAGGCGGGCAGAGCGGCAAACGGGTCCAAAGACATCGTCTGCATCTATAGTATGGGCTTGGGGGTTTGAAGAAAGGGGAGCTACCATGTCATTTTCGAGATTATGCGGCTTCAGCGGGCGGATGAACGAGACCTTGTTATCTTGCTCAAGGGAATGAACGCGGTCATGTTTCGCAGTTGAAATGTTGCTGTGATGAATGCATGCCTCGCACGAATCCTCGCCAGAGGCTCTTGTGCTGCAGTCAAGCTCTGTTGGTGCATTGGCAAGACGTTGCAGGCCATGTCGAGAGTGCAGCTCTTCAGAAAGCTGACAGAGCTGATGGATCTTGCTTTGCAGCTTCCCATCCTCGGAGCCATGGTCCTGTTTCTCTCGCTCCTCACTCCGACCTGCTTCGCATGTTGGCTGCCTGGAGAAGCACTGGTGAGCGGCGCAGCAAACCGAGTGCTATTCGCCTTGAACACTGCCGCCACTACTGCCAAGACTGGTACCCGGCTCTCCCTGACTCTTGGAGTCAGTGGACGATCGATCCATGAATCGCCGAGGCACGCAGTCAGACAACTGTCGAGGCTTGCTTGCTCTCGCACGGCGCGGTGTGGTCAGAGGGGTCGAGGCCAGCGCTCTTGAAGTCTGATCTGCCTTGAAGAAGGGATTTTCTCTGACTGTGCTCCCGACTTTGGCTGTCGGTGTCTGCAGTCCGTGTGGCGTCCGAGAGCGTGCCCCGGGATTTGCGTCGATACCACCATCATCAATCGCGGAGCAGCTGGCAGGATAGCTCCCCCGAGACGGCGTGCTGTCTTTGCCAGAGGCATGCGTAAGCTGCGTCCCGTCGACCGGTAACTCGACCGTACATTTGCCGCAAAAGTCATGCTCACAGTTCGGACACTGGTTTCTCGAGCAGAGGCTCGCGCCGCAGGAGTGACATATCTGGAGTGTCTTTGTCTCCGTCTGCTGTCGCGGCTTCTCGTTAGACAGCCAACTCTCCGGGCGGGAAAGGCCGTATAGATCGAACACCGACAAGGCGTCTTGCCGTCGCCCACCCGAGGCCGGCGAGACGCTATTCTTGCCCGAGGTAGAAGTCTGCGAATGTGAAGTGTCATCTGGGCGAATGGACTTCGATCTCTCAGAGTCGGCGCTGCCTTTTGCACTACTAGTAGGCCCACAGCGTCAACATACCAGGTTGTTCTGGAGCGCCTCGGTAGACAACAAGCAAATTTTACTGACCTCGAGTCTCTCAAGCTTGGTCTCTTTGGCAAAGCTCCCCTGGCGACAACAGGTTCCCGATCATGAGTCTCTCGCGACGAAGACGCTGACTTTCTGACAGCCGTACTCCGCGAGACCGGACGGCCAATGAGACCGTCTGCTCGACGACCCTATCCGAGCCTGGTATCTTCGCGGTCATCATCCAGACGGAAAAGCGATTGCTCGTCACGGGGCTGGTTGTTTGCAAGAGAGGTGAGCTGACGGATGCGAGCGCCGACTAGCCCAGACGGTGCTGATGTTGGCGTTCGCAGGTCCTGTTGAGCGGGTAATGGTGTTTTGTTTGCGTCGGGGCGCAGCGGGCTGGCGGTAGAGCGATACGCCATAGTCTGCGGTGAGAGGAGAAATGCTGATGAATAGCAATGTGAAGGCTTTATAATTCTCGATGCCGGCAGTACAGTCGGGCGACGTGTCATGAAATGCCAAGCGGTGGATGAAGCAAGGTTGTTAGGATTATCGAAGAGCTTGGGAGATGCGAGGGCTGGGTCTAGGAAAGACCACATTGAAAGATCACTGCCATAAGGAAGGAGGTTGGTTCGAGGCAGAATTCGGCTGGAGGCAGGAACAGGAGGCACAATCGATCTATGGACTGCCAATGACAGACAGACACCTTGAAGCCCCGTAATCAATTGGTTGAATGCAAGGCGCACGCTTGCAGTGATACCCCCGAGAGAGACGGCACCAAAACTGGTATCAATTATCTTGGCGAGGTAGGAAATTTTGATGTACAAGGACATGCCATCATAGCGAACAAGGTCTATTTCACATGAGCAGCCAGTGTCTCGAGAACCTGCGGTCAGAGGGTCAGAAGCTGTGGGCCGACGGGACGCATGCAATTCCACGTGGACATACCTCCAATTCAATCTTGGCCTCTGCGATATCCTGCTCACTTCCGCTGCCCCCGGCGATCTTCTGGGCCTCGGCGATCTGGGACCTGATGGCCTCGGCGCTGAAGTCCTCGAGCGGGTAGCCCTCGGCGGCGTTGATGCTCATGGCGGAGCCGGGCTGCACCGTCGCGAACCCACCCGACACTGAGTCGCTTGTCAGCCATGCACCGACTCACCACGGAACCTGGTGGCTAAATCATCGGGGTGTTACGCACGGAAGAACTGCTTGGCACCGCCACTCTCCTCGACAACCTCGACGACACCGGGCTTGAGCTGCTCGATCGCGGGGACGTGGTTTGCGAGGACGCCCATCTCGCCGGATTCCGCGGGGATGTTGACCTGGACGACGTCGTGGGACTTGTAGATGGACTGGCGTGCGGCAATTAGCTCGGCTTCGTCCAGGATTCGGGCCAATTGAGTCTCGAGGCATGGTCAATCGCGCTTCAATCGGGGTCTGTCGCACCTGGTGAGGAAGAGAAAGGCTCAGCTTGATCTGCAGAGAGAGTTAGCGGTGCCTCGCGGAGTGACAAATGCATAAGGAAGGGGCTGCCTTGCCTTGTCGGGAACGGCCTCGGCGTACGTTCTTCGCTGGGCGAATGCCCGCATGGCGGCGGGGCGGGCTCGCAGGGCCGCGCGGGCAACATGGAGGGAGTTCATGGCGCGTTTGGGAGGGGTGGCGACAGCGTTGGTGCTCGGCGTGAAGCTCTATCGAGGCCGTGAGCACGAATCTTTGCCCGCGATGGTAGCTGGGGTTGATTCGGCTAGCGGGAAAATCGGACAAGGCCGGTCACATGCCATGTCACGTGATTGGTTCATTGTTTTCAGGTCAAAATACGGAGGGCAAACGATCACCAGCATCAAATTCCCACATGGCATAAAGCGTGCTCTGGCTGGAGATGAGGGTAACCCGGTGCCCCAAGTCTCTCCCCAAGGCCATCGCATGGCCTCGCGCCAGGACGGGATGGGACTGATTGCCCGTCCTGCAATGACGAGGCCCGCCGCTCTTGTCGGCCAAGCCTAAGCACAGCTACGGAATATCAGACACGGCGACAATCCCCTCGCCATTGCGGCGCGTGCAAGTTACGCTTCGCCTTGTGCGTGCAGGAATCTGCATCCTTGGTCTGGATGATCACCACTCCACGTTGTCAGATTGCCAGAGTGAGGAAGCGGCAAGCTCGGTCGTCAACACCAACCGGTCCGGAAAACTCGATCAGCAGTCCCGAAACTCCAGGTGAAGGATGGCCTTTCGCGGCATACCTATTCTGCGGAGACGGGTTTACCACAAGTTGCATTCATGACGGCACTGCAAGATCGTCGCACGTCGGTTGCCGTGGATCCGTCACGGGTGCGGCAGACGGTTTGCTTAGTGCTGGCGATCGGGGTGCCGCACGGGGCAACGACCCTGGGTCGGCTGAACAGGAATGAGGCATATCCTCCGCCTTGGGACGCAGATGCGCGGATATCCAAGGGACCGGCGAGGGATTGACTGCTGGACGGGATGTTCATGTCAGACTGTCAGAGCTTATGCTTGTCTGCACTTGATCTGGCAAAACGCACCCGTCCGGCTGCAGCTAAGGGGCCTTGGATGGCAGCAGAGACAAGAGAGGGGGACGTTCTCGTCTCGTTTGAGTGCGAGACATATGAGGGGCTGCACCGCTTGAACTTGCGGAGCAGTGGCCGCCAGGCTCGACAAGATGCCAATACGAGGTGAGCCATGTCTGCCGAGACTTGTACAGCTGTTGCACTGCGAACACTGCACACATCCCGGGGCAGCGGTCTAGACGCGTCCAATTGCTGCCGTGCCTCGACTTGGCCTTCCAAAAGGGGGTTGGCGATGCAGCGACCCTTCGGAATGCTCAACGGCTGTCGTGCCACAAGTCTCATGCCCTACGACCCCAATATTGAGCCAGCTTCTGACGAGACTGGGACTAACCATACGAACGAGTCGGCCTGTTCGTCTCGGGAGGTCCACTCGTTTGGGCTCCTGGGGTTGCAGCCGCGGTTCGGTGCATCATGTTTGCCCTGCACCCTAGAAAGACTGACAGGAGGAGGCCAGAAGATTGTCTCCGAGCGCCATACCGGAAGAGTCAAGGCCTCGCCGAACTCGTTTCAAAACCCCGTTTTTTTGCCCGGCAAGAGGCTGCGCCGGAGCAGCATCCGAGCGCCACGTTCTCCCTTGCTCTTGTAATGGTTTTAAATCCAAGCGTTTACAGTACGTAGAAGCATCGTCGGTCGGTGAGTCGAATCATGCGTTTTTTGTGTGCGCCGGGAGGATCCCCGTTGCGTTGGTAGCACAGGACAGGCTCCGAGACAGGAAGAGATGCGTCTTGGATATCCACGACAAGAAGCTCGGTCAGATACGTGGTGCTGTACGCGTACGTACACATGGGTGATAAGACAGGCGACATGTTGATCATGATTCATTCCATCAGTCCCCGTGATATGTTACAGTCTTGTTGGTCCAAGGCAGGGCGACATGTCAGCCTGCCCGTCAAGGACGTCTTGGCAGGCGGCGTGGGTGTGGGGACGAGATATCTTGCTTGGCGCAGCGGGAGTGCGCATCGCCGAGAAAACGACGTGTCGCCGGGCGGCGGCGGGAACGAGCCGAAAGGGCGATGAGAAAGGGCAATGAGAAAGGGCGATGATGACGGGGGCCCCGTTTCAAGCCTTACGAATGCACGTACCGTACCCTCGAGAAGCGGCGACGGCCTGGCCTCAGCCCTGCCTCTCAGATGGCATGCGAAACGGACGGTCGTGCACGAATAGGCCCGCGACTGGCGGGATGGATGGGTGGTCGGGATGGCTTCAACAGCCCGCAGGACTTTGTTCACCGCCGAATGGCACAGATGGGACAGGAAAGGCAGCCAACGAAGAGGAGTTGGTCGATCACGGCCGGGGCACACCACCGCCACCTCCTCCTCGTCTGTTTGATGAGAGAGGGGAGGATGGCGAGACTGGTCGACGACGACGGGGTGGGAAAGGATGGGAAAGGATGGGAAAGGATGGGACAGGATGGGACAGGATGGGACTGTCGTGTATTCCGTACTGTGCTGTAATTAACGGAAAGGGGCTTGTAATACGACTGGCTGCTCACTCGAGACGGCCACGGCTAGCAAGTCCACTATAATTAGCCCGGGCGCCAAAAGGGTCCCCCACCAGAGGCAGCAGGGCATTCTCTGTAGGAAGTATTAAGGAGCGATAGGCGCTGAAGCCGCATAAACATGCCCATGGTGCGGGGGTGGCTTTTTCCCTCTTCTCCTGTCTCTCCCCCTCTTCTTCCATCTCCTGCATGGCCAAAAGATGAGACGATCGACACTGTCACACGCACCGCTTTAATGCCTTAGCGTTCGCTCTGTCCTTCTCTCTCGGCTTCCTCTTCCCTGCGCGCGCCTTCTCTCCGCCTTTCTGTCCAGCCTCTCTGTACAAGGTGGTTCGTGTCCGAGAGGGCAAGATGAAGGCGTCTTTCTCGCTCGCCCGTGCACCCTCGGCCATCTGCATGTCGGCGAGCGCCCGTTATTTCTCGACCTACCCTATAAAGCCCGTGGCATTCAGGCGCGACGCGATGTCGGAGACGACCCGGCAGCTCTCACAGTTCCAGGGCACAGTCCTCACAGTACATGTGTATTCGTGGTTGCTTACCTACCTACCTCCCATCCCTTCAATTGCGTACGGAGTAGACACGGAGCTCACGCACCCTGCGACGAGCCGCCAACCTATCCAGGTCGAGCGCTGCGGACGACAAGGGAACCCTCATGCGGCTCTAGACCAGAAAAGCGCTCCGTCGTCATGTTGCAGATGGTGGTGGCGTGAGTGAGTACGTCGGCTGTCTCAGCTATCGGAGCCATCTCCAGCCACACGACGGGATACTGCGTGTCACAAGTATGTAGTACCTCGGGCTCATGGATGTGTACGGATATGGATGCTTGGAGGAAACGCCATTGGTACCCAGGGACAGCGAGCCGACGTTCCGGTCCGGCTTGGAGGTGGTCGCACAGCGTTGGCTTGACGGAGTGTGACCTGGACCATTTGCGTGCGACCTCGCGCGATTGGCTCTCTTGCTTCTCCACGACGCCGGAGGATGGGATGCTACGCATGCATGAGAGCGCCTGACTGTATCATGTAAGTAATGAAGCTCACCGATAGACTGTGCGCAACTGCGCAGCATATACACATGGCCCGGGTCAAGAACCTGGAGAGATGGGTTGGGTGCCTTACTCGGGCGTCTGCTGGTAAGCTTATTCAAGCACCTTCAAGCACCAGGCGGGCGTCAAGCGGGAGGCATCTGACCGAGGCTAGACGACGAGTCGTGCAGCCGTGTTTGAAATATCCCTCATACCTACTACTGCCTCTGCATACAGACTGCTCCAGTAGGTAGGCAGCAGTAGAAGCAGTAGAAGGATGGGGCTGCCGTCTGCGGCCGAGAAGCTGGAGAAGAGCCATGATGGAGGACTCGTCGCACACCCCGGTGCATCGTCAGGGCACGTGCAGTTTGGCACTCCGACGTCGTGGCAGGGCCTGTGTCGGGGAGAGAAGAGACGATATCTTTCTCGACGAGACACTGCAGCTTGGTGGGTGACACAAAGTTTAAATGACGATGGCCCTGACCGAAGTCTGCCCACACGTCGATATATCAACCCAATACCTATATCGCTTGGGTGGTGACGAGGACACATTCCACCTTGCAAACAAAAACAAACAGCCTCGTCTCGATCCCCACTCGTGCCCGTCCAGTAATGCAACGCATTTGATTGGGGGGGGAGGGGTGGAATCAGAGAATGAATATGCACAAGCCCTAAACTCTCGGCGCTCCTGGGCAGTCTCGACTCGGCCGACATGGCCATGGCTCCGGACTATCGACCTGACCCCGCGCGCCTTTTTCTCGCTACTCTCCAGATTCGGGTCACGGCACCATGGTGTCGGCTTGAGGGATGGTGCAGCATCTGGGGGCTGGGGTCAAGGACTCACGGTGACGAGTCGTGGTGCGGGCGGGCGCAGCGTCTGTGAGTAAGGGCAGCAGCCTCCGTGTTAATTCTGCCCGCTGAGCCCGGCGAGGGGGGAACAGTGCCTGGGGCTCTAGGGCGGCACGGTGCTGCGCCGCCGCATTCGGCGCCAGCACTTGCGGGCTCCATTGCCGACGCGTCAGTCACCCCGAGCCCGCCTCGGACCGTCGTCTTCCAGGCGCCAGTAATCTCATCCCCTTCGCACTGTAAAGGCCCAGCCGCGCGCCGCAGGTCCGGCCAGGCCCGGATGGTGACTGACTGCAGTGGACGAGTCGCCCGCCTGGGGTGGATCCAGGTCCGAGTCGAAGGCCAAGTTGCAGGAGTCGGGTCTGCGAGGATGCCTGCCTGCACCGGGTCCAGGTACTGTACTGTATTGTAGTGGACGCGTCGGCTCGGCCGCAGCACCCAGAATGATGCGCATTGGCAGCTCCGCAGCCCGTCGCTCACACGCCCCGGCTGCCCAGTGACGGAGCCAAGCACAAGCGCCAAGGCTCTAGGTATTACCCTGCCGGCCGGGGGCCCATCGCACACTACTATTAGGATGATGCAGGCCGAAGGAGCAAAGGGGGAAAAAACGCTTCGTCCGCCCCGGCCCCGCTTCTTTTGTACAGTATCCGAACATGCATCCATGACTGACTGACAAAGAAATGGCGGGATGCGCTTTCTGGCATATTTTTCTCTCGGCCCACCCAAATCCAGATGCTGTTGCTGCTCCCAGCGGGCCCGCCCACACTTTCCCTTTTTTCCCACGGCTCTTCCCACTCCTTTTCTTTCCGCTCCTCCTCTCTCTTTCTCTCTCTCTCTACCACCACCGTCATCTCCAGCCTCCTTATCCCTCCTGACGTCCTTCGTCCCCGGGCTCCTTCGTGCTTTTGTGCGGAGGGCTGCCTCCTTGCTGTTGTCCTACCTTGCCTTGCTCGCGGCACGCAGCGCCTTCCACGTGCATAGCCGCGTCTTGGCCATCTGCCCATTACACGAGCCCAGCCAACCACGACGACACACCGCTCAAGTCGACTTCTATCGGCGCCACCGCCAAAACACCCTCAACCGGAATCTGCCAAGCCTGCACCCTCACGTCGTAAAAGGTCGCCTCTTTCCGATTCTCTCAGTTGACTCACCCAACCGGATCCCAGCCTACCTTCTCGCTGTGACGCAGATCCCTGGTCCACTCACCAACCTCGCCCGCAGCCTTCTTATACCATCGGCCCATCTCAAAGCCGCTCTCCTCCATTCATTCTCATGATGATCAACTTGCCATTATAGCCTCGCGGTCCCCTGGGACTCCCGCATCTCAACACGCGCCGCCTCGCTCTTGACGAGTAGGGAGGCCTGCACTGGCTTGTAGGCCTCAGTGGCCCAACGCACCGCGTTCCGATATACACGCAACCCGCATCGTCGCCTTCTTCTGTCCCTTCTCCGGACCTGAGTCGACCCCGAGCGAGTCGTCGACCCATCAGAGCTCCCCAGCCCTGAACTGCGACTCATCGCCCCTGCGTCTTTCCTGCCCTGCTGCATCTCACCTGTCGTCTACCCGTTTACACATGTCACGCTCGCATCTCACCATGAACACCCTTCCTCACACCGACCTGGAGGCTCCCGCCTGGGCCGCACCTACTGCAGAATCGGCCGAGGACCTTGACGAGCCGCCAGAGATACGTCTGCAGCAACCCTCGCCGCAACGATTCCAGAGGACCGCCATCCGCCAGCCTAGTGGCCAGTCGTCGCTGCTCACAAAGGCCATTATGGGCCCTTCCGACGACGACGACAATCACGAGCACATGTCCTCGACCAGGGCCGACAACCAGCGCCGACGTTCCATGACCAGCAACGCCAGCGTAGCCTCCACGGCTGACCTGACCAGCGACACGGGCTTGACTAGCCCGTGTCGCACAAACACGCCGAGCCCGCCCATTCCCGAGATGATTTCCATGCACCTGGATGCCGAAATCTCAGACACCAAGCGCGCGCCCATCGGCATCATCAATACCCCCGAGCCCTCCCGGGATCCTCCCAGAAAGCGATGCATTCAATTTGCATGCGCTGCGAAGCCTATTCAACACGATCAGCCTGCGGCTCGCCCCGGAGCCGCGTCCCGGACCACTTCAGCACAAGAGCCGCCTCGACGGCCTTGCATCAGATTCGCCTGTCCTTCGGCCCCGACGCCTACCAGCGACACATTCGCCGGACCCCCACACGCCCCCGTCCCGAAGCCTCCGTCGGGCAACAAGTCCGATTCGTCGTCGACACCTAGGAAATCATTGGCTTTACCCGCACCAGCCAACACATCCTCGCAGCCCATGTCCCTCCGCAGACCGTCGAGCAAAATCACACTTACGCGCCCAAAGTTCCTACGCGCAAATTCAAAGGACCTCTCCAAGGATTCCTCGCAGTTCCACGAGTTTGCCAGCGGTACCGCACGAGAAGAGGAGTGGATTCGCCAGGAAGTTCCCGTCATCACAACCAAGCTGACCATCAACGACACGCTCACCAAGGAGAATCGCATTCGTCGTCTGGGTGCCGAGGCTGAGGAAGAGGCGCTGGAAGAGGAGGAGGCTGAAGCCGCGACGGATGACGAGGAGTTGGATGAACTCGACGGCGGCGACGACGACGACCAAGACGAAGACGATGATGGAGAAAAGGCGGAGGAAGATGATTCCGATGGGTACTACACTGATGAAGAAACTGGCTTTGCCGATTCCGACGAGGAGGAGGACGATGACGAGAATATGAGACTCTGGATGCCGAGCCACGCGATCAATCTTCGCCAAAACCTCACCATGGTCCCCGCTCGTCGTACTTACCTGCACGAGCCGCAATCGGACTCGTCGGTGGCCACCAACGGAAGCATTCGCCGCGTCAAGATGAAGCGGGCCAAGCCCTCGTCCGACACGCCCGACCTACCTGACAGCACTGACTTCGTCTGCGGCACCCTGGATGAGGACAGGCCTCTCGAGGAGGCTTATCTATCGTGCCTTGCGGCTCGCCGAAATGGAAAGCTGCGCATCATCCCACAGGACATAGACCCGAGCTTTCCCGCCTCGGACCCGGATGACGATGATGAAGAGGACATCTACAATCCCGTGGCCCACGATAGCGATACGGATGTCATGGTGCACGGGGAGATGGAAGACTTGCATCACGGGCAAGACCGCTCCCGGCGGCGGAGAAAGAGCGAGCACGCCTCGCCTCGCAAATACCGTTCACCCGCGCCGAAGCGACACCACTCACCGCCTCCCAAGACACGTACGCGATCGCCCAAGACGTTGTTCGGACGCCAATCGCCTCGGAGAACACGGTCACCTGCGCCAAGAGCTCTGACCACGCCAGTCGGATCTCCTCGCCAAGGGGCACATGTCCAGTTCCAGCTGGCTGGGCGGCCGAACACGACTCACACCAAGTCTCTTCCCCGCCCGGCAGCTCTGTTTCCATACCTTAAGAAAGAGCGGAACATGAAGTATCACCACGGCTCGGACCTGCACGTCAGAGGCGCCATTGACATCTTCAAAGGCCTCGAACGGAAGCGCCAGCGACGCAAGGAAAAATTCTACCAAAAATACTGCAATCGGGCCCGCCGCGGTCAGATCCCGGAACGCAAGCCGCAGCCCGGCCGTGGCGCAGAGCGCATGAAGGAACTCGGCCTTCTCATGGCTGGCAAGAAAGAGCAGGGCAACTACGTGCTCTCCATCTAACGTTGCCTTTTCATTTCTTTTTCCCCTCCGTTTCCCAGCGAGCGACGCGCGGAGCTGGGTGTTCACAGGATGAAAGTGCGGCTTCCAGCATCGCATCACTCCAGCATTAGAAGCCGCGGGATACCTCAGGTGAACCTTGCGGTCCTCCCCATTTGACCCTGATTTGAGATTCTTCTCTGTTTTTATACATTACGACGTCACGATTCTTCCTTCTTCATGGTCACATGCAAATACCTGGCTGGGCTTGGCCCTTTACTGTTCCACAGGACAACATGATCGTATGGGCTGGTATGCTCCTTGTTGTATGAGCATTGTGTACATATTTTCTTCCCTTGTTTTCATTCGAGATTGGTATGGCGGAGGAAGCATTCACTGGGACGGAGAGGGTGGCATACTTGGAATTGCTTGGATACCCTGCATATGAGCAGTCTAGGCTTCAGACCTGGACCGGCGTTGGTGGTCGAGGTACCGGGGAGTAGGCAGGCATTGAAGAATGAGAAAGCTGTTCGAAGGCAAGCCGCCGTGTGTCTGACTCGAGTGCTTACGATGATGTCAGAGGTTGGGGCGGCCGTGTGGCGAACCAACGTGAAGATGTGGCGGCGTCAACATAAGTATTGCGACTTTGGTAGTCCTTGCCACGCATGTGCTGTAGGTAAGAGGTAAGGCACATGATAACTTGATGAATGTGAAAGAATTTCCTTGTCAAAAAAGCGATTGATTTTTCTTTTTTCGCACTCTGGCCCCTTTGCATTGCCTCCTTGGCGGATTCGCGGCAGCGGACGAACTGAGTAAGCCGCTGGGGAAGTGGGTCCGCATTTCCTTTCCTGCCTGATGCACAAGGCAGCAAAGATGCTTTCTGCCAGGTTGGACAAACTGCGCGACTGCGATCCTCTCGGCCGCATCAACCACGCCCACGTCCGCGAGATACCAACACCCGAGTTTGCATCGACATCTGCCTGTCCGCCGAATTGAACACGACCCCCCGATTGCATCTCAACATGTGGTTTCTTTCCTGGTGTATGTTTGGGCCACGCGGCCTCCCCGGTCTTCCTGGGCGTGGACTGACTGACACGTGCGGCCGACAGTCCGCGAGATCCTCTCCTCTCTAGGACTGGTGAACAAGCATGCCAAGCTGCTGTTCCTGGGACTTGACAATGCCGGAAAGACGACACTACTGCACATGCTCAAGGTACGGTCTGCTGCGGTTGGGTGCGTGCGGCACGATGCTGACGTGGAGATGACAGAACGATCGAGTTGCCATTCTGCAGCCCACGCTGCATCCGAGTAAGTCGGATTCTTCGGCCGAGAAAGTCTAACCGTGGGCAATCCAATCCTAATTACATTCTACTAGCCTCGGAGGAACTCGCCATCGGCAACGTTCGCTTCACCACGTTTGATCTCGGTGGCCATCAACAGGGTGCGTATAAACCTGACAAGAGGTCCAGTGGTGGTCTGGCCGGCGACTGACTCTGTCTCATCGCCCAGCTCGCCGCATTTGGAGAGACTACTTCCCCGAGGTCAACGGCGTCGTCTTCCTTGTAGACGCCAAGGACCACGAGCGCTTCGGCGAGGCCAAGGTCGAGCTCGACGCCCTCCTGGCCATGGAGGAACTGTCCAAGGTCCCCTTTGTCATTCTGGGCAACAAGATCGACCACCCCGACGCCGTGTCCGAGGACGAGCTGCGCCACCAGCTCGGCATGTACCAGACGACGGGCAAGGGCAAGGTCCAGCTGGAGGGCATCCGACCGATTGAGGTATTCATGTGCTCTGTGGTTATGCGACAAGGCTATGGCGATGGCATACGGTGGCTTTCGCAGTATGTATGAGCGGCGGCGGTGAGCTGGGCCCTTTGGGTAAACCCTGTGGGCTGGACGCGGCGGAGAGCGGGAGACGGGCAAGGCGAGTGGCGCGTGTGTAAGGTGACAAGCTGCTTTATGAGCTTCAGCATTCTCTCTTGGCGAACCTGGCTGGGTCGTGTAATTCCATGATGTTTCTTAGAATTGCCTTGGCGGTCACCTTTTCACTTGAGCAAGGTGTTGTCTCTTGACGCCTGGCCGTGGACCGGGCGAGCAAGCGTAGATACATGCACGTGGAAACAGATTGGCATGTAAATTGCAAAGGCACCTGAGAACACAGGGAAATCCCTTTTGAACGTGGAGTACTGTAAGTAGGTATGCCTGGGTGTAAAGCCAAGAGTCGGGTATCCGGAGTGGTGGGACGTCTTGCTTCCCAACCAAAATGGAGCCGATGTCATGCGCGTTTCCCCAGACGGCTGAACCGTGGGGGCTGAGCTCTGCTAAGCGTCGGTGACCTCGCTCAACCTCTTCTATTGCTCCCTCTACACACATTCTCTCTCTACTCCTGGAGGAACACGGCGTCCACTCATTCACTCCCCGGTCTTTCTCTTCCGGGAATTGCACCAACGTGCCATTCGCCACTCACCGCCTCCCGCGGCGTCCCGGACGCAAGCGCCATAGAGAGGTCGCCCTCTCGAGCCTGGCTGCGGCGGCACCTCCGGCTTATTCGGAACGATGCCGCCAGACACGGTTTACGGCTTCCCCCCGGAAGCGTTCGACATTTCACGCATTCCCGACATCGACCACGAGTATGTCGACCCCGAGGACCTGAAGGCCTTTGAGGCGGCGCTGCGAGCACCCGATCCGCTGCAGAGCCCATCTGAAGAGACGGTGAGCGTCAGGTCGCCGAGGAGCCCCGCCGGCCCCTTCAACATCACAAAGCGAAACTCGCAGACGGGCGCCGCCTTTGACGACGATGCCTCGGCCATCGTGGCAGCTGCCGGGACTGCCGGAGGGGAGCTGCAGCCCCCGCCGAAGCCGACGATGCACAGCCACGGGACCTTTATCACGGCGCAAAACGACTGGGCGCCGGTGAACCCCAACCTCTATCGCGGTCGGAGAAGCGGCAAGGACGGCCGCAGGAAACGTGCCAAGGACGCCGTCGAGGGCCTGCTGGGCACCCGGACCAAGGACGAGACGAGGGAGGGCTACTTTTACCAGCTCGCCAAGTGGCCGTTGCTGGTCTTCGTCTTCACCTGGCTGGCCTGGCTGAGCGTCGCCTACCTCGCCACGCGATGGTACATCTGGGTGTACGAGCACTTCTTCACCTGGCGAGGCCGGCGGGAGTCGCTGCGGAGAAACATGCGGCGGACGTCGAGCTACAGGGACTGGGTCGCCGCCGCGAGGGAGCTGGACAGTTTTCTCGGCAGGCAGACATGGCGGGAGGAAAACGACTTTGCCTACTACGACTCCAAGACGGTCAAGCGGGTGTGGGATCAGATGCGCAAGATGAGGGCGCGGGCCGAGGCGCAGGAGACGGGGGACGCTCAGCAAAACGGCAAAGGCAAGGCCGTGGACGATTTGAGGGCGCTGATCGAGGCCTGCGTCAAGAATAACTTTGTTGGCGTGGAGAACTCGAGGCTGTACAGCCAGACGTACTACGGGACCAAGAATCTTGTCCAGAACTTCGTCGACGAAGGTAGGTCCCTATTCTGCTCGCACCGATGAGGGACGAGGCTGACTGGGCGCCAGTCGAGGCGAGCGTCAGGTTCCTGCACAAGACGAAACAGCTCGAGATCGAGGAGAAACGGCTCCTGTTCAAGCACGTCCACGCCAACTACGGGCGGACGGCGCTCTGCTTGTCTGGAGGGGCCGCCTTTGCCTACTACCACATCGGAGTGGTCAGGGCCCTGCTGGATGCCGACCAGCTCCCCGATGTCATCACCGGTACTAGCGGCGGCGCGCTCGTGGCGGCGCTCGTGGCGACGCGGACCAACGAGGAGCTCAAGCAGCTGCTCGTGCCGGCCCTCGCACACCGCATCAATGCCTGCAGCGAGCCCATGACGACATGGTTCCCCAGGTGGTGGAAGACGGGCGCCCGCTTCGACTCGGTCGACTGGGCTGCCCGGTGCAGTTGGTGGGCTCGGGGCTCGCTGACATTCCGCGAGGCGTACGAGCGGACGGGCCGCATTCTCAACGTCTCGTGCGTCCCGGCCGACCCGCACTCGCCCACGATCCTGTGCAACTACCTCACGAGCCCGGACTGCGTCATCTGGTCGGCCGTTCTGGCATCGGCCGCGGTTCCCGGCATCCTCAACCCCGTCGTCCTTATGATGAAGACGTGGGACGGAACGCTGGCGCCGTACTCGTTTGGCCACAAGTGGAAGGACGGAAGCTTGCGGACCGACATCCCGATCAAGGCGCTCAACACGCACTTCAACGTCAACTTTACCATTGTCAGCCAGGTGAACCCGCACATAAACCTGTTCTTCTTCTCGTCGAGGGGCTCCGTCGGGCACCCGGTGACGCACCGCAAGGGGCGGGGCTGGCGCGGGGGATACCTCATGTCGGCCATTGAGAACTACCTGAAGCTCGACATGAACAAGTGGCTCAGATTCATCCGGCACGCGGAGCTGCTGCCACGGCCGCTGGGGCAAGACTGGAGCCAGCTGTGGCTGCAGGAGTTTAGCGGCAACATCACCATCTGGCCCAAGTCGGCCGTGACGGACTTTTGGCACATCCTGTCGGACCCGGACGCGGGCCGGCTGGCGCGCATGATCCACGAGGGCCGGCAGAGCGCGTTCCCCAAGCTCAAATTCATCGCCAACCGGCTCAAGGTGGAGCGGCTGGTGGAGCAGGGCCGGCTGGACACGAGGCCGTGGGTGCGCAGGGGAAGCATCCAAACCATCCTAAGCGAGGACAACCTGCAGAGTCTGCTGGCGGGGGAATCGGGCCTGAACGGGACAACAGAGGAGGAGGATAATGATGAGGAGGAAGAGGGGGAGGACGTGACTCGGACGGCGCCGGTGGACGAATTTGCGGGCGGCGTGCAAGCTGAGAAGACGGGCTGACGGCCGAAAGGCCGTTCAGGGGGGGAGGCGATTTTTCTCTCGGAAACTCCGGGATGAGGGGGCCTCGGCTTGGCAATAGAACAGGATAGGTGTAGCCGATGCATTTTTATTAGACCGTTGATGATGAAGACCTCGTTGCCAGGCTTTGAGTATAATACAGAGCCATTACACTAATTCAAGAGACGGCCTCCCCCTTCTCTCCCCCCTGCCGTCGCAAGGCGTGTGACCCCTGAAAAGCTTAGCGCAGTGATGTGCCCGAAGACCCGGGGGCGGGCACCAAAAAAAGCCCCAGTGCGTTTAGGCCCCTGGCGCGGTCCCCCGGCAGCGCTCATTGGCGGGCTGCGGCTGCTGGGCATGTGAACACGGTGGCGGCATTGGGTCGGATAATCCGATGGCCGGGGCCCCAAACCGGCAACTTGGATCCTACAGCGCACCTTTTTCCCCTTGAATGCCACATCTCGCAACCCAAGAGAACACATCACCCGGGAGATCGTCGACGCGTATCCCAAGGCAGAGATTTCCTCAATTCACCTCTTCCGCCTCGACAGGAGCAGGCTGTGCCCTCTCCGGCCGCCACGATGAGCTCAGACTATTCCTACGATGACCAGGTGCGCCTCGCTCTGCAAGCTCCTCGCGACGCTGACAGACATGCTGACTCTCTTCCTTGTCCTTCTCCCACAGGCCCAGTTCTTCCCGTACTTTATCCTGACGCTGACGGGCCTCGTCACGATACCACTGACCTACAGTCTGCTGCGGCCCAGCAGCGACGACGAGAAGCTCGCGCCGCGCATCCAGACGGCCTACAAGATCAAGGATGTCGCTGCCGTCGAGGGCCTGCGGTCTGCGCAGAAGCGGAAGCAGCGCAAGATCAAGCGGACGCTCGTGGCGCTGGCGGGCTGGGGCCTCATGGGCTTCATGGTCTATCTCATCATGGTGACGACGCCGCTCGTGGCCAAGGTCTGGAATCCGTACGATATTCTGGGCATCTCAGAGGTAAGCCGCCTGAATCCTCAGTCTGACTTTCCATCGCCTGAGTGCGTGCTGTCCGAGCCGAGGGCTAACGCGAAATTCATCTTCATAGTCGGCAACGGACAAGCAAATCAAGTCGCACTACAAGCGCCTCTCCGTCAAGTTCCACCCCGACAAAGTCCGGCCCGACCCGGCCAAGAACCAGACGCTCGAGTCGCTCAACAACCACTACGTCGAGCTTACAAAGGCCTATCAGTCGCTGACGGACGAGGACGTGCGCAACAATTACATCCAGTACGGCCACCCCGACGGCAAGCAGAGCCTCAGCATCGGCATCGCCCTGCCCAAATTCATCATCTCGGACGGCAACGGCAAGTACCTCGTCCTCATCTACACATGCCTGCTCGGCGTGCTGCTGCCCTACCTCGTCGGCTCATGGTGGTACGGCACCAAGCGGAGATCCAAGGAGGGCGTCCTCATGGAGAGCGCCAACAACCTGTTCCGCCAGTACGACGAGGCCATGGACGAGGCCGGCATCATCGCCGCCCTCAGCGCCGGCAAGGAGTTCGAGGAGGTGCTCAGGGGCGACCAGGCCGAGTCGGGCCTGTCCAAGATTGAGGCCCGCATCACGGCCGAGGGCGATGCCTCTCCCTTTGCCGCCGGCTTCTCCGTCAAGGACAAGGAGAGACTCGAGGACCTCGATAACGGCGTGCGTCGCAAGGCTCTTGCCCTGCTGTGGGCGTACCTGGGGCGGGTCGAACTCGGCGACGCAGCCTTGACCAAGGCCAAGTACAACATTGCGCCCATTGCCCGCACCCTGAACAAGTCGTTTGCCGCCATTGCGCTCGCCTACGGCAATATTGGCCCGATTGCCGGGTCCTTTTACGCCAACCAGCACCTCATCCAGGCACTCTCGCCCAAGTCCTCTCCCCTCCTCCAGCTCCCTCACTTCACGTCCAAGATTGCCATGGCAGTCGAGGGCGATTCCAAGACTCACATGACGGTCCAGCAGTTCATGGACCTCCCCGATGCGCAAAGGCGCCGACTGGCGGTCGGCAAGGGCCTGCTGAGCGAGGACGAGTATAGAGCGAGCATCAACGTCGGCAAGCAGCTACCCTACCTGCGAGTGGCCAAGGCCTTCTTCAAGGTGACTGGCGAACGCGTCATCATCCCCTCGTCCCTCGTCAGCCTGGTCATCAAGGGCCGCTTCATCCCCCCCGGCGCCGAAAAGATCCCGCCCATCGACGAGCTGGACCTCGAGGACGTGGACCCGGCCGAGGACGACCTCGAGGCCCTGATGGGCCGCAAGACCAAGACGATCAAGGGCCCCGACGGCAAGCCGATGTCGGTGGAGGAGAAGACGGTGCTGCCGCCGCTGGCGTTTGCGCCGCACTACGCCCGTGAGCACACGCCCAAGTGGTATGCCTTCCTCAGCGACTCCAAGCAGGGCAAGATGGCGGTACCCCCCTTTACCTTTGACCGCTTCGACCAGCCCATTTTCGACGACCAGGGCAAGCCGACGTTTGCCATGCAGACGCTCAAGGCGCAGTTTGCGGCACCTCCGCAGGCGGGCCACTACACGTTTGTCATGCACGTCATCTGCGACTCGTACGTCGGCTTCGACACAAAGATGGAGGTGACGCTCGTCGTCGAGGAGGCGGCCAAGGCGGCCAAGATGGCGGCCGAGGACGAGATTAGCGAGCCCGACGAAGGTACGTTGGCTGCCCCTGTTTTTTGGCCTCTTTACGTTTCGCCCCTTGATCCCACCTCTGCAACTTTCTTTTTATCACTTTTTTCTCGAGGCCTTGTGTCTTTCTTTTTTTTCCCTTGCGCAATGCAGCCCATTCTAGCTCCAAGGGGACGCTTCCGACAAGAAAAAAGCAAAAAAATAGCTAACCGCTGCTCCCTCCCCCGTAGACTCCATCGCCGGCCAGATGCACGCCCTCAAGACGGGCCAGGCCCCCGAGCCCCGGCGGCGGAAGGCCGCCCGCAGCAACGACGACGACGACGACGACGACTCGTCGGACGAGAGCGGGACCGAGGAGGAGGCCGAGGACACGAGCGACACCAACACGGACACGGAGGACGAGTCGTAAGGAGAGAGACGAGCGTGCGCGTGCCCCGTGGGTACGGCCGGGGGCGGCGCGTTGAGACCGGAGGGAAGTACAACAGGGGCATGCGGCCCGGGTGAAGCTGCGGGAAGAGAGGAGTCGGTGGAGAGAAAGACAGCGGTTCCGGTGGGCGTGTTGCCGCGGGCTCAGCGAGGCAGGGCGGGAGTTTTGCGGTATATATTAGGGCGCTTTTCCATCCTTTCAACCCCATGTGTTATTTCAAAGAGGTTCCGGTTTGTGTTCGTCTACAGGGCGACTGTGCTGGTTTCTCTCTCCCCTTGCACCCCCATTTTCCCAGGTCGTCCTCGCGCCTCTCGAGCGTGGGCATACCTACCGTCCTCGCCGTGACCAAAAATGACTTTAATTTACACACACTCTCTCTGTGTTTCTCTACAGGCCGATGTTTGCTACTCAGTAGCGCGTGTGCAGCGCCCGCCAGTGCCTCGCCGAGCCAGGGACGACGCAGCATCCGGCGACAGGCTCGGGCGGCCTTCCCTTCTCTTTCCGCCGCGCCTCGACTCGCTCTCCAGCATATACATGTGCTCACTCAGCAGACCCTCACGCCACACACCTCGACCCCCTTGGCCTCGACGCGCGCCGAGCGGCCAAAGTACGCGGCCACGAGGTCCTGGATAAAGACGGCGTCGGCGGCGCTCCAGACGTCGAGGCCCATGTTCTCGACGCAGCGGCTGTCGATGGCTATGGCGTCGTCTGCGCCGGGCCCCTCGCCGATGCCGTTGTCGAGCAGCGCCTCGGCCTCGTCCTCCTCGGTGCCGTCGTCGTCGTCGCGGTACTGCCCCGGGTAAGAGCCCTCGGCGCTGTCGACGACGTCGGCGAGAACGGAGAGCATCTGCTTGGTGAGGCGATGGAAGTAGGCAATGACGGCGAGCTCGACGCGAGCCTCGTCGGACTCTGCCGGGCGGCGGCCGGCAAAGGAGGTGACGGAGTCGGCGAGGAGGTCGGAGCCTGACGAGAGCCGGGGCATGGACATGGGGGTGTGGGGCGCGGGGGCCAGGTTGGCCAGGAGGGCGGCATCGCGCGACGACTCCTCCTGTTCCTCGGAGCGAAGCTGCTCGCCCGCGCTGGCCCACCACATGTAGCCGTTGTAGGCGAGGGCGGCCCAGCTCGGGGGCTCGACAAGCTGGTCCGGGGCCTCGTCGCTAACCAGGCGGTGGCTCGTCGATGAGCGGCGCGCCGACGCAGGGGATTGGGGAGAGTCGGAGGCGGCGTCGGCGGTGGGGGCGGCAAGGCAGGCGAGGCCGCTGCGGAGGGAGTTGAAGCGGCGCAGGTCACGCTGGGTGGCCTTGATGGGGCTGCCCCGGGGACATTCGACGACGGGCCACGCATTTTCACTTGGGCCCGAGGGATGGTCGGGCGGCATGGTGATGAGCATGTCCCACAGGGTGTCCTTCATTGCCAGGATACTGTCGGTGGTGCAGGCGATCCAGCCAGAGCCAGGGCCGCCATCGAGCTCCTCCGGGCTCTCATCTTTGCGTCGGGCCGCCTCCAAGTCTTGCACAAGAAAGGGGATGTCGTGGACGCCGATGGTGAAGAGAGGCCGCAGGCGAGGGGTGGGTGAGGAGGGCGGTAGTACATCGGACACGGAGAGGGGAATGTTGGAGAGGACCGAAATGTCATAGACTGCGGTCCTGTTAGCCAAGACTAGCCGGACAGTGTTTTGTCGTCGGGCTTACCGAAGTCGCAGATTTCACGGACGGGGGCGTGGCAGGATATCAAGATGCGTCTCCTCAGCAAAGCGGCGCGATGGATGGGGAAGATGAGGGGCCCGAATCTGTCGAGCAGCTTGGTCAAGCTCCAGGCAGGGTGATGGGGCGAGAGCCTGTGTTCAGAGGGGCGCAAGGCGGTGCCGTCGGAGATGGATCGGGACCTGGTATGAGGGGCTCGCTCGAGGGTAGGCGATGGAGGGAGGTCGGGGGGGTCTGCGTCGGAAGCCTTGTTGGCCTGCCAGTAGCGCTCAAGGAGGTCGGTCATGTTGCGGTCCTTGGCGAGCTTGCTGCGTTGCTGCAGGTCAGGCGGCTGGTCAAGGCGGCGGGCGGGCAGCAACTCACGCAGCCATTTGCTCGAGGTGTTGGGCATGCCTCCAAGCGCGGCCCAGCCTGCCGTAGCTCAGGGGGACGAGGATGCCGACGGCAATCATGCGGGCATTCCGCGAGTCCTCCTCGTCGCAGGGCTCGTTGACAAAGGCGCTGAGGCCGGCGTGGGCAGCGCCGTGGACGAAGTAGATGAGGTCATTGGAAACGGTGTGTAGGCCCGAGGGCAGCGACTTGTACTCGACGTGGCCGTCGAGGTCGAGGCCCGGGACGGAGCGCTTCCAGGCAATGGTGTAGCCGGCCTTGACGTCGAAGTCGATGAGGAAGAGGGCGTCGAGAGGGGGGCGGTCGGCGGGATGTGAGAGAAGGGAGAGTGAGGACGAGTGGCGATGGCGTGGTGGTCGGTCAGCGGCCATGGCGACTGGTCATCTATGGTCGGCAGCGGAGCATGACTTCGCTGGATGGAGATGAGAGTGAGGACGGCGGCGATGGTCGAGTTTGGGGTTGTTGGGGGGGGGGGATCGGCAAAGGCTGAAGCGATGGCAACTGGCACTGTCTCTGCGGTAGCGCATGTGCAGTACAGTGTACACCGAGTGGGCTGAAGATTACCCTGGAGCGAGCGCTGCCTGTTCTCGGGCTGTTCCAGACACGCGCAACACACCTGCAGACCAACATCCCTTTTCCCCTCTGACGGCCACTGGAAGACTGGATCGTCGAGCGAGTCAGTGCCTCATCATCTTGAGTATTTTTTCATCTCCTGGATGTGTTTCTGCAATTTGGCCTGCTGTCGTCTTCCCCGCCCTCTGGCTCCCCCCCCCACTGGCCGACTACTACCATAGTAGCTCCAATAGCTGCCCAGCATTTACCACAGCGGGTGGCAGCGGTTTCCGGGCACATGATTGGCCGTAAGCTCCGCTGGCAGGACCGAGGTTCTAGCAGCCGCCTGACGCAACAAAGCATAAGCCTGCTAGAAGAACCGCTGGCCTCGCCCACAGGCGCCGTCACGAGCGAGACTCGCCCCCGACGGACCGGCCGAGGCGGCATTCACCAAGCTTGAACCCCACAAACCGCCCAACCTCAACCTCTTCCCCCCTCTACTCCCCTTCGCTCGACTCTCTTTGTCTACTCTGTCCTGGTAACCGTCTCTCACTAACGTCTCCCGCATTGGCACCAAGCAAGCACTGACGGCGTCTGCAGGCATGGCCGCCCAATAAGATTTCCCGTGCGCCGCAATCGTCAACCACAACCCCTCCAAATTCCTTTTCCGTCCCACCAACGCCAACTCCACCATCCCCAGCGGCTTCTCTTTCCCTCGCCGCCTCCCTCTCCATCCTCTCAACAGCTGTTCGGGCGGCAGCAGACACGACGGCCACGGCGCTCCACTCTCGCTTCCAACCTTGCGCCGTCCTCCGCCTTCCGACGCCACTCGCCTCGCCTCCACCTCCACCGCCACCGCCAGCCAACTACTCGGGCCTGCGCAAGCCAACAAGAAGCCATGGCCGCCCTCATCGTCGTCCTCGCCAAGCTCCTCTTCGGATACCTAGCCGTCACCGCCTTCTTCTTCATGCTCTCCGTCGCCGTCCCCCGCGCTGGCTTCGTCGCCCGCGTCCTCGCCGCCTACGTGACCCTCGTCTTCACCGCAATCGTGAACATCATCGCCTCCGTCGTCCTCCGCCTCGCCGGCCAGCAGAACATCTCCCAGTGGGTCGGCGCCCGCATCTTCCACGAGTCGATGCGCCGCACCATTGGCGTCTCCTTCACCATCGACGACCCCGGCAACCTGCTCGCCACCGTCCGCCCGGCCGTCTTTGTCGGCAATCACCAGACGGAGCTCGACGTCGTCATGCTCGGCGCCATGTTCCCCAAATACTGCAGCGTCACGGCAAAGTCAGACCTCAAGCACGTGCCCTTTCTCGGCTGGTTCATGCACGCCTCGGGCACCATCTTCATCGACCGCAAGAACTCAAAGGGCGCCCGCGAGGCCATGCAGGGCGCCGCCCAGGAGATGCGCGCCAAGCGCCAGAGCGTCTACATCTTCCCCGAGGGCACCCGCAGCTACGCAAAGGACCCCGTCTTGCTGCCCTTTAAAAAGGGTGCCTTCCACCTGGCCATCCAGGCCGGCGTCCCCATTATCCCCTGCGTCGTCGCAAACTACAGCCACATCTTCAGCCTCAAGGACATGGTTTTCAAGTCTGGCACCGTCCCTGTCAAAGGTAAGTCCATTGGCATCATGGCGTCTTCGCCCCCCCCGCTAACCTCCTCGCCAGTCCTCGACCCAATCCCCACCGATGGCCTCACGGCCGCCGACGTCGACGACCTCGCCCGCCGCACGCGCGACATCATGCTCGACGAGTACGTGGCTCTCTCCGCAAAGGTCAAGGGCCAGCCGATGCCGATGCCTGCTTCCACTGCCGACGCCGCCGCTTCCAAAGTCATCAGCTCCGGCGTCGACGCCGCCGCCATCTCATCACTCGGAGGCTCTGGGATTCCCGGCAAATCATGAACCCCCCTGATGTGCGTCTTGCGTTGGCATCTTGCGCTACGTATAAGCGACAAGAGCGAGCGTATCGATTAGCGACAAAGACCTTAGAGACGGGCGTGGGGAGGAAACGAGCCAACCGGCTGGCCATAACGCTGGGCCTGGTCAGGCAGAAGGGAAAGAGAGACGGGGAAAGAAAATACCTATGCATGCATGGTCAATGTCATTGATACCCCATTTTTAGACGAACGGGCCCGCGGCTCGCTAGACGCGCACTGTCTGTCCTCTCTGTCTTTACAGGACCTACATAAAGTCATGTCGGGATGCTTCATCATGGCAGATAGCGCCTGGCTTTTGCCGCCGTTGCTTCTGCCGCCGCCAAGGGGCTTGACGACTCCTGTCCTGCGTGCCAAGTCGATGCCACCTCGCCAGACGGTGCCGCCGTTGTCTTCCTGAGCGACGCTGCTCTGTTTTTGATGCATAACGTGCAGCCACAACGGTCCACACCGGCTTCCTTTCCCCCAGCGCGCACGCCGATATCGCCTTAGGCCCTCGGCGCCCAGAGGCCACCGTACATGGCCCTCCATCTCTCGTTGGGGAGCCACGTACACAATACTTATATATATGGGTGTGTGTAGTATGTATATGTGCGTGTGTATGAACGTTTCAGACAAAGAGACATCTCCCTCGCACACCCAGGGGCCCCCCCCTGCCCCCCACGGCACCCGTCCGCCCCCTCCCCTCACTCACTCAAAGCCTGGAGAGCCTGCGTGAGGGTGACGACGCGCAAGCTACGGCCCCTCTTGAGCGGGCTGCCGGGGGCGGCGGCGGCGGCGGCGGCGGCGTCGGGGCCGCCAGTGCCGTTGTTGGTCGCGGTGGGGCTGCGGGCGTCGTCCCACTTGCGAAAGACGCGCTTGAGGTCGCGCGGGATGCCCTCGAGGACGACGCTCGAGACGGGGACAAAGGGCCGGTCCTCGATGCCGGCGGCCAGGATGGCGTACTCCTGCGCAAAGTCGAGGGCGTTGCGGAACGAGGCGTACTGCGCGTTGGCGCGGCTGCCCACGACGATGTACATTTCGAAGAAGGCGTCGAGGATGTAGATGCTCGACGGCGAGAGGTCGGCCTGGCCAAAGGGGCTCAGCTCGAGAATCTGCAACAAGAGGGGGGGTCCAAGTCAGTATACACGTCGCAAAAGGAAAAAAAAGGGGGGGGGGAGGGGAGCGAAAGCTGGCGCTCGTCAACAACTCACCTGCTGCTTGGAGTCTGCGTCGGAGCAAAACAGCCTGCTGCAGTACTTGTCGTAGTTGGGCTTCAGTCTCCAGTGATCGGCCGAGTGCGGCTTCGGCCCGCCGCCGCCAAACAGGTCCCAAAACGACGCCGGCTCGGCCCCGTCCTCGTACTCGACGATCTCGCCCGTCAGAGTCAGGTCCATGCCCACCAGGCGCGCGCAGCTGACCTCGGCCACGTCGCTGCCCTTGCCCTTCCACAGAAAACACTTGCCCGCCTGCGCGATGAGGTACGTGAACCCGGAGCAGAGGCTCGCCGGCGCAAAATCGACCTCGTCAAAGGCCACCTGCCCCAGGTAAGCCCGCCCGCACAGCATGTTGGGCGCCAGCGAGTCGTACTTGTTGCTCGATCCGCGCCGCACAATCACGACGCCCCCCAGCGCCTGCATGAACTCGGCCGTCTCCTTGCCCTGGCGCAGCTTCACCAGCGTGCCGCCCAGGGACCGCGCCTCGCGCTGTACGAACAGCTGGGCGTCCTCGGCCGTCGCCTCGGGGACTTCGTCGCCCACCCAGAAATACACCTCAAACACCTTTTTGCCGGCTGCGTTGGTAAAGTTGTGTGCGCACACGTACATCTCCTGCTCAAACAGGTCGCGCTCGTTCTGCGCCGACACCGGGACTTTCTTGCCGTCTCCGAAGATCTTGAACATGTGGAACCCCAGGCTGGTGATCTTAGCACCAGCTGGTGGCCGGTTCATCAGAATCTCGGCAGGGTCGACGCGCATTTCCTTCCGCGGACCCGGGGGACCGAAGAAGTCGGACAGCAGCATCGAGACCTCGTTGACCGGTTTGGTGGGCGACCGCACGGGCGAGGCTATGGCCGGTGATGACTTGAGCCCGCCACCGGTTATACCGGACAGCGGTCGTGGCGCGCCTCGTGATTTAGGCCTTGGTGCTGTTGCCTCGGCCGCACTGGGCCCGTTGACTGGCTGTTCTGGCCCCGGGGGGGACTTGATGGGGGAGCCAGGCCGTGACGAACGTGACGCTGTGCCCTTCATGGACGGCAGCGAGTCGCGGTCCCTCTTGTCAGGAGACGAGAGCGGCTCGGGCAGTGGCTGCTCGGGCAATTTGGTAGGAGACCTGGACCTGGTGCGCTGATGCGTAGATCCCGTCGACTCCTTGGGTGATCCAGGCTGAGAACGACCGTTCGGCGCGTCGTCCAAAAACCTTGACATCCGCTTCACGTCAAGTTTCCTGGGAGAACTTGGCTGCGAGGCCTCCTCGGAACCCTGTTCAGCCTGACTAGGAGGCGACACCTGGCCCTCAGCATTCGTACTGGGGCTCGCCGTCTGTTGGCGTAGGAGCAAAGGGCTCGCGGGTCCTGCTGTCCCCGTTCCGTTATTGGTCTTGGCCTCTACCTCGCCGAGCCCAATTTGCCCGCGGACAGCTGCCTGCGCCGCGACCTGCTGCTGTATCGACAGCGGTGCCGGCTTCTTTTTGGCAGGGACAGGGGGCTCTTGCTCCTTCTCTACTTCCGCTGGGCTGATCAGCGAGGCCCGTTCAGGCTCCTTGCTGATGGAGACGGGCGACTTTCGGTCTTCCTCTGCCTTTGGGTTGCCGCTCGGCAGCGCCCGCTTCGGCTCCTCGGATGTGGGGGCGGCAGACTGAGATGCCGCCGCCGGCGTCGTTGCCGAAGACCCGGTCGGGGCCTTTCTCCTGGGGCCACGAGCTCGGCCTTTGGTAATGTGAGTTAACTGAGGGCCGGGAGCACTCGGCTCCGACATGTCGCCGCCTCCCGAGCTCTGCTTCGGGCCAGAGCCGTTGGAACCCTGGCCGCCATTCGTAGCCATGGCAGGAGGTCCTCTAGCCAGCATGCCCGCCAAGGCTGGGTTGAATCGACCCGCGAGCTTGCCTCCGCCGCCACTCGCAACAGCACGTTGCGGCTTAGGGTCTGGATTTGTCTCCTTTTGCCGCAGTGGAAAGTCTTCTGACTCAGGTGTAGGCTTCACGGCGTCCGTATCGCTAAGCTTACGTCCCGGCTTCTCAGGAGCAGGACTCTGGAAAGGCGGCGGCGTTTTGTTTGGAGACCTCAATGAGGAAGCAGACTGGCTAGACGTTCGCTTGAGCTCGGGCAATGGCCTTGGAGAAGCCGACATCTTCCGCTCATCTTGCGCGGTGGTTTCCGTTGCCGTCTCACTCTTGGCGTCGCTATTCGACCTTGTCAGCTCGGCCCTCTTGACCAGGCCTTCGGGCAGTGGCTTTTCGTCGGCATTGGAGGAGCTTCTGCTCACACCCTTGCCCTCAGCCTGTGCTTTCTTGAAGTCCTCCCGCTTCTTCAGAATGGCCTCCTTGAACTCGTCTTTGCGCTCACCCTTGCGGGGCCCGTCGGTCAAATTTAGGGCCGCTTTCCCCCGGAGAATGTTATTCTTGAGCTCATCCGGAGCGACGTAGTTTTGCGTCGTGGCCCTGCGTAGATTGCCAAACGCGTTTCTGAACTCGGGCTCCTTGTTCCTGGGGGCATCGGCGGCGGCCGGGCGCTGCCTCAAGTTGGCCCGGAAGTCCTTGTTGGGCGGAGTTTCGGGCTTGGGCTTGGGCTGTGGTGGGCGGGCGACTGACGGTCGCCGCCGCTCCGCCGTTGTAGCGGCTTGTTCATCACCAGACGACTTCTCTACCGGACTCTCGACATCCCTGGTGAGCGTCTTATCGACATGACTTGGCTTCGCCTGGTTCCCAAACGCTGGCCGGCTCTGATTAGATGGTGGCGAGTAGATGCCGCCGAGCCCCGTAGGGTTGGTCTTGGCCGTCTCGCCCACGGGCGACTGCCGCATGAGCCCGCCGATGCTGACCTGGTGCTTGTGCGCGAGGCCCGGGGAACGAGATGCGTCGGCGCCGGACTTGTTGGCGCGCTCGGCCTTGGCCTTGTTGAGCTCGACCATCCACGCTGGTTGAGACTGCGTCGGTTTCGGCGGCAGCTTGGGCGAGTCGGGCTTGTTCAAGGCATTCTCCAGCCAGCTGGATTTGGTAGGGCTCCAGCGCCGCGGGTCCATTGTCTTGGTCGGGGACACGGGCAGCGCGGCGTCGTCCTCTCGGCTCGGGGCGCGGTCCGAACCGGATGTCGAGTCTCTGTCGGCAGTAGTCTTGGAGGCGTCTTCCTGCTCAGCCTCTTCTTCTCCGTGCTTCGAGGTCGGCCTGCTCGAGCCCTGCGTGGGCGACCCGTTGCGCATTGCGCTCTGCGGTCGCGAACCGGCTTGCGAAGAGCCTCGGTCGTACGAGTTGCGGTTTGCGGCTACGGAGTCGGCGCGCGACAAACCTGGAGGGCTAGTAACACTCCATCGCTTGACGCTATCGCTTCGCTTCATCATGGCGCTCTGCACGAAGCCGCCCATACCTTTGGTCGGAGAGGCCGAGCGAATGGGGGATGTTCTGCCCGTTGGAGAAGTGACGGCTTGCTCAGCCAGAGGCTTGTCGTCGGCAGGGACCTCTTGGCGAGGAGGATTGAGCGAAACAGGAGAGCCGAGTCTGCCCTGGGTCGGCGAGGTGACGTCGTGGCGCGACGAAGGGCGTTCATTAGGCGTTTCGGCGGTCATGCCCGGCAGCTGGGCCTTGACGGGGCCCATGTCGAGGCGATCGTCATCTTCGACTTGGCTGCGTCTGTAGGCGGCAGACGCATGGCCCCGGTCGGCTGTCTGGCGAAACCAGGCAGGGTCCTTGGAGCCAAGAGACTGGGCTATCTGGTCCTTGGAAAAGGCCTGTTCGGTGGCCGAGGCGGGCTCCTGCGCTCCGGCAAGGGAGCGCTGGGTGGCATTCTGGGCGGCGAGCACGCTCAAGGGCCGAGCGCCAGCGCGGGAATTGGGACGCCTCTGCCACGACAAGGGTGAGGACCTGGCCGAGGGCGTGGATGCATCGACCTGCTTGGCCTCGGGCGCGTCGCCGGGGGCTTCGTTTTCCTTGACGGGCGAGCTGGACAGGGCCATGGGGATCGCGTCTGCGGGGGCATCGACGAAGGTGTCGCGAACGGCGGTGGGGGACTGGAGTTTGAGGGAGTCGGAGAGATGGGCGCTTCGACGCTTGGATCGGGGCGAGGGCGTGTTTACGGGAGAAGACTTTTGGGGCGAGATGGATCTGGCGCGTTCTGTGCGAGGCTGCAGGTTAGCGACTTGTCAACTGGCAGCGTTGCCCCTGTCCCTCCCCCGCTCCGGGCCTGACCTCGCACTGCCGCATAGGCAAGGAAGGGCATGGATGGGCGAGAGGAACAAGACGGCGCAAAGACGGCTCGCCGGCCAGAGCGCCTCGGATCTTCCGCCAAGCTCGGGCATGGCACCGGGCTCTAGGGACGGCGACGGCGACGGCGACGACAACTCACCTTCTCTCCTGGCCTGACGCTCGCGCTTGGCGGCGAGGAACTCCTCGAGTTCGCGGGCCCGCACCTCGTCGTCCTCGATTTGTTGGCCGCGCAGGCGCTCGACCTGCTCGAGGAACTGCGAGACCTCGTCCGACATGGCTGAGCCGATGATGATGCTGTTTGGCTTGGCTGCTATCCGTTGGTTTGGCTCTCCCTCCTAGGAGAACATGGCATGACAATGCGACAATGGACGCGCGCGCACGCCGTTTGGAGGCCTAGAGTCGAGGTGCGTCCTTTATTTCTCCCAACGCGCCGCAGGGTTTTGGAGCAACAAGCTGGAAGCCAACTAAGCAAGACGCCCGCCCCGGCTCCCCGTGTCGGTCCTCGGGGGGCTAACATGGAAGTGCGGGGGCACGCACTAGGCTAGGCAGCAGAGGTATACTGAGTTAGCAAGGGCTACTACATTGCATCAGACGCCTAGCAGACAATACCTGCTGAACGATGGACGCTTAGCGTGTCGCAAGACGCCCCAGGACACTCGTGCCAGCTGCTGTATCAGCGCCCCCTCTCGTACACACGTTCGAGCCAAGGAATGAGACGATTAATGCGGCTCGCATCGGGAGAAGGAGTAATTACTACGCGAGCCGCAGCTACCATTGCCGTGTTGCGTGTGTGCAGTGCAGTCTGTGGTGGAGCTTGGTGGTGCTTGCCACTCTCTGCACCCACCATCACATAGCATCATCTATCGCGTTAGGCTGGGCTTTACTCCGTAATAAGTTACGTGATGTCCTCTCGACGCGTCTCCGTCTCTGCCTCGCCATCCGCCGCGATTCATCACACCCCTTGTTTCCTGCCCCCTAATACAGAAAAAGCCGTTTCTTCGCGTCCGAAACCACCCACGCAAGCCCCTCGTGCAGATTCGCTCCCGTCATGGCACTGCATCGCACGATATGCCACTGATGCGTCCGAATCTCGTCCAGCCGCAACGACTGTGTTCTTCCGTCAGCCTCGCCTCGCCTCGTCTCGCTCCTCACACCTGGATACTTACCGAGCCAATCTCCTGCTCATTCATGCATCCCTCGACGTCCGTCTTGTTGGCGAATATCAGCAAGCTCGCGCCGGCCAGACGCTGCCCTCCCGTGTCAGCAGCGTGTCCAGTTCTCTGTCTAAACTGACGACCAAGTCTCACCTCTTCCTGGAGTAGGCCGTGCAGCTCGTCCCTGCAATCCTGTATCCGCAGTCGATCTGTCGCGTCGACAACCCATATCAGCGCATCCGTCTTCTCAAAGTAGTTTCTCCAGTACGACCGCAGCGTCTTTTGGCCACCGACGTCCCCTGCCAGCCCGTTAGCACGCCCTCATCACGGCCGACATTGACCCAGCTTGTCGTTTCCTACAAATGTTGAGTTTATATCTACCCGCGCAATTAGCCTCAATGCCGACGACGCCGCTCTCCACCCACCGCACTCACCCATCGTAGTCAATCGTCTTGATGATGAACCCCAGCGTCGGGCTGACTGTGTTGACGTCTTCTCCCATGATGCTCTTGACAATCGTCGTTTTCCCCGCATTGTCTAGACCTCTTGCTCCGTCGCCGTCAGTTGCTGCCGGGCCTCAAGGGGGGTCGGGAGGCCAACAGCATCAGGATTCTCATCTCCTTGTCCTTGAGACGAGCCTTGCGCAGGATCGACAACATCTTCGTCTTCTGCCTCTCACATGTATTCCGAGTAGGGAATCAGTAACATGGAGAAATTACCCGGCACTCGAAACGTAAGTCGGTCGGACTTCAAATGGTGGAGGAATCGAAAATGCAAGACGACGCTTATTCAGACACACACGTGCCGCTGCACTGTAGTACTCGAGCCTCGACAACCCACAATCGACCGACGCTCGCATTCATTCCGCGCACCAAGATTCACAGCCCACGCTTTGTGCACTTTGGCCCAAGCATAGCTCCAGGCCACACTGGAAACCTTTTCAATTGCTCTTCTTGACGAGACTAATGTAGAGTCGTAGACCAACATGCGTAGCGACCCTTCACTCTCACGCCTTTACTTCTCCCACGGCACATGGCTCATTCAAATGTGCCTTTTCCGAAGGTCATCGCCCAACTCCGTCGTTCTCGCCGTGCTCCCTGGTGAGCAAATCTGCAAAACATCAAGATCAAACAACAACGAACCCAAGTCGACCCAATAAGTGGCATCGAGCAGCGGTACGTGCTTCGGGATGACGCACGAACCCCCCAATCCCGATACGTCGCCGAGCTGTCTTGCTCAACGAGTCCCCTCTCTGATCGCCGACGTCTCCTGGGCCGCAAACTCCCAGAGCACGAGGTCGAGCCATTTGGACTGGTGGCCCTGATCCGTCTTGATCGCGTCCCGCAGGTGGGCGACCTCTTGAAAGTTAAACTTGCTCAGCATTTCCGCGCGCCACTTGTACTCTGTCTGCACCTTGCTCGCGCAAAACACCTCGACGTAAAGTCGAGCATACTGCCGGCCGTTTCGGTCCACGGGATGCTCGTATATGCGCGCCGGGTTGGCGCACTTCCACTCATAGTCAATGATGCTGCGATGACGGGGTGACAGGGAAAGCAGGATCCTGTCTAGCAGCGCAGTGCCATACGACTTTTGCCGGTATTCGGGATGGACAAGCACCCGCACCTGAGCACTGTATCGGGACCCAGGGCATCGAAGCTGTGGGAAGCCAAGACGAACCTCGGTTACCAACGCGAACCCAACAATAGGCGGTGGAGGGCTTGGCCGAGTCTTCTTGAACTCGATGTACTCTCGGTACGCTCGGTCCGAGTTTGGAGGCCACTTGGACCGGTCCATCATGTCCTCCTCCATGGGGACAGCAACGATGAAGGGCCTTATGGTCTGCTGGCAGCGCTTAGAAATCCAATCGACGTCGGTCGAGTCGATGACCTTTGAGTCGAATATCTGCGGGAAGGCCGCTGTCGACCCCTCCAGGTTGATGATGTTGGCGATTTGCGAAAAGTCCTCTTGCCGGGCCGGGCGTAGAATGCAGTGCGCATTCGGCCATGCGTCTTCTTCAGGATACGGAGCTGCCACAGCTGCCATGGCCTCCTCAGTTTGCTGGCGTGAAGCCAACAGGTGCTCGGCCAGCCTTTGCCGGCTCGTCAGCTCTCGGACTATCTGTAGTCCAGAAGTCATGTTCATCTGTCGCCAGCCTATGTCCTTGTGGTCTCGATATGGGCCCTGGATGGCGCTTTGAAGTGTCTCTGGATATTCTATGGCGGGAAGAAACTTGCCCGTGCATGAATCCAGCTCATGTTGACATGAAGCCAACAGACTCACTTTAAAGGGCCGATATGCGGCAGCCGGGGGCGTTACCAGACCCTTGAACCAGCCTCCGATGAGTTCGTCTTCTTCAGCTCTTGCAGAGAGGGGAGAGCCAGTGGCCTCGAATTCCAGGCCGGCGTCGCGCAGAGAAGCAACACCATGGGGGTCAACGGTGATTGAACCGGCCTTTTCCCCCGTCTCAACCTCGATGTCACTCACGTCCCATGTGGAGATGCTGCGCTGTGGTCCCTGATGGATGGAAGCTCTTGCGGCTGCAGGAGACTTGACAATTGGCTGCCCTCGAGAACTCTCGGAATTGGCGTGTTTGAAAAATGTTTCGTCCATCTCCGGTGTAGTGTCTTCTGCAGCAAGAAACGCTTGCTGATCCGAAGTGTGGCCTCGGGGTTTTTCGAGGCCTGGAAAGGGCGGGGCTTGCGCAAGAAGGCCATGACGATCGGACGTTGGCTCCACCTTGCACGATGTGGCAGAAGCCTTGAGCTCGGAGGGAGCGAGATGGGAAGAGGCCGAGCGCTGCTGCGATGGCTTTGGGTTGACGGGGCTCGCGGGGGCTTGGAACAACTGTTGCGGGCTGAAAGATGGAGCGAGCCAGTCTCTCATCGCACCGCAGTGCCTCTCGATGTCATCGTCAGGAGGACGACGGCTGTGGATAGGCCAAGCAGGCATCTTGGAAGAAGGACTTGGGGTTGAAAGGTAATTGGGGATGGTCAAAGAAGGCTGCGCGTGTTGGACAAGTGTGGAAGAAACATGCCACGGAAGGAAGAGAAGGCATCCGAGGGCTGGAGTGAAGGGTGCGCAGGGCTATAGCGGTACCAGCAGTTGCCGTGGCAGTTGGCTTTTATCTGGTAGGTGCGTGTTGTTGTTGCCTTGGGCGGTGAGAGGCTGAAGAAACTTGATGCCTGAGGTCGGAAAGCTGCAACTCATCTATGGTCAGGGGAGAAGCTCCTGCCTCGGTGGCTTGGGTACATTCTGGAAGTCTTCTGACGACACACGTGAGAAGTTCTTGGCTGCAACCTGGCCGTGACCTCCTCTGATGCGGAGTCCAGATTGCAGAGACTGAATATGGTTGAAGGAGAGCTACAGTGATAGACACTGTTTTGATCGATGACCGAGACTCGGCTGACCAAATGCTTCCTGCAGGAATGCCATCCTGCCTGTCCTTTCGAGGTCAAACGCCATCTCTCATCGCCAACGGACTGGAGTCACTGGACAGTCAGAGGAGGCTCCAGAGTCCAGACCCGGAGCTGCGGCTCTCAACTTGGCTGTGTTAACCACCACGAGCCTGTGGGCTGAGCCGGCCTCGTTTGGACAAAGGCGGCCAGCAATCTGGGCTCGGCCATACCGCCGACTCACTTGCTCGACCTTGATTTACACACGGCCTATACAGTTGACGAGTGAATCGAGTACCCACAATTCGACAACGACCCAACTGGTCATTGAGGCTCTGATGACACAGTGAGCAATAGCTGATCCACTCAGGGCAAATGGGCTGGCCCGGCGTGGCCCAATGGCATCCCGTCAACGCTCAGGTCCAGGCCGCGTGGCCCAATGGTTAGGGCGCTAGATTTCGGTTGCTCCGTCTCTGATTTCCTCTAGAGATTCCAGGTTCGACTCCTGGCGTGGTCGCAGCTGCTGAGTGGACGCGAGGATTTACTTTTTGATCGTCAAGCCGGCGATTTGGAGTCTTGGTGTGTCTACGGCTCAACCTGGTGTAAGTAGTGGGGAACCAGGCCGGGTACATGGGCGCCTATTTGGTCTGCAAAGCGGCCGTCTTCGAATGCGATTCTTATCTGGACTTGCTTCGGGGCAATCCTTCCACCATTTTTTATCAGTTTTCCCTCATCCCACACTACTGTGCCGCGCGAGTACAGAAATTAACAAGCCACCGAAACCGAACCCCGCCTTGTACCTCCGCAAGCCGACATCGGCTGTCGCTTATCGTCGCAACCCCTGCCGCCGCAACCCCTGCCCCGTGGAAAGCCGACTTGGATATCTTGGAGACGGGCGGTCAACCTCATCTTTCCCCCACCGTCGAGGACAACCCTTTGCCGCCTGCGCGCGCGACCCCTCAACCATGTCGTCCTCGCTACCGGGCAATCGCGAACTGCCCGTGTCGCAGTACGACTTGAGCACCTACCTGGGCCGGGTGCGCCATGCAATTGGCTTGACGGATCCCAGGTGAGAAAGGACATTGACCGTCACAGTGATTCCGGAAGGACGTTTCGGTGGACGAGGAGAGAAGCAGTCGCTGATCAAGACTTCCAGCACCCTCTTTGCTGGACATGCTGGGCTCGAGAGGGCGAAGCAGCTCGTCACCGACTACAAGACGGGCAAGACGCTGCACATGACGCCCGAGCTTTGGCAGGCCAAGAAGGTTGTCGACTCGACGCTTCACCCAGGTATATGCACACTGGTCCACGCGCACTGCACCCACGCTCTGACGCTGCATCAGACACGGGCGAGCCCGTCTTCCTGCCCTTTCGCATGTCATGCTTCGTCATCACCAACCTCATTGTCACGGCCGGCATGCTCCAGCCCGGGCTGCAGACCGGAGGCACCATTGCATGGCAAGTGGCCAATCAGTCGGTCAACGTGGCCGTCAACAGCGCCAACGCAAACAAGTCGTCGCCCATGACAACGGCCATGCTGGCCAAGTCGTACGTCGTCGCCGTCACGGCCTCGTGCTCCGTCGCCCTCGGCCTGAACCAACTGGTCCCGCGGCTGCGCGTCTCGGACGGCGCCCGCAACATCCTCAAGCGCCTCGTGCCCTTTGCCGCCGTCGCCTCGGCCGGCGCCCTCAACGCCTACCTCATGCGCCGCGGCGAGATTGAGGCGGGTATCGACGTGCGGCCCGTGCTGTCCGACGAGGAGAAGCGCAGGCTGCAGGCTGAGGGCAAGTCGGAGCGGGACGTGCCGTCGCTGGGCAAGAGCCGCAAGGCGGCCAAGCTGGCCGTGTACGAAACGGCCGCCAGCCGTGTCTTCAACAGCAGCCCCGTCATGGTTATTCCGCCCATGCTCCTCTACTACATGCAGCACAAGCAGGCCTGGTACCGGAACCTGATGGACCGGGAATGGGTCAGGGCCAGGCCGCGGGTGGCGACGACGATACCCATCGGCATCAACCTTGGGCTGATTGCGGCGACGGCCTTTGCGGTGCTGCCCCTGGCGCTCGCCGTCTTCCCGCAGCAGCAGCAGATTTCGGCCGACAGCCTCGAGGACGAGTTTCACGGCCAGGGCGGCTCCAATGGCAAAGTCTGGTTCAACCGCGGTCTTTAACGGGGCGTTGTGGCTAGGCCACCTCTTCAGGGCGTTTGGAGGCTATACAGGGGCAGAAGCTGGCGTCTCCCAAGCCGTGTCTGTTGGAACTGCCGAACTCTCCTTTATTTCTCCACTCCCTTTTGGGCCGCAGGCCCTGCGCTGACCGGGCCTGAGCTGGCGGCAGTGTATTCGAGGCGCACACGCATTGCGCCAAGCCCATGCGGGCCAAGCTCTCGATGGTGAGCACATGGCCGAAGGGGGCAGTCGTTGCGAAAGTACAGTAAAGCGGTAGCAGATAGATCGGGGCTTACTCATAGAGCGGCGGCGAGTCGGATCTGTAGAATCTAGACTTTGGGGCTTTTTCTTGTCCTTTGCTTGCTGGCCTCTTTTCGGAGCAGCGCTGATGCGCCGGGCTGACCGGCCCTTTGTGTTGCATGCAAAAAGTCTACGGATAATTACAGTGCTTTTATATCGAGTGCGAAGTGTCGTCTCACGAGGCACCAAACAAGCCAACTAACAGGCCTACATGGTTGTCTTTTCGGCCCGCATGGCCATGCTGGGGCAGTGCCGGAGGAGGAGCGCAGCAGGATGCAAAGACGCCGACGTCGGCTGTCGGAGGCGTCTTTGCCACCGCCTGGGATCGGCGGGCGTGGATGGTTGGTCCTTGTCCTGGCGAGGCTTGAAGTCGACGAGAGGGGTCCCCTTCCAACAAGACTTGTCGCAAGGGATCAACGCTCTGATGGCATGGTGATGTACTGTACTGATGCTGCGAGCACACGTGCTGGACTGCACATGCACTTGTTGGCATATACATGCTGTATGTACAGTGCATACAAGTCATCCAGACTTGCCGAGGCAACGCCGCTGCTGCTATTATCCGTGACGTTGTAATATTTGCGGCAACCGAGAGCCAGGCGGGAGGAGGTTGTGGTTGTGGGGGGGGAGGGAAGATAGCGAGTGACAAAGCAAAGCAACGTCGTGGGGGTGAGGCATTTGTGTTGTCTGTCAGGAAAGGGTCCAAGATGAGGGGGCTTGGGTTGGAGTCGCTGACGGGCACAGCAGTATTTACATGCACACACGCCTCGGTACGCTACTTGATGCAACTACAGTACCGGTACGGTACAACGAGCGGAAATGGTCTCTATCTAGGTATCTCCCTATCCGTACTTTGAGAGCCCGTACTTTGAGAGCAAAGGGGGGTGGGTGACGGTCCCGGGACGCCGAGGCGGGCCGGCGACGGCGTGCTTCCTGCCAGGCCAAGCAAGCCATCCGCCGACATGGCCCTGCTGATGTGGGCGTGCCCTTATGCGCATGTTACGCCGCGCATGGCGGCTGTGGGACCATTTTGATTTTTTTTGTTTCCTTTTTTCTTCCTCGCCACCTTTGTTGCTGTTGTCGCTGCAAGCCTAGCCTAGCCACGGGGGCGTCGAATGGGAGGGAAAAGTGCTCGGCTGTAGCCAGTGGCCTGGCCTGTAAGCCCGTGCTGGAGCGTGCGCTGTAGTGTGCGCTAGAGCCCGGAGGCACAGTTGGGTATCATCCCGTGGGAGGGAACATGGCCGGGCGTCAGAGAAAGAAAGCAGCAGGGCTCGTGATGGCGGTGCGTGCACATTGTTGGCCCAGACGATAAATCTCCGTATGATATGCGCGTGCGAGTCCTTGTTGAGAGGCAGCATGGACAGACTTGCCGTTGCATTGCCGCGCACAGTGGTCCTGGAACCTCGTGGGTACTGGTAGCCGCTTGGTGTACCCGCGTGGAGGTACCTATGTGCTCCGTAACGACGAGGCAATTCGCCCGCTAGGTACTGTAGGTATTCACGTCAGCCGATATGATGATGATGATGTTGCTATTCTTGACGCCTGCCCATGGCTTCACACACACGCAAGCCAGATACAGTCCGCACGGCACGGAGTACAATGGCATCGTCCATGCGTCAGCGTGCACGGGGCGCCTTGGAACGCGTCGCCCGCCCGTCTCGCAACTCTTGCAGGGCAAGAGGGGGGAGCAGCATGAATCAAACCACCAGCGACATGCTGGTTGGGGAAAGGACGAATCGTCGGAACCCCCTTTTGTTCGCGTCCTGTCGGCAGCCCAGCTAACGTACTGCCTACCTACTGGAAGAGGAGAGGACTGCAGGTAGCATGTGGCCCACATTCGGTCATGGTCCAGTCGACGAAAAAAGGGGTCGAGACATCTCGGTGCAGACATTCGCGGGAGCCCAGTATAGCGTGACGATGATGCCTGGCCGATGATGGGATGCACGGAAAGTAAGCGAGACGGCTGTTCCTGGTGCTGACGAGACAGACGACGAATAGCCACGGTTACTCGGACTCGGAGCACCGCGCCTCGGGTTTTTTTTTGAGCCCTCCTCATTCAGGAGATGGCCGTGGTGATGGATGCTTGGGATAATTGACTCTGCAAACCTTGGAAGCCGCCCCTCGGAAGCCGCCCCCGCTAATAAGCAGGCCCGGCAGCACCGTGTGGACGGCGCTCTCGGCACAGGCTGGCTTTGACTTGTGACTTGTGTCACTCCACCTGGAATCCGCTCATTCCATCGCCGCGACCGATGCCTTCCACGACAGGGCTGGACGTGGTCCCTTTGCTCGTTCCCTTGTGCTTGCTGTGAAGACGTCGCCACTGACTCTTTTTGCCCTTGCGAGCCAGCGTCGGCAACTTTCTACCCGTCTCCCTTTTTTCTTTTTTCTTGGTCCGTCATCACCATGGGCGGCGGGTTTCTGCTGGCGGGAGGGCTTTGGACGCGAGTTTAGCCACTTCGGCTCGGGTACTTGAACCTTTAGCCATGACGGTGATATCTGCACACACGTACTTGCCAGATCTCTCTCTACTTTGCATGTCTCGATAAACGCTTTCCTGATCAACAGGTATCGAGCTAGACAGTGTCAAGTGGTGCTTCGTTCGACCGTAATGCCCTGGGCCCTCCAGGTGACGAGGCCGGCCCAGGGGAGAAGCCGCAGGCCAACTCAGTGGACTGGCCACCATCCATACCACGAGGTACCCGGGTAACCCAGCGCCCAGCGCCCAGCACCCAGCACCAGGCCAGCGCCGGACCACTCGCAGCGCACCTCCACCACACACCACCGCCGCCTCCTCCTCTCAGGGCAAAGTGCTCTCAACCTGCTCCCTCCCCGTTTTCTTCGCCTCTCCTCCCCTCTCCTCCTCCTCCTCCCCCCCCCGTGGCGCGACTCCCCTGCTCGCCCATCTGGAAACCCTTGTCCTCCTCTCTCGTCGTCGACTGCTACGAGCCATTCCACCGAACAAAACGGCCACCGGGGCAGAGACGCTCAGCCAAACTCTCCCAGAAGTCACCCCGCCTGCACCCGCAGCAAGGGGGCAATTCACGCAGCGAGCATGTCGACGCCCACGACGACCGTCGCCACGCTGCCTCGCTATCACTCCCACTCCCACTACCACCACCCGCCGCCCTATCCGCACCAGACCCCGACCCAGAGCCAGCATCATAGCAGCAACGCCCTGGGCTCCGCTGCCAACTACTGCTCCTTGCCTGGCTTTGTCCTGCCCCCGGCCACGCCTTCGTCGACATCTTCGTCGGCCGCTGCCGCCGCCGCCGCCGCCGCCGCTCGTCTGTTGCCCTTCTACCAGCCCGTCAGCAACGCAGCCTCGTCCTCGACGGATGCCCTGGCCCCGTCCTCGGTCGCTCAACTCCAGTCGTCAGCGCCGCCTCGCCCCCCACCGCATGGCCTTCACCGCAGCCTTGCCGACGACCACCACAAACAACAAATCCCATCCCCGGCCCCTCGCCATCTCGAGAGCCACTCGTCGACAATGTCGAGCACTGCCGCCCTCAACGACCAGCCCTCGCGGAAACGCCGCCGCTCCCGCGAGCCCGACTGGAACACCTTTTACAGAAATGGCCTCCCCAGCGAGGTCATTGTCATTGACGACACCCCGGAGCCCGAGGCCAACATGGGCCGCAAAATGGTCAACGCCGCACCTCGCGACCTGACCACGCAGCAGCCGGCAAAGAGGATGCGACGGGACGACGTCCTCGAGGCCACCCCCCGCAATGCCGGCTATCACGTTCAATATGCCGCGTCACACAACAACACGCCCCTTCAGAACTCTACCCCCATCGGCTCCACCCTCTCGAGCGTCCGTACCAACTCGGCACTGCATACCACGGCACCTACCTCGCTCTCCTCCAACAGCCAGTACGAGGATGTCCAGGCGCCGCTCAAGCGGAAGCGCACTCGTCAGCAGGTCGCCAACGAGGCCAAACGTCGAGACGTCGACGGGCTGGGCGATGCTTTCTTCACCTACAAACCCCCGCCCTACTCACCCAAGAAGGCCTCGGATGTCCACGTCCGTGTCGTCCACGATGTCAGTCCTCCTTGTCCATTCAATCCTGTCCGTGGCCCGGAATTCGGTGACTAACCTTGTGTCCTATTCAGCGCCTTCACGATAAGAATTACAAGGTCGACGACGAGGATGGCCATTACATCGTGGTGCCCGATGCCGAGTTGACCGACAAATGTGGGTGGACAGCCCCGTCTCAACGTGCGACACATGCCTGACAACTTTCACAGATCAAATCACGCGTCTGCTCGGACAGGGAACCTTTGGAAAGGTCGTGCAAGCCCGTGACCGCAGGCGCAACAAGCTCGTCGCCATCAAGATTATCCGCTCGGTCCAGAAATATCGCGATGCTTCGAGGATCGAGCTCCGGGTGCTAGCCACGCTCAAGGCCAACGACGAGGAGAACCGGAACCGGTGCATCCACCTGAGGGATTGCTTCGATTACCGTGGCCACATCTGCATCGTCATGGATCTTCTCGGTCAGAGCGTGTTTGACTTTCTCAAGGGCAACAGCTTTGTGCCTTTTCCTAACAGCCAGATCCAGAGCTTTGCTCGCCAGCTCTTCACCAGCGTTGCCTGTAAGTGCCCCTGCAACCTGCTTGACACGGCCCGTTCTGACTTGGCGATTCAGTCCTTCATGACCTCAACTTGATCCACACGGACTTGAAGCCTGAGAATATCCTTTTGTGGGATAACTCTTATCAGACTTTTACCTATAATCGCAAAATTCCTTCTTCATCTTCCACCATCAGCCGCCAAGCCACGCAACGTCGAGTCCTGCTCGACACGGAAATCCGCCTCATCGACTTTGGCTCGGCCACGTTTCAAGATGAATATCATTCTTCGGTCGTGTCTACCAGGCACTACCGCGCTCCCGAAATCATTCTCGGGCTAGGCTGGTCTTACCCCTGTGATATTTGGAGCATCGGGTGTATCCTCGTCGAGTTCTTTACCGGCGACGCCTTGTTCCAGACGCACGATAACCTCGAGCACCTGGCCATGATGGAGGCCGTCGTGGGTCGACGTATTGACCCATATCTCGTCCAGGCAGTCAACAAGATGTCGACTCGCAGCGGTGGGAATCCCGCGTCAAAGTAGGTCCCCCTTAAATGCACACGCCTTGCACGCCGGCTAACAGCGAACAGATATTTCAAGCGTCTCAAGCTGAGCTATCCTACCCCGGAAACCACGCGCGGATCTCGACGATTCGTCAAGGCCATGAAGCATCTTAACGTATGTTACCGCCCAGCCACTTGCTCGGCAGCCCGCGCTGACTGAGCGAACAGGACGTGATTCCATCAAACACCGCCTTCTTTAAGAATTTCCTTGATTTGTTGAGCAAGATTTTCGTCTACGATCCCGCGCAGCGCATCACCGCCAAGGAGGCTCTGAACCACCCGTGGTTCAAGGAGATGGCTGTTCCTGACGACGGGACTGAGGCGGCAAAGATTCGGCTGGAGCGGAGACGAGCCGAGCAGGAGCACTTGCGGCAAGCCCATTATGTCGGCTGAGAGATGGCCGCCAGACGCAACGGCAGCCCCGAATTCGCACTCTCTTTCGACGATCCAACGAGCATGACGGAGCTGAGAGTTTGGCCTCCATTGGCAGCGGACAATGGTGGAGAGGCGACAAGACCTACTGGGAAACCGTGCCGGCCCAAAAACGGCCGCTGTACTCTAGTGCGTTAGCTGCAGTGCCCGTCTTGTCGTGTCTCGCCTTTCGTTCTTTATCTCTTTTGTCCCCCTCCCCCCTTTATTTTGTCCACCGAAACGCCACTTGGAAGTGGTGCTGCTCTGTCGTGGCGGTCGAGGGGATGTCACTGGCTTCGGGGCTCCCCTCTTGGTTCTCTATCATCTGCCCACCATCTGAAGCCGGGGAGTACAGCGAGGACAAAGTGTGGCCGTGCCAAAACTAATATATGCCTCTACCTGTCCCGCATACGGTGAAGGGTTCTCGCGAGTGAAGGAAAGTGGTCGCTTCCGTTACGAAGCCGATGGTCTTGACGCGAGAGCATGGTTTGGGAATGTGCTTGCTGGGCGTACCTGAGGAACCAAACCGGGCTTGCGTTTCTCGCTCGTCACCACGCTCGCTGGACTTTTGCGTTTGGCGGCTTGCGCAACGAGGCTCGGAGTGTCCAGCATGGCAACATGTCGGGGCTAGAGTGTCGCACTTGAGCCAAGCGGGGTTTTCTCGGGCGGAAGATGGGACGGGGGCTGAGGGAGTGTGGGCTTGAGGGGGTTGCTTGCTCGGACGGGGACGATGGACGGCCTTGACGCTCGCGGCGCGAGGTATCGTACGTGCGCCTCGGTGCCTAAACATGGCGCTGCTGGTCCCACGGGTTATCCAGCTCCTGGGCAATGCGCAGTGGGCAATGCTATCGTCTCGGCGGAAATACGGAAGAAGGAAGAGCGGTGGTTCGCGCAAGGGGGGGCGGGCGAGATTCGGCATTTACGTCCATGGGGCACGTGGGAGCCGGGTGCCTCGTCTGCTCGCATCTATATACGCTCCAAAACTCTTCGCCCCCTGCTTCTCATCCCCTTGCCGGGCCTCCCCCCCCCTCATCGATGGTCTGTCGACGAGCACACATGCCCGCCTCTCAGTCAGCCAGCCCCTCCAAGAGGGCCTGCACGGCGGGCACGTAGCACGCAGCATGCTGGAACTCGCCGAGGCGCACACGCATCATGTCCAGCGCCAGCAGGACGCCCTGCTCGCCCTCCCCCGTCGTCCTCGTGAGGCTGTCGGCCTTGGAGTAGCGCTGGGAAAAGTGCGTGAGCAGGGTGCGGCGGGCCTGCATGTCGCGGGCGACGCCGAGGGCCTCGCCCATGGTCGAGTGCTTCTTTGCCCTGGCGTGGTCCTGGCGGTCGTCGCCAAAGGTGCACTCGTGCACGAGCAGGTGCGCGCCGCGGCACGCCTTGGCAAAGGCCGTCGACGGCCGGCAGTCGCCCGAGTAGGCGATGCGCAGGCCCGACGTGAGCTCGAGCTGCGTGCCGTACGAGCGCCAGCAGTGCGGCACGGGCACGCGCGTGATCGACGCGAGCCCCCAGGCGTCGTCGCCGCCGCCGCCGCCGCCGCCGCCGCCGCCTGCAGCCATGGCCGCCAGGTCCTGCGCCGTCGTCACGTCGCGGTCCTTTCCCCTTGTCCAGGGACAGCTGGGGAAGCGGAGGCGGTGGAAGCCAAAGTCGTGGACCTGCGACAGCTCCTGCAGCATCGTACGGTAGCGGCCGATGCACGACATGGCCAGCGTCGCCGTGCTCTTGTCGCGGAGCGCCTGCTCGTACCACGCCTTGATGATGGCGACGGCGCCCGTGTGGTGGTCGGCGTGAACGTGGCTGATGACGATGCACCGCAGCCCGCGCAGCACCTCGGCCGTCTCGTCGGCGCCCAGTGCCCGCCGGATCTGACCGAGAGTGCCCTCGCCGCAGTCGAGGAGGTAGTTGCCGATGCCAGGCACGCGGATCAGCGTCCCGGACACGTTGCGGTACTTGCTGGGCACCGACGACCCGGTCCCGAGCGGGATGATCTCGGCGTCTCGGTTGGGAATGTCCCTTTCCATCTCTTCGACGCGGGCCAGGAAATCGGGGTCGGATGCCTGCGCCCTTGCCTTTTCGGCCAGCGCGAGCACCTCGCCGCCTATGCCATTGGAGGCTCCGACGAGGTCCGGAAAGGGGGCAATGGCCTGTTCTTGATGGACGATGCGGGGCATCAGCATCAGCTTCCTGCCGGCGCGTCCCAGCTCTATGGGCGATTCAGGGGGAGGCGCCGGGTATTTGACGGCGTTGTCGTAGTCGAGCAGCGGGAACCTCTGCGGGTCGATGCGCCGCAGCTTGACCTGGACCTCCGCGGGGCCGGGGTGCGTAATCATGTTGGGGCAGGTGTCGTCGGCGCAAAAGACATGCTTGACCTGCGGGTGCTTCTGGATAAAGGACTGGACGCGAGGATCCCCAGCCAGGCCGGGCCCCAGGATCCAGTACATCATGGCGATGTGGGCCATGAGCTCGGCACTTTGCCACTCGGGCCGCTCCATGAAAGCATCGACAAAGTCGTGGCTGGGGATGTCGGCGACGACGATGCCGTGGCCGGGCTGGCGCTCGCCGAGGACCATGTCTGGCGTCACCGTCGTGCCGTCCTTGCCCGGGACGCTCTCACCTACGGCCAGGCGCTTAAAGTCTTCCCTCTTGACGCCCAACTCCGTGGCGATGGGGGCATTGAACTTGCCCCTGCGGTCGTGACACTTCAGGACGTAGGACATGGACGTCTGGCCGTAGCACGTGGGCGATAGAGGATAGTGGTTGATGGGCAGGCCGTCGTCGCTCGGGGACCCATCGCCGGGCGACGAGCCGGGGCCTTGAAACACCCAGGCTTTCCTGTCCGGGTCTGGCAGCGTCTGGCCGTCGGTGGCGTAGGGGCCCTTGTACGGGGAGAGCTTGCCTTGGTCGTCAACGATGGCTACATCGGTGGGTTTGAGCTGGCGGAGCCATCTAGACGGAAGGACAGAGTTGTTTTTGTGGCTGCCGCTGAACATGACGTTTTGTACAATCATGGCGGCGACGTCGGGGTCGGAGAGGGTGGAACGCGGTTTGTACGAGGCGGCGTCCGGCTCGTCGAGGCTGCTGTGACGGCGCTTTGGGGGGCTGCTGGAGCGGGCCGTCCGGACGGGGATCTTCCATACCCTGACGGCGTCATCCTGCCAATCTGGATCCATGTTTTGGGCGTCGGCGGCCCTGGGGTCTGTGCGATGCTCGTGGGGCTGGACCTTGACGCTCTGGCGCAGGATGACGGCACGACATGCGGCCAGGACGTGGCAGAGGTTGTCGCCGCCGTGGACAGTGACGCCGTTGTGTTGGACCTGCTTGAGGAGCTTGTTGCCCTGGGCCCTCCTCTCTTCATTCTCGGTCACGACATGCTCCTTGGCGGAGTCGATGCCGCCGCCGACGCTGAGCAGGTACCCGAGCAGGCCGCCAATCTCGTCCGAGCCGACGGGCCCGCTGAGGAAGACGTGCTCGGTGCCGCCGAGGTGGATCTTGCGGCTGCCAAAGGCGCGCTGGGTGCCGTCGGCGACGCGGCCGAGGATGTAGGAGCGCTTGTCGTGGTGGACGTAGATGCACGAGCCGGGGGTGTCGGCCGAGGGGACGGTGGCGAGCTCGACGGTGGTGGTCATGATGGTTGAGGGGCGGGAGGCGAGGTCCCAATGTTGCGGTGCGTGATGTCGGGACAGGCAGCCAAAAGGTCTTGGTCTGTCCAGGCGCTGCTGCTGCCGCTGTGTTCGACCGAGGGCTGTCGCGACGACGACGAGGAGACGGCGGCGGTGGCTAAGGAGTGCAGATGAGAAGCTCAGGCCGCGCGTGGCCCATGGTTCCATCGGCAGCTTGGCCTACGTGCTGGTGAATGAGCGTGGTGGCTACCAGTGGCCGAGGAGAGTCGTTGGGGGTGGCATGGGCGTTGACGAGGCTGCTCTCGATGACTCGATGCCGAAGCCTTCGTTTTTTTTTGTCCTGGTCGTCTTGTACGTACCTTGAGTGGATGACTGTGCCCTGCCAAGCCTGCCTGTAGCTATAACTTTGCCCCACTCCGACCGATTACCAGCTTACATAATTCCCGAGTCAAACCACCCTGGCACCTGATGAGCTTCAGCGGCGACGACGGTAGGCAGTGAAGCGGGACAATTTTATACATGGCATTTCAGTATATTTCAAAAATTCAAGGGGCGTTGCTTGCCTCAAAACCATAATTCATCCGTGTTGTGTGGGGATTCTGCAGCCATTGATGGCCAGAATTGGATGACGTCTTCAATGCACGTCTCCTCTCCGTAACCCCGACCAATCATTTCAGCCTCAACTCGCTTCAATCCATTGCACGGTTCCAATCGACCGCTCATAGAAGCAAGACCCAACGTCGAAAAGGTATCGGTAAAAATAACATCCTCGTCGGGGCATCACATGTCCTTCCGACCCGGCCTCTCCCGTGTCGTCATCCGCCTCCCCATCGTCACTCACAGCCGAGCCTGCAGGAAAATGTCGGATCAAATCAAGAGAAACCCGCATCCCGACTTCAAAAAGGTTGAGGCCTCGCGCCCGGCCTGGGACGACGCCTCGCGGTTCCGCTTTACCCGCACCGTCGACCCGGACTGGGCCTTTGGCCACGGCGCAAACCGCCTTCACCACCAGCCCTCTTCAACTTTCTCTTCCACGGCGACGGCAGGCTCCGATGGCAGCAGCAGCAGCAGCAAGCACATCGCCATCGACCCCTACGCCCCCGGCCGCCCAGACGTCTTCAACTACAAGCTGCTCATCTCCGGCATAGTCCCCCGGCCCATTGCCTTCCTCAGCACGCGCAGCGCCGACGGCTCGTCGACCAACCTGGCTCCATTCAGCTATTTCAACGTCATGTCCCACGACCCGCCCCTCTTCGTCGTCGGCTTCGCCAGCGGCATCGACGCCGCTGTAGCCAAGGGAGCCAAGGACACGCTGCGTAACCTGGTCGAGACGCGCGAGGCCGTCGTCAACATCATCAGCGAGTCCTTTCTCGAGGCCGCAAACGCCACCAGCATCGATGCTCCCTATGGCGTCAGCGAGTGGGATGTTGCTGGCTTGACTCCCGTGCGCGACTGCGAGACGGTGCGGTGCGCGCGAGTCGCCGAGGCTGTCTTTAGCGTCGAGGTTAAGGTCGACGAGCTCAAGGAGCATGGGAGCAAGCGGGACCCGAGCAACAAGACGAGCACCATTGCCATTCTCGAGGGTACCAGGTTTTGGGTCCGCGAGGATGCGCTCAACGAGGAAAAGAACCTGATCGATCCCGCCGTAAGCTCTTCTCCCTGTCCCTGATGTTTCCTCTCTGCCTTGACGCAGATGCACTCTTATCTACCCTTGAGACAGCAGCGTTGGCTCACGGCAACACAGATCCTCAGACCCATCAGCCGCCTTGGTGGCATCAGCTACGCAAGGACAACCGAGGCCCTGGAACTCCCTAGGCCCAAGTTCGAGGACCACCTCGGCGGCCACGAGGGGTTCGAAAAGCTCAAAAACTCAAAACGTTCATAATTATCCCATTCCGTCCGTCCCGCAAAACTAGATTCGACGAGACGGACCTGTGTGCTCATGAAATTTCGTCGTACATTCGCATCGATCGCATGCCATCGTTTCTATGTAAAAAAAAGGACCCATTTCGAGACAGGTGGAGGACCCTCCGTAGCCTCGTGCGTTGGTCGTAAAACAACATGGGAGCAAAAATCACGCAGCGTGTTGGAGCACGCGCATGCTCCCAAACGCCACACCCAACGCCATACTACGCCAGCCGTGGGTATATACTCCTTCTATATGGCGAGCCCAAGAGACTGAAAACTGCCTTTCCGTGCTTTCAGAGATAGAGGCTCTGCCCTGGCTTGGAGACAATGTACTCGCAACCCAGGCACGCCTCTCGCTCGTGTTCCCGTAGCTGCTGCAAAATCGTCTCGCCCGGGTCCGGCTCGTTCTCGAGCGTCTCCTTTACGTGGATAATGACCACTTTGAGGCCCTCGAGAGGCCGTCGGGCGTTGTCCTCCGGGGTCGGGGTCTCCAGGTCGCGGAGCGTCAGCTCGTCCACCGGCGTCGCCAAGTGCGGCGTCTCCGAAGAGTCGGCCGACTTGGACAGCGAGGGCTTCATCGACTTGGGCGACACGGGTTCCTCGAGCACGAAGCTGGGCTGGTGGCGCTGCTGGGGCCCCTCGCCGACGCTGATACGCTTGCGCTTGCGCGAGTCAACACAGCGACCCTTGCGGGCGGCGTCGACCTCTGCGGCGAGGACCTGCAGCTCCTCAATGACAAAGACGGGCTTGAGGTGGCCGTAGAGGCGGTCGTTGCAGCGCGAGTCGTCGTAGCTGCACTCGATGAAGACGGCGGCGAGGGTGCCGCTTGCAACCTTGGGCGCGGCCTCTTGCCAGACGGCCAGGTTGCGCGGGCTGAGCGAGAGGCTGTCGGGCTCGACGTCGCCAAAGATGAGCACCTCGCGGCGGTGGTCCTGGTCGCGGATAAAGTAGGCGCTCGAGTCGTAGACGCAGTATTTTTCCTGCTCGGCGCCGCCGCCAAACTGCGGGGACGCGCTGCCCAGGGTGGCCTGGCCCAGCAGTGTCTGGCTGCGGGAGGTGGGCAGCGAGGGCTGGTGGCCGTAGAGGTCGCGGCGCGACGGCTGGAGGGAGCCGTCATGGCTGCCGAAGCGCGGGGAGGCGCTCGAGGCGGAGCCGCGATGGCTGTGCTTTTCGATGCAGTGGCCATGGCTGACGCTCCACGTCTTGACGAGGAGCCCGTCGCAGACCTCAAGATAGCCCTTGCCCGGGCCGTCGCCAAGGGCGGGGCTGCCGCCGTCAACGAGGCGCAGGTACGTCAGCAGGCCGGCGCCGTTGTTCTCGTCGCTTAGGTTGGGCCAGATGACGTTGTTGAAGATGTGGTTCTTGAAGGCCTGGATGGTGCTGGGCAGGCCGGCGAGCTTCTTGGGGCGGGTGCCGGGCAGGCCGGCCGTGTTTACGACGAAGCCCGAGATGTGGTCCATGTGAGGGTGGGTGATGAGGTAGGTGTCGACGAGGGTGCGGGTGACGTGGGCAGCGTTGGCAGCGGCGGTGCGATAGGGCAGCGGCAGTCCGGCAAAGGGGCCTTCGGTGAGGGTAAAGGGGAGCGAGGTCGGGGGCGGCGAGGGGAAGGCATCTTGGATGAGGCGGGCAATGGCGGACAGGTGGACGCCGGCATCGACGGCGACGATGGAGCCCTTGGACCAGTCCTGGGCGACGGAGCGGACAAGGAAGGCGGTGGTGTTTGATTCCAGGGGACCGCCGCCGGAGCCCTAGCACAGGTAAGCGATTGATTGTTGGGTCTTGATGGAGAGGGAGCGAAGCCGTGGAAGGCATGGAGACGGCGGATGGCGGGTACGTACCAGGACTATGACCTGCAGGGCAGGCCTCTCCGACTGCCCCATTTGCGTCGAGGCCAGAGAAATGTCAGGAAGGGCGGTAATTAAATAAGCTGCAATGGACAGGAACAAGAAAGAGTAAAACCGCTCGTGCAACGCGAACAGTCAACTGGCAGGGTAAAGAAGCGCCGCAAAGGCCTGCAGCAAGGGGCCCGAAATGTCCGAGTGGCGATTACACGGGCGATGGATGGCGCACGTGGTGTGTGCCTGTCTCAGTCGTAAGCGTATGGCAGCGAGGCATGTGCGTCACCGACGTTGCTGTGTAGCCGAGTGTCTCAGCTCTCGTCGTCAAGTGAGTGAGTGAGAAGAGGCGGGTGAGTGAGGTGAGTGAGGTGAGTGAGGTGAGTGAGGCCCGCGGCAGGCCGGGTGGTTTTATCGGGCGCCTGGATGGAATCCAAAAACGCCGGGCGCCGGCTGCAATAATAAAGGATGGGGGCGAGGGGGATCAACGGGCCTCCTAAAGACGGACTAGGCAACGGTTCGCTTTGTTCCTTTGACCTGGCATTTTAGTTTGGCTGGCGAGTGGAATTTGACATGATGAGTGCGGTGGGGGTGCGCATGAGATGGGAAAGCGAAGAGGCAGAGCCACCAACAGCCACTGTAGTAACCACCAGCAGCACCGGCTACACAGCACAGCACAGGCTCAATCACAGGCCACCTACTCCGTAAGTATTGACAGCACAGCACAGCCAGCACAGCCAGCACAGCCAGCACATCCAGGCCGCGGCGTGTAATCAATTACTGTCTGTACCAAGAGTCTATACCGCGTGCCTGTCGAATCTGCGCGCCTTCGTTGGCTGTTCGGCGACGCCGGGCGTTTCCCGTCTTTGTCCCATCCTTAGTCGCGCGGCACAGCAGGCTAGTCACGAACGGGATCCTCACCTGCATTGTCATGCATGCGCATCGTCAATGCATGCATGGCTGCAGCCCTCCTGCGGGGAGCCGCATGCTCGTCGCCGGCCACCAACCGAGTTATCAGATGTCCCCCCCCCCCCTGCTCTGTTCGGAACCAGCTGTGTGTGTGCAGAAGACGTCTCCATCGTCACCGTTTTCTACATCGGAGACAGATTCCGTTCGCCTCCGGCCAAGCAAGACCAGTTGAAAAATGCTCTCACGATGCTCGCCTCGCGGCCATGTGCTTCGTACAGTACGCCCGCCGCACTCGCCGCCGCTACTCGGGCCCATGACATTAATAAACCTGACTCTCCCGCTGCCTTGCTCTGTATGCATGTGCAGGGCCGTCCTTGACCGCGAGTCGTCCTTGACCGCGAGTCATCCTTCGGACCATGATTCCATCCGCATTCCATCCGCATTCCACCCACAACCAAGAGCACGTCGCCCATCAAACTGCGAATAGACGACGAACAAGGGAAAGGGTGCAAAGTCGCAAATGGTCAGAATTGGTCTATAACCTATATGAAGCGGGGGAAACCCGCCCAGTTGAACAGCAAACATGCCCCTTTTCCAAGCAAATTCCTGTTGCACAGGAAGCAGAGATTACGAGCCGCCCATGGTCGTCGCGTCCACCAAGGGCCAAGCTCTGTCAGGATGCGCAACAAGATACAGCTGAGCAATCACTCCGCCGCCACGGCAGCCTCACTTGAACCCTCCCTCGTTCCAAAAGTCGGCAAAGTCGGGCCCTCCGTCAAACGAGCCCAAGTCGCCCGCGCCCGCGCCCGCGCCCGCGATACCCCAAAACTCTCCGTCCACTTCGCTGCCCAACTGCTCCCCCTGCGGTCGTGGCACGTCGCCGTCAGCGTCGTCACCCGGCATGTCGTTGTCCTGCGGGCCCTCGTCGTGGCCTTGTGCGTGCCGTTGCTGGTGCTGCTGCTGCTGCTGCTGCTGCTGGGCCTGCTGCTGCTGGGCCTGCCGCTGCTGGACCTGCTGGTGCTGGACCTGCTGGTGCTGGACTTGCTGCTGCTGGACCTGCTGCTGCTGGACCGTACGGCCCCGCTTCGAGCTTCGTCCTTGGGCCTCTTCCACCTGGTGCTCGTCTCGCTTGCGCTTCGCGTTGAGACGCTGCGCCTCCATCATCTGCTCGTCGCCACGGCCTTCGTCGGAGGTGCCCCGATTCCGTTTGGGATACCGTCCACTGCTTGCCGCGCCGTGCGCCCTGGTTTGCATCAGGCTGGGCACCTGTTCCTCGACAAAGTGGGCCAGCGGATTGAACCCGTCCGCGTACGCCATGGCTTGGTCAGCGCCTCCATTTACCGTCCCCAGCCCGACAAGATCGTATTCCCCCTCTTCGTGTACTGTCTCCATCCCGCCTCCAGCGACACCTCGTCCCGTCCGCCGCGCGCCTCGGCCTCTCGAGCTTGTCTCGCCGCCAGCCCCCATTTCCTGCTCGGGGTCGTCGTTCTCTGACAGCAACGCATCCTCGGCAGTAGATAGTTGACGGAATTCCTCCCTCTTCCTCTCCCTCTTCGCCTCCTTGACATTTTTCATCGCCTCCGCATACTTGGACAAGTCTCCCATGTGACAATCAATCGTCGTCATATCGTCCTTTCTCTTATGTAAGTTGCGCTTCACGCGTGATGTTTGCCGCGCTGGTGTCTGGTGATCCAAGTGGTGCCGGGTGAGTATATACGACAAGGAGTCAACGTGATCTCGGGGCTTCCAAGGGCCGTTGTCGGGCCTTGTCCCTTCCTTTGCCTTGCGCTCCCGGAACCATGGCAGGTATGCTTTGTGGATGATTTCGCGGTCCGTGTCTCGCGTCAGAGCCGTTGTATTTTTTTCCTCCTTGGGAAAGCTTCGATTTTCGCCCTCGAGCCGGTTCTCGTCGAAAAGCTTGACCATATCGAAGCACTGCTCAAAGCACCACAGGTGCATCATGCCCGCCATCTTGTAGGGGTCCAGCGTCCCGTCGCTGGTCCAGTCTGGAAACTCGTCAAAGGCGACGCGGTACCACCCCGGGCCAATCGTGCGCGACTCCATGGGGCAGCAATCCCATCGACACCGGCGGTCGTCCTTCTCCAGGCGCCTGGCGATTTGCGACGGCGTCCCCTGAACCCGAAGCCTGCAAGGTTCACCACCAGGCCTCCCAGAGATAAACCCGGCAATCTCTTCCTTGCTGAACGCTCGGCCCTCGACGAGCTGAACACCAGACGTGTACGTGTACCGATGGCATCCACCTGCCGTTGAAGGTCCAAACTCCAGAGGCGGCATCTTGAGGGTGTGATAGAAGTATTTTGGATCGCTTTCCTTGTCGTTCCTCTTCACCTTCCTTCGGTCCGACGAGACCCTGCCGTGCCTCGCCCAATCCGGCATTACCATTTCTCCTTCAATTGATAGCCAGGTCACGGGAGAGTTCAGTTGGCCTTTGGGCGGCGACAGGCTCTGAGGCACGGCTAGTTTTGCATGCGGCGCCTTGACGCCTGCAGGAGAGGCCGTCGGGATGGTCGCGGGGAGAGAGTGCCGGCCGTTGAAATCGTGGCTGCCAGCAGTCTCTCCCCCCTGGTTCTCGCCTGGATATCCCTGTCCGCCCCCGCTTGGCTCCTCTGGCCCGTTTTCTTGGGCATTGCCTCCCGAGTTGTCGTGGGGAGCCGCCCTCTTGTTGCCCTGAGCTCCTGCCAGGCCTGTCGCTTTGGGCTGGCCCAGGAAGCTTGAGCTCGTCCTCACGTTCCCGTAAGGGGGGATTTCCTGAGCGGCAATCTCGGGGGTTGGATAGTGTGCACGGGGCAGCGAATACTCTGAAGTCTGATCATCAAGTAAAGAAGCCAGAGTTGATCCTCTGGATGGAGCGCTCGCGTGGCTGCGCGTTCCCGTATATGGGTATTGGCCGTACGGAAGGGTCGTGCCAAAGCCAGAGACGGACCGTGAGTCAGGAGCAAAGTAGTCGGGCTTGGCAATGTAGCCGTTCAAGGGGCCATTGCTTGCGTTGTACATTGGCGACGCCTGATAGTTAAGACCCAGGGTGGAAGCGTTGTAGGCTTGAGTCTGATGAAGCTGCTGCCCTAGCGAGGGCTGGATTTGGTAGCCTCGAGTCCCGGCCATGTTTGCCTGGGCGACAGAGGCTGCCGTCCCATATAAGCCGTTTCTCATGCTGGGCTGGCAGGCTTGCTGCTGCCGCCGCTGGTTGCCCTGGCTCTGGTGATGCCGGGGCTGAGACTGGAAATGGACGTTGGTATAGCCCGCTACCGGCTGCTGCTGGAGCTGCTGGAGCTGCTGGAGCTGCTGGAGTTGCTGGAGCTGCTGGTGCGCCGTGTTGCTGGCCGGGAAACTGGTGGAAGTCGGGGACAGACGAAAAGCTCTGGACGCGTTTATGAGGGTTTGCGAACCACTCGTCTGGGTGTGCGGATGCAGAGTCGTAGGAGGGTTACCGCGCCAACCTTGGCCGTGGTAGGCGGCGCCCTGCTGCGGCTGCACGTGGCCCCTTTTGCCGCTGTTGCTCGGGGGCACCGCCTGGCCAGCCACGCCATGATGGAGTTTGGTCCTGACTTGTGGCGCATTGAAAGAAGATACCGCGTCTTGATTAGCATCCAATTGGGGGGGGTCTGGGTTATCAGTATGAGACGATGCGGCAAGGGGGTCGACGGCAGCAAAAGACTGCAGCAGCTCGAATCCGGGGGTTTGGGCTATGGCGGTTCCCTGGATGGCGGGTGCTTGAATTCCATGGCCGGCTTCAAAGTCGTCGGCGCCGGCCGGCTCTGCGGCAGCGCTCTCTGGCTCGGATGCCTCTTCATTCGCTTCAGCCACGGGGCCAATGCCAGCATCCAACTGCGAGTCGATGCTGGGGAAGATGTCATCGAAACCATTGTCGTTGGTGTATTGCTCGAGGTTGATGGAACGATAGAGCTCGTCTTCAACGTCTTCCAAAGAGTCAACGCCCTCGTCCAGGCACGCCGGAGCAGCTGGCAGCTCGGCTTCCACAGCCCCGGCCGCGAGCGACGACGCGCTGTGCGGGGCTGATTGTGCTCCGCGGGGATCCATGTGCAAGTGCATTATTAGGTGCGGATTCGTCGCCTCTCTCCAATGGTCTGTTGCGGAACAAGCAAGACGGCGTCGACGGAGAGCGAGAGCTGAAACAGAACTTAAAGCCGCACACGAACGGTTGCGCTGGGAAGGGCAGATCGAGCGAGGGGACGACAAGTCATATTAATCTTTTAAACGAAACAGACACTTTAGAGCTGGAAAGTAAGGCGATTGCGGCGCGTCTCATTGTCCCTTTACAAGCCGTTCATCTGAATCGGAAATAGACTGCCAAAGAACAAGAGCCGCGCAGCGCTTGGACAAAGCGTCGACTTCTATTTGTTCGGCCCGCTTGAGTCCAAGAACAAAACTGAATGGGCCAGTGGGCTGGGCAGTGGCTAAAAGGCAACGGGCAATTACGTGCCTGTAGCACGTTTGCTGCCTCGTTGTCAACTGCAAGGCCGATTAGCGGGCAGTCCATGGTCATGGGCTTGAAGGGTTCAGACGAACATGGGCCAGGACAGATGAAATATGAAAGTAAGAATTTCGACATTGTCATTCAGAACAGGTCTGTGAATGCGGAACTCATCATAGGAGCGGCGGTCAAGATGTTTGCGTGGGAAGGCCTACTTGTATTCCGGCCCATGACGGCGAACAATCTGACGGATGTTCGGTTCACATTAATTGTGGCGCAATGAGGCTCCGACAGCTACCGTGGTCACGAGAATGGCTATTCAGGCCATCTGGGCGTCTGCACCAGGCGTCGTGTGGCATTATCAATCCACTGTTTGGTGGGAAGCCGAGGCTCCTCAGTTGCGCCGACGACATGGCATGCGGCTGCTTCGCCAGGTAACGGCATCTCGTAGTTGGCCATCGGTCAAGATGCTGTAGTAGACAGCTTACAGCCATAACGAGCAAGAACAGGCTTCGGGCGAGGTGAAACGACGTTGGGTCGTGGGAGTGAGCAGAGTTCCTTTCCGGCTAGCTCGATGTGTGCATGATCTGGCACGGAAGCCGGAGCGCGATGCTCCGATGGCGTACCTGGCACGCACGTGTCCAATGTCCAGCCTCACACTCGCCTACCCTGAGGCTGCGTCAAAAAAGGAGGGAATGAAAAGAGCGATGACTATCCGTACCTACCTTAGGTATTCATCTAATTAACTATGTGTGGTTTTGACAATGGACCCGCGAGCCTTGTCTTTTCCTGTTTTGATGGAAACGAATCAAAGACGCTGCAAGAATTTGCACGTTGTGTACGAGAGCTTGTCTTTTGTTGCAAGTGAAAGCGTCTACTGCGCCTAGCTAGCAAACGCAGCAGGTCTTCGATAGGCGGCAAGCTCCAGCTATGCACAAGCCCTTTTCATCAACCGCCACCCTCGCTGATCATGCAAATGGCATCTGCCTAGGCGCCTGAACATCCCTGGGTGAATTCTCGCGCGTCTTGAACCGTGGTGTCGACTCACCACTTTGGCAGACGCGCGACCGCGTTACTGCATCGGCCAGCGGCTTTGCTGGTGTTGAAACAGGCTCCCTGTCGAGCCTTGTAGGCGAGAAAGGATCTATAGGCAGCCCGCTGCTTCATTATCTGGAGCTATTTCGGGCGACAATGCCTTGCAATCTCACAAAGGGCATGTCTTCATGTCCCGGCAACATGGAAGAAAGTGCGCATGCGCCTGCGGATGAATGAAATGATTGGCTTTCAAGTCGACATGGCCTTTGAGTCATGTTGCAGAATGTTGGATGAGAGCCGTCGGCTTGAATATTTAAACGTGCGTTGACGCTGTCGATGCCGCGACATCATCATCATGCAGGTAGACGTTGGGGCCGCTTGCATTCTTGCTTCTCGAGACGTCGGACTTGTTGACTCTGGGTCCAGAGATGTGAGCGGGCATGGCTGCCGGTTCGTGATGGCTTCAGCCGAAATCCCTCGCTCTGCACTTGGAGATGACCGATGACCGCATCGTACAAAGTACCTTAGGTACGGTACTGACCGTACATTGACTGCCAGTGGCGCTGGTCCAGCGAGCACGCGCCGAGTAATAAACAGCGGCACCAAAGCCCTGATCAACGCTCCTCCCTCTCCCTCATCTTCCTTCCCCTCGCTCGAGGCCCACTTTTGCGTGAGCTGCAGTTCCTCCATGTACTCCGTACCCCTTGCCCTTTGATTGCCCTCCTCCATGCGTCCGCGTCTGTCCCCTAGGCCAACCAACCGCTGGAGCGTCTCCCTGACCACCGCCGCCTATCATCACGAGACTTGGCCCGCCGCGACAAAGCGACCCCCTCCGCTGAGCATGGCCGCCTCCCGCCTCCTCCAAAGCGCCTCGACCTCTGTATAGACTGCGACAGCCATCCCGCCGCCATGGCCGACCACGATCCAGAGCTCCAGGCCAGGCTCGACGAGCTGCAGCGCGAGTTGGAGGTAGGCCTACGCCCCTCGCCTCGTCCACGCCGCCTTGCACCCGATCCGCCTGGGCTGACCGTTGACTTGCCTCCAGGAGGGCGACATAACCCAGAAGGGCTTCCAAAAACGACGGACCCTACTGCTGTCCCAGCACTTTGCGAGCCCCCCGACGGCCCCGCGGACTGGCCTGCGAATACACTCTCCCGACAGCGCCAAGTATGGGGCCAGCGACGACCACCGGGCCGCCGCCTATGCCGCCATGACGGGCCACGACTCCGATCCCACCAGCCCCGCCTCGCCCGCATACCAGTCCGACTCGACCTACAGCCCGCCCGCCGTCTCCGACACCAACCCGGCCGGGCTCCTGCGTCCCGGAGGCCCCATTGCCGAACGGCCCATGGCCACCCAGCGCGACTCGCTCTTCCTGACCCCGGGGAGCGATGGCCCAACGCGGAGCGGCACCATGGTCTCTGGAGACTACGCCTTCAACCCCGACCAGCAGGGCGCCTACGCCGACCCGCATCCGCACCACCTGCACCACCACGATGCCCGCACCACGACGCTGCACGACTCCCAGGGCTTCTTCTCCGACTTCGCCGGCCAGCAGCACTACGACCAGCACCACTCGGGCGACTACGGCGTCCCCCAGAGATACTCGTCCAGCGATGCCTTTTCCCCGACGGCGGCCATGGCCCCGCCCATGTTGACGGCCAACGACATGCCTCCCCCTGAAGTGCTCGAGTACCAGCAGCCGCTCGAGCCGCGAGAGGTTCCCTTTGCCATCCAAGACCCCCACGACAGCAACACGCCCATGTCCGGCTTCGACAACATGGCCGCCGTCCTGCGACACCGTGCCCGCACAACCGCAAAGGTGCCCGCCTACTGGGTCCTCGACTCCAAGGGCAAGGAAATCGCCTCCATCACCTGGGACAAGCTCGCCTCCCGGGCGGAAAAGGTGGCCCAGGTCATTCGGGACAAGAGCTCGCTCTATCGCGGCGATCGCGTCGCCCTCGTCTACCGCGACAGCGAGGTCATCGATTTTGCCATTGCCCTCATGGGCTGCTTCATCGCCGGCGTCGTGGCCGTTCCAATCAACGACCTGCAGGACTACCAGCGGCTCAACTACATCCTGACCTCGACGCAGGCTCATCTGGCTCTCACCACGGATAACAACCTCAAGGCGTTCCAGCGGGACATTACTGCCCAGAAGCTCACCTGGCCCAAGGGCGTCGAGTGGTGGAAGACGAACGAATTTGGCAGCTGGCACCCCAAGAAGAAGGAAGACGTTCCTCCTTTGACGGTGCCGGACCTGGCGTACATTGAGTTTTCGCGCGCGCCCACGGGCGACTTGCGGGGAGTCGTGCTCAGCCATCGCACCATTATGCACCAGATGGCCTGCCTCAGCGCCGTCGTCTCGACCGTGCCCGGCAACGGCCCCGGAGACACCTTCAACCCGGCGCTGCGGGATAAGAACGGGCGCCAGATTGGCGGCGGCGCGGGGAGCGAGATTCTGCTCTCGTACCTGGACCCCCGGCAGGGCATTGGCATGATCCTCAGCGTCCTGCTGACCTTTTACGGCGGGCACACAACCGTCTGGTTCGACAACAAGGCGGTCGACGTCCCGGGCCTCTATGCGCACCTCATCACAAAGTACAAGGCGACCATTATGGTGGCCGACTATCCCGGGCTCAAACGGGCGGCGTACAACTACCAGTCGGATCCGATGACGACGCGAAACTTCAAGAAGGGCATGGAGCCCAACTTTCAAGCCGTCAAGCTGTGCTTGATTGATACGCTCACTGTCGACGGCGAATTCCATGAGGTCCTGGCCGACCGGTGGCTGCGGCCGCTGAGAAACCCGAGGGCGCGCGAGGTTGTCGCCCCGATGCTCTGTCTCCCGGAACATGGAGGAATGGTTGTCAGCGTTCGCGACTGGCTAGGGGGCGAGGAGCGCATGGGCGTGTCGCTCAAGCTCGAGCGAGACTGCGACACGGACTCTTCCGACTGCGACGACGACAAGGACAACGAGAAGCCCGCCCCCTCCAACGGATTCGGAAGCCTGCTCGGCGGAGGCACGACGGCGACGACGGAGCAGCGCGCCAACACGGAGCTCAACGAGGTTCTCCTCGACCGCGAGGCCCTCAAGACCAACGAGGTCGTCGTCACCGCGTACGGCGAAGAGGTGGCCAAGAAGGCGCCCAACGAGCCGGGCATGGTGCGAGTCGCCGCCTTTGGGTACCCGATCCCGGACGCCACCCTCGCCGTCGTCGACCCCGAGACAGGCCTCCTCGCCTCGCCGCACATGGTTGGCGAGATCTGGGTCGACTCGCCGTCCCTCTCTGGCGGCTTCTGGGCACAGCCGAAAAACACGGAGCTAATCTTCCACGCACGGCCTTACAAGTTTGAGCCGGGCGAGCCGACGCCGACACCGGTCGAGCCCGAGTTTCTGCGGACCGGCCTGCTGGGCACCGTCATCGAAGGCAAGGTATTCGTGCTCGGCCTGTACGAGGACCGCATCCGGCAAAAGGTCGAGTGGGTGGAGCACGGCCACGAAATCGCGGAGTACCGCTACTTTTTCGTGCAGCATATGGTCGTCAGCATCGTCAAGAACGTCCCCAAGATATACGACTGCTCGGCCTTTGACGTCTTTGTCAACGACGAGCATCTGCCCGTCGTCGTGCTCGAGTCCGCGGCCGCGTCGACGGCGCCACTCACGTCGGGCGGGCCGCCGCGCCAGCCCGACACGGCGCTGCTGGACTCGCTGGCCGAGCGCTGCACCGAGGTGCTCATGCAGGAGCACCACCTGCGGCTATACTGCGTCATGATTACCGCGCCAAACTCGCTGCCCCGGGTCGTCAAGAATGGGAGGCGCGAGATTGGCAACATGCTGTGCCGGCGCGAGTTTGACCTGGGGAACCTGCCCTGCGTCCACGTCAAGTTTGGCGTCGAGCACGCGGTGCTCAACCTGCCCATCGGCATCGACCCCATCGGCGGCATCTGGTCGCCGGTCGCATCCGAGTCGCGCTCCGACATCCTGGCCCCGGCCGACAAGCAGTACTCGGGCATCGACCGGCGGGAGGTGGTCATTGACGACCGGACCTCGACGCCGCTCAACAACTTTGCCTGCATCACAGACCTCATCCAGTGGCGCGTCGCCCGCCAGCCCGATGAGCTGTCCTACTGCACCATTGACGGCCGGGGCCGAGAGGGCAAGGGCATTACGTGGCGCAAGTTTGACTCGCGTGTGGCCGCCGTGGCCATGTATCTCAAGAACAAGGTCAAGGTGCGGCCCGGCGACCACCTGATACTCATGTACACGCACTCGGAGGAGTTTGTCTTTGCCGTCCACGCGTGCGTCAACCTGGGCGCCGTCGTCATCCCCATGGCGCCCCTGGACCAGAACCGACTCAACGAGGACGTGCCGGCGTTTCTGCACATCATTGCCGACTACAACGTCAAGGCCGTCCTCGTCAACCAGGACGTCGACCACCTCATAAAGCTCAAGCCCGTGGCGAGCCACATCAAGCAGTCGGCGCAGATTCTCAAGATTTCCATGCCCCACGTGTACAACACGTCGAAGCCCCCGAAGCAGAACAGCGGGCTGCGAGACCTGGGGCTGACCATCGATCCCGCCTGGATCCGGCCCGGGTACCCCGTCATCGTCTGGACGTACTGGACACCCGACCAGCGCCGGATCGCGGTCCAGCTGGGACACGAAACGATCATGGGGATATGCAAGGTGCAAAAGGAGACGTGCCAGATGACGAGCTCGCGACCGGTCCTCGGGTGCGTCCGCAGCACCACGGGCCTGGGCTTCATCCACACCTGCCTGATGGGCATCTACATTGGCACACCGACCTACCTCTTGTCGCCCGTCGAGTTTGCCCAGAACCCCATGTCGCTGTTTGTCACGCTGTCCCGGTATAAGATCAAGGACACGTACGCGACCCCTCAGATGCTGGACCACGCCATGGCCGCCATGCCGGCCAAGGGCTTTGCGCTGCACGAGCTCAAGAACATGATGATTACCGCTGACAGCCGGCCGCGGGTGGACGTCTTCCAGAAGGTGCGGCTCCACTTTGCCGGCGTCGGCCTGGACAGGACGGCCATCAACACCGTTTACTCGCATGTGCTCAACCCCATGGTTGCGTCGCGATCCTACATGTGCATCGAGCCGATCGAGCTGTGGCTCGACCCCAAGGCCCTGCGCCGCGGCCTCGTGGTCCCCGTCGATCCCGACTCGGACCCCAAGTCGCTGCTGGTCCAGGACTCGGGCATGGTACCCGTGTCGACGCAAATCGCCATTGTGAACCCGGAAAGCCGGGCGCACTGCTACGACGGGGAGTATGGCGAGATTTGGGTCGACTCCGAGGCGTGCGTCAAGTCCTTTTACGGCTCAAAAGACGCCTTTGACGCGGAGCGGTTTGACGGCCGCACCGTCGACGGCGACCCCGGCGTGCCCTTTGTGCGGACGGGCGACCTCGGCTTCCTACACAACGTCAGCCGTCCTATTGGGCCGGGAGGAGCCTTGGTGGATATGCAGGTGCTCTTTGTCCTGGGAAGCATAGGCGAGACGTTCGAGATTAACGGCCTGAGCCACTTTCCGATGGACATTGAGTACTCGGTCGAACGCTCCCATCGCAACATTGTGCCGGGAGGCTGGTGAGTATTCTCCTCGAGTTGTCGACGTGTCTAACGTTTGCAGTGCGGTTTTCCAAGCCGGCGGGCTCGTCGTCGTCTTGGTCGAAGTCAGCCGCAAGCCGTACCTCGCGTCCATTGTCCCGGTCATCGTCAACGCCATTCTCAACGAGCACCAGATCATTGTCGATATCGTCGCCTTTGTGAGCAAGGGAGACTTTCCGCGGTCGCGGCTTGGCGAGAAGCAACGGGGCAAGATTCTGGCGGGCTGGGTTACGCGGAAGCTGCGGACCTTGGCCCAGTTTGCCATCCGAGACCTCGACCCGGCGGCCATGGGCGAAGCAGGCGGTGCCGACCCCAACCGGCAGTCGACTGCGAGCATCCGCAGCGGCATGCCCGCCCTCGGCTCGTCGAGCCTGAAGAATGTCGAAACACCCCAGATCATGGAGCAGGAAGAGTTTCAGCGGCAGATGGACCGCATCGCCAACATGGCCCCGGCGGGAGACCACGCCGGGCCTGCCGGCTACGGCGTGGCCCTGGGCGGGGAGGCGGTGGACTATGAACACTACGATGACGGGCCGGCCGTGGGCGCCAAGTCAGGCGATGGTCCGCCCCCGAGGATAAGGCTGCCCGGCGTCGATGGGCGAGAGGGAATGGAGATGTGGAGCGGCCACGACGACGCCACCGAGGAATGGACGAACATGCATATGAACCTGGCCGGCGATACGAACGCCAAGTAGCTTTCGACTGTACCTGACGATACGACCCTCAGCTGCTTTCAGCAACTGTAGCCGACGATACAAACCCCAGCTCTGTCAACGGCTGTGGGCCATGCGGGTGGCTTTACGACGCACTTACATGTGGAGTGAGGAGTGGAGTTTGGGTATGTTTGGAGGCTTGTTACGGCCGGCCAGGTTTTTGCTTCCACCCTGCTGTTTTAACTTGTGCTCTTTGCATCAGGCAACTGTATAGAGGAGGTTTAGCATGAAAATAATATCATACATGCTTTGCGATGTGTGATTTGCCAACTCGCCGTCACGATGCAGAGCCATGGCCGAATCGCCTCCACAATGTACGAGCTGGCGTGCCTAAACGCCGAGCCATTGATTCACATCAAAAGCCGAAGGCCGCCTAGTGTTCCATCTTGAAGCAGGGAATCGTAGCTGCCCATGCGCGCTGCTGCGAGCCGCAAGGGGCACGAGGCGCGGGCCGCCAGGGGTATCACTTTGACAAGGCGCCCGAACCCAAGTCGTATGTCCATCTTTCTGTCCACAAGGCCGCTCACCGCGGGTGGGGGAGAGCGGCGTGCGGCGCCGAGGCTCCTTCGAGTTCGTTGTAGTGAGTATCTGCCGGCAACTCCCCCGGCGCAGGCGCGTACGGCATCTCCTGCGGAGCGCCTCCGCCGGCGATGGGAGGATACTGAGCCGGGCTGCTGCCGTGGGCGTGGTAGGAGTAGGGCGAGACGGGGGACGGCTTCTCGAGGGAGGCGTAGGCGGTGGCTCCGCCGCAGTTGGTGCCCGGGGCCGAAGGGTCCGAGACGGGGGCATCCGGGGTGGAGCGGCGCCGGCGCCGGCGCCACAAGTAGCAGGCTGCGAAGAAGAGGGCGATTACGACGAGGCCGGCGCCGATGCCGATGCCTGCCGCGGCGCCGGAGGAGACGCCGCTGGAGGGGGAGTTGTCGGGGTCATCGGAGCTGGAGCCAGAGCCCGAATGAAAGGGAAAAGCCGTTCTAGACGGTCTGGATACTGTCCTCGTCGTGCCGTCGGCAACTATCGTCGAGACGGGGACCTGCGACGAGGCTGTTAGAGGGGGCACGCCCTTGGAGCAGGAAGGAGACTTGCGTCGCTGAAAACAGTAGAGTAGGCCCCGTCGTTGACATCCCTCTGACTGGTGAGGATCCAGTGCTGAGCCGGCTGGTACGCATTGCTGTTGATATTCGAGCTCATGTACACGTTGGATCCTGGCCTGACGTCGAGGTGGAAGCTCGTTCCGTTTTTCACACTTATAAACCCAAGAGTCTCATTCCCATTATCGAAGACGTCCCATTTCTGCTCGTCTGCCCCCGAAGGCTCAGCCATACAGGCCCGTGTTCTGTGTTCATCGATCTCCTCCGGGTTGTAGCAGACGGAGAGCTGCTTGTTCATCTGGGTCTTCGAGTTTCGCAGCGCGTATCGGCCAGGCTTGTCCAGAGGCTGGAACTGCCAGTACTGGTTGGCACCTGTGCCGTAAACGAAGATTCCGCCGTTGTCTGCCACCTGAAGCATTGCTCCAAAGGTGGGCTTTGTGTAGTTGTCGACGCGGGTCTCGGAGAGGTGCCACCAGACGTTGGAGTCGAGGTCGGTTACCGGCTTGAGGCTTTTAGACGACATGGTTGCGATGGCTTTGGAGAGGGGAGAACATGAGACGGAGGTGAAGGAGGAGGAGATGGAGCATGGAGGGCAAACATCGATCGACGGAGCACCGGGGAAGACATGGCAGAAGCGAACCAAGGAAGAAAAATAAAAGAAGGCGAAAGCCAAGAAAATAGAAAGGTTCCAAGACTGGGGTGAACGTGGAGCTAGTTTTGGGATGAACAAGGGGATCGACGGGTGGTGGCTGTCGTAAGCAGGCAGCGGTCAGGGGTCGGCTTTTCAACGCGACGACTGGGAGGCAGAGGAGGTCGCCGTCAATCATCATCTGGCAACCCAGCCGTCAGAATTTTATGTTAACTGTGTTGACGAAGACAGAGAGACCGTCATGCCAGCACGCTCGATCCTCTCGCCACGTTATTTTTTCCACACCGAAAGTTATATATATTAATACAGTAGACTTGCTGCATTGCCAAGCGCGCGCAAGACGGAGCCGGCATGTCCAAACGGGAAACTTTTCCGCCCGCGCCTGCAGGGAGGACAAGAAACAAAAAGAGTGTGGCACCCGCCTCCATTGCCAAGGTGCGGCTCGATCCCGTCCCGCTGGGCTGAATGAGCTGGGGCGCTTGCCGGGGGGTCTGGTGCCACGGGGCTCGAGCTGACAAGGGCGGCGGCTATCGAGGTGTGGAGTGAGTTCTTGGCGTCATTGACATTTACCATCGAGGCCTGAAGTTTCCAAGCACCAGAGGGCACCTCGCGGGAGGGAACCAGAGAGGTCAAGTTGGAGGCTCGGGGGCCTCCTCGACGAGGCGAGACAGCCCCCGAGTTGACAAGTGGCCGACTATTAATAACCGCCCACACACGGCTGTGCTTAAGACACGGGCAGTACGGCGGGAGGCTTGACGCCACAAGCGCGCGGGCTGCCGACTTTGCCCCCGCGCGTCTATCTTGACCCAACGGCTCCTCGTCGTCGACCTGTTGACCCCATCATCCGTTCTCCGCCCCCACGAATGCATCCCCAAGCGCCACCGTACACTCGAGCCAGCGTCGCTTGCTTGCATGTACCGGAGGACTAAATCACTCTTGATCCTTCTCACTGGAGTCTTGGTTAAGAAAGCGTCGTGAGAATTTAGCGCCGAGGCTTGGACAGGGGCGAGTAACGGTTTGCGACGGCCTGACTGGCTCATCCGAGTCGCGGAGCCGTCATCTTCCGGCTTAGAAGTACCTTGTGCATGGATTCGTGTCTGCTTCTTCCAACGGGCTGGTTTCTTTCAGTGTCGGCAGGACGGGTTGGGACTTGGATGGTGCTTTTGCTGGAAGCAACAGGAGCCGCAGAAGCTTAATACGGATTTTGATGGAGCTGCCCTGGAGCCTCAAAGGAGATTAGCCGTCGGCATGACCAGCCCCTGTCTGCAGCTAGACGTCATCGTTTCAGGGCTTCTGGTAGGCCTCGGCGTGAGAGTGACTCCATCGCGTGCTCCAAGTGCAAAAGAGTCATTAACGGAAAGTTGCGTCGCGGTTGAACGCCTTACCTGTATGCTAACTACAGACTCATTATTTTAAACATTTACCATGACGGGCTTTTGAGGAATGAGCGTGCGCCATTCAAGTCTGAATTCCAGCCGGCACGCCCCGGGCCCGTGCGGTCCGAGTGCGGTCGCCGTGTGGACCCGAACGCCCCGGGCCGTGCGGTCCGAGTCCCGACTTCAAGTGCCGGCATTGCGAAAGCGGGCAATGTGCGGACCCGATGCCGAAATCCGCTTCGCCAAACTCTGTTTGGTGCACGCCGCAATGGCCACCTGTCAGCTTGTACTCGGCCACTGAGATCGTCTGTTGCGGACCGACTAACTACACTGGCAAATGCTGCCGTATTAGTTACCACGATGGGTGTCGAAATGTCCATGAACAAGATGGTGGGGAAAGACAGTGCCCCATGGGCATTTGGACGGATAAGAAAAGACATCACAGTCCGCAGGGCACGACGAAGTATATATACGTTCACGATTCATGCTCGGAGTCAAACTAAACGTGCCGCTCACATTGTTCAACAATGTGTGACACGTGGAGCCAAAGCACACGACAAAGGACACAAGATGCTCTCGAACGTCGGTCTCACACCACGCGCGAGTCGGCAAGCAAAAGCTCCGTCAGAACCGAGCGCAAGTCGGGATCCATGTCCAACGCCTCCAGCTGACTGGCGCGGACCGCGGTCGTAACTGAAGGGGCGCTCATAATGGCATCAATATTCTCCTTGAGCCTGTACTCGATCTCGGCGTCAAACAGGATAGGATAAATGAGGGCCTGCGGGTCATTTATAGCGAGCTGCGGGTTGGCGCCGAGATATACTGTTGCGCCCGCGCCGGCCGGCACGTCCCCCAGCGCAACGACGAGCCCGTTTGCGGCCACTTTCACGTCCGGGTCGAGAGGCTTATCGCCGACGACGGCTCGCACACCCTTGGTTGATTTGAAGCCTAGGAGACGCAGCGACCAGCGGCGCTTCGAGGGGCCGCCCTTTGTCGAGCCGATGGAGATGCTCCCTTTGGTTTGGTCGAGGGAGATGAGCGTCTTGACCCAGTCCGGATCTCGCTTTTCATCCCCGAACTCTTCAAGAATTTCGAAGGAGCCATTAGCTCCGACGACGACGACAACTTCGAAGCTATCCGGATTTTGTGAGCCGTTTGGAGGCATTAGATTTCCATCAAGTGGGACAATTGCCCCCTGCCCCAACAGAACGGGCACCTTGTCGAGCGTGCGGTTCAGCCAAAGGGTCCGATTTCCATCATAGACAACACCCGAAAAGAAGTCGACGAAAATCCCCGGGGGCAGCCACCCGCGCACCTTGGCGGTATGCGTGGCGCGGTTGGTAGGGCTCGTGATGGGGCAGACGAACATCTCTGGCCCAAACTTGTATTGGTTGGGGACGTTGTAAGCCTCTTCTCTTTCCGGATAGCTCCAGTACATGGGCTCGACGAGCGGCGACGGCGCGTCCTTGGCGGCTGCTCGCGCATTCATGGTATGGAGGTAAGGTATAAGTCTATGCCGGAGCCGCATAAACTGAATGACCACTTCTCTCGGTCCTTGGCCAGAGCCTGCGGGTAGATGCCATGGCTCCTTGCCATTGAACTTGCTGTTACTAGAGTGCAGCCGCATGATGGGAGACAAGACGCCGAGCTGCACCCATCTTGTCGTCAGGTGGTCATCTCGGGCACCGAACATGTGTCCTCCGATGTCGTGAGACCACTGGAAGAAGCCTATATCGCTGGCCGACGCGGTAAACTCAGGCTGGAAGTTGAGTGAGTTCCACGATATAACAGTGTCGCCTGAGAAGCCAACGGGATACCGCTGACTGCCTGGCCCGGCATATCGGGAGAGAACAATGGGACGGCCAGGTTTCTGCCATTTCGCGAAATGAAAATGATTCAACAGCCATAGAGGGTCTACGCCTGGCATGCGCGACTCCGTGCCCTGCTGCCAATCAACCCACCAAAAGTCAACACCCATATCCTCGAGCGACTTGAGCAGGGGGTCATGGTAGGCGTTGAGAAAGGCCCTGTTGCTAATGTCGAAGGGAATTGTCTCGTCACGGGAAGTGTCAAAGTGGAGGACTCGCGCCATGTCGCGATACAAGTCCTCGTATGGCGCTATTCCATCGGCCGGATGGTCGTTGAGCGTGACTTTTAGATTCCGGCGATGCAGCTGGTCGAGGAAGGCGGGCGGGTCCGGGAACAGGTTGCGGTTCCAGGTGTATCCGGTCCAACCACTGGCTTTGTAACGCCTCACGACGGGCTCATTGACCAGGTGCCAGTCCATGTCCACGCAAGCGACGGAGAGCGGCACTTTGTAGTGGGCAAACGCGTCCATGAGCTCAAGATAGGAGTCGGCCGTGTATTCATGATAGCGAGACCACCAAGAGCCCAGAGCCCATCGGGGAAGCAGCGGCTGCGGGCCCGACAGCTTGAGAAACGCGCGGACGGCCTCGCGATACTCGTGTCCATAACAAAAGAGGTAGCCGTCGACACGGCCAGGTCCAGGGCGGCGCGGCGCGACGAAGCCATCGTCGGTGAAAAGAAAGGAGGCCGAATCGTCAAGGCTGGCGAAGCCCTTGCGCGAGGTGACGCTCTTTTCGAGGCTTGCGCGGCCGTCGACACCGTCAAGAGTCCGACGTGTGCCACCCAGCGTTTCGTTGTTCTCCCCATATCGCCAGGTAGTGCCAGTGTGGCCGGTGACAACGACGAACAAGCCGTAAGGGGTGAACTCGCGCTTGTCGTAGGTCATGCGGAAGCGGCGAGTAATGATTGCCAAAGAGTCTGATGTCTCGCGGACCTCGAACTTGGGGACGGACTTGAGCAAGTCGGCGCGGGTTGCGGCAAGGGACGACGGCCGGTCCTCGAACTGGCCGTCCTCGGCCCATTCATATCGCAACAAGCCATCGGTGAGGACGGTGAAGCGGTATTTTTCGCCTTTGACAAAGGGGGAGGAGGGAGAGTCTGGTTCAAGATGCTGCAGAGTCATGATGGCAGTGGGAGATGGATGCTCTCAAACGGCAGACCCAACCAGGGCGATCCTCTCCTTATATAGGGCTGGCTGCGAGCATCAGTCTGTGGGCAGATCAGCAGTGCAGCCCGCATCATTCTAGGCCGTGCAAGAGGTGTTCATGTGTCGCGCTGTTGCACTCGCGGTAACCCAAGGTGATGTTGGAGGTTGTCATCGGACTCGGCGGACGCCTCGATGGCGGAGCCCGGAGGCTTTGACCCCGCTTCCCGAAACTCATTCACTCGCAGGCTAACGCACTACCGGGCCGCCCCTATATAACATGGTCCGTTTATTAAGCGGCAACCTCTACCCTTTATCAACTGCGTCACGGTTAGCAGCAATCGACGTGCCTGCACGGAGAGCCAGAAATCCAACAGTTGTATAAGTGGTGTGATTGGAGACCAATAGCAGATGTTTTTGTAGTCTGGAACACGCTGTTGCACCCGCCGGGTATGGTGGCATCCCCGATTGGGTATAGCGCTGCGCTCTCCTCCGTATCCCACCCGCCCAGCGTCTGTATTTATAGACCGACCTCCATCCTCCCCGTCAAAGTGTACTCTGGACTTTTCTCCTCCCTTTTCTCTGCCGTCGCCTCCCTCATCGTTGGCCGCTATCCCCCTACTAGGCACCCTGCCTTCGTGCATTTCTGCCTGCGACCAATCCTACCTCTACGACCTCGTTATTACCTTCCGATATATCCTAGTTCTCGCGCTATAGCGTCCGGCCCGCTGGTGCTCCTTCTAATACATCTCTATACGTATTCGTACGACTATTGCTCCGCTTAGTAGCTCTCTTTATATCTAAGCTCGCCCCTTTTTTATAACTAAATAGTGTCGAATAATTACTAATAAGCTTAGTATAAACTATTTTATAAGCTCGGAATCGATCCCCTATCGTCCCCTCTAATCCCTCTATTTAATCGGGATATCTATTTAGTCGCCTTTTCCTTCGAACTAGCGCAACCGTCCTCGCTAACCGTCCTCCGCGTAGAGGCTTAGCGTATTACGATAGCTTATTAGCTAATAGTAAAAATACCGTATACGTCGGACCGCGCCGATAGTCGACCTGGGAGGCCTCCGCAACGCGCTAAGGACCGGCAGCAGCTAACGCATTAGCAAGCCGATTATATATACGAGCGAGCGCACTAAGGTAATACGTTATTAACAATAAGGGGCAGGAACTTTAGATATAACGATCGCGACTTAGTGTTACCTCGCCTAGCGCTTTCCGGCGGCCTACGTTATTAGCAATAGCGTAATTACGGCGGTCTTTTACGGCGATCCGTGTCGAGTAAGCGAACGTTAGCTCGGTCTTAGCCTAGAAGCTAAGATAGGGTTATATTAAGAGATTAACTCTAATAACCCTCTCGAGTAGATTCTAGACTCTTATATAGGAGATAACGAGCAGGATAAGGTAATTAGGGGGGTCGAGATCCTACTATACGGCGTAGAGAGCTAATATATAGAGCGCTAGGCGGACTCTAGGGACGCCGGAGAAGGTACTTTTATTACTAAGCTAGTTCGTTTCGTAACGGTATTACTTAGACGAGAAGTACGTCTAGATTTACGTTATATATAGCTTAGTATTAGAATAATTAGTAGTAAGCTAGACGAGAGCGGAGTAGGAGGCTAACTTAAGGAGTCTAGACTTAGCTCTTAAGAATCGTATTATTAGGGGTTAGGGGCATAAACGCAGGAGCGGAATAATTCCTCGAGAATAAGGTAGCCGTCTAAAGCCGGTTAGGTAGTCTTCTTAAGTATATAAGGTGCTCTACCCCTCGCTCCCCTATGCCTCTTTAGAGAATACTTATTAACGAAGCTTTTATATCGCTTAAGAGAGAAATAGTATTTTATAAGCGGTAATTCTACCTCCTATTATAACCGCTCTTATTACTCTCGATAACCTAATCTTCTAGACTCTACTAGGGGCATACTTAGCGGATCTTTCTATTATAAAGCCGTTATACTTAGCGCGGCGCTAGTTACCTTAAGCTATAAGTATAGTATCTTAATATTACGCTTCTATTAAGGCGGATAAAGCGCAAGGATATCTATTAGCTAGTTAAGCATAGACTTTAAATAACGCGATAGTAATCTCTTTTAATAAAGAATCGGACGTAAATAATAATAAAGAAGTTAACGGCTAATATAGTTTTAATATTAATAGGTTATATCTAAATAACTTAATTCCGTCTATTACTACTATTACTATTATATACTAGTCCCTTAGTATAGGGCCGGTACTTTAACTTAGCCGTTTACTTAGATCTAGTATAGGTCTAATAAGTAACTAAATAGACTAGCTACTATATATAATTAAACGTATTATATAGACTAGCTACTATATATTATTACGCGCGTTAAATATAGACTAGCTACTAGTCTTATAAGTTAAAGTAAGAGTAGTAATAACTATCTATATTCTTCTCTACCCGCCTAAGATCTAGTAGGTTCTCTACCTTTATATATACTATAGCGAGTATAAGACCTTACTTAGGGCTTTAACTAAGTAATATCTTAATCTTATAATCGTATAATAGTAGTATAGTATATTAGTAGTATTTCCTAGTATTTTCCCTAGGTAGGTATAGGTATTTCTCTATAGTTTCCTTACTATATTCTTATAGTAACTTCTTAGGAAAATATTAGTATAGTCCTTAAAGAGCTATTATTACTTAGGAAATTATAGTATATTCCCTATATAATATATCCCTAAGGGAAATCTCTATAAAATATTTATATAATCCGCTTAGTTATTTTTTTTAGGATTTCTAGGTAATTTCCTAGAGTTTACTTAGTAGCTTCTAGGTTCCTTCTTTTATAAGGAGCTTTAAGGAGTTAAAGGTTACTTCCTTAAAGGAAGTAAATATTATTATAAGTACCTAGATTATTAACTATAGGGTATCTTATATAAGAGTCTTTAACTATTATAAGTTATAGGCTTAGGCTACGGCCTAAGCTATATAGTTATATATAGAGGGCCGGATCCTATACGTATATATATAAGCTAGCCGCGTATAGGAGAGCTCTATATAGCTTATTAATATTATCTTATAGACGGTACCTACGCCTATGCCTTTACCTACTCCGTAATAGTATAAGCTATTAACTAATAGATCTAATAGATATCTCTTTAAAGAGGGCGCCTCCCCCTTAAGGAAGCACTCCGCCCCTCCCTAGACGGATAGGAAGTATCGTAGCTATCCTAGAAGCGATTAAAAGCGCGATAGCTAGCGAGAAGGATAAGGTTCTCGCTATACTAAGGGAGCCGTCTACGAGACTAGCTCTAACCCCTATAGCCTCCGTAACGCCGGTTACGGCAGCGATACTACTAACGTAGAAGCCGCTCCCTTAGCCGACTTAGGATAGTAAGCCGGAGTCCTTCTACTTCTTCCTTAGCCGGCTATAGACGAAGTTTATAACTAATAAGAAATAGGGCCTAAATAGCTATCGCGATATAGCGTAGTATTCGCTCCTTTATACGCTACTAGAGCCCTAGATATAGCGGATCTCTAGATTCTAAGATAAAGGCGGCCCTAGGGGTAGACGCGACCTATAAGACTTCTTTTAATACCTTATATATACGTTCGGCAACGTATAAGAGCGGGAGAAGGCGTAAGATAGGCTATAGACCCTTAAGTAAAGAGATAGATAAACCTTTAGCGAATTCCTTCCCGATTTTAAAGAGACGCTCTTATAGGTAGCGGGGACTATAGTATAAAAAGATAGCGCGAAGCTTATATAGCTATAGAATTTAATTACGCCGGCCCTATAAGAGCTACTTATCCCTATAATTATACCTACTAACTATAGCGAGTATATAAGCCGGTTAATAAAGGTAGCTTAGGGCTATAAATAGACGCTGTGTTTCTAAAAGCTCTATAAGCGCATACTATATAGCGGCGATAGGATTACCGCCCCTTTATAAGATAAATAACTAGCTATCGATATAGATAGGGATACCTTAATATCGGCTACCTATATAGACTAAGCTAGACGCGGTAAGAAGACGCTATTAACTACCCCTTATACCGCCCTATACTCTAAGTAGCGGGCGAAGTAGGTAATAAGCGAGGAAATCGGGAAGAGGAAGGCTAACGGCCGCTACCTATATTACGGAGTATCTATATACTTTATATTAAAATGCCCCTTCCTTTTAGCTAAGCGGCCTATAGCGGTTTAAGTAGCGAAGATAGAACCGCTCCTTACCTTAGACGATAAGGAGGACTCCGCCCCCCTAGGCCTAGAGGAAAAAGAGTAACTCTAGAGTAAAGATAGGCTCTAGAGCCTTAATTACTAGTATTAGTAAAGGAGAAGGAGGAATTATCCGCCTATATAGAAGAGGAGCCTACTTTAATATAGGTTATAATTAATAACTCCTTACCCGTTACTACCCTTATAAATAAGGGCTATTAGTACTACGCTATAGTTAACGAGGCGCTTATATAAGAGATATAAGTGCTAGTAGAAAAGATCGCCTTAAGGCGAGTAAAGGGCGCCTTAGGCGTAATAGAAGGTATAGTAATTAAGGGTATTATATAGCTAGCTATAGAGGTCGATAGTTACTATAAGCTTATCGTAGCCTATATAATCCCTTAACTAGAATTTCCCTTAATTCTTAGAAAACCTTAGTTATTATATATAAAGTTATACTTAGTTTTATATTAAAGGAAGCTATAGTTTAAGCCTATATAATAGTAGGTCCGCTATAATAATAGTTTTATAAGTATAAGACTAAGCGTATAAGCTTTATACTTAGTATAAGAAGTCCTTGCCTCTATCTTTATAGGAACTATATAATAGGTAGAGCGGGGGTAAGGCTAAGCAGCGGCTAATATAGCGGTTTATATAGTTAGCTTAGCGGATATCGATAAGGCCCTTTAGATAAAGAAGCTAAAGTCGCCCTCTAAGCTATAGTAGTAGATACTAAAGCGCTTTTATAACCTCTTACTACTATTTAAGTCCTAGGAAGTAAATAAGCTTAACCTATATAAGCTAAGGGTAAACTATAAGATCGTACTTTATACCGATAAGAAGGGGTAGGAACTACCTATACTATTTAGACCGCTATATAGTATATTATACGCGGAGCTATTAGTATTAAAGAAGACGCTAAGGGACCTCCTAGATAAGGGTTTTATTTAGGTAAGTAGCTCTAAAGTAAGAGCGCTAGTCCTATTTATACGTAAACTAAGGGGCGGGATATAGCTTTATTACGACTATAGGGCTCTAAATATAATTATAAGGCTAGACCGCTACCCCTTACCCTTAATCTTAGATACGCTCTATAACCTTTTAAAGGCAAAGTAGTTTATAAAGCTAGATATAAAATAAGCGTTCTATAAGGTATAGATCTTAGAAGGTAATAAGTAGAAGACAGCGTTCTATATACGCTATAGCTTATTTAAGTAGCTTATAATACCCTTCGGCCTCTTAAGAGCGCCCGCTACCTTCTAGCATTATATTAATAACGTACTATAGGACGTCCTTAACGAGTTCGCCTCTATATATATAGATAATATCCTTATCTATATAAGCGGCTCCTATAAGGACTATATATAGAAAGTATAGAGGGTCCTAAAGCGCCTTTAACTTTATAAGCTCTACCTTAACTTAGATAAGTACGAATTTAGGGTTAAGAGGGTTAAGTACCTAGGCTTTATTATTTATATAGGCGTAGGTATATAGGCGGATCCCGTAAAGATCTAAGCGATCTAGGACTAAGCGGCCCTAACTATATAGACGGGTATATAGAGCTTCCTTAGGTTCGCGAACTATTATAGGATATTTATTAAGGGCTTCTCTTATATTATAAGTCCCTTAAACGAGATTACCGGGAAATAGACCGCCTTTTATTAGGGGCCTATATAGGAAGGAGCGTTCTATACGCTTAAGGACCTATTCTCGCGGGCCTTAGTACTACTTTAGTAGGACTTCGACTAGTCTACGTTAGCCGAAGCGGACTATAGTAGCTAGGCACTTAAAGGAACGCTCTCTTAGGAGGTAGATAGGTAGAAGTAACTAATAGCGTTTTACTCCTATAAGCTAACCTTAGCGGAGCGGAATTACGCTATTTACGATAAAGAGATACTAGCGATTATTAGCTACCTTAAGTAATAGTAAGCGGAGCTCCGGAGCTACGAGAGCTTTAAGGTTCTTATAGACTATAAGAATCTTAAGTACTTTATAACCCGCTAGTACCTCTTAAAACGGTAAGCCCGCTAGGCGGAGTATCTCTTACGCTTTAACTTCTCGATTAAGTACTAGCTAGGGCGGGACTCTATAGTCCTAGATATACTTTCCTAGAGGGATTAAGACCGGCCGATAGGAGCGGATATTATAAGGAACGGTGTTCCTACTATAAATAAAGTAGCTATAATATACTCTCTTAATTATATAAGCTAATAAGTAGTATATTAATTATAGATAAAATCCTATCTTATAAAGTAAGAATCGCTCGTTATCTTATATATTATTATATATTAAACGAGTTACCGGTTATTATATAATCGGGAATTAAAGGAATAGAGCTAGCCTAGAATACTAGCTAAGACCTCTTAAGACCTCTTAAGAATACTAGCACGACTAACCTCCTTTAAATATAAATATTAATAGAACTAAGATACTTCTAGATATACTTAAGGTATTACGGAATTCCTTAGTCTTAGGGCTATATAGCAGCCTAAATCTAGTCTTAAAAGGTTCTTCCGTTTAGCTATAATTATCTATCTAAGATAGTATGTCTGCTAGTAAATAGAGAAAAAATTATTAACTTTAATACCTCTTTTATATACTAATATATTACTAATAAATTCTATTAAAATTCTTATCTTATACTTACTTTTCCCTTTTATTATATAGTCTTATATAATTCCTTAATTTCCTAAAATTCCGCTTTTACTTATATACCTTAAGATACCTTAAATAAGTATTTAGCTAATCTTTTACCTTAGTAAACGCTTAAGTAATAAAGAGCCTAAATACTAGCTTACTAAACTTAAAGTTACTTATCTTTTCTAGGTATATTAAAAGCTTTAGTTATATATTATCTCTACCTTACTATTAAAGGTTATTATACTAACTAACTATATTATTATAAGCGTAATCTTAAAGTAAATATTATTATTTACTATTAATATAAAGATAAATAATTAGCTTATACTTACTTTATAGTACCTTAGCTAGTTTCCTTTAAAGGTCTATTATATTCCTAGAACCTTAAATATCCTTACTAATATACTATCTTAACTATATTTTATAAGAAGGTATAAGTAATAAGCGTAGAATCGGGTAATTGATAACGTAAGCGGAAAGATCGGTCGAAGGAGTATAGGGTAGGATTTTATCCGGAATTTATAACGAGTATATAAGGGGCCGAATAATATATTAAAAGAATAGCGTTGCAAAAGATACTTACGAACTTACTTATTCTATCTACTACTCCTAGGGAAATCCTTCGTCTTTTATAGACCATTGCTCGCCTACTAGTAGACTAATTAGTTAGCTTTCTAGCATATTCTATAGTGCTTAAAAAGCTCTATCTATAGTATATCTTCCTAACTTAGTAGGGGGTCTAATTATAGCGTGATGGTCAACGTAAGACTATGGGTTCTAGCATAAGTAGTGGATTTAACTAGAATGTTCTATGCCCTACCTATTCTCGTATCGCGGATATCTTCGGAACCGCTAGGCTAAAATAGGCAATAGGGTATCCGTTCTGCTCGTAATTGACTTATGCATTTTATGCATATTTTTGTTTGTAAGGATAGGCTTATCCTGACCCGCTTTTCCTAGAGGAAGGTATAGATGTCTAGTAGAGGTCTTTATCTTTAAGGGTTATTCCCTTAGACTATATTATAGAGCCTCTTTTTACTAGCTTATTTTATAAAGCCTCCCTATGCCTATTATTTCTTTATAATAGTAAAATAGGAATATAAGGGTATATTCTTATATATTTATAATACCTAGGAAATATAAACCTAGGGAATTAGACCGCGTTTAAGAGGATAAAGTGCTAGTTAAATATATATACGCGGTTATAAAATTCTTTATTTAACCTAACCTATACTAAAAGATCTAAGAAGTATATATAGAAAAACCTAAGTAGGCTAGTATATTAAAGTAGCTTAAAAGTACTAAGTCTTAGGTCGGTCTCTTATTATCTAGCGTAATAAGTTACTTTACTTAGTTAAGTTTAAAGGTTTTTATTAGCTTTATATCCTTATTACTTATACTATAGAAATTATTACTAATAACTATACGCGTAAATTTTACCTTAAATAGTAAAGGATATAAAAGGAGTTATCCTTTACGTTTACTATTACTAGCCTTAAGAAGCTTATTAATAGCTTTATCGATAAGTATAATTATCGCGTATACTATATATATTAATTAACGCTATAGCTTATATTTAATAAGCGGCTATATCTTTTTTATAATAGTTATAAGCTTAAGTAAAGGGGTTACCCTTCTAAGAACTTCCTAGTAACTATATATATACTTCTTCTAGCTAGCCTAGCGCGTACTACTAGAAAGGCCTATAGTTTAAGTCCCGCTAGCGTAATTAAGCGTAGTATTAGTATAGGGCCTACCTATATAAAAATTCCCTCTATAGTCTAAGATATCTAGGTATCCTAGGACGAATTAACTTAGTATCCTTAAGGGGGTATATCGCGTACTTTATATATATTAATTAACGCTATTACTTATATTTAATAAGTAGCTATATCTTTTTTATAATAATAATACTTATTATAGAAACTAAACTAACTAGTTAAAGGCCCTTAGTAAGTTAGTTTTAATTACTTTCTTAGCCTTACCTTTTTATATAATTACTATAGATTTTATTATAAAGCTCTTAAATATCCTTATAAACTAAACTTTATAAATACTACTTATTAAAGTTTACTATAATATACTATTAACGGTAACTAATAAGTTCTTAAAAATAGGGCTCTTTATCCTAAGCTATAATTAGTTTACTATAAAAAACTAAGCTAAGGTATTTTTTACTAAATTTATATACTATAACTAAGGGATTCCTACTTAGATTATCTTTAACTAAGACCCTAAGTTCTTATTAGCGTTTTAAAAAGGACTATAAATAATATATGTAACGGTCTCAACTGAGTGTGTTGACAACTAGCTGAGCGACTGCGACGAGTATCCTAAAGCTAAGGAGAAAAGAAGAAGAAAAGAAAAGAAAGGAAAGCTCTCGAAGATGGCACGAGCTTATAAGCGGAGCTCCGTGGGTCTTGTCGAGAGCGGAGCCGAGACCTCACGGGCTCAGCCCGTTACAATAACCCCTCCTTCCTCCCCGTTTCGATCGTTTCGATTGGGGTGGTTTCGATCCAACTTTCCCATGAACTTCTTCATACCTAGCCAGTGCTATTGTGTCTGCGACGTACTTGACTGGCTCCCACGTCGGACCCATCCATCCGACCCATTTCACCAACACTTTCCACTCTCTCCCGACTTTCTTCCTGTCCAGAATCTCTTCCACTTCCCACAGCTCGCCATCGTCCGTCAAAATGGCCGGTGGGCGGTAGTCATCCGACGTCTGTGACGGTAGCGGATCGTCCGCTGCTAAGCGTAAGAGCGACACGTGGAACACGTTGTGTATTCCCGGAGGCGTGTCCAGCCTGCACGCGTGTGACCCAATGGTCTCCAGGACGGTGTACTTGGCCGACAGCCAATCGAGCTTCTTGATGGCCGATTGATCGGATGTTGCGAAGTCGCAGCCATACCTTGTCTCCAGGCTTGAACTGGTCTGACGGCTGTCTTCGCGAATTGGCGTTCTTCTCTTGCTGCTCTTGCGCTGACGCAATTGCCGCCTGGGCCCATTCCGTTGCCTCTCGAAATCGTTGCACAATGCTTTCAGCCCTGGTCACTGGGGACCTTCCGTCCGTCCGTAACTTCTCCTTGACTTGTATCGGGTCAACATGATACCCATGCGTGATAAAGAACGGGCTCAGGCCTGTCGACGTCGAGTTGTGATTGTTGATGGCCATCATGGCCGCTGGCAACAGCTCTTCCCAGTTATCCTGAGCATAAGCAGCAAAGATCCTCAGATATCTCTCGACTTCCTGATTCGCCCTTTCTGTTGCACCGTCAGTCTCGGGATGCCACGCCGTAGACAATCTTTGCTTCACGCGTAGCAGCTCGCAGAGCCTCTGCCATAGTCTACTGGTGAATTGCGTGCCACGGTCAGTGACGATCGCGCGCGGCACGCCATGGTGTTGCACCACGTTCCGTAGCAATGCTCTGGCCGTCGTCTCGGCCGTGATGTCCTTCAATGACTCAAGAACGACACTTTTGGACAGTCTGTCCGTCACGACCATAAGGTTGGTCGAACCGTTCGACTTGGTTGGTGGCAGGTCTGTCACAAAGTCAATTGACAGCTCCGACCAGATCCTGTCTGGAATAGGTAGCGGCTTCAATAAACCGCGACGCTTCTCTCGCCAAATGTTGCTTCGGCCACACACATCACAATTTCTCACAAATTGACGCACGTCTGAATCGAGGCCTGGCCAATAAAACTTGCGGCTCAACAAGGACTTCAGCATGTCCCGTCCGGGGTGTCCTGCAAGCGTTGAGTCATGCGTCTCCTGCATAAGCCGCGTGCGCAGGGGTTCGTGGTTCGGCACCCAAATTCGCTCGCCAGCAGAGCCGCTCCATCGTCAATCGAGCATTCCGAGAGCATCACGGGCAGTCCCCAATGCGACGGCAGACGCCTCTCGCCTTGCTGTACGGCCTTCGGATGAGCCAATAACGATTGTGCTTGACACCTTCGTCCCATAACTTCTGCAGTTCCGGGTCCGAGAAAGGGTTTTCGATTGAGTCGTCTTGGTCAGTTGTTGCGTCATCGGTTGATCCGTGTCGCCCTTGGTGACATAACCGCTCTTGACTTTTGTCACCAGGCCACCCTTGTTACGTTGCAGCAGCTGAACACGTCGTCCTTGCAACCGATCATCTTCGGCGCTGTGCGGCATGTCCTGTTCTCGTCGAGACAGCGTGTCCGGTACGACGGCTTCTTTGCCCGGTCGATGCTTGATGGTGAAGCTGTACCGCGATAGCGTCTCAGCCCATCGCGCCTGACGTTCACTCAGTTGCTGCTTCTGGTGAAGTAACGGAGGTTGAGATGATCCGTCAAAACGGTAAAGGACTTCACACTCAATTCGGCGTCCCAATGCTCAAGGCAGCGAATGATCGCCAGCAGCTCTTTATCGTGGATTGGGTAGTTGCACTCCGCCGGTGCGTTTTTCTTTGAGAAGAAGGCCACAGGCCGCATGATGCCGTCATCGCCCTTTGCGAGCGCCCTCCTGTGACATAACCGGATGAATCCGTCTCCACAATCGTCTCTATCCGGATCCCATTGCGCAAGGACCGGCGCACTGGTCAGAAGAGCCTTCAACTCCTCGAAGGCCTTGTCGCACTCCTTCGACCACGCAAACACCGCATCCTTCTTTGTTAACGCCGTTAGAGGCGCGGCGATGTTGGAGAATCTGGGAATGAATTGCCGGTAATAGTTGGCAAACCCCAGAAAGCTTCTGACGCCTTTGACAGAACGGGGTCGCTGCCACTGCTGAATTGCCTGCACCTTCTCCGGGTCCACGCGGATACCTTTCCCGGCTTCGACGATGAAGCCCAGGTACTTGACACTCTTTGCCTCAAAGTCACACTTGTCGATATCAATCTGCAGGCCTGCATCTCGCAGTCGAGCAAGGACCTGCCTGACTTTGTTGCGATGATCTGCGAGCGAACCGCTCGAGTAGATCAAGATGTCGTCAATGTAAGCGGAACAGAACTCGTCGAGGAAATCTCGCAACGTGTGGTTTATGTAACGCTGAAACGTTGCGGAGCATCAACCCGAATGGCGTGACAAGCCATTCGTAGAGTCCGTAACGTGTTCTGAATGCTGTCTTCCACTCGTCTCCCTCCTCGACGCGAATCTTGTGAAATGCTGCGATAACGTCAAGTTTGGTGAGCCACTTGGCCTTGGACAGCGACCGCAAAGTTTCCTCGATCAACGGCAAGGGATATCGGTCTTTCTTGGTGATCGCATTCAATCCTCGATAGTCCACGCAAAAGCGCAGACCACCACCGGGCTTCCTCACGAACAAAACTGGTGCTGACGCTGGAGAACTACTTGCTCGAATGAAACCCTTGTCGAGTAGCTCAGTGAGAGTCTTTCGCAGAACAATGAGCTCTTCTCGTGACATGCCGTACAATGGTCCCCACGGCGGTTCTTTCTCCTTGTCATCAGGACCTCTCTAACTGAATCTTGTGATCACACCCCGGACGACGCGGTGGGAGTTGGTCCGCTTGGTCGCGGTCGAAGACGGATAGGTACTCGTGGTAGTGACGGGGCAGCTTCTCTCGGGTCTGACTTCTTCCTCGGAGTCAATGCCTTCTCAATGTCTTTCAGGCTTGCGGCGAAGATCCGCACTCCATCGTCTCGATGCTTGAACTTTCTTGCTCGGCGAACCATTCCGGCGAACACGAACGCCGCCTGTCCTCGTATGTTGCACCGTTCCTCCTCCTTCGGGTCTCGGCCTTTCACCCAATGGTCGTGCGTCCCGATATGCAAGAGGTTCTGCGATAATCGCAAGGTGACATCCTCCTGGTTCAACCACTTCTTGCCCAGAATCACAGGATCGGTCTGGTCTCGCACAACGTAGAAAAAGCTCTTTCTTCTGGTACCCGTCGATATCGAAGTCGAAGTAGGTCACGGCACAGATGGCCTCGGGTGAGAATGTGTTGACCTGCTCCAACGCTCGAGGTTTAATCGGAATACGCGGCAGGTGAAGCTTGCGGGCAAGGCGCTCACTGATGGTCCCATAACACAGGCAACCACAGTCAACGAAGGCCGTGGTGAAATACTCTCGATTGATACCGAAATTTACGTAGAGGCCTTCACAGTCCATCTCGTCCTTCTGAGTTGCCCATTCCGCCTCAGCCTTTGCGCGCTCCTGACGGCGATTTTCGTCAGGAGCTACTCGTTTTCCGAATGGTCATCGGAGGTATCCCCGCCAGAACTCTCCGCGGGCTCTGGTGCTTTGCTCGAGCTTCTTGTCTTCTTCGACACGGACCTTGACTCTCTGCTGCCGCCGCTCCTTCCCGGACACTTGGCCGCAAGATGGCCAAGCTTCCGCACTCGTAACATTTGCGCTCCTCCAACGGAACAAATTGCTTTTCCTCCGGGGCCCTCCTGCCGTTTATCAACCGATTTGCTTTCACGGGTTCCCAATCCATCTGATCATCGGACGGGGGACGACGTTGGCGATCCGGGTGACGGGGCTTTGTCGGGACTCGAGCGGTTCGGATAAACGACCATACTCCTTTCTTGACCTCTGCTCGCGGCCTTGTTGTCGTTGGTGGAAATTGAGGCTATCTAGGCGCGAGCCAATCGTCAAGAGTAGCTCGGCGTAGCTGTTGAAATCCTTCGGGAGACTGACGGCACTGACGAGACTCGACTTGAGCCTATTATTAATTGCTCCTTCCAAGTAATTGATTTGCACCACGTCGGCCCACTCGCCACCGCCACTATCGGCAAGCTCTTTCTCGAACTTTGGGAAGAAACTGGCGAAACTCTCATCAGGCTTCTGCTTCAACGATCGAAGTCGATCCAGTGCTCGTGCCTTTGCGTTCGGGTCCCCGTACCGACGGTTCAAGTAGTCGAGAAACAGATCTGGGGAGCGAGCACCATCGATACCGCCCTGTTCGTAATAAGCAGCGGCCATGTTCTGGGCTGTTCCCGCCAACCGGGAGTACACATAGGCGAAGAGTGCTTCTTTATTGTCGAATGCCTGTCGGTCCACAGCCAATTTCGCTTTCATCTCTAAGAACCAGGGACGGAAGTTTTTCCTGGTTCCATCGAATTTCGGCGGATCAGGCAAGGTTGGTTTTACCTCTTTGATGGGATTCTTTCGGATGTCTCGATCGATTGAGGCGTGTTGTCGGACATCGGTTCGATAGGAGCGACTGGTTCATTTGCCGGAGTCGGAGTTGAGACGGCTGTTTGGAGGATTCGGATCTGCGATCGCATCTCTTCGCGTTCGGCCTCTTGGCTTGCACACACACTTTCTAGTTTGTCCATCACTGCAGCCAGGGCTTGCATCATCGATTGAGGCTCAAAAGAACCTTGCTGGGAATCGATTGCCTCCATGACTGAAGATTTTCTCCGTCTCTCAGGACTGAGGGCGACTTGATCACACAGCAAGTCTGATACGGAAGGGATATCTCGACAACGGTCGAACGCTATCAACGCCTCGAAGGCTCCTTCCTACACGGCTGGACGTTCTGCACAGGGCTTCTAGTCCAGCTGCTGCCGTCCACACTGGGAGCCAAGCAGCAATCACGTACTTCTCGCTCAACCGCACGCCGTACGGAGAGCAGATTGACGCTCCACGTCCTTTGCTCGGGAGATGAGAGCTACGCGACGCGAGCCAAGCTGGCTTTGGCGCCGTACACACACGCACTTTCGTCGCGGGCGTTCCACACAGGATTGCCCAAGCTACTGCCACTCCGCGTACCCACAAAGGGAACTGAACAGCGCTGCCAATTGATTGTGATCAAAGGCTTTAACGATGAAAGCGGAGCTTTAGGATAATGTAACGGTCTCAACTGAGTGTGTTGACAACTAGCTGAGCGACTGCGACGAGTATCCTAAAGCTAAGGAGAAAAGAAGAAGAAAAGAAAAGAAAGGAAAGCTCTCGAAGATGGCACGAGCTTATAAGCGGAGCTCCGGTGGGTCTTGTCGAGAGCGGAGCCGAGACCCTCACGGGCTCAGCCCGTTACAATATATAAGTTTAAGTTACTAGTATTTATAGCTTAGTATCCCTAGACTAATAGCTTATTAAAATAATATAACTAAGTAGTTAAAACTATACTTTAGTTCTTTATAACTAACTTCCTATCCTATCTATAGGTTAATATATTATAATTACTTTAATTTACCCTTAATAACCCTTACTTCTTAGTAATTAATACCTCTTTAAGTAAACTACTAACTAAGATATAAATAAATAATAGTAAGCGATACCTTAGAAAAGGCCCTTTATAAATAAATAGAAAGATACTTTAAGATTAAGCTAGGATCTTAATCGCTCTAGCTTAAGTAGGAATAAAAAAGTAGTATAACGTAAAGTACTAAGCGCTAGAGTTTAAGCTTAGAGACTAAGTATAGCTCTAGCTAAGAAAAGGATATAGCGTAGCTAATAAGTAGGTAGTAAAGTTAAAGGAACGCTATATAAGACTATTTAAAGTCCTTAAATAGATTAGCTATTTAGCTTACTACCTTAACCTAGCTAGATCCTTAAATATCTATAATATTATATCTATTATATAGCTATAGCTAGCCGAATAAATAAACGCTTAACCTAGCCTAGAACTTAATACTAACTACTAAGAAATTAAAAGAATCCTTAGCTTTAAAACTTATAAATATAGCTAAGGGACTACTTATATAGAATATTTAGTTAGCTAAAAAAGCTAGCTAAGTAGCTATAATTCCTAGGTAGCCGCTAAGGATATTATCGATAAAAACCTTATTAAAGAATTTAATATATAATAAGGAGCGTTATAAGGTCGTATTACCTATACCTAGAAACTCTATACGTATACTATATAATAGTATAAGCCGCTATAGCTAAAAGAGAAATAATAGTAAGTAGTACGCGCTATTACTACTTATTCTCTTAAAAGTCTAAGGATAGGTTAACTAGCTAATAAGTATTAATAAGCCGCTTATAGTAAGTAGTAATTTAATTTTATATTTTAGTACCTATATTTATTTTATTTTAAGGAACCGATTTCTTTATCCTTTTACGCTCTCTTTTTTATACTAAACTACGCCCTTCTTATACTTATATTTAAGGTTCTTACTATTTAAGGCTATAAGTATTATAGTAAGGACTTAGTATTTCGCTAGTATTTCTTTAACTAAATCTACCGCTAACTACTATACTTAAGCTTTAATAGATTATATTAAGTAGTTTAATTATATAGGAATAAAGTAAAGCTCTTTTATAACCTTAAGTTTAATATAGCTATATTTACTAAATAAAAGCGGGATAATTATAGTATATATATTAACTACCGCGACCTCCTTACTAAGGAAGGATATAATCTTAACGCGGGCTTAGTAGAAAATAATATATATTATACCCCTTTAACTTTTCTTTTATTTAAAGCCCGCGACTTATATAAATATAACTAGCTATACTTCTTTATACTTTATAGCGCTACTACTTATTATAGTACTACTATAACTCTTATAACTACCTAAGCTAATAAGAATATAATATTAACTATTTAACTATAGTAGGTTAGCACTTCTTATTACTATAATCTTAATACTTTATTATATATTTATTTTAATAACTATACCTTATTACTATTAAGCTTTAGTAATTTATTTAGTAACTTACTACCCTTAGTCTTAAATATAATAGGGAAAACTCTTAGTACCCCTTATAACGCTTATAAGTAGTTTACCTTATCGTTTAATAAGGACGAGCCTCTCCCTTTATCGCTATATAGCTTAAATAGGGCTATCTTCCTTAATAAAACTAAGATAATAACTAGCGCTCTTAGAACTATATAGATCGCTACTATTTTAGCTAATATCGTTAATAAGCTCTTATTTAAATAAATCGCTTTTATTAACGCTAAGATACTTAAGATTATCGCTATAGTTATTAGTATAAAGCGCCTCCTTACTTATTTAAAGATATTTAAGGACGCTACTATAAAGGAGCGTAAGGCTATTAATATACTAGGAACTTATAAGTTTAAAGAAAGCCTTAAGTATACCTTAGCTAAGACTAAAGGATTTAGCGCTATTAACCTTACCTTTAATAAGCTATTAAGAAACCTATTTACTAAACGCTTACTTACCGCTACTATAGCCCTACCCCTTACTCCTTTTAAGTAAGCTAACTTATTCGCTAAGGAATAGGCCTTAATACTAGTTTAATAAAAGCTTAACCCCTTCTAGGTTCTAAGCTATAGAAAACCTAGACTATTCCCTATTATACTTTTTATAGTATACTATAATAACCTAGGCGATATAGACGGCTATATAAGTATCGTTTACTTTAGGTTAAAAGCGCTAGTCTATAGAGCTTTAAACGCGGCTATAATTTAAGTGAATCTATTTACTACTATTTATAAGGAAGCTAACGCCGACCTCTCGCTTAGCTAATATACTGCCTTTACT